TTCTTCCATGGGGGATAAAGATGGGCCCAGGCGGTTTCTTGAACACCAAGCGATTAACTTCGGCGGCCCTGCAGGGAGGTGGCCGCCGAGGCAGGAAGAAAGTCGTCGTCTTTCGAGGACATGACGCAGGTGCCAGGATGTCCATCCCAGATATCGCGGAGAATAGCCTGCTTGTCCTGTGCGTCGCCGTTTGGACTGGTGTGAGGGGGCGCCCTTGTCGGGCTGCTGTTCCTGGAGAGCGTCTATCCGGTGCTGTAGAAGGGTGGCACGGTCGAATTTCCCATTGGGGGTGAGAGGAAGCTTGTCCATGACCTCGATGGCGTCGGGAATCATGTATGACGGCAGACGTGCTCGTGAGAAGCGCATGAGTGTGTCCGCGTCTACACCCTGACCATCGCTAGCAACGAACGCAACAAGCGCATGCGTGCCTTCGGCCGTCGACGGCGGCTGTCGAGCGACCACCGCCGTGTGCGCTGCTGGGTGGCTCTCTAGGGCGCGCTCGATCTCGCCCAGCTCGACACGGAACCCTCCATGCTTGACCTGGGTGTCGGTGCGTCCGAGAAAATCCAAGACGTTGGCGTCGACTCTCCACTGGGCCCTATCCCCGGTGCGATAGGCCCGCACGACGCCTGGGTTGCGAATGTCATGCCCCGGTCGAGGAATCTCCACAAACTGCTTCGCAGTCTCGGCTGGCCGGGCGAAGTACCCGGCGGCCTGCTGGGGACCAGCAATGTAGACCTCGCCCGGTAGGCCTGGCTCCGTGATCGGCCGCTGGTCTTCATCGAGCAGAAAGATCTCCATGTCTCCAACAGGGCGCCCGACGGGGATTTGCTCCGAGTCTGCATCCGCACGAGTCACCTCATGCATCATCGCCAGAGTGGTGCACTCAGTCGGGCCGTATGTGTTCCACAAGTGCTGCGGAGGACCGTGTTCGAACACACTGCGGATCGCCTGTACGTTGGCGACGTCACCGCCCATGAGGACATGACGCAGGCTGCTGAACGCCGAGGGACAGGCCGAGACGGTGATCCGGAAGAGTGCAGCAGTGATAAAGATCACGGATACCTAGTGCTCCTGCAAGTACGAGGCAATGGCTCCTGGGTCGGTTGCAATGCGTCGAGGGATGGCAACGATCGTCGCCCCCGAGAGAAGAGTAGCCCATATTTCAAACAAACTCAGATCGAAGCCCGGATTGTTGAACTCGGCCACGCGGTCCGTCTGCAGTAGAGGGGTGACAGGCGTCCTCGTGGCCAGGTGGAGGATGTTCTCAGCACGGATCTGCACCGGCTTGGGCTTGCCCGTTGACCCAGACGTGAAGAGGATATGGCTGCGGTCTGTCTCCGGGCCGAACTCCCAGTCTGATCGTGGTTGCGTCTGTCCAACGCGGGGCAAGTGCACAGTTTGGAAGTCGGAGAGTTGTATAGGCCCGTCCTTCTCCGCGATGAGATAGCGCACATGGACCTGCTTCAACATGTCCACGATGCGCAGCTCCGGCAGCGTAGGCTCTATGGGCACACAAGTTGCCCCAACCAGACGCACCGCAAATTGCGCGACAATTTGTCCAAGGCCCGGACCGAGGAGGATCCCAACAGGCTCCTCGAGGAATTCGATGCCCTTCGCAGAGAGCAATTCTGCAAGATGGATGGCCTCCGAGACCAGCTCACTGTATGAGAGCGTGGTGTTTTCAGCCACGACGGCAGGGGCATCAGGATTTTGTTGAACGTGAGAATACACAATACGTTCCATGGTGATAGTTGAAAGCGAACTGAAGAAGAGTTCTTTGGTGAGGGATTCCACTGTTGTTATATACAATTCCAGAGCTGATTTTACTCGCGGACTGAGATGCCAGGGCAGGTCCAGGATATACATAGCCCTATCCAATAAAAGCAGCACCATGCAGAAACAGGCCTGACGAGTTCTCCTGCAGCCACCTGGCGCGAATTCTCCCTGTGGTCATTGATGAACGTGCTCCAAATCGGGTTGGTCCGCACGAACCGGTTGCTTATAACGGACAGCTGCATATCCGTGATCACACCCATGATTCATGTCCGGGATTTGATATCTCCTTCCTTGTGGGCTGGACTTTACAGCAACTCCAATAGATGCACTGTAACGAGCTGCTGGATCCACCATATCTTGAAGCAAGATAACCAAAGGAGGAAATCTCGTAGGTCATATCCTCCAAATCCCGTGCAGGTGTTTGTAGATCCTGGCCTGGACATTTGAGCATGGAACTATAAGCTGTCGTATCAATAATACCGAGTAACTCCAGTCAGGATGGTGGTAAATCTAGCACCTTGTAATTTCTATGATGTCAGGTGTTCTCATGCATGCGAGAACATTCAGTCAGGGTAAACATGGCAATGTTGGATCATACCAAAATCCAAGATGCCTGTTTCAGAGCAGGTTTCTAGAAGAGGCAATATGGACGAGGACAAGCTGTTTTTCAGATCTGGAAAGCGAGACAATGAAGCAGAGACATTGCCACACACAGCGTAGTTTAGAAAATATATAAAACGAAGTACAGCCCCAGTCTCCTCAGCAACTCATCACCATCAGAATCCTCAGAGAATCCTCAATCGCAAAATGAACACCCTTTGCCACAAGCTTGAAGAGACATTGGCCGTTCGTCGCCAGAAAGGGCGTCTGATTGATCCTCCTTCCCCAGCCAAGCTGGACGGCATGGTCGACTTCAGCTCCAATGACTCGTTGTCTCTTTCTACCTCTGGCGTTCTGACTAAGGCTTTCCTGAATGAGCTCAAGATGCACCCCAACTTTACCGTGGGAAGTACATCGGCACGCAGCTTGGACGGCACAAGACAGTACCTTCTCGATCTTGAAAGAGACGTAGCCAAGTTCCACGGTGCCGAAACAGCCATGTTCTTTAACTCGGGCTACGATGCCAACGTGGCTGTCTGGTCGACTATCCCCCAGCCTGGTGACTTCATCGTGTATGACGAGTATGTGCACGCGAGCATTCACGACGGCATGCGTCGGGGCCGGGCGAACAGCATGCCTTTCAAACACAACGATTGTGATGCGTTCCGATCATGTCTGGAGAAGGTCCAAACCGAGAACCCAGACATAGCGAAAGGAGAGCAGGTGGTATTCGTCGCCCTCGAGTCCTTCTACAGCATGGATGGGGACCCAGCTGCCGCTGTTGAGTTGCTTGAGGTGGCACACGAGACGCTTCCACTGAAGAACTTTATCTTCTACATAGACGAGGCGCATTCTAATGGTGTCGTGGGGCCGAATGGCTCCGGGTTCGTGTGTCACTATGGACTGGAGGGACATTTTCCAATTCGTCTGCAAACATGTGGTAAGGCGTTGGGGTCGACTGGTGGTGAGTGCTTCCGATTCTAACTGGATCATTTATATCTCTAATGGTGTTAGCTGCTCTTTTGTGCAACGAGACTGTCAAATTCACCCTCCTGAACTATGCTCGGGGGGTGATATTCAGCACAGCACCGAGTTTCGTAAGTGCAGCGGCGGTGCGAGCAGGATACGACATCATAGGCAGTGAAGAGGGAGAGAATGTGAGTCATTCACTTCACCCAGAAATATGTCCTGCATCTACTGACAATAACCAGCGTCGAAAGCGCCTTCAAGACCATGTATACCGCTTTTATCGACAGTTAACGTCGCATCCCAGTTGGCCGCAGGTCAAACGAAAGGGCACTATCTACCTCCCAACCGAGGATACCTGGCACGTGGGACCGTTCCAGTCCCCAATCGTGCCTGTCGTTCCTCGGCCGGACCTGCCTGTTGACTTGGGGAAGTACTTGGAGCAGGAAAAGTACTGGGTAAATACAGTGCACTACCCTATCGTACCCAACAAGATGGATCGTGTTCGGATTGTTCTCCATGCAGATAATACTCCAGAGCAAATTGATCATCTCGTGGAACTTATCATGGAGTGGGCGACAAAGCAGATGGGCAAAGGCAGGCAGGCTGTTTTGTGAACTTGTCAAGTATGAGCGCAGTCAGAAGGCGATAGGACACTGAGCATATTTTCACTTGATAGTCGTCTGTAAATAATTGCGGCGATGATTATGCATAAATATATTCTGTCACGGACTAGGGACATCCAAATCTAGTTGATTGATATTCAACTATGATGACACGACTGCCACTTTGCTCCGTACCGGGATATTATGCTCCACGTCTGTCGATGGGAACTCTTCCACCTTGACTCCTTTCCGGAACAGCAGACAGTGTGTAGAGCCCCCAAAATGGAACATTCCAATCTGATCACCTTTGCTCACATGCTGTCCCTCTCTCACGGTAATATCACAAGTAGAGACCTCGCACATGCCAACTCCGAGGAAAGCCATCAACCCAATATCAGGGTTGTCTGCTTGGATGAAAATGATCGCTCGTGTTGCCGTAGCAGTGATATACTCTTGCGCCGTGACTTCGCCCGCAACGTCGATGTTCTTCCGCGCGGAAGCCGGGTCGCCTAGGCCTTCGAACAGCGGCTCCGAATAGTAGGTCCCATCGACGACGTACGCCTTGACAATCTTCCCACTGACGGGCGAATGCCACCGATGGTAGCTCAGCGCGCTCAGGAACGCCTGGTACACCGTTCCGCCTGCAAATTGGGGCGCGAGCGGGTCATGCGCCAGCATGTCCTTGATGGAGTACGGCTGGCTCTTGATCCAGAACATATCGCGCTCCTTCACATTCCGCGCAACCTTGTACGGCTGCGACTCGCACGCATTAGCAATGACGCTATCATCATCCGGCGCCGCCACCGGCCGCACGCCGGGGCGGAACTCGCGCGTGAAGAAATCATCCCACGATTTATACCCATGGTGCTCCTTCGCTGGATCACACACGTACATCTCCTCAAACGAGTAACTACTCTGGTTCCCAATGTTCCCCACCGTGACAAGAGACTGTACGCCCATCTCGCCGAACCACCCATACGGCGAATCATCCAGCACGCTAGCCGACTCCGGCGACTGCAGGTACTCGCCCCAGGCATTAAGAACCTTCTTAATCATGGCGTTGACGTCGGCATCCAGGAACGCGGCGTATCCACTCGGCGTGCCCATGGGCCAGTCCAGCACGGCGTTGATGGGCAGCCCGACGAGCCCGACGCGGTGCGAGAAGTCGTTCCAGGAGGGCGCGGTCGTGAGCAGGTAGTTCAGCACGCGCAGCATGTGCTGGTAGTCGCGCATCTGCGGACAGCCCGTCGGGTCGGTCGAGTAGGGCCTGTTGCGGGGGATTTCGGCGAACATGGCCGAGATGAGCATGTAGACGCGCGTGTTGGACTCGATGAGGGCTTGGAATTCCTTCAGCACGGGGTGCAGGTCGTGAGAAGTCTTGCTGTCGACGTGCGCGATCACGCCGCCGAGCCATTTGTGGTGCGCGTCAGACGAGGAGGGCATCCATTTGCCCACTCTGTGATGGTTAGTACATACTACTTGTGATGGGGGTGCTGAGGTGAATTGCGTACCGGTGAAGACGCGGGGTGCCGTGGGGGTGCTTGTTGTGCTTTGGAGGCATGTTGAGGGCGAACGAAGTCAATTGATAGAGGAGGATCAGAAAGCAGCTGGAAAATGCTAACTATGTACTCTTGGCGGAGTGATGCTTTTTATATTCGTCGCGTTGTGTCATCATCATGATGAAGCAGTGGACCCTGACGTCATGGCGTTGACATCCGGTATAGGCAGTTTGTTTGCATCGTCTTCAATAGATACGCTACAAAAGGTTGATAGAATTTCATTGATTGACAGTCGTCTCATGATATTCATCATGTTCATTTTAGATTGTGTATAGATAATGCACTTCAAACAAACATAGACTCATAACGATCGGAGCAACCCGGTCGTCCTTCAAAGAGTATACTTGAATAGAGGCGACTTCTCCCCCATCTCCAATAACTGATGATCGGTATACTTCTCCCTGACCTCCTGCTCAGAAACCTTCCCCTTCTTCTTATTCCCCATGAAGAATGACAGCTCCAAGAGAATGACAAGAATCAATCCGGTCCCACCCAAAGCTAAAGAAAGCCCGAAGCCAGTATAATACTCCGGGCTCTCTTCTTCGAGATACATGTAGCTCCCAATAATACCACCAATGTTGCCAATGCAAATGCAGAAAGCCGAGCCGATCGCGCGGCGATTCGACGGCGTCAGGTTATTCGAGATCCACGACGTGGTGGCCGGATGTATCGGATAGAAACCAGCACAGGCGAGAATGACAGCAAATAACGCGGCTCCGACATTCTGCTCTAACTGTCCATGGAGCGAAACAATGATGCTATAAGCCACAGTCACCATTACGAGCGGGATCGCGATAAACGGCATCCGCCAGTAGAACTTGTCAGACAGACGCGCAAATGCGACAGCCGAGATAGCGCCTGCAATGTAGGGCGGGACGGTCATCAGCTGCGCGTTCGTGTTTGTGTATCCCATGGCTTTCGTGATGCTCGGGAGCGTGAACTTGTTTCCTGTAGCTTGTTAGGGCTTGTCGACAACAGCCTTGTAGGGATCCATACCATAAGCAACTGCCGCCTGGCACAGAAGAACGTATGAAAGAGCATAGAGCCTCCAGTTCATTAGAACCGCAACAAGGTCCTTCCATATTTGGGGCTTCTTCTGGGCATCCTGCTCGTCTCTGAGGTTCCCGCCTTCTTTGATGAAGAGTTGCAGTTCGAGGTATCTTATCTCGTCGGGATCCAACCATCGGCCCGACAGCCGCGGGGAGTCGATCAGCAGGAAGAAGCATGCACCGCCGAGAACAACGGTGGCTATACCCTCCAGAATGAAAATCCATCTCCACCCCTCGTGCCCACCGACTCCGTCCATTTGGGCGATCGCGGCAGCTAGGAGACCGGAGAACGCACCCGAAAGGGCACTAGCACAGTAGAAGAAGGCCAGTCGAGTGGATAGATCTTTTGGCATGTACCACTGGGTGCATAGGTACACCGCGCCGGGGAAGAACCCAGCCCTATCTGTGTAAGTATGAAGCCTGCGTGACAGGGAGGTGTTCACTTACTCGAAGAATCCGAGGAACACGCGGGTGACAACCAATCCCGCAAAGTCCTTCACGACGCCGGTAAGAGTCATGATAATTCCCCACGACACAATCAAGATACCCAGATATACCGAAGGCCTCTTGAACTTTTTGAGAACAATATTGCTAGGCACCTCTGTCCCCTGTTAGGATCATCGGTAGGAACACGGAAAGGACACTCACCGAACAGAACATATGGAATGAAGAAAATGCTCAATGCTAGATTCCACTGCAGCCCATTCATGTTCAGATCCTCCGTCAACCCTTCAATCTTCGCATTGCCAATATTTGACCGGTCAAGGTGGGCCACCAGATAAAGTGTTGCCAGCATGGGGATGAGACGAACATCAACCTAGAGATGTTCATGAGCCACGTCCACCCCTGAATACAGAAAGAACAGACCTTGCGCATGGTTCTCTTCCGCTTCTCAGGTGAATAATTGAGGTAGAACTCTTCATCCTGCGGACTCAGTCCCAGAACCCGAAAATTTTCGATAGTGACAATGGCAGGAACATCCTCCTGGTGAACGGGGTCGGGGATTTTCTCGTCTTCGAGATCTGGGGACGTTGAGCCCGACTTTGTGTGCGACATTTTCAGATGGCAGAGCACGTTTCAATCTGTCGAGACAGACACCGGCATATCCTGAGCATTGAGGGAAACGCAGCCAATTTATCCTCTCCATGACCGATAGCCCTTCCCCAGATTTGCATCTCCAATACGCCCCGTGGCCATCCCACTCTATACCCCGCAAAGACGTGCATAAAGCCTATACGCATCTTCCATTGCCAAGAGAACCTTAATACATTGTTCGTAAATATGTCTGGGGAAGCCCTAGCTCCCAAGAGAACAAGAACCCGACAGAGTGTGTTCTGTGCTCGGCGTCAGCTGCTAACGGCGGCCAAGAGATCAAACTAGGTAAAGTAAAAGATAGACGCGGGGAAGACACTTGCGATATGACAAAGATATGTTGCTTTTCGCTTCCTCATAGCCAGTCATGGAATGCTGATGGGACATGCATATCAATTTGAGGACCATAGAGGTCGATGCTGGATATATAGGAGAAGTTCCTGCTCGCAGGGAAAAGCAAGCTAGAAAAGAGTCTGAAGACATCATACACCTCTCTACGTACTCATCGTATGACCTTGTCCGGCGGGGTTTGAATCCTTGTCGTATTAACCACACTAGTATGGGGAGTGGACATACTCCAAATGCCAATGCAAATGGATCTCTTGGTTTCCTTGGCTTGCTAGGGACCGAGGGATATTCGGTAACCGGGTGCTTCCTCATATATGCCATGCCAACGCGCCATTGATATGAATAATGGTATTAATGAGATTGCAAATAATATGAGGATGAGCTGCCTGAATCAAGTCTGAATGCGCCGGGTGTCTCTACGCCACATCTTGAAGCGGGCATCCGTATCACTGGCCGACACTAGTGGATCGTTAGGAGTATTTCGAGCCTCAGTCTTCATAACCAACCGCCTGGCTACTTCATTGGCCTCATTTAGGCTGACCAACTTCCGCTTGCCTGGACGTTGCAGTACCTTACGACGACACAAGTCATAGACAGCCTCCCTCTGGCTTCTTTGTTCTTTCTCCTCAATAGACGCCGTCCGATGGCGGTCCACCACGGATGGAGGGGCATCGGATCTGAGGATTGGGGGCGACATTGTCACTTCTTCAATCCAGGCATCGGCTGCTAATTCCAGAGGAGTGGCTCCTGTAGCATTTTCCCGTAGTAGTAGATCGGGTCGGTAGTCGAGCATAAGCTCGAGGACCCCGAGGAGCTGGCGCTTGACTGCATCATGCACAGGGGAGTTACCGGCTCCATCCAACAGTTCAAGATGTCTCTGGTTCGTGACTGCGGCAAACTCCAGAAGACAGCGGGCAACATCCACCATATTTTCAGTGTTCATATCGTGATCAGACTCATAGGCGAACCTTCCTATGTATGAGTTGGTGTGGTAGTATGTGCTTGAACCAGTCTCGTGCAGCCAGCGTGACAGAGGAGTCAGTGACCCTGAAGCCCGTTCAGTTAACAGCGAGGGAACCAGACGCTGATCAAAAAATCCAAGCAACGTAGTCACGTTACTTGGGTCCCCGAGTGTCAAACCCACACCACCATTGATCCCGCAGAGCAGAAGATGTAGGAGGTTATGACCCTGGCCGTCCCGCACAGCCTGATTAGCTCCTGCCTTGATCAGGATGTCCGCGAATGTCACCCGATGATAGGAAAATGCCAGTGCCAAGGGCGTGTGCCCTTCTTCTGATTTCTTTTCAAGACAACCGGGCACGTTGGTGATAAGATATTCAACAAGATGGCGCGACTCATCGGTTTCTTTGGAGAGGATTGCACAGTGGAGTACAAGATGATCTGCCATTGAGTCAGTGGCGTGTACATCAACACATGGTGGAAGCAGGTATGGTTACTTACTCCCTGAGTTCAACCAACTCATGAGCGGCTTCTCAATTCCATCCTTTGATTTCGCCAGGAGCTGCATTTGCCTGTTCCCGGCGTGTTTTTTGGTAAACTCGAGGTAATACCGACCGGGGGCGGTAGTGAGGAACCATTCAGTACTCTGTAGGTTGCCGCAATAAGCCGAATAAAGCAACGGAGGGTACGTAGGATTGAAATATTCGAAATGGTTAGGACGCCGGGCCCACTCTGTTCGTTTCTTCCCATGGACAGAAAGGCCTTGGTAATAACGAGGCTTCTCATTCTCGTCGGCTCCACTGCGCTGGACAAACACATCCAAGGGAAAAGTCGGACCAGAAGCCCTGATTAGTTCCTCCAAGCATCGGAGTCTACCATTTTCGATTGCGAGGTGGAAGACAGTTTCACCAGGATTGTAAATTGGCGACTCGCCATCCTGGGCATCATGAGTAGTGAAATGCTGCCCGAGCTGCAGCAGAAGCTGCAGCAAACGTATATCATCAGCGAGAATTGCGTACTCGAGAAGTGACTGTGGTTTCCGAGTTCCTCTCTTTGACTTGTCCAGGAACAAATGCGCTGGGCAATCCCAGTGTAATGCCTGATGAGGAGATATATCACTTTCCACTTGTGCTGCAACGGCGTCAATATCGTCAATGGTAAACTGATCGTCGATTATCGTGCTGTATATGGGAAACGGATTGGATTCGTCATCACCCGACTCTGAGCCGCAGTAATCACTTTCGTTTGCCATCTCATATCGCACCTGGTCTTTCTGCTCTTCTTTTTTGTATTGAGCTTGAATGATCTGGATCATTGGCTTTGCAAGTTCGTAGTGGCCCCGGAAAATTGCGATAGAAAGCGGAGAAAGGTGATCTTCGTCTCGCACAGCAAGCTGGAGAGGACGTTCTTGGTTCTCCCCCCATGGACCCAATGTAAGCTGTTTGATCGTGGCGAGATCTCCGCTCCAGGCGGCTTCAAATCTATAATCAATTAGTATCAGGTGAGCCACGCAGTGATGGAAAACTCACAGAGATAAGTATCCTTCCTTCTTCGCATCTGTCAGGTCTGGGACATGGAAAGCAAATGAAACCTTCAAAGGCGTCTTGGGTTTGGTCGTAGCAGGTCTCACTGCACCTGTAGCGTTGTCGTGATGAGTCGCCAATTCAGGAAACATTGCTTTCCAAGTTTTCGCGCCCTTCTCCAGCAATGTCGCTTCTAATTTGCTGAACCCATCGCGAAGCTCTGCAACGACACGCGTTTTTGACTCAACTGCCTTTTGCTTGGACTTGAAATCCTCGACCTTTCTCTGGTAGTCTTCTAAGTCCTTCTGGTGGATCTTCTGGGCCTTTTCGAGCTGATGCCTTGCGTGCCATATGCGGTAGGTTCCTTCCTCCAGGCCGTCGAAATAATGACTGTCTATTTCCCTGGGTTCCGGTTTACCAGGCAATTGGATGGCTTTGAAGTCACTGAGTTGCCGAATCTTACCGTGAACAAGATCCAGCAGAGACTTTGCTGCTCGGACCTCCCACCGGCACTGGCAAAAACCCGCTCTATATCCGGCGCGATCCAGCGAATTCGGATCTGCACCACGCCGCACCAACTCAGTAGCGAGTTCTGGCAGTTCGGCCTGCACGGCATCAATAATTGGTTGGTCAACATTTTCATGAAATATGCGCTTGTTGTCGTCCGTATTGTTCCTTCGAATTCCATCCGATACCACCTTCGCCGAGTTGACAAAAGCTGCAAAATCAATCGACACATCGGCGCCGTTTTCAAGTAGCTTGAAGGCACCAATTACGTTCCTGTGCCGAATAGCGACAGACAACGGGGTTACTCCACCCGGCGACCACGAACCCCCGGTTATTGCAAGCTGGTTGATTGCCTTTTGCAGGGCTGGCTTGCTCTGCTGGACGAAGACATCCAGAAGCTCGGCATACGACGTTCCGGCTATGTAGTGCAGCGGAGTGTACTTGTCAAAATCGGCTTGAACTGGTGATGCGCCAAGTTGCAACAGCTTTTCCGTCATGGTGATAGCTTTGTCCAACGGAAGTCGAAGTGCAAGAACTAATGTCAAGATCGATGCCCTAGGAGTGTTGTTATACGCGTAGAGCAATTTCACAGGAAGCAACACATCCGCGCCCCAGGAGCTGACCAGTTCTTGCACAACGTCGACATGCCCATTGAGGATTGCAAGATGCAGAGGCGAAGTGTGGCTGTCCCAGGAAACGACATTGATGTCATAAACGTCAGGTTCATCAGTATTGTCGTCTTCCGCAACATCCTGATTGGCATAGCTGTGGTCGGGTTCTTTCTCAACCTTGACAAAGGAACCAAGGGTGTACGAAGTGGTCTCATCCTGTGGGATACCCATCCCCACAGTATCATTGTCATCTTCAGACTGACTTGTCGCGCTCTGATGTTGTTTCTCGGACTGCCCCTTCCGAAGCTCCAGCTTGCGATCTTCCTCCGCTTCATTGAGCTCACTTCTGTTGAGCAGGATCCGGACAATCTCCACAGCACCTCGAGCTGCTGCAAAATGAAGTGCAGTCCGGCCGTCAGCCACACGAGCAGTGAGGCGTGCGCCATGGTCGACAAGGCACTGAACAATAGAGGGTGTAGATGCTATGCACGCCAGATGTAGAGGCGTTCTTCCGGTGTAATCCCGGGTGTTGGGGTCTGCTGACTCCTGTGAGAGCCATTCCTGGACTGTCTCAAGGTCATGATCAACAATAGCCTGGCACAGTCGCTCCGTGTTCCCAACGTAAGCCATTTCTAGATCAAGGTTAGCTCATTGTCTTCGGCAGAAGTGTTTCTTGGGACATATACCCGTCCAGTCGGTCTCTGTAATCGGATTAAAGCTTCCAATTTCTTGACGACCCGGGTCGTCTTTGATGAAGGATATATCACCCGAGACATATATCTTACTCTCTTTTTCAGCGACCTCCTTCTCCTCTTCAGTCACTGGTGTCGGGCAATGACCGCAACAATCGTGGATGATGTCCTCGACATTGCCAAAGAACGCAGGGTGGCGGTGAAGGACAACCTCTCTGCTTTTGGGTTTGTTCCATTCGGCATTGAGTAGCAGATCTTGGTTATAGAAGAGCCGTTCAATTTTCCGGGCAGGGTAGTATCGTCCATATGGGATAGTCTGCAATGATTATTAGCAAGGCGATATAAAAATGTGACTGACCGGCACCCACGAAGGTATGATAATTGGATTCTTCGTCCTCCTCAAACCATTCCGGCACTTCATCTTCCCATTTGGCCTTGATGTTCCCGGCCAGGACGTGCCTGCTGTAGAGAAATTTCTCTGGTCGGCCACGCTCTCGGCGTCGTTGCTGAAGGTAATTCTCTCTATCAGAAGCCAACGGCAACTGCTCAAGGACTAACAGGCGCGCTAAACCCACAGTTCTTGAGAAGCTTCGTTCGAAGATAGTCTGCCTGTGTAAGCGTCATATGGTTTATAGCAAGAAGGCCGTCCTGGTAACATACCGGGTCAATGCGTGAGCGGTTTAGCTGGGGCCAGAAAACTTCGAACCCACGTCGCGAGTACTTTGACAGACGGTTTTCGTACGAAGGAGAACGTCTGCTCAAATCGATCGTGTTCTTCTGTGTGATGTAAGAAGCTAGTGCCCGCGGAGAGGCATAGACTTGCTTCCCATCGTAGGCAGCACACGAACAGTCCACGTCAAATCCGGTCAGCACCTCGGCAATGGACTTGTAAATGCGCAGCACAATCTGCACATGCCGTGTGGGGTACTGGGAGACGATTGTAACTGCATTCTTGGTCCGAATGGTCGTCGTCTCGTGCAAGATGGCGTTCTTGATACTATCCTCAATATGTTTGATCTTCTCGATGGCCTGTTCTTCGGTCAACCCATACAGGAAGAGGTCGACGTCGGACGCAGGGGCGACTTTGTCATGATAGAATTGGCGCAGAGCACGCTTCGAGCCCTTGTGTTCGTCCGGAACAGGTAGGAGACAGGTGACAACAGCACTACCAGCAACTATAACATTACTCCAGTCCATATCACTGAGAGAGGCTTCGGAGAAAATAGCAAAGTTGTCCTTGAACTCATCGAGACTCGGGACCACCGCGAGAGAGCCATTCAGTCGGCGGTCTTCAGCCTTGAGAGGCATGATATACTTCTCCTTCTGCTCTGGCGTCTCAGTAGCCAGGTCCCGTGCACGAGTCCGAAACTCTGCAGTGCCGTCGGGGCCATAGACCGGAACAATGTTGAGATGATTGTCCTGAAGGACGGGGTTGGATGGTTCTTGTGCGAACAATTTTCGCACAACAGACTCATATTCATTATACGGGGCGACAAGATCTTCGACTGGAGATTGCGGGTGTCTCTGAATCCAGCTAGCAAAGTCTTGGTGCTTGGCCGGCAACGCAGGCAATGTATGTGTTGCGGTCATCTTGGCGCACTTGGATGGCTCGAACAGATCGAAGTAAAACAAAATGGGTGTCCAAATGTAATGGCTCAGATCATAAAGAACAAATCTGTAAAAGAGTCAAGATATAATTCTGTCGTTTCCAGGTATCTCGTATTTGCCAGAGGATGTCACTTGCCTTAAATGGCTCTGTGTAGGCACTGCCCGATCGGGTTAGGCCAAGGCAGCGTAGGCAGAACCCTGACCGCCCTGCAGGCAACGTCTGCACGTGTCCGCCCCTGAATCCTAATCGGGCAAGATATCAATCTCCTTGTCAAATGCGACTGCTACCAACCAGGCTGCTACAGGCAGACACGGGGGACCTGACGTCTGCCAATCAATCTATTCATTGATTAACCGGAACATGTCGAATTGAAAAGGTTGCTTCGCTTCTCAATCGTGATCAGTGGCAATCGGAGCTGAGTGGACCTGACCCGATGGAGCTCCTCTACGCGTGAACCAGATCATCTTGTTCCCCAGTGCCGGCTCAAGTTCGAGACCCACTGCCTGTGCTTGTCCTTCCGCGTTGATGTCGAACTTAGCACGGAAGAATTCAGACAAAGATCCTTCCTTCCCCGGGGTATACAGCTCTCCGACGAAGTATTCGCCGTTGACATGTGACAGCTTCAGACAAAACGCAATGGCTCGGTCGGTAAGATCTGCCGTTAACCGCCCAGAATTGATGTCCAGGGTGAGACGCCCGTAGCCGGCGTGTTGGTACGTCCCACAATACTCATCCAGGGGCAAAGATCGGGGTATGTGATGGCCCAAGTGGTCGGAAATTAGACTGACTGCTTCGGTGCTGTTAGCTGGCTTCCTCTGCTCCTTAGCCACGTCGGGAGGACGAGACTCCGGCTGCTCCCCTTGGATTCCATGCAGCCTGTCCATGAGGTACAAAAACAGCCTGTATTGTGCATATTTAGCACTCTCGGAATTTCCCATCATGACGAATGCAAATTCTTTTTGTGGGAGGAACCCCACCAGGATCCTGAAGCCGGGCCAGCTCCCACTGTGCATATATACTTGCTCTCCACGGTATGTGTCTAGAAACCATCCGAGCGCGTAAAGATGATATGGAGCGGGCGGGTTGAGCTGATCAAGCCCCTCGGACATGATCGTACGTGGGCGCAGTAGAGCTGCATAGCCCTCTGCTGACATGGGCCCGGCTTGATAGATCCAGGATTTCAGCCACTTCGCATAGTCCAGGACGTTGCTTACAATTGCTCCTGTCCCTGTGGTTGGCGCGTAGTTCAGAAACGGTTCGAGCACGAAATGCTCCTTCTCTGGAACCCAGGTATAGCCGCGAACGAGTTTGGATTTGAGAAAAGGGTCGTCCTTAAGATCTTGTATAGCGAAATACGTGTCGTGCATACCGAGTGGATCCCAAATGCGTCGTTTTAGCATTGCACCTAGACTGTCCCCAGTGATCTCCTGTAGAACGTGGGAGACAACCATATACATGTGGTTACAGTAATTGAATGTTGTGCGAGGAGAATATGCCAGTGGTAGATGCCTTAGCTTTCGCACAGCATCTTGCAGTGTCTCATTCGGATTTGCTGCAGTCATGGCAATTTCATGTCCCGGTAATCCAGATCGATGGGATAGCGCGTCCTCGAGGGTTGTATTCATTGTGGCATGGGTGTCTGCCAGAACGAAATCCTCTCGAATCAATGATGAGATTGGCGTATCCCACTGGAGAGGCGATGAGCCATGTTTCTGATCCTCAATCAAAAGCGACACCGCAGCTGCGGTAAATGCCTTCGTGGTGCTGCAGGTTGAAAACAGACTGTCCGTGGTCATTTTCCTATCTGGAAATTCCGCCAGCCCATATGCCTGAAACATGAGGATTAGTGTGTGTGATTCGTTTCAAATGACCCGGATTCACCTTGGAGTAGACATTGTGCTTGTGAACAACGGCAATCGTCATCCCAGGCACTTTCCATTTGTTCAACAACTCCTGAACGAGGGAATCAAACTCCGGCGTTAGAGGGGAAGATCCACACGGCACAAACATGGTGATGGCTATACGTGGGTATGAATGCGCGAAAGGAAGTTGACAAGAGCAAGTGCAAAGAGGGGCAGCACAGTATGGGTGTGAGGGGTTACCAGCTTCCGAGCTGGGAAAGTGGATTACGGCATACATCTTGAGACAAAAGGAAACCCCTTCTATTGTCTAGGTATAGCTACCACTGAAACACAATATGCGACTCTATATACTGTCCTCTGCAATTGTGTTAGTGTTATCGTGGATCAGGAATGATGCACCCCTGCCATCTACATCTAGTATCAGAGTCTCATAGGTCTGATCCCCAGACACTCTGTATCGCCTGCAGCCAATGTCGCCTATGTCCTGCATGTGCTTCGTTATTCGGAATTCGTTGGTACTGGGGTGTTATACTGTGCGACGGTTGTCCGCTGGTCGGGGATGTACTTAGAACAGCTCGGTGTTCGAGGGCTTCCAACTCTTCGTAACTGTTCGCAATGTCCTCGATAATCCCCATGGCCTGCAATCTCCCTGCTGTGACAGGATGCGCGAAAATTGTTGCTGATTGTGGAACTTGCCCCGCTTCTTCGTGGTGAGATGACCATATCGCCTCTCCCATGGTCAGTGTAGCCGTTCTGACACTGACCCTTCTGTCACACGAGAGGGCCAAGCATACACCTGCACCGAAAGCTGGCCCATTGACACTCGCGATGGTCATCTTGGGTACGTGGCTCAATAGGTCGAGTAATCTGGTAAGGGACTTAAGCTCGGGAGATTCCCCGGCAGGCCCTGTCTTTCCATATTCCAATCCCATGCAGAAGAATCTCCCCTTTCCTGTGATGACGATGGTTGATATTGTATCCTTCTCACTGTAATGGTGAACGAGATGTGTCAAGTCGAGAATCATCTTGTGCGTCAAAGTGTTTCCGGTCTTCGCTCGGTTAAGCACAATCTTAACGCTGCTCCCCGAGCGATACACCAGTATGTTTCCGATCTTCTGAGTCGGGACCCATTGTGAGGTAGGCAAAGAAACAGAGGTCGCTTGGTCAAACTTAAGGACCTGTTGCTGCTTCGGCGGGCAGGATCTTTTCGCACCGAGTATCCGTGAAATCCAGATACCAGTTTCCATCAACTTCAACAGGTTGACTCCGGCGTCAACGCCAGCATTATGGAACATGAACACCAAGTCCTCGGTGGCAACGTTCCCTTTAGAACCAGGAGCGAAGGGGCAGCCCCCGAGTCCGGCCACGCTGCTATCGAAAACCCTAATGCCGCAGGTGTATGCTTCCCATGCATTGGCTGCGGCGTGGCCATACGTGTCGTGGAAATGACCCGCCAATCTCTCGACTGGGATACTATTGTCGACAAGATATGTGAGGAGCTCTCGTACCGTTTCTGGGCGTCCCACTCCTGTGGTATCCCCCAGGCTGACCTCATAGCAACCCATGCTCAACAGCGCTTTAACACAGCGCAACACTGCGGAGGGCTTGGTAGGTCCGCTAAAAGGATCTTCGAAGATACAAGATACATACCTAGTCAAGGTTAGCATATGAACCGAGCTTGCAGTTCTAACAGCAAGATGTCATACCCTCTTACAGCGACCCCATTCCGTATAGCCTTCTCTGCGACGCGGGATGCTCTCTCGATACCCTCGCCGACGGAGCAGTTGATATTGGCCTTACTGAAACCCTCGGTGGCGCTGACAAACACGGCCACTTCTTTGACGCCATATTCCAGCGCAATATCCAGCCCTTTAGGATTCGGTACAAGGACTGGAAACCGAAGCCCGTCGTGCTGTTGTAGCTGTTTGATAGTTTGGTCTCGTAACACCTCCCTGCAATCCGCCAGTTGAGGCACCGCCCGCGGCGAGACTATGGACGTTAATTCGATCGTGCTCAGGCCAGACTCCCGGAGTCGCCGGATTAGTTCCAGCTTCACAGAAGTCGCAACCGGATCTTTAATATTTTGCAGGCCGTCCCGCGGCCCGACTTCGACGATGCGCACCGCACCTCTAGGGTTCTTCATGGTGTCTGAGCATGGCAACTATTGAAACGAGAGAGGGTGATCGATCTAAGAAGGAGCAGAGCGACATGGAAAGGGGCAGAACATTTTCTATGTGCCTGTGTGAAGAATCTCACGTCAGACATCCCGATTATATATCTTGCAGTCATCGGGTGGCCGGCAATAATTAAGGTGGCGGCCGTGCCGAGGCAATTCCCCGCAATGGAATGTATGACCTCATCGCCCCCCGGCTTGACGGAAACCCCCATTCGGTAGCCGGGTGGACGGCAGGGGAACATTCTAGTACATGGTTCGGGGCTCGAATGTTGCCTTATGGGGTAACGGGGCCCCAGGATGCTACTCCTAGGAGTACAAGCGCTACTTCGATTTTGCAGGGCTAGAAGTACATACTATGTCCAATTTAGTCAAAACCTGCTGTGTTATTTGTTACAGGTTGGATAAACTTCTGAAAAGGATCTTATAATGTGACTCATATGCTGAAGCATGAAACATCGGTCGGATCCTGGTTGATATCATGTCCGCATGTGGATGCGGGAGGCGCCCCGGTGTAGGTATTGATTAGGTTGTACATGAATAGATGGTGTGTAAGTGATCGATTTTGTTATACCTCCTCTTTCCACAAAATTTATACAAGGTGTGAACGGAAAAGTTAAGTGTGTTCCTAAGTGCTCAAAGAGGAATCTGCGATTAGTCAATACGAGCAAGGATATACCTTACTGGACAAGAGTTGGATTCAGCAAATTTCAAACCATTAGTCATACCTATGTATACGTATTTCCACAGACTAAAAGAGGCGAATCTGAAGAGGCTGTGATGGATTGATGTGTATGTGTGGAGGCCATTGACAATGACTCTATTTAGAAAGCAGGCAGGCTGCGGCGGATACGTGCTGTCTACACATCTTATCTCTGATGTTTCTCTGTTTCTTTTTATTCTATCTTTTGATCTACTGCCAAGGACAACGTAAGAAGAATCTTCAGGATCCTAGATTGGGATTATCACGCAGCTGGACAAAGTAGCATCTCGCTATATGGATGCATTGTGAAGAGCGTTAGATGGCGCATAGAAAGGGGTACGAGTATGAGCACCTTATGGGCAAGCGCTATCACAAAAGGAATTTCAACGAACCTCTGCGAGGGGGACACTGTATGTATGTAGAGGTGGATATCTACACTAGCGTGAAGCGTGGTGCCGCGTTTTACACACATATCGGAGCGATATACGCCAGCCATGGCAGGGTCTAGTCGCCTTTGGCTCCCGATAGGACTCAATGTTCCAGAGTTTGAATATACTTTGTCAGGCTGAATTTCCGAAGTAACGCCGGCAGTGATGGAACTTTATGCCCGAGGAGTCCGCTTTGATTCATATGAGTCAAGCCTGGCAAATTAACCAACCCAGGAGACTAGGACAGTTAGACTACCCAGTAGGTTGCTTCCATGCGCCTCAGTATACATTGATATTCATGACAACACGATATGACTTTTTTTTTTTAAACTCCTAACAGACTATGAGGATATCCACTTTCCCCAAATCTGCTAGCGTGGCTGGATCCGTGGAATCCTGTACTCCACAGAAAGATAAGCCCGATCTTTGTAGTAATAAAAAGCGCTAAGGAACGGTAGGCCAGCCACGCCAAGCTTTGCTGATAGATAAAGGCGATAGGAGATACTCGATTTACTCCGCAGTCCCTCGATCGGTTTTTGGTTCTGGCTAAATGACTGTCTGTTCTGCGGATCCGATTGGCCTCTCCGGCGGTTGTTATCATGATGACCACGATGGTTAAGTTCTATACCACCCCATACTGCCACGATTCCCCGGAATCCTCCCGATTGTAGGCCCTATATATCTCCGCTGGTCCCTGGTCCCTACCTTCCACTGTTCTCGCATACATAGCGCAATGTCAACTTCAAAGCTGCCAGAACAGATCGCGACGAAATCCCCCTCGACTGCGGTCGAGGGGGAGGTCACCTCCGTCGACCTCGCCACCTTGAATGCCTCCATTGATACTCGTGCTGAACGGTCGCTGGTCTGGAAATTCGACCTTCGCATTTTACCCGTACTAGCAATCATGTATCTTTTCAACAGCCTGGACAAGTCGAACCTGGGAAATGCGAAAACCGCCGGCCTAGAGGGTATGTGCTGTGCCTGCGACTGAATCCCTCATGATTAACGACGACTCTCCAGATACGCTCAACCTCCATGGAGACCAATACAATTTAATTCTCAGCATCTTCTTCATCCCATACGTCCTGACGGCCCCGTTTCTTGGAATCCTGGGCAAGATGTATGGGCCGAACCTTGTCCTGCCGTGCATGATGCTCACATTCGGCCTCTGTACTGTCCTGGTGGTCGCCGTCTTCAATTTCAGCGGCCTGCTGGCCATCAGATGGTTCCTGGGAATGTCGGAGAGCGCCTTCTTTCCTCTAGTGATCTACTACTTGACGACGTAAGTCTCTTCGACCCCCCGTGTACATGCTCCCATCTGCTAACGCCGTCGCCCAAATAGTTTCTACCGTCGAGGCGAGCTCGCCAGACGCCTTGCGATCTTCTACGCCGCCCAAAGCATTGCATCCGCCTTCTCAGGCCTTCTATCCTTTGGAGTCTTCCGCATCCATACCGGCCCCCTCGCATCGTGGCGCTATCTCTTCCTTATCGAAGGCTCCGCAACCGTCCTATTCGGTGTGTTCGCGCTCTGGTATCTACCGCGGTCATCTTCCGAGGCAAGCTTCCTCTCTGACGAGGAGAAGACCCTCGCGTACCATCGGATGCAGCTAGACAGCTCGGCGGTCGTAAACGAGAAACTCAACATCCGCGAGGCCCTCCGCGTTTTCAGGCACGGAACAAGCTGGGCGATCCTTGGAATCCAGGTCTGCCTGGGCGTACCTCTTCAATCAGTGCAGCTGTTTCTGCCTGTGATTATCAAGAGATTGGGCTACAACACTGTCAAGACGAATCTGTACACTGTCGCTCCGAACGTCTCCGGGGCGGTGATGCTTCTCATCCTCGCATTCTGCAGTGACTGGACGCGGTGGCGCTTCCCGTTTGTGGCGCTGGGATTCCTTTTCACGTTCATCGGCATGGTCATCTACGTGGCCATCGACGTGGAACGCGATATCAACGTGGCGTATTTCGCCTCGTTCATGATGACATGGGGCACGTCTGCTCCGTCTGTGCTTCTCGACGTGTGGTACAACAATAACATCGCGAGCGAAGGAAAGCGCGTGGTGCTGACCAGCATTGCGGTGCCGCTGGCCAACTTGATGGGCTTGGTCAGCTCGAATATCTTCCGTTCGCAGGATGCGCCAAAGTATATCCCAGCTCTGATCACAACTGCAGCCTTTGGGGGCACGGGTATCATTCTAACCCTTGCTTTGGGCGGGTGGATGATCCTCGATAATGCGCGGAGAAACCGCCGACAGGGCGTTAACGTTAGAGCACTGGATGTGCCGACGGAAAGGCTGAAGGAGGGCCCAGAGAGTCCAGATTTTAGGTGGTTTTATTAGATGTATTATATACCAGGATGTGTCAAGAATACCAATTGCTAATCTTATACACTTACTGCTCTATGCTCATATAAGGCCGTGAGAGATTATGCGGCATCATAAGCCGTATGGAGATAGATACCAGAGTAGACACATCTTTTGGGAGAGGTGGTGGCACTATTATGGACGGTGGCTTGGCAGGTCTCAGTTTTTTCTCTTGCCCCCCTTTCATGGGAGTTATTGAAGGGTAGACACAATGCTCCCGACACTTAGAACCTTCTTTGCTAGGCCTAGGCCTTCTCTTCCTTTTCAAGTTCTTTCTGATCTGCATCTTGAAGTCAACCAACAGTACTCGTCTTTTGAAATCCCCGTCTGCGCTGAATACCTGATCCTCGCGGGGGATATTGGGCGTTTAGTGGACTACAACGCATACCGTGATTTTCTCCAGAAGCAGACAGAACAGTTTCAAGTAGTATTTCTCGTCCTCGGCAACCATGAATTCTACAATGTGTCTTTCACCGAAGGTCTGGAAAAGGCCCGACAACTGGAGATGGAGCCGTGTCTCAACGGCCGGCTCGTCCTCCTCCACCGCAAAAGATACGATATCCCTGGTTCTCACGTCACGGTTCTTGGTTGCACACTATGGTCAAATGTCCCCGACGAATCGAAGGATGTCGTGCGCATGAGAATCAGCGATTTTCAACAGATTACGGGCTGGACTGTCGACGACCATATTGCGAACCACAGGGCAGACCTGGCCTGGCTGCAAAGCGAAATTCAGACGGTCCACCAAGAAAATATAAAAATCACGGACGAACAATCCCCAAAACGATCTGTTCTTGTCGTGACGCATCACGCCCCGTTACTTCGGAAAACGTCAAGTCCACAACACGCTCGGAACCCTTGGAGATTTGCCTTTGGCACTGACATCCTACCACTTACATCGGACGAAGTGAAAGTCTGGGTGTTCGGACACACACATTTCACAACCAGCTTCAGGAAGGGTCGGGTTCAGGTTGTAAGCAATCAGCGAGGATATGTCCTGCCTTGGAGCAACCCGAATGGAGAGGATCGGTTTGATATCCGGAAAGTCATAGACATATCATAAGCTCGACTCCATTATCACCAGGATCCACCAGCATGAATGGGGTCATTTATGTTTTGAGTAAAGTGACTGCTACGACAGCTTAGTGCTTATCGTAGACAGAAGAACGCCATGGATATTGATTATTAACTTGCGCATATGATTACCAAGCAACGTTAGTTACTATTTATTCAAGAACGGCACCTCCTATTATCCAATCCCCAAACCACATACTTACTTTAATACAACGACTATGAAGGCCATCTCTGTTACCGCCCCTCAGCAGGAGGGGCTTGTCACGGACCGAGCTATTCCAACTCTCCGCGATGACTACATTCTCGTCAAAACGGTCAGCGTCGCGCTGAACCCTACCGACTGGAAGCACATCAAGTACCGGGCTCCCCCGGGCACTGTGATCGGATGCGACTACGCCGGGGTTGTTGAGGCGGTCGGGAAGAACGTCAAGAAGTCGTTCAAACAAAGGCGACCGTGTGTGCGGGTTCGTCCACGGTGGTAACGCCGTTCAGCACGAAGATGGGGCGTTCGCGGAATACATCGTCGCCAAGGGCGACATCCAGATCCACATCCCAGAGAACGTCAGCTTCCAAGAAGCCGCTACGCTGGGTGTTGGTATTACTACCGTCGGCCAGGGCCTGTACCAGAGCCTGGGCCTTGCGCCCCCGACGAGTTCCATCTCGGAGGGAACTCCTATTCTGATCTACGGTGGCTCTACAGCCACGGGAACTCTGGCCATCCAATTCGCCAAGCTCTCTGGATACACAGTCTTGACGACGTGTTCTCCTCACAATTTCGATCTCGTGAAGCGTCTCGGGGCCAACGAAGTGTTTGACTATAAACAGCCCAACGCGGCTGCCGAGATTCGCAAACTAACCAACAACAACCTGAGACTAGTCTTTGATACTATTGGGCTCGAATCGAGCGCACAGTTCTGCGACGAAGCGTTGTCTACGGAAGGGGGCGATTACAGCTCCCTCCTCTCGTTGGGGATTGAGCGGGAGAACGTCAAAGACCGCTTTACGGTTGCTTATACAGCCATCGGAGAGGCGTTTGACTTTGGCGATCCAATCCCTGCGAATCCTGAAGACCTGGCGTTCGCAGAGAAGTTCTGGGATCTGACGGCGAAGTTGTTGGCGGAAAGGAAGATCAAGGCGCACCCGCCCAAGGTCTTGCCTGGGGGCCTTCAAGGTGTACTGAAGGGTCTGGAGCTCATGAGACAGGGAAAGGTCAGCGGAGAGAAGCTGGTGTACAATGTGGAAGAAACTCCTTGATTGGGAGTGCACGCATGAGTGATATTGGCCGTGTTCATTGCGTTTATTGTAGTGAGGCGAGGAAGAAATGCTCTTGCATACGTTTCAAAAAAGACCCAGAACTTCATCACGCTCTGGTAAATCTAATGTGGTTGATTGTGTTCCGTTTCCTTGTCATGATGAATGTTTTATTAATTCCAACCCCACGCGCGGCAGCCCAAAACGGTGGTCTCCACCAGCTCCACATTTAAAGCCGAAGCTTATCGGGGTTTGCCTTGACAGCTGCATGGAGTAGATGCATCTTCACAATCACCTCAGACTGCAGAACACAGACAGACAATGATTAATGCCGGTACTAGGTAGCATGACTGTTTAAGAAGACAGTATAACATTGAGCCATGTATTGGTCACTTGTCCATCGCTAAGCCCATGTATAGAATCACAACACCTAGTACTAGGTACATCTTTCCATTGCTGTGCTCTTGCTCAACCAGAGCTATAGAGACCATGTCTGAAGGTAGAGCTCCGTTAATAACACCAGCTACAATTGATATATGATAGCAGAGACATTTATTCGCCACTCCACGGAAAAAGGCTGAGAAAGTGCAGGTCGTGTGCCCACCCCGCATCGTCGATGTCATATTCGCCCCCTTCTCCAAACCCTTATATACTCCAAACATCCACCCTCCCCTGGATTGTCATCCATGCAACAACATACCAAAACACTATGAAATAACAAACCATCAAGCAGTTGACCCACTATCTATCCACAATGTTCCAGATTCTACTAGGTCGCTCTTCCCGACAAAGCTACGGGACGATGAAGAATCGCATGCAGTGGGTATGGCCCCCTGATATTCGTTCTATACCCGGCAGAGTTATATGCAGAGCTAAAACTCGCAGCCCACCCAAAACAGGTCGGACAGAACTACGACTGACGGAAGACATATATCTCCAGCTTCCCTGCGATACCAGGGAGCCGCTTGGGCGACTGCGGGCGGCGGGATTTTCGCGACCCTCGGAGGTGTGTACAGAATGCTGAGGGGGTTCCGGCAGTTGAAGTATTTGTAGTACTGGGTGTCTTTGCTGTGGAGTTGGCTTTTTTACTGCAGATTGTGAGTGTGTCTGGGCAGTTTTGCATCTTGCATAAAAGTATATAATGTTTATAATTGAAGTTTGCTCTCAGGCCAGGATCGGATATCTTCAGGTGTCAGCTTCGGGCCAGAGAACCTATATAGTCTTCGAGATCTATCTATCAAACTGTCCAAGCAGTCATACTACCATGGTGCGTATATCTAGGATCCCCATCAGACAAAACTCATCGCAGCCCTGAGCTGGCCGTGTCTCGACCCGAAAACCCAATCCGATAGCAAAACCGCAATCGATGTCACCTGCAGCATTCACAATCAGCATCAAGCGCAACAAGCAACATACGACAAGTAAACCATACCAGAGATAGATCCACCCCCGGCACGACGACAATATCCAGCACCGGATGATACGACGACTTGTACCTCGATTCCGGCATCAACGCCAGCTTTCTGTTATGCGCAATGCTCTCACGCACTTCAGCCACCTTGCGGTCCCCGTCCACAATATCATAACACGTCAAGATATTCCCATGGCTCTCAACATGCAGCGTGACGCTCGTCTCTGCCTGCATCTTTCCCCCAGCACCGGCCGCATTCTGGAACGTGACCGTCCAGTCCCGAAACGCAGCAGCGCCGACAGCCCAGCGCGGCCCGCCCTTCACCACCGTCGTCGACCGTGTGCCGGGGAGCTTGACCTCCCAGCCGTTCTGGAACCCGACCTTGCACGGCAGCGTGAACAGCGGGAGCCCCGTCACATCGTGGAACTCGCGATATGTGGTGTTTCGTCGACTGTGTGACGAGGCTCCATCGTCTCGTGGGCCCGTCACGATAAACTGGTTGATGCCGCTTTCGTCTTGGATCTTGTACGCCCCCGCTCCGAGGCCCTGGCCGCTGCGGGGTTTGACGATAAGCAGGGTCTTGCGGTCGGTGATGTACTCGTTTCGAATGGCGAGCGGCCGCTCGGGGGCCTTGAGTGGTCGGCGGATTCGGCGGTTGTTCGTGGAGCTCATTTCGAGGGTTCTTGGGAGGATGTTGACCTGAAGGCGTTGTAGGGGTGAGATGTATTGTCCATGAGCGCCGGCACAGCCCCGTGGCTGCGATGGTGAGTTTCCCCGCGCGGAGTCATAGCGCTGGCTGATTGCCGTCCATTCTTAGGTGAGGGCTTTGAAGAGCTAATGAGAAGGGACCCTTAGTGCTGACAGTTCTGCCTAGTACACTTGGTATCCATGTCGAGATTAGGGCTGATCAGTGAGGGGCCAATAAACCAATTATATGAACACGATGCCACTAGTTCGTTGACAGGAGAACCGAGGTAATCGTACATTCCTTGAAGTCATACAAGTCAAATGAGTATATTATCCCCCAATCATCACCTCTACCGAGAAAAGTACTCACCCTACCCAAGATACCGTCCAAAGAACTCCACCAGCTTCGGACCAGTCTCCGTCACATCGTCATAAAGGTCAAAGTGGTTCTTCCCCTCAACAACAAACAGCTCCTTGGGCTCCTTGGCCGCCTGCACCGCCGTCCGACTGTAGTGCAGCGTCTGCGCCCGCGACCCAGCAATCATCAGCAGCGGCCGCGGCGCGATCAAATGCTGGAAATTGAACGAGTCATACGCCACCATGAGATCGTAGCTCGCAAGCGGCACCTTCTGCGTCGACCGCGGATGCCGTCCGCGCTCGGTGCCGTAATACTCCGCCGCATCCTTGAGGAACTCATCCGCATCAGCAGGCACATTCATCGCATCAAACATCTGCGGCGCGTCGGCGCGGGCGCCGTTCGCCGCGCCCGTCCGCCACTGCGCCGCATACTCCAGCGCGCCAGAGATGGCAGCGGCGTCCTCGCGCTTCTGCTCCTGTACGCCGCCAGTGCGCGTCATGCGCCCGACACAGGCTGCGCTGATCGTCGCCAGGGCCTTGATGCGCACGTCCGACTGCATCGCGTAGCTGGTGTATCCGCCCGAGGCGCAAATGCCCAGCACGCCGATGCGGGCCGGGTCAACCTGGGCAGAGAGCGTCGATAGATAGCTCACGGCGCTCTTGATGTCTTCAACCCGCTGGTGCGGATCTTCTAGCCCGCGTGGTTCCCCGCTGCTCTCGCCCTGGTAGCCGGCGTCGAAGGTTAGGGCGTAGAATCCGGCTTGCGAGAGTGCGCGCGCGTACACGGTTGAGGTTTGCTCCTTTACTCCTGTCATTGGGTGGCTGATTACCACTGCGCTGCCTTTGCGATCGGGTGCGCCGGGAGCGGGCGCATGGAGCTCGCCAGCGATGGTCAGCTGGAAGGAGGGGAATTGGACTTTGGTTGGGGCAGTCATGATGGCTTGGAGTTCAAGGATAGGAACGATATCGATATTATAGTGGGTTGGGTATTTCTGTGGGAAGATACATTGCGCTGGGTTTAAATATGTTGGTTGTTTCGGTCATAAAGTTAAAATGTCCTAGGGTCCGAAAATATTCGGGGTTCGACTGCATCTTCGGGAGTAGACAAGTATGTCGGATTTTCAGAAACAGTGAGTTTTTTTATGCTTATGTCTGCTCCCATATGGCCGACGGGTCCAGGTATGGCTTTCAGGGAGAAATGGCATGAGATGTACATTGAGGGCTGGCTGGATTTATACAAATGGCGACTATCACATCCTGTATAGTAGATCGGGATTCTGTCTAGGGACGAACTTATCCACCGTTTGATGTCACCTATATACTCCTCATTATTCGGATGACGTGTAGCTCTCCATTGCGATCACTGGAGTGTACCCGTGGGTGGTATCCGTATACTTCTAATGCACTCCCGAATCGGATACCCGGTTAGCCTATCCAATACCCTTACCCGACACCATCATCTTGTTGAGATGAACGTTGAGTAGTTGGGTATTGGAGACAGACAACATATATAAACAGCTTACATCTTCAGACAAACCATTCTCTTCTAACTATCAAGACCACCCTCCATCGTCCTGTCACAATGCAAGAACCAGTCTACAACCCCGAGTATGTCCAAGACCACACCATCCAAACCAAACTAAACAACCCACCTAAACCTCACCAGATGCCCCATGGCCAAAACCACCACCGCCTACCAGTACAAACTGGTCAACTGCCCCGGAAAGACCATCGTCGGCATGCTGGTCGAATACCCCCCAAACGGAGCCACGCCCCCTCACCGCCACGGAGGCGCCTCGGTCTCCGCCTATGTGATCCATGGCTCTGTCCTGAACAAGATGAACAACGACCCGATGAGGGTGGTGGAGCAGGGTGGCTCCTGGTACGAGGCGCCAGGCTGTCACCACCGGATCAGCGCCAACGCCAGCCAGACCGAGCCAGCGGCTTTTTTCGTCACGTTTGTGATTGACTCGGAGACGCTGGAGCGGGAGGGACCGTCGGTGCTGTTGCAGTATGATGAGGAGTATAAGGATGTTGTGGCGCGGAAGATGAGGGGATAGGACATTGGACCTTAGTAAATAGGAAATGCGCCTATTGATATAATTTATTCCTGTCACTACACCCTATACCTTCCCGCGTGGAACAAAATCGGGTGATCCGAAGATCTGTAGAACTACTCGTATAGCCTCGACATGCATGAACGACAGGCCTATATCCGCTGCAAATAGCCTATCCATCCTATACGAGCCGCAGACATAAATAACCCCAATCGACCCCTCAGATCAACCCCATCACATCCCTTCCACCACCCAAAATGCAAGCCATCCGTCTCCATCCCGCACCCCCCAACTCCACCCCCTACTCCCCCTCCAACCCAGCCCCATCCACCGCCCTCCAGCTCGACAATGACATCCCCATCCCCACCCCCTCCGCGCCGGGCGACCTCCTCATCCGCGTGAAAGCCAGCACCGTCATCCGCGACATGCTCACCTGGCCCGAGACCTACGCGCACGCCTACGCCATCCCCGGCAACGACGTCGCCGGCACCGTGACAGCCGTCTTCTCGCCAACCAGCCAGTTCCGCCCCGGCGATGAGGTCTTCGGCATGGCGCACACCGACCGCGCCGCCACGTGGGCCGAATACACCCTCGTCAAAGAGGACGAGGTCGCCCGCAAACCGGCCGGCTTGACCTTCGCACAGGCCGCGGCGTTGCCGCTCAGCGCGCAGACCGCTTACGAGGCGCTGTTTGAGCATGCGCGCGTTCCCCGTCCGGCGGTGGAGGAGGTGCTCGCTCGGTCTGTGGCGAGAATTGATACGTATGTGTTGATTACGGGGGCTGCCGGGGCCGTGGGTGTGTATCTTGTGCAGCTTGCCGCTGCGGCCGGGGTGCGGGTCGTTGCGGCGAGTAGCTCGAATGAGCGGAATGGGGAGTTTCTGAGGGAGTTGGGCGCTGATGAGGTCGTGGAGTATGGGATGTTAGAGGGGTATCGGGGGCAGTTTGATGTTGTTGTTGATGTGGTTGGCGGGGAGGTGTTGGAGAAGTGCTGGGAGTATGTGGCCGAGACGGGAGTGCTGGTTTCGGTGGATTCGGCGAGCTTTAATTTTGTGGAGAAGCATGAGAAGCGTGGGCTACGGAGGGCCGGGGTGCGTGCTCTGTTTTTTATTGTCAAGGGCAGTCCGGATGCGTTGGGTTATATTGCGGCGCTGGCGGAGGCCGGGGTCGTCCGGCCTTTCGTGGCGGATGTATACCCCCTTGCAAAGGCAGGGGAGGCGTACGACCTTGCGAATGGGAGGTCATATGGGCGTGGGAAGGTTGTTCTTGCTGTTTGATAGTTTGAAGTGTCCATGTTGGTTTATCAATGCAGAATTTACTGGGGTGGATCCTGCGAAGCCTCTCTTATTTCCGCCAATGTATGCCATGATAACTTGAAGTAGGACGCGTAAATCTTGACCTCAGCCTTCCTTTCAACGGAGATCTATATCAGCCAGTCCTGACATGCCGCCATCGCCGATTTCTTATAGATGGGGTCCTTCAACAATATCTGGCGCGTTGGTACTATTTCCATTATGCATGACGCGCTGTTCTTCAGTTGCTGGGCTCTCATGAGGGATTGGATTTTGAATGGATGGCTATTATTATGCGATTACTCTTGGTCCTTGCTTAGGTTGTATGCTCAGAGGTGTATAGATAAGGAGGGGATTACGACCAAGGAGGGGTAATGCGGGGTCAGTCTCACGCATAGGCAGTGGTAGTGCATTGTCAACTCATTCATTCTTCCTTTCCATCTTCTCTTGCGCATCAAGCATTGTTCCTGGATTTGCATATCTAAAGCCTTCTGTTATTATACTGGGTCCCCTTTGACGATGGAAATGACTACTGAAGTCGCCAATATTCTGGTGGACCAGGTAAGTAGGCCTGATACAATCACAAATGTCTCTTGTTACGTGAAGGTAATCAGAAGGAATTGGACAGCTTGTGAGTGATAATCTTAATATACGACAAGTCAATTACAAGAATAGTTTTAACAGCTCGTCATAAGATGGTAAGTCAACTTTTCCTCTTCACTGTTTTCCAGATGTGGTGCTGATAAATGATAGCCCGTAAGTATGCAGACTGTCAAACCCACTACTGTATTAACGCGGTGTATGGGCAGCCCGTGAGTATTCATGCTACACAGACATCCAGAAGGTGACTATCAGGATTATCGGGACGTGGAGCTAAGAGAAGAATGAAAACAGAAAGTAAGTAAACATGAAGGCAGTTGTGGTCAGAATGCAGCCCAGCTAACAAATCACACGTACAGGCTGTAAGTAGCAACCCTGGCTTTTGAAAGATCAACTAGGTATAAAACCAACCTTGACTGAACTACTACTAGTCTGTGAGTGAGAATAATCTATTCGCTATCTTCTAGCAATACCTGCTTGTCTGCTGGGTGCCACCGTCCCATTTGAATAGACATTTGACATATTTCGAACAATTAGGATGTGAGTAGAAGGAGAGCCTGTCCGTAACCGGATTTAATTAACATTGTTTAGCCTGTGAGTGTTGCGAGAGATAACGCGTGAGACAGCTATAGCTATCGTGTTCGGAGACTTACATGACTGCATCTAGAAAGTGAGTTAACTTACATTTTTAGCAAAATTTAGAAGCATAGCATACTTATCCTGTCTGATCTTAAGCCTGTCAGTTACCGTCCCATCACAAGTCAAATTGAGGACCCTAAGCTTTGTAGTAGAACTGCCTAGCTTACTCCAGTATCAGGTAAAAATTTCCGGATTTGTTTGTTATAAATGAGGAACAAGGTGCTAAATCAATCTGCAATAGCCTGTGTGTTCAGTGACCGATTCAGTTGGCCCTCACTGACACTCCTGGGGTTATTTCCAACAACAGCCTGTAAGTGAATTATACCATTTATGACAATGTTATTTCAGTTCTGAGCTAAATAAATTATAATATATAGAAGGTGAGGGGTCTTTGCTTTTTCCCCTCTTTTGTCGTATATGATAAGAGCAATTAGAAAGCTTATAGTACAAAATTTCCAGAAGGTAGGTAGCACAGTTTCTTGTGCTGGCGTGCATTGGATCTGAGCCGCACTGACTATCTCATAGTAGCTTAGCCTCCCCACGGCCTTTGCAGTCGGAATATACGCTGCCTGAGGCGTGTATATAGGGACAAAGGTATGTGGAATCTGCAATAGATGTGAGAGACTTACACGGTGCAGCTAACATTTTCTCACCAATATATGGCCCCTGTATATCCGCTCGGAGTTTATGATTTGGCCATAGCAAGATACATAGCCAGTGGAAGAGTGATGTCTTGCTGCAATCAAGCTTGTAGGTTATAAGGGTTTAGATGCCTTGGCATGGGTTTTTCCCTAATATTTAGGTTTCCCCATGTCCTTAATGCAAATGCAGAGGCTAGTATATTTTGAGGTATTTACATTTCTTTACTTTTAACTGCATAGACTCTTCCATGTAGCATTCCGGTATGACTTCCAGTGGATATTCTCCAAACACATTGAAATGCAACAACTTCTCCTCTACTGGCACAGCGGATATCCCCCCAAGAATGAACATCCATTACCGTATAACTGCTAAATATACGCTTTGCAGCGGCAAAACGAGGCTCTCATTGATGTTAGTTAAGATAGCCCACACCGTGAAGTGAATCTGGCAGAAGAAAACTGAACAGCATCGCTGCTCCACCTCTCCCACGGCATTTACTCCTGGAAATTTAGGCTTAATGTCCTCGACTTCCGTATTGGAACTCCTATATGCTCCTGGGATGTATACATTAATGCTCTTAGAAGACAGCATGACAGGTACGCAACCCGTTGTTCTGAATATCAAAACTATAGCGTCTGGATCTCGATTAATTGTAAGTAGCCGGATAAGCTTCCATATCGCAACAACACCCTCGCCTACGCCTACCGCGGTGGCTCCTCCGGGTCCAACACAGAGGTGGCATTCCTGCAAATTGTAATCGCTGGGTGATGCAACACGACGGTACGCGGAGTAGGATTCCTCCGCTTGTCTACTTGCTGACCTTGGTGCTAGGTGTCTTCTCCTACGACATGGCGGCTAGTGCGGGGATTACTCTGGATCTGCTACATGAGTTGAATACGGCCCTTAATGGTGACTGTTCCGGTCTCTAGGCTGGTTATGTCTCTGCATTGGCGTCTCAGGTGGATAGACGTTGAAATCGAGGAGGACGATGTATCAAACTCTATCCCAGTCTCAAGTTCGAAAAGAACGATGGAATAAGGTATAAATTGAAGCTCTTTCACCCTGAAAACATGAGGAAGCATCAGGTTCTTTCGTTCTACTCTTCACGCGTCCATCCACACTGAGCTAGTCTCAATATGTCCCTTTCATCAATTCATTCGTTACATCTTCACCATGAAGGCCACCCTCTTTACTCTTTCTCTCCTCGGCAGCGCCTTGGGTGTACCGACCAAGACCATCGAGAACCGACAACTCGGCGATCTTTCCTCTCTAGGTACGGACAAGAGGCTTAGGGTGTAGGAGACTGAGGAGTGGCTGGTGTTGTGAAGAGCAGAACACACCACTCACGAGTGACATGAAGTGACCTGGTGGATATAGTCTGACATGCTGCATATACTGGCTTTATTAGGTGGGCCGTAAGCAACAACTTGCTATTCGCAACTTCCATGGCGAGCGCCGATCATTACTTAGAAGTAGGTTCTGCAGTAGAGTACTTTATTCCTCCGTAAACCCTGGCCCCAGGATATGTGGGCATGCGGATTTCATTCCCTGTCAAGAACATCCACTTATATTGTTGCGAAGTTTGGGGGCCAAACGGTGTTTAGCTAAGAAAAAGTAGAAAGTGGAGAGGTGTAAATCTCTTACTTCATTCTCGCCGTTCTGCTCGTGCAAGGGCCGTAGAGAGACAAAGAACAAGAAAGGGGGTTATCCTGGCGAATCTAGGACAAAGTGCCGTGTATAGAGAGGGCGGCCTTCAGGCTCGCCACCGCCACGGGTCCGTTGTCAGATACCTTACTTGGCACTTAGTCGCGGAAGCCCGGCTTTGCGCCGGTCGTTAGAGCTAATTTACTCCCATCACGACAGGTCTGTGGAGCGTCTCTTTCTTACTACAGGGCATACTGGGCGTCTTAACTACGAGTGATATAAGCGACAAAGCTTACCTCATCAGTACTAAAGAGCCCCGAGGAAATCGATACATAAGCCCACCTTGCCTGGCTAGTAGTGTAGGACTGCCCAGAGATTACCAGACCCTGCCCACAATCATGGAACCCCAACTTCCTCCGATACAAGAGTCTCTCAGAGCCTCTTGCGATCGTTGCCGGGCAAAAAAATTAGCCTGCGTCGTCTCCACACCAGAACAATCACAGAGCACGGGCCAGCAATGTGACCGATGCATTCGGGCGAGAACAAAGTGCGTCTTTAGTCGCCGCGCGCAGACACGCAAGGGTAACAGTAGCACCCGACGCACGAACAAGGAACGTACCAGAAACAGCACACCATCGCCGAGGTTCGAGATACAATGTGACCCGCAGCAACCAACGGAGACCGGACGTGCTTTGATATCATCCGAACTACTCCCTGGCTCCTCCATGGATCTCACAACTTTCCACCCCTCTGGAGAACACATATATGGGGAGGAGTTACCACCCATGGACGATCACATTCTCCATGCCTATATCAGCTCTTTCACCAAGGATGAGGAGATTTTCCTTCAGTCGCATCCGCTCGCGAATCACTTTGACATGTCCTCCGTGCCTTTAACAGCCAACAGTAGCTGCAGGTCACCACTTTGGGTGCAAGGTTCCTCCGGGTCTCAAGACTCCTACGGCGAGGAACGGAATCACTCTTCTCAATTCCTGAATGCCTCTGTGCTCATGGCTGAAATTCATGAGCAAACCGTTTTACTTAAAGACGACTCCCGCATTCCGAGCCTCGGTGGAGCCGAAGAAAGCCCCGACAAGTATCCCGTTGGCCCAATTCTGGGGTTAACGCGAAGACTCGCAGCTGAACTACGACACTCGTGGCGGCCAAAGTTGTCGGTACAACAGCAACTCCGACCCACCTCTTCTCTGTCCACGTCGACATACCCCGTGTGTCCGGAAAGCATGGATATCTTTAGCATACCTCGAGGTCAACAAACACCGTCCGAAGTTCTCGATTCCAAGTCAAGTTCCACAGAGATGCCGGACTTGGCAACCGATCTGTTAATGTTGACCGGTTACGCGTCTCTCACGAAACTATACGCGATCGTATTCAGCCAGATCCACAATGTCCTCCAGGGATTGCCGGAATCCGTCTCTTCCTCTCGCCATGCACAGTCTCACGACCTAGGGGAAGCAGAGCTACTACAGCCAGGGGAGCTCTCAGCACCTACTAGTACTTTTGAGGCTTGCAGTAGAGTCTATACAATCGTGCAAATGCTTCTGGATGAGTTTCATGCCGTGGAGGATATTGTTTCATTCCCTCATCGGCATGACCCGGAGTCCTCACCTTTTGAGAAAGAAAACAATTCATTAGAAGAGGCACAGCAGCAGCCGCCGCCGCTCGGGGCGGATCTCAAATCCCATCCAGGCTGGCGGACTCGACAAATTGAAATGGTCAGGGCAGGTTTGAAGGAAGACATGTCTCGCACCTTGAGATTTGGCAGCCAAAGAGAGTGGAGCAGCGTACTACAGTATGGCCATTATCTGAAGGCATTGCTTCGTGAAAGGATGGGCTTATAGAAGAGATATCCTACTAGAGAAACCGCAGGCTTCCACTTAGAAGTAAATAACAGCATTGTTGTTTATGAGGCAGTTGTCTTACAATGATACTCAAAAGTGTTTGAACCACTCTTTTCCGATCCCACTATGCTTCCAATGACCTTAGTGCAGCGCGTAACCAAGCTGCCAGCTGCCCGATGTACGGAGTACTGTTCGGAGGAGATACATACATAGTATCGGGGTATTCCGTGTGGATATTTCCCAGGTTGGAAAGGATCTGCTCATGTGGGGACTTGATGATCTTCTTACTCGCAGCTCCATGGATTCTCCGAGAATGCATAGTAAGTCCCCACTATGCTCCGCGGACTTTCCACGAACCCTCCGGGCGACCTCCGTGATGATTTCATATACAATACAGCGAGAAGGTCATTTAGTATAAAACGATCTATCTTCTCATTCTTTTCCAATCATTGCCATTCAGAGTGTAGATAAACCCTCTGAATATGGGCCAAATGCAAACTCCTACCGCTTCCAGCGGCTCTGAACACACGTCAGTCGGATACCTTTTTTTCTAGTTATCTATTCCCCCCAAAATGGAGGCGTACTGACAAAGCAATAGATTCCGAGCATGGCTGACGGTAATGGGAGCCTTCTTCACTTTCTTTTGCAGTGTTGGATTCATCAATGCCTTTGGTGTTTTCCAGGACTACTATGAATCACATCAACTGAGGAACTACTCTAGCTTCGACATCTCATGGATCGGTTCCTTCTCTACTTTTGCGCTCTTTGCTGGTGCTCCTATCGCTGGCATTTTGGTTGATCGTGTTGGACCGACGGTATGCAAACTATCCTACGCATTTATCCTCCGAGTACCAATAAAACAGACTGCTAAAGGAGATCGACGCTAGGTACTTCTCATATTCGGCGGCCTGGCCATGCTTGTGGCCGTCTTCATGACTTCACTTTGTCATCAGTATTATCAATTCTTTCTTGCGCAAGCCGTGCTTCTGGGCGCCAGTATGTCTTGCCTCTTCTGTCCGGCAATCGCGACGGTCTCTCGGTATTTTCACAAAAACAGAGGGCTAGCCATGGGGGTGACAGTGGGAGGATCGTCCACCGGGGGCGTGATCTGGCCGATTGTGCTAAATGAGCTCCTCAATAAGGATGGCGTGAGTTTTGGCTGGACGATTCGCATCGTCGGGTTCATCATGCTCCCACTCCTCGTTCTCGCAGTCTTGACCGTCAACCCACCAGCGAAGAAATCCAGCGAGGATCACCATCATCGTATGTTGACCGAGGAAGAGGAAAGGAATCAGACAGACGAGGGATATGAAAGTCAGGAGGTCCTCCAAGGGGAAGTCAAGGCACACAAACGGGGTCTCGTTTCGCTTCTGAAAGACACCACCTTCCTGGTGCTCTGCTCTGGGCTTTCCATTTCCTACCTGGGCATGTTCAGTCCATTCTTCTACGCAACCTCCTACGCGCGGAGCTTGGGCCATTCCACCAGTTTCGCTTTTTACTTAGTTTCTATTGTCAATGCTGCATCCCTCTTTGGCAGAATCCTGCCGGGGATTCTGGCAGATCGCTATGGGCATTTCAATCTCTGTGGTACGGCAGCTCTGCTGTCTGGAGCTATTGCGCTTTGCTGGACTGCAGCAAAGAGCTCCGCGGGGCTTGTTGTATGGTGTCTAGCATATGGACTTACGTCCGGTGTACGCATCCCCTCCCCCCTCAACCAAAACTACAAAGCTGTGAATTTTGCTAATCCTAACTCGCAGGCTATTATGAGTCTGCAGTCCGCTTGTGCAGCTCACCTGGCACCCCACGAGCTCCACGGCACAGCAGTAGGATTTCTCATGGGATCAGTTGCTTTGACGTGAGTTTAGCTGCTTCTCCCTCTACCCGTCATTCCTTTAAACAGTTCTATTGCTAAATTACATCCATTTCTAAAATCACAGAGCTTTGTTCGGTACCCCCATTAGTGGCGAGCTGGTCGGATCTTACGGATATCTTGCCTTGTCAATGTATGCCGGGGCGACCCTCGTTGTGGGTGGCCTTCTCATCTTTGTGGCTCGGTTCAAATTGGAGAGGAGAGTATTTGCACGGCAATGATTTTTCTTCGCTTCCCTCACGCAATGACCCTGGGAAGTGACTATTCAGCCGGGCACCCTCTCTTTCTCTCCCACTCGTCTTTTTGTCTTCCCATGGTGATATAGAGCTACCGCGATCGGTATTTAGACCTGTTAGAGTACCTACTCCGAGTAGGCAAGCTTACGTGACCTGGTCGCATTGTCTACCACACAACGCCTACTCTCCCCTCAGTGACCTCCAACTACATAGACTAGATAATAATAATTCAAGAAATGCCTGAGTCTCATAGTTTACCTTGTAGCTAGTGCTCCTTTCGTGTCAACCAAAACTATGTGAGCTGAAGGACCCAGCGTAAAATGTTGAGTTCGGCTAGGTAGGTATGGCCAGTCTCTATCCACTTCTTTGAGGCCTGGTCACTGTACTTCTCATGTAAGGTATAATTGTATCTTCTAGACATCTAGAACATCCTTGAATTAATGACGCCTGCCATGTTGCATCTCTTAGAACTTGTGACGTAGAAGAGAAACCGAAAATGACTACTGGCGTGAAATCGGTTGATGTAGGCGGTCCCACACAATACCATAGAATATCCAAGAATCGATATCTATTTTCCTTGCCCAGCAGGTTCTGCAATTCTGCAAACAAACACCAGTGAAATCTATTCTGACTGGACAAAGCAGCTAGAGTATCACTCACGCACACGCATTGAGAGAGCGAATCGGAGTAAACACAATCTCCTCCTCTGATGTCACCGTGAATCGGTCCTGTCTGGTGCCCTTCTCTCTACCAGCCGGCTTCATGAAATACCGCTGCACGATGGCCACGGTCACCATCTTGAGCATCATGTCGGCAATGTTCTTCCCGAGACACCGCCCGCGGCCAATCCCGAAGCGCAGCAAGCCGTATCGATATGCCGTGGGCGAAATGTCGGCGAACCGCTCGGGGCGGAACTGTTCGCCATCAGAGCCCCAGATGGCCGGGGTGGTGTTGAGGCGTTTCCAGTCGATGACCACGGGCGTCTGGGCAGGGATTAGATATCCTCCAATGACTTTTTCGGCTGCTGTTTTTTCGGGCAGGGAAAACCCTTTTGTCCCAGGTGGTTTGTTAGTGGAAACGCATTGCTTGCGAGTTAAACCGACCTCGGGGGCATTCCACTTACATAGCGCCGGACTCATGCGAACAGATTCCATTGCGGCATAATGAAGAAGGCTTTCCTTCTCCAACACATAATCTCTTAGGTTATAGGATGGTTGGCTTTGCTTTGCGGCAATTTCCTCCCTCACGGATGACTGGAAGGATTGATTGGCCGCGATGTTGATGAGGAGAAATGCAAGAACAGTCGAGGTCACGTCGATGTTTGTAAATAACAACTCGTCCATGGTTTCTAGGAACTGCGGTGTATCAATTTTTAGTTTAGCCACACAAGCCGAAGGAAAAGGTACCCAGGGTGTGTTGCTAGATAGAGACGAACCTCAACTTTTGACATCTTTCCAGATTCAACACCTTTGTAAATGCGCTCAGCCGGGCAGTGGAGCTGCTTCTATACATTCGATGTGAGCTACACAGTTTCTCTCTTCATGTTAACAACTACCAGGGCTCCGTCTTGCCATACCGTTCTTGCTTTCGCAATAATATCGAGATTCAACTTTTCCCACCTTGCTTTGAATGTCTCCAGACGACGTCTCGACTGTGTAGGAAGGATATTAAAGATTTTCGAGACGGTGAATCTGCCGAAGAAAGCATCGAGCATCACCTGTTCATGGAGATCATTCAAATGCACCAGATCTTGGTATGTCTAGTAGTATGAGTCAGTCAGCTGTAGCAGCTTCCATCCTTTTAGTTCCCTCCTATGGAGGAAATATACTTACCTCATCGTCGAGCGCGTCTCCATATACTGTCAACCCCGTCAAGCGGAAAGGAAGATACCGACAAGCTTCAGTGGGATTCCGATAAAATGAGCCCGGGGTGGCCTCTTGTTGATGAAGGTCACCGCCCTTTGACAGTGTAAGGGCCCACTTCTCGATCTCCATCGCGAACGTATCGGCCATATTCATGCTTGCCAGATGCGAGAATTCGGGCTCGAAGTGAGCGCGCATCACGGTCCATTTTTGCCCTCCTTGAAGACCCAGGCATTGACCAAGAAGTCTTGTGAAGATTGATAGTTGTCAGCTGCCATTGCCCACGAATCAAGAGATTTTCAAGCCTGGGAGCGGATATATTCACCGTCCGAAATAATCGCCGAGATTCATGTTGACCGGCTTCTGGTGATCTGGGCAAAATAGCAGATTAGAATGAATGTTTACATACGAGACAGGATTGCCGAGTGCGGAAAAAAAAAAAAACCTTTTGCATCCTTTCTATAGAATTCTCGCAGGTGATCCGGGTGTGTGATTACCAGCTCGCGAGTCCACCATCCATTTCGCATTAGGTATGGCTCTTCGCCCGCGAGTTCGCTCCCTTCCTGGGACAGTTCACGGCTGCAAGAGGTTCTTCCTTAGCGTCGGATCTCAAACCACCTTTTCTGTCCTTGATTACCTACCCGTGAGAGAACCTTAGATACCGAGTATCCTTCTTTAGTTGCTTGATTCTGCGACCTTGACTGTCTTTGAAGTCATGGCTGATCTGTGATGGCGCGAGTCAATGCCCGCTTCTTGAGCAGGTGGGCAAAAGCGAAATACTTACATTTCTATAATATCTTGTGTAAATAGCGATCAATACGACAAGAATCGTCGTGCCGAACAGAGAATGCATTCTCTGGAGCCAACAAAGCAAACTTCTGTGAGGAAAGTTTTTCTCGAGAAGGGAGCGCTGAAAGCGTGTATAAGCCAAGGGAGTTCAAAGACCTAATTTATACAGCGGAATTCTTGGCCTCCTCTATTCGGCTGATTATACCGCCGAAGGAAGAGAGAGAGTGTGTGTGAGTGAGATTTTCTCAGGGAACATTTTCATACACCCCCTCGGAGGATACTCACGCTGCCTTACTCTCCGAGTTTGCCTCCATATGCAGTAATACTACGGAGATTCGCCATCAAGACGACGCACATACACGTCTTAGTGCTGAGTAAACATCCATGCTTGACTCCACTCGAGAACGATGTTTTCTCCGAGTTTCATATAGGATCGATTCTAGACCGTGAGCTAGACTTGGTTGGCTCGCTCACAGTGGGTGAATTCGGAGAGTGCACACACCACCGAGAAATTCCGAAAGTTCCGCGCACATTTATCCGCTAACCTGCTATACTCCGTACTCTGTTGACTCCGGTGATCTTGTCAGCGTTGGTAGTTACTCCGTGCGTGCCTTGTCTAGTGGAGATCATTGGAGGCGATGCGCGGCATGGTAAATCGGTCTGTCGCTGACCAGGAGCAAACACGATTCTCTCCAGATGTACGTATCCGATTAGTCAAATGGATCTGGTGAAGACGGAATAGAATGAAGGGAGCTGCGGTTGAGGCTTCTGTCTATATATCGAGGCAGGACACCCAGCACTAGGTTCCATATAGAATCAGTCAAAGCAAAGCACTTCATCTGAAACAATCCGCTCAAAGTGATTTTTCCTACGAGAATTCTTCGAAGCACAACTTCTCGATTGAGAAAAATAAGAAACGAAAATGGCATACTTTCTCTTTCCTGCAACAGCCAGCGCACCCATGGGCCTTCGCCCGCGAAATTGTTATGGCACCGTGCTCACGGACATTGTTCGCGCATCCTCCGACGCCATCGACGCCTTAACGCTTTATCGCCGTCTGATATTTGCTAATGATGCCTATGTTGATAACGCTGGGTTCACTGCGTTTGATGCACATGTCGGTGACACCTCCTGCCAGCTGCGAGCTGGGATGCTCCTCGACTTGACCAAGAAGCATAGGCACTGGGCCTTGAGCAGCAGCGACAAGGAAGCGTCCTGGCTCGATAAATACATCGAACGGCTCACCAGCGTGCGCGATGGAGCCCGGAAGATGCTGGCCAAGCTCACCATCGAGCGCGTTCACCCGGAGAAACTGGGGATTGGTCCCAAGAAGGATAATCCGGACGGCCTACTCCGCCGCTTGGGATGGGACGAGCAGGAAATCTTGAGTTCGATTACGACTCTCTATCCAATATCTCAGGCAAAAATGCCACGGGCCCACGAAGGCTGTCTAAACGGCTGGGATTTGACGGAAGGGCAGCAGGGGCAGCAGGTCACTAAGTGCCCGGAGAATGCCTTGTGGCAGATTCACAATGATCCGGCCGTACTGAGCAGCTCTATTGCTCACCACGAAGACAGAACCGTGGTGATTGTGGATGATATCGACGTCAGGCCACGAGCGGAAACGGCCTCGCCGTCATGTGAATCCACGGCATCATCCAACGAAGGAGTGGATGGGATTGAATGGAATCCACTATGCGCATGGACGATGGTCCGCTTCCTCACCTACTGTTTTGTTCTTTCCAAGTACAAGGGCTTCCGTCGGTTCCAGCACGTTGTGGGGGCGCGCATCGATCCTCAAGCAGCGATCCAGGCAGGTGACGAAATGGTGCGCGATGTGTGGGACTATAGTCTCCGCGACTACAAGTATTCAAAAGCCACTCGCCGAATCGAGCTGGAGTTTGGGCTCTTGCAGAGCTGGGTGTCGAAATTGAGTTCTGCATGGCTGTATGATATTGCAAAGGCATCATCAGCCTCGCCTGGAATGGAAAGGTAAGCCTCCCGATGCAAAGCCCCCGTTTCGTGGCAGGAAAGGCTAAAGAAACTGTTATCCTGATAGTTTGATGATGCGTACCCATCCGGACCTCTTCAACCAACCTAACCTGCATCCCGACGTATGTCGGCTATTTGGCGATAAGAGAGCTATGGGGAAAAGACGGCGATGCCTTAATCCTGGTGGACCGGCATTTCTGTGATAGCGGTAAAAATCCCCAGCAAACGTTGATCCAAGCATTAAACGGAATCGAGAAGAAAACTGATGAACTTTCAGGTTACCACTCCAACTTTTTCTTTGCCACGCTCACGCTCGAAAGCACGAATGCAACAACGGACCGAGATGGTCTCCCGCTACCCCTCAAGCAGAAAGTGACATGGAAAATTGAAAGGATCAGCAAGGACTGGCTCCAGCAGCATGGAGATCAAAACCATCCGCACGTCATCATCATGGGAAACAGCATAGATGGTTCCTATGAGGATTACATGACCGCCTCAAGCACTCGTCAGCAACATGAGGAGCACAACTGCGACGACAACGAAGCGCACATTGCCAAATTTCTGGTTCACGATCACGATCGGCTAGCACTGTCCTTTTTTGCGAGACACAGGCACTATACGTTTGATCTGAACAGCTCCAAGACTAGTATTGACGTCGCCGGTGAGCGGGAAGAGGTCGCCGAGCAGATGGAACAGGTCTTTCCTGGATTAGCAGAGCAGTGGAGCATTTCCGACCAAGAAGCAGAGGCGATGGGTACTTCGGGCGGTTCATTGCACATGTTTGCCTGGCAGCATGCTTTCACGGAGACCAAGGGCCGGATTGCAGAATTGGTTTCCACAGCGAAGGACACGCTGCCGATTTCGGCTCCACTGGATAGGATTCACTGATATGGCCCCAGAAGCAAGAACTATTAGTTATGCGTTGGGAGCCTGTACATAGTGAATTATACCGAGAGCACGCTTGTGCTATTATCTGAAGCGGTCTTTTTGTCTTGAATGGAGGTTCATCATCTCGTTTAGAACGTTTGCTGTTTTTATGATTTGGAGGTTCCAAACTCAAAGACCAAAAGATATCTTCAGTTTATCTGGAAAGGCAACGTGGGGACAGTGTAAAAAAGCAACAGACAGTAGACCAGCACTCGGTTCTTACCAGTGTACCACCGAACTTGGAGGAGCACGATGACTACAAGCCATCCACTGAGATTGTCTCCTCTTTGGCTTAGCAGCCAGGTCCACTTTGCAAACAAGAGCCCTCCCATTTAGCCATAGAAAACAGCGCCGCCGGCATCCGTCATATGGTGAGAATCCAGATCATCGAAAAGAGAACCCCAAGAAGGCCCGTCTATGTTTTGGCCTAAATCGATGTATTGCTGCATCATGGCATCAAATTCCCAGTCCTCAACATACGGTTGTTGTTCATGTTCTGTGCGGGCTGCGGGCTGCTGGCCACCACCAATGGCAGTCGTTGTTGATGTGTGTTGGCCGATAGTGTTAGACAAGGACCCGTGGAAATCGCTTGACGGATCCGAAGATACTTGACTGATTCTGCCATCAGCAGGTGGCACTACCACCGTGAGAGGCACAGCCGACGACTGGCTTTGTTGTAGACTTTCTTTGTGTTTCTGCAGGATTTCCATGAGAGGGTGAGCCAGTTTCGCGGCCATGGCGGAGTCTTGTTTCAAGCTGTCGAGCATCCTGCATGCTCGGGTGACTTCGGCTTGCCGCTGTTCCTCGAGCCCTTCCACTTTGTTGGAGCAGAGGTCCATCACCAGAACAACAGCGGCCATGAAGACATGGTGTACCACGGTTGCAAGCCTGGCGGGGATTAACTCTAAGTCGTCCTTCTTTTCCTCCAACTTGTAGCAGATCTGCAGAACCGCACGGGAGGAGTTTAGGCAAGCATTTCTGGAAAACGTATATTTAGGATCGGTGAATCCCGCTACCACGAAAGGCTGGTGAAGTCTGCTGCGTCTGGTATAGATCCCAAGGTGGATCAGATAGCGCTGGAGGGTAAGCTGGGGCGCGGTATACAAGAGTTCGCTCCCCTGGTCGAGCCGGAAAAAGGCCGGCAGACTTCTGATCAAGTCCTCAAATTTGCCGTCCAAGAAGATAACCTGCTCGTAGTTCGCATTCTCGATCATTCTAAGGGGGGACAGGGAGTCAACCACCGCGCGACAGACTTCTGCTAGCCGAACACGCTCAAGGAAGTAGGCGGTAGATAACATTGAAACATTTCCAGCGTCCTGATCACAGCTCTCGAGATAATGCGGCTGATTCACATGCATCTGTGATGGCTGAATAGAATAAGTGCCCTCCTGTGGGCCGGGGGTGAATGCCAGTAACCTTTCTCGCGCTTTAGCATCGGTAGAAAAGCTGATCAGTAACAACTGCACCTTACCAGTCTGTGGCAGCAATGTGCCACCATAACCTTCTCTTTACGTCAGCTTCAATCTGACTTGGCGGTGGATCTGTCTCTCCTTTCCTTCGGGGACTATCAGTCTTGTGTAATGTGAGATCTCGGGCCATCATGATCATGTTGCCATGAAGTGAACGGAACATGGGTGAGAACCCTTGAGAATTGTAGATAACGTAGGAGATAACGATCGCGGCCTGGAGACCTTCAATCGAGGCAGCAGTAGTTCGCTTCGAGTACTCCAGAATATCCAGCGCTGCATTGCTCCAGATCAAGGACATGGAGGCAGCTTCTTTCGCAGATAAGAAGATCAAGCATTTGCTTCTCTGTGGTCTCCACAGATGGCTGGCGCTAGCAAGTATGCTGAGTAGCAGCGCGATATCTGCCACTTTGCTTTGAACCGGTGTATCCGGGGGCGTATACACAGCGTCTATCACACGCTGAAGGGAATGAGGCTGGAAGACGGGATGGAGGTACTGGACGTTGTCCAGAAAGTACTGGAACAGATTTATGGCCTCATCTCTGGTAGGCAGCTGAACACTGGGTGGCCAAGGGGCTGCCTCATTCTGCGTCGCCGACACATTCTCCAGTAGCTGGCTTATAGGTCCAACTTTGAATGGTATGTTGGCTACATATGCTCTAAACTGGCGGCCGGATTAGATGCAGGGTCAGCGCAGTAGGCATTGGCTGCCTTCACAACTGTAGAGAATCTTACAATCGGGTTCTCACGCGTGCCAATGTCTTCAAGCCATCTAGATGTCACTTCATGCTCCTCGTTGAAAGCGAAACCTGGCATAACCGTGGTAGTCAATGCCCCACGAATGGCTGGTACCATTGCAGTAGGAACAGAGGGTCTGTCCTTCTGCTGACTAAACACCGCCTCCTCAAGCCTTTCAAGGCGAGCTTGGAAACCCGCGCTTTCAGCTGCTGTGGGTAAAGCTTGTCTGTGGTCCGTGCCGTCCGTGGATGTTGAGCCCGGGTTTCGTGCAAGGTATTCACAGCTGACGCCACGGGCGGAGCAGTTGGAACAAGGTCGTTGGCGGTTGCATTTGAGTTTCTTCAGCCGGCACAAACGACACGATACCGGGTTCTGGCGTGTGCGGCGAGGTGGATGACCATTAGACTGGACGGGATCCATCGGCGGCATTTCTGTGGATGAAATACCTATTCGGGACAACCGCGAGATTTGGCACGAGTGAGTCCTTATTCTTATTCCCCTGGAAGACGCAATTCCTGATTCCCACTAGCCACTAACCCGATCAGGGAGGCGGAACAGGAATCTCGGAGGTATGACTGTACAATATGCACCTACCCCGTACGGAGTATACCTTACCTAATGGCTGACTCCAAAGAATATTCTTCTTAGTTCCATCTTAGATGTTCTAGAGTATATAAGTAGAATTTTCGTGCGATTCCTATAATTATAGAGAGTTTATCGCGTATATAAATTAGTAAGAATAAAGCATAAATAGATATAGATTTTAACTAGATTGGACGTTGCGGGTAGAAGCGGTCAGATATCTTTCTAGGGATAAAGGCGGGGGCTAGGAGAGTTACTCCATAGAAGAGAACGTGTTTTGCGTCGCGGTATTTACACCAGAGCCAATTCTGCTTATGCCTAGTGACACTGGAGTCAGGGATGGAGTCGGGATTGACGGTATGAGACAACTAGCCACGGTCGCCATGATTATAACCCGTTGCTCATCCCCCACGGGAGGTCATCCAGATCCCCAAGATTATACCAGCCACATAGATCGTCAATAGCGCCAAGCGCAGCACCCAGCTCGTTGTCGTCCGTCGATAGACCGCCGTTGGTCGAATCTAGGCTGGTTCCATCCGCGCCGAAAGACGGCAGTTCACTCGATCCAGGAGTACTGTGATAACTGGCACTTTGTCCAAGTCCCAGTACGCACTGAGCAATCGTTTGGATTTCGCGCACATTCCTCGCCGTCCGCGGCCAAACCTCTCCCAGCACCTTGAGACAGCCGAGCGTCATCCGGATCTGATCCCTTGCGATGGCGAGGTCCTTCCCCTTGAAAAGAGCACTGCAAGCCGAGAGGAGCGCCAGCGTCCCTTCGCTGACCATGCACGTCGTGAAGGGTGTGTGGTGGAATCGGCGGACTGGCAAAGCCAGCAGACGGATCTGGGCCTCTACCGCCCGCAAGACTCGGGCCGTATGGACGTTGACCAAATCAGGAGTGGGTGTATCCAGCTGCGGTTCCCGGGCACAACTCGATACATTCTCTATGGCGTTGAATTTGAGAGCAGATAGTGGACGGTGGAGGCCGATGGTGGACCTAATCAGTGAGCGGATGTTTCGCGGAGGAAACGAGAAGCTTACACATGGGTCAACAGCTGCGCTTGGAAGATGAGTTCGTCAATCTCGCCATTCTCATTCATGACATTTTTGCGTTCCGGGGGAAGTAAAAGTCGCCATCCGTCCAGGCTACAATCGACCGCTTGGATCAGATGTGTCGAGTCTTCCGCGGCAGCGACTTTGGGAGTTATGGATATGGCGGCTGCGGCGCACTGCACGGCGCCAATAAGGTACGCGAAGGAGGAGAAGTGAACATTGTTGGGGAGAAATTCGCGGTTGTTAAATTCCTGAAGGGTTTTGGGAGTCGGAATGTTCTGCAGCGTGGCGCATGAGCAATCTCGACAAAGGCCAATAGGGGGCACGGTATTGATACTCACCCCCGACTCATAGTCTGCCTCGTCGCATGGTAATTCCGCCGTCACATCAATGTTCATAACCCGGAAGTTCATCGTCCCCAGGGTGCCAGCGTAGTACGCGTCCAGGATGTACAGCATCCACCACGTTCGTCTCCAAGATTCCATCTGGACCTGGTCGTCAGCTCCCTGGGACGCTGCGAATTCGGGCCGGAACATCTGCAGGTCAATGGCGAGTTGAGCAGCCCGGTCCATCTGCGATTTGGCTTCGGCCTTGAAGTCATACCAGAACAAAGCTACGGAGTACAAGATTCGGCATTGGACTTGAATCGGATCAGACGGTGACAACGTCGAAAGAGATGTTTCGATATCGTCTTTCAGGGGAATCGACCATTCTCGCGAATTGTAAATATTTCCCATGAAGCGTAGAGCCGCCACTAGCGGTGCAAAGCCATGTTGACTGGTCGGATCTTGATATAGTCTTGTCAGGTGTTTCCGTGGCAAGACGAATGGATGACATATGTGAAAATTCTTATAATATGAGTCGATCAAGGGGTCACTCTCAATATTCCCCAAGCGAACTGTGCTCTCTGCACGCGGCACGCAGTCCGTACTGCTATCCCCGTGATCGATATCGACCATATCAGATTCATGGCGAACATCCACCGGCAGAAGCTCCGTCGTACACTCCTCGGCACGAACTGCTGTAGCCCGTTCAGAGCTCGAATGATCCACGGGCTCAGTATATACTCCCGAAGCCATTCGTTTGCGACGCTCCGCCAACGCGGCGCGGTCTAATCCCCCGCGCCGTGATCGCGCATAGCTGCACTGGTTGCCGACCTCGGAACAGCGGCCGCAAGATGGCCGCTTGCCATCACATTTCGCGTGGCGGGAGCGACAGGGCAAGCAAGCCAGCGATGAGCGTGTCGCCCGACGATTCTGCGTGGTTGGAGCCGCATCCATGAGGTGATTCTAGGAATGCTTACAGACGTACTAGTGCGGTGACTCTGTCAGATCGGCGGGTAATCGGGTATCCGATTACCCGCTCATCCTATGACGTCAGTGTTGTGAGTCGTTGAAATACGGAGTGAACAAGCATTAAACAGCCGGGGGATTAATAGGTACTTTGATATTCTAGGCAGGTATACCTAGTTTGTTGCTAAGGCTACTGTCATGGTTATAGAATCCCCCAATACATAAGGTAAGTCTAATATATATACATGTGCTGTACAAAAATTCAACTTATCTTCTAAACATGCCACCAAGAAGTTCAATTTCAATACCCCAGCCAAGCGCTTACCATTTCCACCGGATTTCTGATACTGAAATACCCCGAGCTTTCAAGGTTGGCGCGAAGCTCGCGGAACTTGCTAGTCTTCGCCTTCCGTTCGAACAAGATGTCAATCTCCAGATAACTCAAGCCGAAGGTCTCTGGGAGTCTCCAATAGCACCAGACGAGGCACACGGCTGTCGTTCCAGCGAAGAAGAAACAGGATTTTCCCTTCCAATCCCACGCATCGGGACTCAGCATATGTGGGGTCATCCAATTGATAAGAATGCCGGCTAAATTATAAGCTGTTCGAGCCAGAACGACTGTTTTGACCCGGAGTCGAGTGGATGGGATTTCCGCGACCAGAACATAGCACACGGGCCCAATAGTCATATCGTAGACAAATGTCAGACTCAAAAGCAAGGACCCGAGCGTCCAGAGCTGGGCACGGGATGTCGGAAGAGAGCCGACAATGCCACCAGCCAATAGAATAGCTAGTAGGGCTGAGAGGCCGCAGAGATACAGCCGACGACGCCCGAACCGGGACAGAAGTGACCAGGAGATCACCGCAGCCAGTATGGCTATACCGTAGATGCCGACGGATAGGTTGAAGGCGTTTTCGACACTGAACCCAGCCTCCTGGTAAAATGTTGACGCCCAGCCCATTAAGCTGGTTCCACATACCTGCTGTGCGATCCAGACCATACAGGTAATCTCGGTTCGTCGGCGATCCACGCCCTTGAAGGCATCCAAGTATGAAATGCCTCTGTCGCTTTTTTTGAAAAACTTCTCAATCTCGTTGGTACGATTGATCATCGCCATTGTCTGATCGAGGTTGACCTTGCCCTTCCTGGTCAGCCTCGTCAGAGACCGTTCGGCATCATGTTGTCGCCCGTGTCGGATAAGCCACCATGGAGATTCCGGCGCAAATATGACCGCCACCAGGATAGGGAGACCAATTGCCCACTGGAGGGCAAAAGGGATCCGATATGACCACTGGGAGGTGTTGTCGATGAGACTCCTCAGTATTCCGGTAGCCATCAGCTGTCCAAGAATCCAGCAAAGGTTGACATTGCTGAGCAGATAGGCACGTAGCATGATAGGCATCACCTCGGCGGCATACGTGGTCGATAACGTTTGAAAGACGCCCCATGGGATCCCGCATAAGATCTGCGCCGCCAACAACATCCGGATATTCACCGCAAAAAAGGCCAAAAAGATACTCAGTAACAGAAAGGCCAAGGCGGAGACTATGGTCCAGCGATATCCGATCCGATCGGCGAGATAGCCATTCGCTAGTAGCCCGACTATCTCGCCAGCCTCTGCTGCAGTCGTCAACCCAAATTGCCATTTTGAAGAAATTTGATACCCGGAGTCAGGTGTTGGTGTTCCATATCGTCGTTTGAAGGCCGGAAAAGCGAAGAAGTTAAAAATTAGCAGGGTATCAAATCCTTCCATTATGAGGGTGGAAGACAAGATAAACGACCAGGCTATAGCCTTGGGGTACAAGCGACACCCATTAAGGAAAGTCAGCTTCTGTTCTGCGCGAGTGGCCGCTTTTGCTGGAGACTCGAGTGGTTGCAATTCAGGCAATGCTGTTGCGAGCTGTTCGGCAAAGACAGCGGTATCAGTTCGACTAAGTGTCGTGCTGTTGGGGGTACTTCGTTCCGTGTGCGAAAAGGATGGAAAGGATTCCATTCCGTCCAGGGGCTCGTTTCCTTTACCCGGCTTTGCATGAGGCTCCATTATGTGCGGAGGATGCACCTCCGAGAAGGAGTGCGAGTTTGTGATGATACTCTCTTTAGAGGCCGACATCACAACTTTGTATGTAACGGCGAGTTAAGGTATCCTTAAAGCTCACATGTGTCATTGGAGCACCCGTAGCGCGGTTGACTTCGCTGCTTTATTCTCATGTCAATTAATATCGGAACCCGAAGGACTGGTAGGTAGCAGGCTAAAGTATAATAAGCTTAAGGCGTTTGAGGTGGACGTGCTGCTGGATTGGACGGTCATCTGGAGGTTGCTCGCCACTCCATAGAACAACCCAATAATTCCCAGGCCGACAAAGTCTGACCGTCCAAGCCTGTCGTTCGGGATGTGGTCTGAACTTTGCACTCTCGCAAGCCTCCCCATGGACAGTTAGACTATGGGGGTGGATTCCGCGTTCTGGAATGGTCTAGACGCCGGGGAAACCTTAACAATGGCTTTCGACCACGGCAGGGCCCTTGTTGTCCTAAGGTAGGTACAGAGCATACTCCGTACATGAAGGTCACTCTCGTCCTGTCATACGATCTGTCAAGACGTCATTGATACCCGTAACCAGTGTCGATTTTGGAGCCGCCGCCCCACCGTTCGTTCGTCAGATAACCTCCAGCTAGCAATGCGACTCATCGGAGTAAACAATCGTGAGTCGCTTGGGGCAGCAATGCACGGTCAAAATCTACTATGCGATTATATCGTGGAGAAGGGTTTCAATGCCGGGTTCATTGCGATGGATTTGACGAAAGCCGTCCTAGATCTTGTAGCGACACTGAACTCTGATATGTTCATGGACACATTGGATGATGCCAAGCCTTGAATATTGAGACCGGGGTAGGGAAGAGCGAGTACCAAGGGATCAACGCCTCCCCCCAGAGGACTTTATTAAAGTGCTTACTAGCACTTTAAAGACGGGTACTAACCTCCGCGACTTATCGGGTATCGACCTTAAGTACGTAAAGACTCCGCCACCTACTGTTAGGTTAAGCAATACCAATGGTATTCGTGCTTGATTATCGGTGGATCCCATCCCTAAAACCCAGAGCTAGAGATCTTAACCTCCTACTAGTAAGTAAGTTAATTCTCACAGTTCTAAAAGCTCGGTAGAGACTACGGAGTGGAAATGTTCTAGTCTCAAACATCCCGACAGTTGCGATTGGGACAGTATCCTAGCCTATGCCGTTGAGCGGCCCTCATATGCATGTAGTCGTGTGCTCTAGACATGCAAATGCCTTGATGCAAGCTAGCTTGCCTTTTGCAATAGCACACAAATGTGTAATTGTCCCTGCATACACCCTTGATGTCGATACACTATAAAACAGACACATTGTATGAACAGTCACGCAAATCCGAACATCCAACACATTAGAAACAGCTACTACTACTACCACCGCCTCCACCGCTATCACCACCTCCTCCGCTGCTGCTTCCTCCCCCACCACTGTCACCACCGCTATACCCACCACTGTAACCACCTCCGCTATAGCCACTGCTACCTCCGTGGCCTCCACTATAGCTGGTGTCACCTAGTGAAGCCCAGTTCTGAGCAACAGTGGAAGTGTTGTTGTAGCTTCCAGTGTGAGGAGAGCCACTATACCCTCCAGAGCCGCCGTATCCCCTCGTGGTCGTCGGGGCGGGCTTGGGTTTCGGCTTGGGCTTCGGCGTTTCTGTGGTTGCTGGCTGGGGAGGAGGCTTGACTGGAGGGGTCTTGACCTCATTCGCAAGTGGTGATGTCGGCTTTGGTGGTTGGGTGGACGACATTGGAGGTGCGACTGGGCGTGGAGGGGGACTCTTATCGACGTCCTTTTTGCCGAAGCATGATCGAAATATATTACCCATGCTGGGTCGGTTGTTGCAAGAAGGATATAACAGAGAGTGATAAACCGGGCTCGGAATTGTATACAGTGGGATTGACAGATAACCAGCACTCTAGAGAAACACCTCACCCTTATATACTTCTATATTGAACACTGCGTTGCGCTCTGAAAACGACTATTGATGTATTTCGGATAAAGTCCGGGCACCTGGGCGGATCGTGGCTATGCAGGGCGAAGGGAAATGTGGAATGAGGACCGTATTCCCCTCGTGTTTATCCCCGGGAAATCCCCCGAGGCGAATTTGGCCTTGTGGAATGTTTTGCCGAGGCAGGAATCTACTTATTGGTGATGGGCCCATTGTACATTGGAGGCTGTTGCGGGTGAGGCGAAGTGCCAAGAGACTATCACTATGACTACAACATCGCAAGGCAGACACAGCCTATCCTTGGGATCCCGAAAGTTCCGTACTATCGCTTGCAAGATGAAGTTGACTCTGTGCGACAGACGGTACAGGAATGAATTGATTACAGATTAGAAAAACTGCCATCCCAAAGTCCACCCTGGTGGTCTATTGCCTGAAGCCTTCAAGCTGATGAGCCGGCTACCTTGTAGGTCTGATTCTGTCCATGGAAATTCTCAATTGGAAAAGGCACACGAGAAGCATCCGCAACTATATACAGCAAGGCGTCACAACGAGACACCGAAACCCGACCAATCCGCTTTCTCAAGGTATAACTGAAGAATATTAGGCTTGGTACCGCATCCTCGGAAATGAGCCCCGGGTTGCCCGGCCTAGCTGTCTGACGGGCTTAGCTTCTTTCCAGCTCTAAATAGTGAACATGTGAATATTTCCAAACTGATGAGACCAATGATCCTCAGAGTCAACTTCGGGCTTGCCACGGTGCTCCACCTCCGTCATGTAGTCACGAATGTTGAACTCGATACCGGCCTCCTCACAGACTCGCCTAAGTGGATTGGCCCGCGAGTATATCTCTCGAGATCGGGATGACTCTTCCCAGCCGCCCTCGATATCAATGACTCGTAAATGCGGGAATCTGTCTTTGCATGGACCAAATTTTCCAACTCCCGTAAGCCTGCCAGGAAGGGATAGTCGAAGTCTGACACATAGAGCCGTTCCAGGGAGGCCGGAAGAGTGTCAGGAAGAGCAACGAAAGTCGACGGATCATTCCTACGGTCTTCGGCGAAGTCAATATGGAGCAGGTCACGCAACCTTACGTGCAGGGCTCTCAGATTCGTATAGTCGGTCAGGCTACCGAGCCAACCCAGTTCATACATCTGCTCCGGATAGTACATATCGAAGCACAAGTGTTCCAGGCTATCCTTAGCCACCGCAAGAGACTTAGAGAGGTCCTCGACGAACACACAACGGAAAATGTGTCGCCATGTAGTTCCCCGGTGGAAGACTGTCGTATCCCTCTCGTCCCAGGCATCTGAATGATTTCAAATTCTTGGAGGCGCGGATCACTTGCATAAACCCAGTGACGCTACTCGTCTCGACCATTTCGATATGTTCGATAGGGGATGACTTGCTCGGAACAAGATCATCGAATCCGCCTTTATCGCGGTCATGCAAGTCGCTGATCAGCAGTCCTTTGAATTTGCACATGGATTGTAGTCGGAAAAAGGGCGCGATCTTGTATAGTTTAAATAGGCCCCCATGCTTGAATGGTACCTGTATGGCTGCTTCGCTAAGACGCCTAAACCCACCATTCAGGGAGATATAGGCCAGGAATCGCTCGGAGACGTCGGTGTGCCCTCCCCACTCCATGACCAGCGACTTTATGTTAGGCACACAGTGGAGTAGCATCGTCAGCCACAGGTCTTGACCGAGGAGACTGCATTCCTCTTTAGGGATAGCCGCGGCCATCCATCTGTCATATTCGGCGCTAGAAGGAGCGAATTTTCGTACCAAATCTGAGACGGACTGTCTCATAGACGGCGTAAGACGCGGATCGAACAGATGAGAATGGCAACGAGGGCTTTTCGATTTTGCAAGGGAGACGCAGATGACTTGCTGTGCAAGGCCTGGCGTGACTGAAAGAATTTCTACAAGATCGCGCAGAGATTTCTCACAGAAATAATGGACATTGATTGAGATGTATGCCTCTTGGCGAGTAGCTTTCCAGAGTCGACGGCAGCAGCTTGCCAAGCGAAGCCGATCCGAAGAATAAGACAGATGTCTTGCTACCAGAGCCAAGAGTCCGGCGGGTAAATCGAGAAACATGGCTGAGGGAAGCTCCCGACATTGTGAATGTTTAAAAGAGAGAAACAAAAGAATCAGGAGAATCCCTCGATGCGGCAGAAAGGGGGCGAATATAAAGCCTGTTCCTGGCAAGGGAGAGGTAAATGAAGCGATTGGCTGCAATTTGTATTAGATGGTTGTATAGATCGCATGAACAATAGTCTAGGCTTGATATTTGGCCCCCAAGACGTGTAGTCGGGTATCTGGTGTAGATAGTGTTAGGGAGCTGGACTATATAAGACGATGTAACGGTCATTAGCAACGCATGCAATCTGATATAGTTGGTGCACTGGATCCCGTGAGCTGCCTAGAACACTGGTTTGTTGCACCTGCATTAGCCAAATCCATGCATGATGTGGGGAGAGAGGACCGTTCAGGCAATGTGAGAGTATTGGCAGGGTCACGCCTAATGTACTAAGTACAGTTGCAGCTCCAAAGCCAGCACAGAGAAGGTGCACGCTGGGAGTTTCTAGCCGACGCGGTCATGATTGCGGCACAACCTAGCCCAATTCTGGCCCTAGTGGTGGCAAAGCCACTAGTTTAGGTTGTCTAGTTAGCCAGGGACGTGGGAATGGACTTGGACCCTTTAATTCATCCCAGGAATCTGAAGTCTTCCTCGGGCGAGATTTTTGCCTTATGTTCTGCATCAGGTAGTGCATATAAGAGTATGTACCCGACACAGTCGATCTTTTCTTTTGAATGCGCCATGAGAGGCGGTCTCCCTCTTTGATCAATTGAATTCATGTTCGTCTTTTACACTTTTCCTTTTGTCTCAACTGTTCTATATTGACATACATTCCTCTCTTTATATTCTTCATTAATCTTACCACCATACCACTCTCGGCGAGAGCGCAACCAACTCTCAGGATTGCACAAACAGTTCTTCAGTACCACTGCCAAGACTACGTCAGAAATTGGATCACAGTGCATTTTGTTGTTTCTTTCTATGTGGTCGCATTGGCGATCCTCCATGCGCTGGCCTTCTATGCATTAGGAAAAGTTATGAAGTTGCCTTCTAGCATTGACATTGGACAACCTTTCCAACTTAGAACAACGCTGACATACCTATTGTATTTGTAGCCATCCACATTTACTGAACATGCTAATCATACTGACAAGTTGTCATGCCTCGGATGTTAGGTACTTCGGAGGAGGGCTGGACTAATCCCAAAACGGCAAACCTTGAGAGCGACTCCATCGCTCGACTTGGCGACGACACCAACGCTCTCCAGCTTCTTCTCTCTTCATCTCCCTTTGCCGAACGAGCCATTGACCATCCTCGCTTCGACTAACGGTCCATACAACGGGCAAGCCACTAGTGCTTCCGTCTGACGTGATCGAACATGGTTCCCCGGGTTTGTGGGCTTCTTTAGGCCCTTTCCCCAGGGCTTGGTCCTCCCAATGGCTTCGCTTCCGACATATCCGCCGCGAATCCGGTTTGTCTATTGATCAATAGCTTGATGCGGACCACAAACTCGGCACAGGGGGGTTTTCTTCTGCCTGGATGGCTAATATAAGTACCCCTGACCCAGCTCTCGTTCTCCCTGCTCGCCGTGACCGCGGAAGCCCCGGACCCTCGTCGTGATGCAGCTCCAATCTCTGGCAGGAGCTTTGCTCCTCTACGGATCAGCCTTCGCCGCGCCAGCGCCCCCTGGTAGCTGTAAGCCTCCTCCGAGTGGTCCTCAGCCTGACAGCTCGCGGGCCACGCTGCAGACCTTGAACTACAACAACCTCGCTGCTGCCAACAATGGCACCGCCGCCGTGTTCGTCCACGATGAATTGACCCAGGCCGATGCGCAGAAGCAGTGTGCCTCCATCGGCGAGAGTCTGTTTCCCTGGGACTCTACTCCCGAAGCCAACCGCACGGAGCTGAACTACCAGTTCGACTACCTCGTCTTCACGCGTGATCTCCGGCCCAATGAGGACATCTGGGTTTCCACGGGCTCGTCCAAGAGCTCATCTCACGATGAATGCCTAGCTTACTCCCTTCACACGAAGAACGTTGTGCCCATGCGGTGCGACAAGAAACTTCCAGCCCTGTGTACCTCCGGCGTGCCGCCAACCACCGACGTCGATCGCACCGTGCATGCTGCGTCCAAGCTCACCATCCCCGTTGACGACTACACCATCACTGGCTACCGTGATGCTCGGTCATTCCGGTTCCTCGGTATCCCTTTTGCTGATCCACCCGTGAACGAGCTGCGTTTTGCCCCGCCCAAACCCTACTCCGGCCCCAAAGACATCGACGCCACCAAGCTCTCCGACTCGTGCATCCAGTCCCAGTCCAGTTTCGGCACTCTGAGCAATGGTGGCATCTCCGAGGACTGCCTGTACCTCAACGTGTACACGCCCATCGTCCCCGCGGGCGAGAAGCATGGTAAGCCGCTCCGGAAGAAGCCTGTCGCCGTCTACTTTTATGGCGGTGCCTTTACCAAAGGGACCAGCGCCATGATCGACTACGATGGGGGGAACCTGGCCAGCCGCAACGATGTCATCGTCGTCACCATCAACTACCGCGTGGGCGCCCTCGGCTGGCTGGCCACTGGCAACCTTACCACTGGCAGCTACGGCACCCGCGACCAGATCCAGGCGCTGAAGTGGGTGAACAAGCACATTGCAGCCTTTGGCGGCGACCCTTCGCACGTCACCATCTTCGGGCAATCCGCCGGCGGTCAGAGCGTCATTGCCATGCTCTCCTCCTCCGCCGCCCGGGGCCTCTTCTCCGGCGCCATCGTGCAATCCGCCCCAGTCGACCTTCCCTGGTTCACACGCGACGTCTACGCAAACTTGGTCGCGCCAGAAATTGCCAAAGCGGTCAGCTGTGACGACTCTCCCTCCGAAAAGGACCTCCTGTCGTGTCTGCGCGCCGTCCCGGCCACTAGCTACCTCGACAACTCGACGGAATTCTCCAACGCCATCGATGCCTCGTCCAAGGCGGTCGCGCAGAACTACCTGCACACCGAGACGCTCCTTGCTTCCATCGAGCCACTAATGCCGATGGTCGACGACTCCCACTCAGGCGTCATCGACGACCAGTTCGACGTGCTCCTGCGCACCAACCGTCTGCCCTCGCGCGTGCCCACCATGTTCACCACCGTCTCCGACGAAGCCGGCCTCTACGTGGGCCGCTACGTCCCGGATCTCGGCTCCACGCAGACCGGCCTGAACCTCCTCTTCAATATCGCGTACCCATCCGACCTCGCCAGCCAGCTCATCGCATCCGACGCTTACCCGCTCAACCGCTCCGACCCGGACGGCATCCGCAACACCGCCATCGACGTGCTCACCCACAGCGAATGGAGCTGCGCCCAGGCACATCTCCTCAAGCTCGCCGCAAACGGATCCTCCTTCCCGTCAATCTACGAGGTCGAAATCACCGACGGCCACGTCCAGACCAACGTCAGCGTTCCCGAGGTCTGCACCCCCAACGACAACAACAACGCCACCTGCCACTCTGCCGACGTACTTCCCATCTGGGGCACGTTGAACAGCAAGACGCAGAACGTCGCGCCGTACTATGATGCAGACGATCTGCGTCATTCGCAGCTGCTCGACGATGTCTTTGGTGCTTTCTTCCGCGAGAAAAACCCCAACCCTGACCCGGAGTTCCTGCGCGTGCGTGGTCCTGCGTATCACGCCACGTACGAGGTCTTTGGCCGCGGCGGGTACAGCATGCCCCAGTATCAGCCGGCTCAGGAGACCTTGAGTCTGTTAGGCATGCCCCCGGCCACGGTGCAGAACCCGGGTCTGTCGGATAAGTGTCGCGTGTTCGAGGAGTATGGGTATACCTTTGAGCGTGCCAAGTATACCGCTTGAGTTGGGACGTTGTAGATATTGATGGTGATTTGTGTACTTGTGCTGTATGTACCAGTCTTTGTATAAGGATAGTAATATACTTTTCGATGCTTATAGGGAGTCTTGTGTAATTCAGGCCTCATCTCTGAAGTCAAGGAGCGGCTTCAGATGCGTGAGTAGTCCGAGCTGAAGAGCGCATCACCTCATGAAGCACTACGAACGGCCTGTCTTCGTCCTTTGCATAATTTCACATAGAGATCTACTTTCTACACACCGCCATAGATAAGCTTGTTATTCTAGGGCGCTATGTACAGCGATAGCTGATTCTGTTCGTTGTGCGAGGACCCGCGGCTCGTCATTGGCGTCGTTGGCCCTAAATGATTCTACTCGATTATTTGTAGCCCACATCCAGGCATCGTGGCCCTCGACAGCAATAAAATTTACCCCAGACCCCGACGCAGAGATATCGAAGCTGTCCGACTCTTAATACCTACGGGGTATTGCAGCCGGGCTATGGATATATCCGGCGTTCGGGGTGCAGCAAGAACCGGTTCGGCATTCCGAATTGTGATCGGCGGTGGTGGAGATGGACTAACGGAGTCTGGCTAGGATTGCGAGCTCTGGCCCTTGGGATCGAGACGCTATCGTCGAATTTTTCTTGCGATGCCAAACTCCTAATTCCAGCAAAGGCAGACGAAGATGGGGTTGTTCAGTGAACAATCCCTTGTGGATTTTGAGCAGTCTCGGATGAGACCGAAGATGCCTGTCTTCCCACATAACCAAGTCCTTGGATAGTACCAGAGAAAAATTATACATTATGCAATACTTAAGCGTAATTCATAGCGACATGGCCCACTGTACCATCAAGATTGCTGTGAATATGTCAGTCGGTGGCTGATATGCCGGTGTCTGCGGTCATACCTCATACAGCAGTCTTGGTATCGTTCGCATGGAGTATCCCATGCAACGAATTAACCAGCAATTCATTAATCGGGACCTTAGCAGGCAGCGTCAGCGACTGCATGATCTCCGTATAATACGGGATCTCCGTGCCATTGTAAACCACCGATCGGCCGATTGCGTCGAGGGTGAGATATCCCTGGCGGATGTTTTTGCCCTGCGACTGCAGAATGGACTTGATGTTATGGAGGATGGTGGAAAAGTCGACTGTGCCCTGGAGGGAGATGGAGTTGTTCCCTGGCTTCAGGGTGAGGTTTTCAAGGGTTGCGTTGCCGACGGTCAGGTCAGCGTTTTTCAGGTCCATCGTTATCGTTCCCTAGGTCATGGGTTAGCTGCGCGTCGCAGATAGAGGGTGTTTGTTGCGTACGATTTCTATTGTCATGACGGATGGGTTCGGCAATATCGCGGTTGCAACGAGATTGATGCCATCGTCCCTCGGCGGCAGGATCAGCTGGGGTTCGTCGATAGAAAAGCCGGAGAAAGAGTTCAGCGCTGGGAGAGCATCAGCAATGCATTCCTTTCAAAAGGGATCTCGCCACGCACTATTCTGCGGAACGTCTTTGTCGACTTTGATATGCGACGACAATTTGCCAACATGCACGTTTGTCTCACCAAACGCCGACAGCGGCGCATGCGGCTCAAACATCACACTGTGGAGGTACTGCTTCCACGGATCCAGGTTGAGAGGGGTGAACTGTTCCTGGACGCCCATGCTGGTATTCCCGTGGATGACCTCTCCCTTGTTGTAGACCTTGAGATAGGTGGAGTTGCCGGGCTGGCCGCGGTTGAACAGATTCAGTACATTCGAATCGAGACGCACCGGAAGACTGATGGGCAGGTCGAGTGCGGTTTGCAGCGTGAGCACGACTGAATCGGGCTTGGGTTGCATGATGCGAGCGTCAACCACGAGCAGCGTCGCATGGTCGATGACATTCTGGCAGATGGCTTGGAAGATGACGGTGAAGCTGGCCCGTTAGCTGCATCGTCGGGAAACGAGCGACAGGGGAACATGGACATACAAGATCGGGAGGAAAATGGCCAGGAAGACAATTGCTCCTACAAGATAACAGCACCAGAACCGCGCCCAATGACGGCGAAACTTTTGTTTCTTTCCTGGCGCCGTGAGGGCATCTCCTGCAGGTGCAGAGGCAGCCTGTTTTTCCTCATCGGACTCTGTCAAGGGGCCCCGGTTCGTTCCCAGGACGTACTTCGTCTCTTTTGGGGTCAGGAGATGGCTTCTCTGCCAGCTTCTCTTCCATGCTGTCGCTTTCCATACTGTCGCAAAGGGTCAAGTTGGAGAAGAAGCAGCGGCAGACCGGCATGCGAACGGCGCTGCTGTATTCAAATACACTTCTCACCCTCTAGCTAGGATGGTCCACTCTGTCGCTGATCTTTGGTCGCTCCCTCTGCATGTTATCTAAGATCGGCGTTGGTCTACTCCGTAGTGTCTTGCACTTACGCATGTATACGGGTGGAATGCGATGAGTAGAGTGACAGTCTGTGATGATTGGCATGTGAATACCACAATAACCGCTGGAGAAGACACATGCTGGCAGCCCGAGAGCTCCATACTCCGGCATGTAGAGGCAGGCAGAGGCCTCTCTCTGGAGTAATCGTGTCCCCCGAAAAATGTGTGGGTATGTGGAGTGGGACTCGGAAATTGGCATTCGCTTTGGATAGAGCTGAAGCCCGGTCAGGGTCCTCTCTCCGAACCACGTCCCACCCTGGACAAACGAAAGCAGTCTAGCTGGCCCATCGGTGTGGATGGAGTTTTATGCGGACACTTTCCGGGTCGATGTGTGCTTGGATACACTCTCCAGATCCTTTAGAGTATGTACTCCTATACGGAGTATCTGCTCGTACATGAGATCGATATACCGACTCGGGCCGATAGGTTTATCAGAGTGAGTCTCCTTGAATCCTCTGCCTATCAGCTCACGCAGACTGATCGATGATCATGACACGGCCCTAGAAGCGCCAGATCGGCCCGAGAAGGCCTGTTCAGGAATAGTATAGGCAATCGGCCCCAACGTGTGTTCAACAAGAGACCGTTCGAGGATTCGGCTAACCGAACATAGAATGCACTGCGGTCAGTTCACATGGCACATGCATTCTCATCGAGCTCATTCAGAGTGCGTGAGTGTGGGATTTGCTCTACTCAGTCAGCATTGTGGAAGTCCCACTTGCCGTTTGTCTTCTGCCAAGCGAGAGCTTCCCACATAGAAATGGTATGCAACCAAGCTCCTTATTGGAGCCCACTCACTTCACCCGGATGACAGGCATCTCAGGGTCTATGCTGTCTGTCATTTCAATAATCAGGGCTTATATACATCCCTGTGGGTGTATATCTAGTAATGGCTCTCGGATGTGGAAGTTTGTCCGCGCGATTGGGACGAAAATTCACGAAAATCCTGGACATTGTCGCACTCCAGCAGATCGAGCTTACGGTTGGAGCTACAGGCTACATTTGGTAACGTTTGCGAGACCTATCTACAAAGCAATCTGTCCCCGGACTTCTGTTGTGGGCCAATCGGTAAGCCCAGGCAGTGGATGTTATCTTAGGCAACAGGCTTACAAGTTCAGACGTCAGTAGCTATTCTTTTCATGTGATAATCACGATGCTCTGCTCAAGATATGAGAGTGCTTGTGACACTAAAACGAAGGACTGTCAGTCGTAAGGGTGACCATAACGTTATTGTCCAGAGCTCCATAACATAACGTTAATGTCTGTAGTATATGAAGCTGCCAACCCAATGATCAAGGACTCTTCAAACAGAAAGCGTCACATCCACATTCAATCCATAATGCAAACCCTCTTTTCAATCGCACGCATGACTCTAGGACTTGGGCTCCTCGCTATTCCCAAGCCCGTTGCCCATGTTTTCCTCGTACCCTTTACCCGCGAAGCCACCATAGCCTGCAGGATGGCCGGAGCTCGGGACCTTGTCCTAGGTGCTCTTCTTTATGCCTCTCGTCCTTGGAGATCTACAGCCTTGATGAACAAAACCACCGATCCAAGCGAGCACCCTTTGCTTTCCGATAATGGTCAGTTCCGAGAGCAAATTGGCGAGAATCATACCAAACGAGCATTACTAGCGGGAATGGTTGTGGATGGGATTGATATACTCAGTGTGTTATGGTGCTATCTTGATGGGACACTACCGATTGAGGCCGTTGCGACACTGGGAGGCGGTGCGTGTCTTTTCTGCGGTCTGGGGGCTTACTGCTGGTACTCCGTTTCTTCAAAGCATGAGTAAGGTCTACTGGTCCAGAGGTTGAAATGAACGGTTCTGTTCTACTATAAGATGTCATACTAGAAGCATAGTCCAAGATCTATGCATGTGTCCGTATCATGCACGTGTGAAGCCACCCCCTTTCTTCCTGTCCTCCCGTTAGACACTCCTGCACTGAGTTCCTCATCGCGAAAACAACGCTTCGACTCGCGTGGTTTAAAACAGCCAAATTGACATATAACTATGCCCACCTTTGAACTGTCGACGCCTGTGTTCGGGCCTCCATCAACAGAACTCGCCAAGCCACCGGTCCCCTATACTGCTGGATGGAGGTTCACTGCCAAATCTCACCTTGCTCCGGCCGCAACACCGGTAGTGCGGAATTGCTGCATCAACAGTGATACAGACAGAATAGAGAAAAGGCAACTGTGCCCAGTCGACCGATGCTTAGAAGATCACCCTTTGCCAGGCAAAGAGGGAAACGACACCGTCACCCTAGAGGCCATCGACCTCTAGGAAGCAGGCGATGGCCACAATTCTCAGCTCCTAACACTCCGACTGCTCGACTTTGAGTCAAAGTCTCAGTGCCTTCCTCCGAAAAGCACCAGACTAGTTGCAAAAATATACGTCAACCCATTCCTCTGCATGGACAAATACTACACCCACGAGGCCAATGCATATATTGCTCTCAGAGAGTTCAAAGGACAATCGATTCCCACATCCTATGGGCCCTTCTCTTTGAGCCTACCTGTGGATTTAGTGCACACATGCCCGGTTCGAATGATTTTGATCGAGCATATTGATGGTATCACCATGGCAGCTGCTGGGCCAAGACGTTTTTTCCCAAACTTCTCGTCAGAGGGTTCTGAAGTCGATTGTGGACCCCGAGACCCGGATCTATGAAAGAAACATTTGGCTCACCGATCTCGAGCCTCGCACTGTCATTATAAGCTCGCCAGGTAATGAGCAGCTGGATGTTGTGTTCATTGACTTTGCCCATGCACTTCTTAATCGCAGGCGCGACGATCCCCTGGCATTACAGTTGAACTATATTATAGGGGAGTACGTTTCGCCAATTCTTCGTTGGAAACAATCCAGAGGCGCAGTAGCGTCGTCTGCAGAATGGGTTGATTGGGACTGGGGTGCCCCTGAATAGCGCTGTAGCCTTTAAACCTATCTAACGGTTAATACCTGGTGCTATAGACAGCCAGAGTAAGATACTTAAGGTACTTTCCTGGGATAATGTAGCCGGTATTCTGAATAATAAAACAGATATTGTTGTCGCGAGCAAACTTCATTTCGACGATTAAATTATTTTTTTACCTTAGTATTAATATTATATACTAAAGCCTGTCTAAGATTATATTTCCCAGCGGTCTGCCCAGCAGTAATATTAATGAGGAAATACAGGTCGTCGGTAGGATAGATATAGCTAATAGGCTCCAGAGATTAGAACGTGGAATTATACTACTACGACCAGATGTAGTCATACTTATTCTTATTATATTAGGGTCCTGAGTAGCAAGAAATCGCCACAGGGATATTGAGGATCGGTTTCCCTGAGACGGTGCGGTTCAAAACATTCCAGGATTCAACCGATGGTTATTGCTGCGTGCCGCTTACAGGCAGCCAGAGGGGATCACGGTGCTGTTTCGGGTGCGCCTGGACAAGGCCCTCCAGAACAAACGATAATGTTGTTAGCGCCTACTGTACAGTCTCCATTCACATTTCATTCTCTCCCTTACCACTCAACAGCAAACCGTGATCACAACCAACTTTTCTCAACTTCCAACCCACTGCTGCAACGAAATGGCCACTTATGTGCCTATTAATTATCTCCATTGAAGGTGTATATATTTAGAATGACATTCCTTCTCGAGCTGCGTGTTTGTACCTATATGCAGAGGAAGACCGATCTACGTGGTCCATCCCTGGGGCTCTTTAGCTCACCCAAATCAACACTTTGGTCCCCAGCCCGCGTTGGCTAGCTGCTTCCACCGCACAGACAAAGCATGGGCCGCCGGAACGCCGAATGACGGCATTTTTGCCTCTCTCGCTACACCAGGCACGAGCCAGCGTCTCAGCGCCCTTCCCTGTCGCATTAATAACCATCACTCCGCCGCGTTCCGGGTCGTCCTCGGCCGTGTGCTCCTTCAGTCGCTCGATAGTCCATATGTTACGTTCCTGGTAGCGTGGTAACTCGCGCAGGTGAACTTCATGCTCAACACCGCGTGGACCTGGTTGGCATGGCGGCGGGACAACAAAGATCGGGTTCGTATACAATTTGTAGGTGATAGTCTCGGTTGGGTTGGTGTCGATGGTAAAAGCGAGCTGAGCGCGGTAGACATCTTTCGCATCTGGGTGGATACCCGCAGCATACTTCCCGGACAGGTCGTACTTCAGTTGGATCTTGGTGAGGCTACAGGTGCTGACTTGGTGGACTGGCGGCTCCGGGACAATCCAATTATCTCGGTCCTCTATCGTTTCCCTCCACCCCTCGAACTCTTCGTCGCCATCAGGATGAATATCTTCCTTCTCACCGGCGAAGAATTTTATGTCGTTGAACCAATCCTTGTTCGCAATCGGATTTACGGCCCGTGCTTTCAACTTGATGTGCCGTGGTTTCGATGGGTCGAAGTCGTCCTGGTCGTCCCGTCCGGTCTGGAGGAACTCCACGGGTGGACAGGGCCCAAGCCAGCCACATAGTGAGGTGACGCCGGGCAGAGACCCGAGTACGCGGCCCAGGACAGTACGGACGCGCCAGTATGATTTCTTCGGGAGGCTGAGGCCGCAGTCATAGTAGGGTGCGGCGCGAAGCGTCGTCGCCAGCGTTGGTGTGCAGAAAATCAGTGCGCTCATTATCTTAATGCTAAACCACTGGCCTGGCAGGGTCAAGCCATAAAGCCATTCTTCCAATTGTACTGGGGTGGGCTGGCCGCCGCGCAAATTGCTATATGCTTCTTCAGCAAAGTCACGGACATCGTTGACCCATGGCCATTTCATGCGTTCGGCGAAGTGTATAAGGCCTTCGACTTGCTGCTCGTGACACCGCGAGTGTAGTTCTACGGACCCCATCTGGGACTCGTAGTCTTGCTCTATGTATTCCTTGCGCAGGCCTTCCCTTTTGGAGAGATCTTGCTCCTGGTCGATTGCGTCCAGCTTCGCCTTGTCGGCCGCTTTGGCATCTTCCAGGCCCCGGCGCATTCCGGCTGTCGCATCTTTTCCAGCAAGGGCTATGGCATTCTTATATGCGTCGACGGCTTTCTTGGTTAAGCCGAGCTTCAGTGCCGCGAGCCCAGCACGGGACCACGCTTTGGCATACTTGACATCAAGGAGAGTTGCGATATACGCGTCATGAAAACTGTGACTGTAGAGTTCCAGGGACAAATTAGCCGCGGATCGGTTGGCTCGATACACGGCGCTGCTCGGGTCTATACTGATGGCTTCAGTGTAGAAACAGATGGCATTGTGGTAATCCTTCTTCGCCATGGCATCGTTGCCTTTCAGCTTGGAGTTTTCTGCTTTAGCCTTAAGCTCTTTAGTTTCCGGTGGCTTGACATCTTTTAGTCGAATCCTCAACTCGGACAATCCAATCTCGATGTTCTTGATCCATTGGTCGGCAATAATCATCGAGGCCAGTATTCGGCCGGTGAAGTTGGACGTGAAGCCACTTTCTTTACTGACTTCAAGACGCCGGACCAATTCCTTGGCCACGATAACCTGCCAAAGCAGGTTCCAAAACCCACGTTCGTTTCGTTCGGGGTCCTCGCTCCATACTGCGCCGAAGATACTGGACGTGGAACGGAAATCGACGAAGACATCAGTGCGGTTAAGCAACATGAATAAGCCTGAACACACCCGGGCGATGTCTTTGTACTCATCCGCTGAGTTGGTATTACGGAACCCCATGTCGCCGGTAAACTCTTCCAGATCGGCCTGGTCTTGCGTCGGGTTCCAACCGAACTTCGCAGAGCTTGTTTGCAGTTCGTCGATTCTCCGTAGCAGCTTCTTCGCAGGGATTCTTCCCAGATCAGGATAAGTCACCGGGATGGTGTCCTCCCTGTCGCTATGCGATATTGCGAAAACCCATGCCTCCAGAGCAAGCCCTTTGACGGTGACCGTCCCCGGGAATGCGGTTTCATACTCGGGATAGCTCTCGAGGTCAAACAGCACGCCGTCATCTTCGGACTCATCCTCGATATCGTATTCGTCTAGTCTCTGCTGCCTCTTATACCGCCTCTTGTGGTAGGGTTCTGGTGCACGGTTAGCATAAGCCTATCCCTACGTACGTCACAGAGAGTGCTCTTACCGAATGCTGCATGCGCGCTCGACACGAATCCTTCCTTATCATCGACCCACATGTCACTTTGTTCTTTATTCTCCCAGTAGCAGACTGCATATACCTTTGGTGTATGCCCAAACGGTCCAAGCAGATGTACGCGAAGAGCTCCGGTCCGTTTCTTATTGATGAAGCGCTGCACTGCGTTCACCCTTTTCTCGCCGACTGTCACTTCCGAGTCCACTACAGTGGCGGTGACATTGTCGTCTTCATGTTCAGTTTCTTCCACATCTTCCCAGTTCTCTTCGTCCAGATCGTCCACCGTTAACGAATCATTTCGGTCACTCAGTAGTGCTGTTCGTTCTGTGGCTGGCGCACCCAGCTCTTCAAGCCGAATACTTGCCAGATCGGAAATATCGGCGTGGTCTCCAATCGTCGCATTTTGGAGCAACTGTAATTCCTCGACGTTCTCGCTGGCCTCGACGTCCACTCGCATGAATTCCGCGATCTTTTGCTTCGAACCTGGGAACAGACTCTCGAGACTGTCGTTAAAGCCTCGGATTTCCAGAACCAAGTCCTGGAATTTCTTTTTATCGTGTATTGCCCACTTTGTCCGGCGCGCCATTGTGGTGGTTTTCTGTCTTTCGCGTGCGCTCCGCTTCAGGCTTTCGTAGCTCTTCGCGAATACTGCACTCAGAATATTCGAACTGCCAGCAATAACAGAGCTGACTGGTGTCTCCGGGACAGGAGTTGCTGGCCGTAAACCGTACGCGTCCTGCACTCGCTCCAAATCCTGAAACAAGTGCTGGATACATCCGAGGAGGCGCATGACCGTGTGGTTCACCTCCACCCTCCGCAGCCGCACGTCTAGTCTCAACCTGAGGGCTGCTAGATCCATGCTTGTGGTGCCATTGTCGCTTCTATTGACACATTCAGACAAGCCGATCGCATCGCCCCAGTTATATAATCGGATCCGCTCGACCTCCAGCTTGACACGCAAAAGCTCGTAGTCCATGCCATAGCGTCGTCCAGATTCGACAACGTCAAAGATCTGAACGCAGGTCTCCCATAGGGCTGCCGTACCCAAAATGAGACCAGCGATTTCAGTCATAGTGAATGAAGGAGCAAGCTGTGCGAAAAGCAATTACACAGACGCACTCGACGGCAGAGGTGTGTAAAACCAGAAAATCTACTAGGCCGAGGGATTTCTGGTTTATTTAGCGACTTTTGTCGTTCGTCATCACGCGGCGGCCATGTTGAGGCTGCGTAGACACAGCCGCAGTGGTGTCAATGTGGCGGCGAGCTCCGCCACGATGATGCTGAAAATTTGCGGCAGCCTTGTATTGCTCGTTGGCGTGAGTTGTGTCTTTTCAGGAACCGCGCAAGTTGAAAACATAACTACAGATTCAATGATGGGCGTTGACAATTTGAACAGATTTTCAAGTTACTTAGCTAAAACTGAAGAAGCCTGTGGTCTCTTTGAACCAGACACTCTGCCCATGCCGTCTAGAGACAGGATATTGTATTATCTCTTGTACTTGTTTAGTAAAATAATTAAAGATTTCCTGCTTGAATAATTGTTTTGGCGAGTAGGTAACAAAGCTATATTGCCCTAGAATCCAAGGTCGAGGACAGCTAGACTGGGGCAAAGGAATAATAATCTTTGTTCGGTTAAGTCTAAGCTGCATCGACACGACCAGTCCGAACTCATCCAGCTCCCATTTAATCTCAGCAAGCTCACCCGTCGACAATGGGGACACCAGCAATCAAATCCACAATTGTCTTTTTACCGGCCAGAGGCTTCCTTGCACGCTTTGCATCCGTGGTATTGACACGCAGGACCCTTGGTCTTCCTCGTCCTCCGCGGACGACCCTATCGTATATCTCTCCGGTTGATTGCCGCCGTAAATATATCCCAGCGCCCTTTTGCAGCACGCGCCAGAGAGTTCAGACCAAGGTGGTAAGTTGAGCCACCACTGACTTGCAATAGTCTCGCGGCCGGGCCTTGTATGGGGCTTGCTTTCTTCCTTTTTGTCTGCTTTTGGGCAGACTCCCCACCGTCAGGACGCTTCCTCGCCCTCTGTGGGTCTGTCATGGCGGTAGGTCGCGTGTTCGAGGTCGAAAAGGCAGGGAGAAGAGTAGGTTGGGCTGGTTGCGAGTGTTTTGAGAACTCCCTTTCAGCTGAAGAATGTGTCAAGCAAAATGGCCATTACACTACCTAAAATGGGCAACCCACTTAGGAGTATTTAAGGTGTAATACACGGCTGTAGATGTGGTCTGACAGAGATAGGGGGTAGGGGGTAGAGAGAAGGGGAGGGGGAAGAAGAGTAAGAGAAGTGGGAAGGGAGAGATTGAGATAGATGGGAAGAAGGAAGAGAGTGAATGGGAAGAAGGAAGATCATGAGAGAAAAGTGTACGCTATGGCCTAGTCAGAGTCGTGAATGTAAGGTGTATATAAGGTGAGAATGGGAGAGAGGTGAGGATTCAAGTAGAATCTCATAGTATAGCTGCAGGCACGGCGTACCACTGGGACAAACCAGGAAAGTCTGCCCTGAATTTACACCCTCGAGGCGATATCCTAGTGAAATTCTTAGAATCTCCGAGTAGCCGGGTGACAGAAAGTGAGTGGCTGGCTGCAGACCGGTCTGTGGCTAAGGATTCCCAGGCTAACTAAACTACAGTGAGAAAATGGGGAAACTCAGGAAGGCCACATCATAATTGATGGACTACAAGGGGTCAAAACAATGCATTGCCGTAACTTCAGTCGTAACGTCGTAAGTCATTATCACAGGTACTAGGTAGACAACGTGATCATGAAAAGAAATCAAACAAAAAATGCGAAAGCATATATAGATTGAACGCCAAACTCCCACTTCCAACCGCTCTTGTATACTCGTATATCCATACTCAACGTTCATACATGGTCGACCGTCTCCCCCGTGGCAGATACTCTGCATCTACCGCTGGAACGGCAACCCCTCGTTTCGACATCCCGGGTATTGGTACACCAGTCCACCGCGCCGCCCCCCGCGCCGTGCCTGTCATAAAATGCGGAGCCTCAGCGCTCCCGCCAGGGGTCCCAGGACGAAGGGGATGGTGGTAACTGTTTCGACGACCGTCGTTCAGATCCGCTGCTTGGGTCCGCATGATGTATGGATTCGCAGCGTAGCGATGGGACGACCCACGCGACGCGTATACGGGTACTTCCACTTTCTCGGGAACGATTTGCTCACGTAAATTGACACTGGGATGAATAGCCGGTTGGGCCTCCTGATAGGTCGGATAACGACTTCGGGTAGCTGTGGCTGCAGCTGCCGTTGGTCTGCGCGCGCCGTCCGAGTCGTACAGCCGGCTTTGGTTAACGGCGTGCGCATCTCGGTTGTGCGCTTGGCGTCTGTCCGCATCTGGGGAGAGGTCAGGCTGCGGTCTGCGGGCGTATGCTTCGTGGGAATGGCGGCGGGCGTGAGCGACATGCGGAGGGGATAGATGGCGGTGGTGGGAGTAACCGTCGGGGAATGGGCGCGGTGAGACCCGGCTTGGGGAGGAGCCCTCCGAAGAAGCATCGGAGGCTTCGTCGATTGGCACGGTGCTAGGACTAACAGGACGCGAAAAATAAGGTGGTGTCTTTGTCTGCTTTTTCTTTGTCTGCTCCGCGGCGGGCCAGGGCGGCGGGGATGGAGCGCGAGGAGATGCATATCCGGTTCGGCGACTTTCTGGATGGTGGAAGTATGTCGACTGTGCTCGTCGCGGGAGGTCCCTGCTCGGATGAGGCTGGTGGTGTCGTGAGGATGATAGTGGTACCTCATCGGTACTGTTGGGGTCACGATGATACGCAGGTTGGGTGCGATGAGCGTGGAGGCGATCTTTCTCTCCCATCTTGTCTGGGGCCTCTTTCTGATTGAAGTAGAAATAGTATGTACCGAAGTTGGGCGGCGACGACCGTAGGATATTCTTCTTCCAGTAGTCGATTTCAAAACGCCGGCTGACCTCCTCGTGCCACCCGACCATCTCGGGATCTGATTCACGCGGGAAAGCCTCTCGGGGAATCGATTTAGGATATATTTGTCCGTTTTGGTCGCGGACGTCCCATAGTTCGACGGCGGCCTGGAGATACCGCGAATGCTCCTCGGGATCGAGGAGGAGCTGTATCGTCTGCCATCTCACAAAGCCGTTTGGTTGGAGTGCCGGGACCGAGGGGGGTTTATAGGGGTCAGATGACGGTTGGATGCTATGAAAGCACCCGAGACGTTGATAGATGAACGAAAGAGCGGAGGGTTTCGTCTCAAGAAACAAGATGTCATAATTGCCGCCGACCTTGCGATAAAAAGCGGCCAGGCGTTCTGGGGTGAGATCGCAGGTTGCATAGTCGTCAAAGGTGGTCTAATACGAAATCTCTGCTTCAGTACGGATTCGCTTTGTTGTTGTGCACAGTTCTCAGCTCACCATTATCTGCGCGATGCCCAGACAGAGGTGTTCGAGTAGCGGGGCTGGGCTCTTATCCGGGTTGATCAGCACTCCCCAGAAATTAGTGCCGTCATGGTGGGCGGAGGACATGGCCGGGCTGAATTAGCGGCCGCGTCAAAGACACTCGAAGGTAGCGACGACAATTGTTGCATTGATGGAAGAGGGATCCAGAGATAAATGAGTGAGAGGGAAGTAAAGACCGTAAGGTGACCAGGCTGACAGACGCATGCATGAATGAATGAATGGAACGATGAAAGGCAGCATTCGGCGGTCAGGCACCCATCGCCCTGCAGCTGCTCCACTGCGGGGACACCCAAAGCACGCTGCGGTTTGTTGGCAGAGGCAAACAAGTCGGTCGATAGGTTTGCGACAGCGAGTCGCCTGGATCAGCCGGGGGGGGGGGGGGAGGTGGGATGGAGGAAAGAGACAAAAGACCGGAGGATGGCATGCAGTGGGAGGAGCAGAAGAAGACTCCGCAGGTGATGAATGCATCCGACACGCATGACCGGCTCAGCCCTAAAGTACTGCGGCAGGTATATCTCTAACGCTTCAAATGTATCCCTTCGCTCGATTACAGCATGATCATCTCATCAGTTTTCTGTTCATCATCTTCCTCCATGCTCTTCGACCCCTCCTCCTTTCCGTCCACGTCCTGTTCCTCATTTGGCTCCCTTCGCGCCGCCCGATTCACATCCACATAAAAGTCAGATCCGGTCCTGCGATAATAATAGTGGCGGCTCCTTTCCTGATTCAGGAAATTGTAATTTGCCTTCGCTGCATCACAGTGGAGGAAGTGCTTCGGCAAATCAGCCTCCAAGAAAGCCCGGTAATATGGTTCGCTGCTCATTTTCATGGAGAGCATATGCGGGCCTGAGTACGGGCCGTGGCGGTTCTTGTAGTCGTAAGTGCACGCACGACAGTATGCACCTGGCTCCAGTTTGGCTGTCTGGCGGTCCCAATATGGGAATGTGGTGGTTCCTTGCAGCCTCCACTCGGAGGCCGGGTAGTTATCATCGACCAAGCAAACGGGGATGCTTCGAAAACGAGGCTTCCTGGAGAGGTAGTCGCTTTCCTCCCATTTCCAGAATGCCATGTCTATTTTGCGATCACGCTCTCTCCAATGGGCTTCGAAAAGTTCTTTCATCTTCTGCAAACTTCCATGTTTTTGTATACCCAAGGCTTCGGCTTGGGAAACGTCAACCATGCGAATGTTGCGCTTTAGAAGAGAAGTGTTTGGAGAATGAGAGATTATCGGAACAGATTTGAGTTGCTTGGGAGACACTCCGAAATGCTGCACTTGAAACAACAGCGAGAGGTCGTCGGGAGGTAGAGATAAGGTCCGAAGTCCGTACATGTGCGGCATCGTGGATGACAAAACTCCTCGAATAACCAACGGACTGGGAAGTAAGCGGTACACTTCGTAGCGTCCACGACACGTAGCATGTCTGAGGCGTGCTCCCTTAAGAGGAACCATGCAGGAAATGACTCCACTAGGCTTCTCGCTGTGGAATTAAGCTGACGTAGTGCCCCAAGGCTGACCATGTCGAGAACAAACAGTATTTGATGAGCGAGTTCGAGAGGGAGCTGAGATAGCAGTGGTACGGGTCTGAGCCCCTCGTCTGTCACGCAGCCAGGTGGAGCTTTATAAAGCTTTACCGGGACATCGCAGCTACCATATCGGGGGTATGGGTTCAGGACGTATTTTCCTGGGTGGTCCCAGCGGTATGCCGTGTCTGAAGCAATAGCGACGGGATAAGATTGGTTAAAATCTCGATGATATGATGGTATGGGCGTACGGGTTTATGTGTGTAAGCATGAGGGTAGTTGTCTTATCACGTCGAGGGGATGTATATGTCACGTCATTCTAGGGCAATAGGAAAAAGCTTGTTCCCGGGTAGGAAGGCACAAAGCAGTATTAGTGAAAGCTTCCTCTTCTTCCGATTCAGCAAACAGTACCCAGTTCACTGCCAGGTCTTTCATTGTTGAGGGGTTTTGCTCCATATCGAACCAAAAACGCGACATACTACGCTGTAAGTTGTGTTCCATAGAATACCTAGGTTTCTGACGTTCTAACACACCAGGGTACTTCACTTAGTCGAACACTGTGAACAATGTGCTTCTTCAGACGAGACAAGCACACCTGCGGGTGTATCCGCCGGACCTCCTTCGTCCAATGCCCGGCCCGACAGGGCACAACTTCCCGCTGCCATCCCCTAGAAATTCCGCCTCCCTCTCACGTCAATTGGTATTGCCCAGAACATCTGGTCACAGACAGGGCAAGAGTTGTTTACACGGGTGCGAGTGGCCCGTGGCGGCCCGTGGGGGAGGAGCCGGAAGAACATGGAGGAGAAGGAGGGAAACGAGAAGAAAAGGCAGGAGTGGAAGGGGCGCAAATCGAGTGATTTGCAGGTAGCGAAGGTGTGTTTGCGCATGGAACTGTATTGACTATGGACTCATCAATAAACCGAGGACTGGAATCAAATCAGCCGCCAGCTTGACTTTGAGCCCTCCCCGCAGGAATACCGAGCGGATTTTGCCTACAGAAGCGTTTAGAGATACCGATTCAACTCGATCTGCATCTTTCATATAACTAGTGCAGAGATCTGTGGCTTTGTGAGATACTGGTAGGAACCACTTGATAGCTGGGCAAAGGGTTCTCCACGCGGGTTGATCTACAATCTGGTTGAATACGTTCCCATGGTACGGAGGTTTGTGCCGGCCTGGAAGAGATCCAATTATACCTAGTGACACGTAGCAGTGCCGTCCACAGACCTGGTTATTGGCAAAAGCACGTCGATCGAGGAATGCGTGGAGAGGGGGACATTCCTCATCCCGGCTGGAATGCGCAACACCCGCCAACGGCATGCATGGGGTTGAAGGTCACACAGAGCAGTGCTGTTTTTATCGGGACCAAATCCTCATCCACCAGTCAAGGAACCTGACTCCTCGCCTTGTTGGCCTGTCATCCGTGTGATCAGTCAGATGCACAGTCTCCGGTCTGTCATTTGTGCTGTGAATATTATCTTCGTTTATATCGCGTTAATTTGAGGACAAAAGTTCCCTTTGTCGTTGATATTATCCCTGTGTGGAACAAGATATCCTTTGGATTGCCGATTGCCGTGTCCATCTCTGAGCGAAGCCTCGAACTTTCCCATTACACTTGCTACAACATACCTCGTTGTGCCTGATGCATCACGACCGATAATAAGAAACCATGGCCCTTGTTCGAGACCCTGCCTTTTGGCGTCGCTTTTCCCGTGCCATTCATCTTGACGAGGAGGCCAAAGCTCAACTTCGCTCTTCCGAAACGATAATCTCGTGCGTGCCATATAACTCATCTCGTAAAGAGTCAGCTGAAAGTGAGCGCTCTGCTAACATGGAGGTATCAGGGACGAATGGATCAAATCACAGAGACGCAAGAAGAGACGACATATTATCTGCTGCATGACACTTTTGTTAGCTGTCATTCTCGTGATAGCAGCCGTAGCAGTCGTGCTGTGGTGGTTTGGGACGCATAATTGGGGACGAGATCCGAAGCGATCGGAAGAGGCATTGAACCCAACGTCGAATTGACCCTGACGGAGGTCGTATTCTCTCTCATAGGGTCATACTTGCACATACATACAGGAAACATTGCGGAAGTCTGCAGGTGGCGTGAAGCGTCTACACGCAAAGTGGAGGAAGGGATGGTCTGCACATAATGATAAGACGAACTGTTCACTGCACATGAGATCAGTGACGAGGAATTGATCTTGAGATTTTGAACGGTCTCTTGCTCATCCGAGGTCAGAAGGATCAAGCTCCATAGAAATCCGATGAATAATAGCAACCGTCTAGATAGCCGGACTCCGGCCTCCGCATGGACTTGCCGCATTGGGTAGTTTGTCGTTCCTGTATAGGTCACGTGTTTCTTCTTCTTTGTGAGACGGTGATTGACATATTCCACCCATTGCTGCTTCACTCAATGAGAAGAGTAGGAATACGCCATACATTGCAACTGATCTTTAGCTCTGTTTCAACTCTTGCAGTCGAATCAACTACTTACCACGACTTGGTCTGGCCGACTAACTGCAGCAGTCGTATCTGAGCGCTTATCAGCGGGTCTTATCGCTTCTCCGCACGTGGCTCCTCCTCCCCCGCAATAAAAGCCGCTCCAACTCCCTGCGTCTTTGACTTCTCTTCTCTCCCTTCCTTTCGATCCTCCTGCTTGCACCGCTGTGAGCCTCGCAAGAATGCTTCCTCCGTTCGACTACTTCACTTACCGAAGTGTGCGGTATGTCTGGGGCCCCTAACACCTTCTTCGACATCTCCACCCCCCCACTCTCGTTACTTCGGAGTATTGTCCGACACTAACAGATCTCTATAGGAACTCCAAGAGAAGGGAACGGGCACACCGTTTCGCTTCTCTGCCCGCCGCTTACCACACCCACTTTACAGCCTTTGACAAGTCGATCATTAACAAACCCATTGAGGAGCTAGTGAGTGAGGTGCAGGGCTCCTCCATCTCCGCAGTCGATGTTCTCCGCACCTATGGCAAGGTCGCCGTCAAGGCCCAGGAGAAGACCAACTGTGTCACGGAACTGCTTCTCCCAGAGGCCGAGACCTGGGCGCAGTCCGAGGTCGACCTGCAGGGGCCGTTGGCCGGTATCCCTGTCTCCCTGAAAGATTCCGTCCAGGTGAAGGGGTTCGATGTCTCTGTCGGCTATACGCGCATGGCCAATAAGCCTGCTACAGAGGACGGGCCTATGGTTAAGCTTCTTAAGGATGCTGGTATGTTCCTTTCCGATGACTTTGAACACGTCTGCAGTCTAACGTCCTTCCTAGGTGCCGTCCCCTACGCAAAGACCGCTCTACCAGTCACTCTCCTGTCGTTCGAGTCGGCCAATGCTCTATGGGGCCGCTGTCTCAACCCCCATGTCCCTGCTTACTCCCCGGGTGGCTCGACTGGCGGTGAAGGTGCGCTCCTGGCGCTGGGTGGCCGCATCGGTATTGGATCCGATGTTGCGGGTTCTGTCCGCGTCCCTGCGGCTTGGAGCGGTATCTACTCGCTGCGCTGCAGTACTGGCCGCTGGCCGAAGGCCGGTGTCAGTACGAGCATGGCTGGACAGGAGGGTGTGGCCAGTGTCTTCTCTCCTATGGCCCGCACCCTGAACGACCTCACCTATTTCACCAAAGCCATCATCGGCATGCAGCCATGGAAATATGACTACACTGTCCACCCCATCAGCTGGCGCGAAGACGAGGAAACCGAAGCTCAGAGCAAGAAGCTCCGTATTGGTCTGATGTCGACTGATGGTACGTTGATGCGACTTCCCTGGTTACCCCGCATAGTGAGCTAACCGAAACCAGGTGTCGTCCCTCCCACCCCTGCGATTGCTCGGTCTTTGTCCACCACCGTGCGTGCCTTGAAGGCCGCCGGTCACGACGTCGTGGAAATCACCCCTCCTGCTAAAGCTGACCCCTTCACTGGCCTGCACCTCGGTTCGCAACTCCTCAACTCGGACGGCTGCGTCACATTCAACTCGCATCGTTACAGCTTTGAGCCCTCGGACCCTGGCGCGGACCAGCTCACCCGTATCTGCAATCTCCCTGCACCCCTCCGCTACCTTTACTACCTGTATGTGCGGTACATTCGCCGCGACTCGAAGTGGGCGGCCCTGATCCGCACCTTCTCGCACAAGTCCTCGGCCGAGCTCTGGAAGCTGGTAGCCCAGCGGGAGGCCTTCCGTGCCACGTGGCACGCCTGGTGGGACGGTGAGTCGCAGCAGTATGACTTTATCCTGTGTCCCGTGAATGCGACCCCGGCGCTACCGCACGAGGCCATGCGCGACGCGGTGTCCTCATGCGGCTACACGTTCTTGTGGAACGTGTTGGACTACACGGCCGGAGTGCTGCCGGTGTCTCACGTGGACCCTAAGAAGGATGCGCTGCCGATGCCATACAAGAAGATGCTCAGGCACCTGGGTGCAAACCATGCCATTGCCAAGGGCGCTTGGATGCACTACGATGCCGTGAAGATGGCCGGACTGCCGACTGCGGTGCAGGTGGTTGGCCGTCGGTGGCAGGAGGAGAAGGTTCTGGGGTATATGGCTGTAGTGGAACGTGCGTTGGAGCTGTACTGGGATTCGGCCAGCGGTGAGGGTGGGAAGTATCCTTTGATTGAGCTGGATTAAAATGACAGACGGGTTTGTCCGAGTGTACCTAATCGAGTCCGCAGGAAATATATATTTCCGATGTCTTTGAGGGTAGAGATAACTTAAGGATTATCGGTGGATATATAGTCATTTCATCGACCACGCAATGTCATTCGTCCCCTTTGGACCTGCATCGTCGGAAGTCCGGAGTGCCTGGGAGAGATGAGCGGCTGAATATGCACCGCTGATCGCCCAATTCTTGGGCTGTTCCACCATGCATAGTTAATGAGTGACAGGCTGTGAATGACCAATTTATTACTAAGACTGTCGTCGGATTCTTGGATGGCGCATGGAGGACCCAAACTGAGCCACGGCCCTTAGAGAATCAATTCCCCGGGCTTTTGTTGTTGCAGAGGGAATAAATAGGACCAAACGCCGTAGCCGGGGATCAGACCGAGCGTGCCTCAGATTCAGGAGACCGTTGGCCCGAGCACATGGGCTGGTTTTCAAGCTTCCAGGGGGGGCGATCCGAGCACTCGACGAATCTCGACAGACAGGGAGACTCGGCCTGTCATCCGCAGTGGGCCCCGTCAGCATCCGTCGGGAACAGATGGATAGATAGAGAAACTGTCAGACAGATCGATACCGTGTAATGGGGTGCAGGGGAGCGAATGATGTTCCATCGGACTAGGGCTTTGACCCGCGGGATTGGGTGCATTTGGTTGTCGGGTGGGTTTTTTTTGGATCTGTCACTTTTGGGGGGGTGAAGGAGCTTGGACGAGGAAAGTGACAGACCATATACTCCATACGCTTGCGGTAAGATAGAGAGATAGAGAGGGGCCGCCAGGATCTGAAGAATGGGATACCCATGGGACCAACCCCCCGAATGGGCCAAGGAAGACAGAAACTACTGAACTTTGTTGCGGCTGTCATGTTGGGTCTTGCGGCGATCTGCACGGGGAGTCACGGGAGTCAAGAAAGAGAGAGAGAGAGAGAGAGAGTCTCGTTCGGTCTTCCCGCTCGCTTCCTCCTCTTCCTCTCCTCCTCCTCCCCTCCTCAAAACTACTCTACATCCCTTCCTCACTCTCTCTTCTTTCCCCCCATCTTCCTCCTTTTCTCTCCCCTTCTCTTCCTTCTCTCCCTTTTCTTAAGTCACTGACTCCCTCCTCGCAGTCGGAGGACCGGTGGGTCCCTCTTCATCATCGTGTCTGACGGTTCCGTGGCCTACACCCGTCGGTCGTGTCCACCCTCGCCTCTGCCACCTCCGTCATCTGGAAAATATCTGGTCTCGATAAAGCCATCCTCATCGCCTGTCCCGATCGTCTTCGCCACTCTCTGCCGGTGCTTCCCCGTCTTTTTCCCTTCCCGCAGGATGCTGTTCCTGCAGGCCGTATCATCCCCCGTCGCCACCATCACCTCCGCGAACACTTGTCTTCTTCGCACTTGATGGTCGCAATCTGCTCTCCTAGGTGGAAATGCCTCCAGTCAAAGGCCGCCGCAGGCGCCAGAAAGACGAGATCTATTTTATCAACGCCCGCCCCTCCACCGACGACGAGCGCATCAATATTCAGCGCATGGTACGCGCTCATGTCGGCCGATGGATCTCCGATCAGACCAAAGACCGTTCCGCTAGCATCTCGGACACCTATCCCGACGCTCAATTCCACCCCTCCGTCGAAAAAATCCACCCCGAAACCCCGTCGCAACCTCCTGAACTCGACACCGATGAAACTCTTTTCCCCTCGTCCTCGCCCTCTGCTTCGCGCACCTCCTCGCCGCATTCGCCCGAATCCATCACCTCCAACAGTCTCACTTCGACTCGACCTTCCTCGCAACAGGCTCAATCGGTCCTCATTCTCCCGACGTCCCAGAAGGAGTCTCCCGTGAATGCGTTTGAAACCGGCCGCCGCTGGTCAGTGGATTATGCTGAAAACAGTACCGACAGCTCCAGCTCGGACCCGGGAGACTGCATTGAAGTCATCGGCGGCAATGTGCTTGATCCCTTCCACACATATCCGTCGCAGTATTCTCCCGAGGTTGTTCATGCCTGCGAAATTTACTGTACGTGAGACCTCTTCCCATTGTGCTCTTCCATCACTGACCCCGCCCCAGGCCTCCAAGTCTTATGGCCTCGTCTGACTCCTGGCTCTTCGGATGGACACGATAACTTGGCTTCGTCGAGCTGGTTCCCCCTCTCGTTGACTGATCCTACCCTTTTCACGGCCTTTTTATTTGGTTCGCTGTCCCACCAACGGGTGCAATGGGTCAATCGCTGGATACCCGAGGGTGCATTCCGCGCCCGTGACCAACAATTATTGCAACTGTGCGAGTTTGAGACGATCAAGATGATCAACCGCGAGGTGCAACATCCGACGCGTGCTGTCTGCGATTCCGTCATTCTCAGCGTTATATGCATGGCCCATAACATTGCCGATGATAACGATCAACGACGGCACCGTCTCACCCCATTTACAGCACCAATGAGACGATTGCAGTGGCTAGATGTATACGGCAGTCTTCCGCCGAATCTAGTCCACATACAGGGTCTGGTTCAAATGGTCAAACTACGGGGAGGACTAGACAATATTACCCTTCCGGGCTTGGCCCCAGTCCTATCGTTGTAAGTCGGCTAGATCTCCCTATTTTGGCATGTGCTAACACTTTACCAACCCATAGCTCGGATATCGTCACCGCTTCCACGTATCTCACCCCTCCGGCGTTTACATTTTACCCTCTCTGCGAGAGCCGAAAGAATCTTTCAATCCATGAGCTTCTGGGATACAATACAATGGACGCTGAGCGTCGCTACGGCCATCTGCAACAACTCGGCCTAACCCCAGAGTTGATCGACGTTTACCAGGCCATGCACATCTATACGGGTATCGTCGACGGTCATCTGCGAAAGAATCCGTCCAAAATTGATGAGGCACTCCTCGCTGACCAGCGCAACCTGGTGCACCACACCATGCTCTCCATCCCAACTGCCAGCCAGGGCGATGGCTTTTCCGGTTACAATAACAACGAAGAAATCATCTACGAGGCGTGTCGTCTCGCCGGCCTCGTCTTTAGTGTGGGCGTGATTCTGCCCCTGCCAGCCCAAAGCACGCCGCTCACGCAGCTCGCCACCCTGATCAAGGCCCTCATGCAGTTCTTCAACCCCGCCATTGTCTGGTCACATCCACATGCGCGTATGACGCTACTCTGGGTGCTTATGATGGGCGGTATTGCGGCCGAGAATACGCCCGAACGAGCCTGGTATGTGTCGACACTCCGCCAGGCGGCTTGTGAGAACGGGGTGGCTTCGTGGGCAGACATGCGCAAGGTTCTGAGCAATATTTTGTGGTGGGATATCGCCTGCGACCAGCCAGGGCATAGACTGTGGCTGGAATTGGGCCGATCAATCGTCCGATGACGATCATCCATGCACCTATTTGGTGTATGTATACATGTTATACCCGATCGGGTTCGAAGCGTTCTATACATCTTGATCACATACCCAAACTCTGTGCTTTCGTTTCTTTCCCGGTTTTTCCCGCCTCTTTCTTTTCTCTATAACCCTCTTCACATCTTTGGTCTTTATCCCGCGGGATAAAAGTTGGTCTGTTGCCTACGGGCCGGCGAGACGGGTATGAATCACGACCGTCATGATGGATTTTCTTAACTTTCTTTTCTTTGGTCTCCCTTTTCGGTGTAAGGGGTAGGGGTCGCGGTTTGCGGAATATTTCGTCGGGGGTCTGTCTCCATAACATATCCATACTTCTTCGCATGGGCCGGTCCATTGCCATTTACTACATAACGCATTTGTTCATATCATACACCATGCATATATCGAAGTACGAGGTGTGCCCGATATATATCGCTAAGCGGGACATACTTCTCAGGCTTATACCTTGGGAATCTCACCTAAGTAGAACTTCTCAATCCTTTCTATTTGTATTTAGGTGTTTGCAAAGCCTTCACACGCTAGGCACACCGACTAGGGCACAACGCTTCCGTACGATCCTCCACCACCACCAGGCCGAACAAGCGGCTCTCGCTCCCAGTCCCGCCTCACAATTCCGTCAAGCCCCCCTTCCTCTTCTGTCGAGATCTCGGCCGTTACCGTCGCCGCCGTTCGCATGACCCTCGCGCGAGACCACACGAACCCAACAAGGACCACCCCCACGCCCAACGTCACAGCAGTCAGAAGCGCATTGACCGGAACGGGATCCTGCCCGAACAAGCGAAACGTCATGGTATCCAGCCCCGTCTGGGCGAAATTGCCCAGTCCCGCCAAACAGATGATCAGGCCATACACCTTGCCGAACGTCTGGAACCCGAACACCTTCGCCGCGTAGTCCGACACGGCGGTGTAGTAGAACGGGCGGTACAGCACGAACAGCACGATGTTCGCGTACCCGGCGGCCAGGCTGTGGCGAACACAGCCTAGCGCGCCGATAAGCGTCGCGACGGCGACAAGGACGAAAAGAACGGTGGGCGTGCTGGTTGTATCGAGGATGGTTCCGATGAGGGGGACAGCGAGGAGGCCGCCGACGGGCAGGAGGACGTCGAAGACGGCGTTGAGGTGGGCCGCGGCGGATGGGGATAGCAGGTAGGTGTACTGTTGGCGGAGGGTTGCGACAAAATAGTTGATGCGGAGCATTTGGAGAATCGTGAAGAGCGTTATTAGGATGAACCAGGGGGTGCGGAGCTGGGCGAGCGCTGAGCGGCCGTGTAGGGCACCCCACACACCGCTCGCGGGTTGAGGGTTGGGGGTGGGGGTGGATGCGGTTGCTTTGTTAGCTGTAGGCTGAGAAAGATTGCTGATATCGGTAGCCAATGCTGAGTCGTCCTCAACATCGCTCAGCAGCTCGTGGATCTGGGAGACGACTTGGTGGCGGTGGGCGCGACGATCATCACGCTGGCGTTGGCCCTCGTGGGAGTCCTCGATCGAGTCGTCGACGCGGTCGTGTGCTTCGGCGCTGATGTGCTCACGGGCTTGTTGGACGAGCTCGCCGGCGGTTTTATAGGACGTTGCGGGCATCAGCGAAAGTTGTGCTCCAAGGACGAACAGCGGCACGAGCAAGTAGATCATGAAGAAGATGGAGGTTGTGAAGCCGCGTTGGGTGGCCTCGTTGATGAGCCGAAAGATGAGGAAGAGGGCGCTGGAGGCATCGAAAGCGCCGGTTAGAAGCGAGAGGATTAGCCCGGAGCGAGCGGGGAAGGTATTGGATAGGTGGAAGGAGGAGATGAAGATGAACGGTCCGCCGAGCGAGAGGAACAGGTACCCAGGGATGTAGGCATCGAAGGGAAGCCGACTGGCGAGACCGAAGAGGAGGCTGCCTACGATTAGACTTAAACTCCCAACGACGCCGCAAACGCGTGGGCCATGGGTGTCCAGGATCGCGCCCACGGGGAGGGCGGCGACGTTGGTTGCAACAGCTGCAATGGTGAACATGAGATTGAGGCGGAGTTGCTGGCTGTAGCACACATCCTCCTGGTTGTCAGGTGGACATAGCTGGCGGTAGACGCCCTCTGCGATGAGGACTGGCTTCAGAGCCGCAAAGCCAAATACGATGCCAGCCGATAGGAAGCAGTAAATGACTGCGACACAAACCTGGGAGATTCTCTTTACAGGGCTCACTTCAAACGCTCCCGTGGTCTCCAAGGCGGTCCATTCGCGCACCTTGTCAGCAAAACGCCGTCCTGGCGCCTCCTCAAACTCATTTCTATGAGGAGGCTTGGTTGTCGAAGAAGAAATAGAGGTCCTGTCGTCGTCGGCGTCGTCTACTGATGCCTGACCCCAAGCCGGTCCGGCGTAGGGGTTGAAGTTGAGGCGGTGACTGACAGACGGGGGATTAAAGGTGGATTGAAACGAGGAGGACAACGACTCCTCAGGCAAATCCTGGTACGCATCGGAGTCGTCGGATTCATTTACTAGTGATGACGATACGTCATGAGAATGTTGGCGGCGGAAGGCTGCCGGATTGCGGATCCAGGACTCCAGGTAGGAAACGCGATTCAGCGACATTCTTGGCCCAGCGACTATCTCTCGTCAGATTCGACATTCCAGACAGCTTTGACCTACTAGAGATATCAGGTACCTGCGTATGATTATCTGTGTGTCTGCTGGTTGATGTTGATCTCCGTTGCATCAGGCCGATCGAGGCCCGGACGGAAAGCGCTGGTCCTCATCAAGCGATCAAACTCCACTGATGGAGGTTCCGATGAAGATGTAACAGAAGAGACAAATGATAGCGTTGTCTGTGTACGGAATATTTGATGGCCCACTACCACAGGGACCAGTGCAGGATGCAGTCACGATGGAGAGATGGATGTACTCCGTAAACCGTAAGTATGAGGTGGAGATGGTGGAGTAGTCGTTTCGGCTTAGTCGGACACAAATGTCCACGTGACCCCACTGTTCCAAGTCATGTGATCCTTCAGTCAGCCGTGTACACTTACTCTTTTAAGGCTATACACGTACTTTAGTGTCCAACCATCACCGCCACGGGATCTAACCGATGCTTGCGATGGTGGACCCCAACTGTACTGTACGGAGTACCAGCAAGCTGTTCTACGGAGTATTCTCCGGTTCTGGGGTGGCTTGCCAATTATCTCTGCAGCATCCGTCGCCACGATTTCAACCCCCCGCCAAAGCGTTTAGCCCTGCTCGAATCACACACCGTAAGTACTCCGTACATGGCTGCTTCCGCGATATGCGATCTCTGACTGGCGCTTTTGCATCCATCGTCTGCGCCACTAATATGCTGGGATCCTGGAGATTGCCCTGTGTATGGTCTAAGACCTCAGGAATATTAGGATCTCCCCGTATGGGTTCGTCCCAGATGATTTCCAGCTTCCTCATCTTGAGTCCTCCTGCCAGAGGATGAATCAATGCGGTCTGAAATACTTCGTACAAAGCTAGCCACCGCCACTTTCCTTGGGTTACCGGCCATTTATCGGGAAATTAGTGGCTCGTCCTCGAACAGCTCGACTAGCGACTCTGACCGTACTGAGCAATAAGAATAATAAGGCTACCTAGGTCTGGTCCTGGTGATGGACCTGCGCATGAGAACCCAGACCCCCTTGCGGATCTCCTTGATTGATCTCTCAACGCGTTGTGAGATTCGCCACCATGGCCCGCGCCATCACGCCCATGCCTGAGGAGCCACCAGTGGCGAAGACACAGACGCGGCTCGATAAACATTAAGTTTAGCAGTCAACGGGTTTCTTCCAGCTGCAATCTCATTTCCAATCGCTATTGGCTGTGGACCAAACGAGCCCTGGTATAGAATGTTTAGCCGATGATGCGAGATGAGAGAGGCGACCCAAACTTCCCGGTCTCCACTCATGCTGGAGTACGGAGTACATCCAGCTCGGACTAGTAGTGCACATACCAATAGCGTGCATAACTAATAAGATTTCCAGGTAGTTGATTTGTGCAAGTGGCAGCCTAAACCAACAACGTCCGAGACCCGAGTACGGCCGCCGTATCCACGGGCATTCCAAGGGACCAGGTACACACTTATTCTTCCATACTCCAGAGGCTACGACATCGCGCTTTTTTTCATAGGGCGTAACGTACCCTACCCTTTATTGACCGGGACCGTTTCGGCCGGGTGCCCACGCAACGGCAATGCAGATCGTCTGCATCCCATCTAATCTCAGATCGAATTTCTCCTTCCGGAAAGGATCCCGTGCTTTGGGTCAATGGGTGCTGTTGAAGTCCCAAAAAAGGCATACCGCAGGCGTCCTCGGGCTCCGCACGTCCCAGCAGCTGGAGGTATTGCGTAGCATGCCCATGCCGAATGAAGAAGGAGGTTGGTTTTTCTGGCAGTAGTGGCTGAACTGTCGCGGACCCTTGCTGTATCAGCTGTATCAGCCTCGCAACAGCACCCTCTCCCATTAGGGAAGCCAGACCGATTGAAGGCCGTTGGATTTGATTGCGTACGAGATACTGGGACTGTTCTCGCCCGCTAGGAGATGATAGATCATACTAGAACATATTTGATCCTTCTCCCTCAAGGACTAATAATGAATTCATGTCGTTGATCTGGCCAGATCCAGCACCTTGTCTGCACGAGCCAACGATCTGTTCGTCGGGTACTCCGTACTTCCTCGTCCAACGCTTAGCCGACGCCTGGCAGTTGCCTTTTTTAACCCTAGCTCTGGGCCAGCAATTTTCCTAACTTTCGGTATCTTTTCCCGTTATCCATGCATATTTTATCTTCGCCTTCGATTCCTTCAGCTCTTGATACTCCCACACATTGTTTATACCTTGATGTTCGTACTCATTATTCATGGCCGTTGCAACCGCCAGCCGCAGACCGACTCGAACATAGCGTGATGAGGGGATGGTGAGGCTAGCATTCGAAATACCTACACTTTGGCTTCAGCGGGTTATCTAACCAAAGTACACGTTTCTTATAGCCTTACGTGCCGTCAGCGCCATCTAAAGTGTAACGATCTCTTTTCGGCTATTGTCATAACATTCCTTGTGCCACGACCCTAATCAGAAGTGTCTCCAGGTGATAAGACTGGCCCTGAGTGTCTGCGTTGTCAGCGATCGGGACGAAAGTGCGTTCCTGTCCCTACGAAACCAGAGGAAGTCACCTTTCGCCACGGCCAAAACCCTTCATTACGGCCGCCAGGCCCTCCTCGTTATGGTGAGAGTGATCTGGCCTTTCCAGATAACCAGATCTGGGTGGAAACGCCTCCAGAAGGTTTGCGACGCTCTCGACCTTCGTCGGTGCTGCTGCTGCTAACGGCTTCTCAGTAGCGTTCGAGGACGAGACGGATCGCACAGCAGCCGATTATAACGTTGTGTCAGTAGGAGAGCCCCTCTCCTATGTGCGAGAGATGTCGGAAAGTCAGTCTTCGGCCTCCATGGTAGCGTTCCCTCTTCGAATTGCCAACCCATGCTCCCATCCCCAACTTGATCTATACGCTAGCTCTTCAAACGCCCTCCTCTCGCCAGAAGACCTGAGCGCTCGTCAGAAGTTGAGCAACTTCAACGAAGCTTTCCTCTTGAGACGATTCCGCGGCACTCTCGGTCCATTGGTAACGCCTTCGGCGCGCAGTGTCGGAAGCAGGCATATCGCTAATCACTCGGCAGCTTGATGTCTGCGACCACGAACGACGCTTTTCAGTAGAGGTGGTAGAACGAGCCCCTTCGTGCCCTCTTCTTCTCTACGCATGTCTCGCCATCGCCGCTCGCCACCTCTCTCACTCGACAAACTCAGTTCCTCCCAACGCTGCCGACGAATACCACGAACGATGCATCGCCATCCTTCTGCCTGGTCTCGAAAGCAGAGACTTCCAGCAGAACATCGAGACACTTTTGGCCGCAACAGTGATTCTCCGTTTGTTCGAGCAAATTTCTTGTATGTGCCGCAGGTAGAGAGACTCGCTCATCGTTGTTCATGGTTGTTGACGTCGTTTCATAGCTCATAACCCCTCCAACGACCAGCAACGACACCTCCTCGCAGGGTCTGTGTACATCGGCTCCCAGATCGACTGTGCAACGTCGGGCGGCCTAGCCGAGGCCGCATTCTGGGTATTCGTTATGCAGGACATCCAGTTCGCGCTGGCATATCGAAAGCCCCTGCGGCTGACTCTAAGCCCCTTTGCGGGAAAACTTCGGCAAAAGTGGGCGCACAATATGTACGAGATGGACCGGGACTGGACACACCGCGCGATTTGGGTGTTGGCGGAAACAATCAACTACTGCTATGCCAGGAACACTCCGCTCCCGACGGACACCATGGATGGGAAGGACCTGAAGATGAAAATCCGCGAGTGGGAGACAGAACGACCGGAAAGCTTCCGGGCTCTCCATGTTTCACCTCCCAATCCCGCAATCGGCCGGGCCTTCCCGGTGGTGTGGTTCACGAACGCTTCGCATGGTATGTGTCCTTGCGTGTTGGACTTGCATTTGCTAATGACTGGGACAGCAATGGCGGTGCAGCATATCTGTATGGCGAAGGTCCTGATCCAGGAATACGAGCTACAAACTATGGGGCTATCGGCGGAAGCCAGAGCCAATGGCAACGTAAGAGAGGCCTGCAACATCCAAGTCTCTCGAGGAACGTCTCTGACCGTTGTAGGACAACTTGATCGAGAACCTGAACCTTCTCTTTGGCATTGCGTTGTCGACCGACGACGAGCCGTCCTTGCGGATCTTAGCCTGCCACGCGCTCTGGGCCTGTACGTTGCCCTACAGTACATGAGATCCACCATCGCAATTCCCGGAAACCAAAAGCTCACTAACCGTTACCTCATCGCAGGTGCCACATGGATCCACGACCCTCTGTCGCGAAGCAGCCTATTGGACCTCCTGCGGCGAACAGAGGCCGAAAACAGCTGGCCCTGGGGGTTTTTGGTGCAGAAACTAGTGCGCGACTGGCGGGTCCCTGTGCGGCCATAGCCAATATTGTACTCCGGAAAATCACCGGCGTTGGCTCCCCCACCGGTATCCCGTTTTCCACCCTGGAGGCATTCACATGCTCCCTCGCGGCATTCGAGGGGAAAAAACTCCCGTCCGTTAGCTCCACTTCCATGAGAGCACCCCCACCTACCGTCTTGGCGATTTGCATAATTTAGACTTTCCATCGGCCACTAGCCGCCTGCGGCGGCTGTGGCTAGCGGCAAGGACATGTGGGTTTGTTTGGTCGTCGGAAGTACCCCGGTAGGCGCGTGGCGCAGTCGCAACGCCATTTCCTCATTGGTACGAGGCTGAGATGGAGCGGCGACAGGTCACAACGATCTGGGCTACTTAGCGGGTACCAAGGGCTCACCATCGAGCGTGGGACGGGAGGTTCGTCGCTCGAAGCATGGGCGATCGGTCTAGCTCATTTTACGGAGTAAAGGTGTGGCGACTCTTTCAGCTCCGTGGGGTCGTCAGCCTTCATCGCCGTGGTCCCGATGATCGGAATCTCCTTGACAAAAGACGCAATCCCGATACCGGGGGGGTCTACTACTGTCACTCATGTTTGGCCTTGCCACTTACAACGCAATCAACTAGCGACCCGCAGTCTGCACTTCCTGATGTGACCGCAGGTGCTGCTCTAAGGGGTTCTTGTCCATTTGCTCCTTTTGCTAGATCAGATAATGGTGAAGTTGGACATCTGTATGTTTGTCCTGTAGGTCCGTTGAAATGTACGAAGCAGTCAATTACGACATGCCTTGAATGTTGTAGTTTTGCGTCGAACCTTCGGAGTATTATTCCATGCACGTTATATTATATATATGTAAGAGAGAATCCACCATCGTCGATATAAGTTGGAACACTATCTGCATCTAAGCAGCGTTTATCTACGGGCAGTTCTACTTGCGTGTATTCACGATCAGCTATGTGCAGAGGTTGGTACATCCAGTACAGCCCGTCATAAATTCTAGTCCATCCACCGCGTCAACAAACAGAGGGATATCATGCTCAAGCCACCCAAATCCAACTCCAAGCCAGACCAATATGTATGCAATCAAGAATAATACCCCATTCCCGCATCCGCCGACAGCGGCAAATTCAAGAACCCATCGCCCATCATCGTCTCCAGGGCAAGCAAATTTTCCGGGTTGAATGGGACCTGCATCCCCAGCTCGGGAACAAAGAAGCCCAGGTTCATCCCGGGCATGCCCATCCCAGCAGCCCCGAGATCCGGGTACCCCGTTGTCGGGATCTCCTGGTACGCCGGTGCGGCTGAGGTCGTGTCTGTCGAGCCAAAGGGTGGGTAGAATGGCCTGGTAGTGTTGGATGGTTGGTAGGGCGGCCAGTCGGAGACAGCATTGGTGCTGTTAGTCCCAGGGCTAGGTCCCGATGCTAGCGCTTGATGTGGGGAGACAAGTTCTGAAGACGAGGGCGGTGGCTGTCTGGGTATGTTTGGAGAGTAGTTTGAGGCTCCAGGTCGCGAGGATGGGAGATACCCTGCTGTTCCGGCACGGTTGGGGTCGCCCATGGCGACTTCACTGAGGAGGTGGAGCGGGGTGGCGCCCGATTTCTGTCGGCCTTTAGTCCACTCCCATTTAAATATAGTGCGTATGGAGAAACTTACCGGGGGGTTCTTGTCGACGTTTGATTCCTGGTCTGTTTGGTCCGTCCCGCACGGAAAGCCACGGCCAAATGCCTCCTTCAACTCGGCAGAACGGTCTTTACGAGTATTGTACCATCTCTGAAGCAGCCCCAGCACCACGGCGAACTTGGCCGGGGTCCTGCCTCCAGGAAGCTCACCGGCAGCGCCGTAATGCTCGATCACGCGGTTCAAATAGTACTCGACTCGAAGACTCGCCGGCTCGATGATCTGCCCGAGACTGCTGTCTGGGCCCGAAAGGATCGAGTACAGTTTAATCAGTCCGACGATCGCAAACGACGTGCGGGCCTGGGACACCACCGGGAGGCAGATGAGGTCGTGGATGTCCACATCGCAGATGATGTCCAGTGCCTTGTGGCAAGCCGTGAGACAACTACCGAGTGCATTCACATGTGCGGTGCTAATAGGGCTGGTATGGGTGTCTCCCGCTGACTTGGGGCCATGGCCATTTGGATCCATATGCATGGCCGGTTCGTGCATGTAGAGGTCGATGATTTGTTCGGCTTGTTGCATTACGGCTGGACAAGGTCAGAGGGTCTCATAAAAGAAGAGATCAAATCAACTTACGGGCATGATCTTTTTCTTCCGATCGTGCTTCCCTCTTCCACTCTTCCAATTGTTTCTCAAATGCCCTCAGCGTGTACTGCATCTTGGGCTCGAACATTGAGCCGTCGAATCCCGTATCATCCGTGAAAAATTGCACGTTGATATCTTCCATGATGTGCGATAGCTTGGCCCACTGTATCATCCTCTTATCTGACGGCAATGCATCAGGTGACTTCTCCAAGATGTCGATACATTCGTCCATATACGAGTTCCAGCGGACAAGGATCGTTCGCCTCAGGGAGACGGTGACGTGCACCGCCAGAAAGTAACAGCCTAGCCAGGTGCGTCGGACCTCTGGCGAATTCGGCTCCAACGACGGCGGCCCTCCACGAATGTAGTCCCTCATGAAATTGAAAGGCTTGTTCTTCACTGTCGCCTGCCGATACATACCTAATTCAATTCCGATCGAGACAGCCAGGTGCGTCATCTGATAGAACTTGAGCTGCTCGAAATGATTCGGTATCATGTACCAACTGCAGGTCACCAGGATAGCCTGCACCAGCTCAAGAGACTTCTCAGCTTTCACGATAGTCCTTTCCGCAACCGTTTTGTAAAAGTCCTCCGTGATGGGGACCTGCAAGTCGGGTGCGAATGAGCCCACTGCCACACACACGATAGCATGGAAAAGTACTGGCTTGGTCCGTCGAATCTGGTCCACCGTCGTGCCCGCCGGAAACATCACCAGTGGGATACTCGGCGCCATGCGTGTCACAAACCGATCGAACGCCTTCGTGGCTAACTCTTCACTCACCATACCCCGATCAACAATATCCACCGGCTCGCTCGCAGCCTCCGACCTCGATGACGACCGCGGGTTCGACCACGGACCTCGCCACTGCCGCCCCGCATTCTCCCCAGGCGTTTGATCAGAAGCCGAACTCGACTCGCGCTCATATGACCCCATAAACGCGCCATCTCTAGACGCCTTGACCTCCCCGTTAGGGCCTCGCTTGCTCCCTGCGACACCACTTACGGGGGGCGGACCATCAGCTGCACCAGACGGTAATGTAGGTCCCAACCACCGCCGTCCGGGATGGTGCTCCTCCCGCGCCGACGGCGGGGGCACCTGTTCTCGCGACATCGACGGCTCCTGGACCTGCGGAGAGGCAGACGTGGAGGCCTGAAGGCTAGCCGTCAAGGCGTCAATCTTGCGCTCGAGCTCCGCAACGCGGCTGTCCGTCTTCTTCTGGCGCTTGCGACTCGGTGCCGTGACAATACAAGCCCGGCGGGCCTTCGCGCAGCGCTTACACGTGCCGGACGGGTGGTTTGGATCGGGGTCGCAGCGGACCTTGAGCTGGCGACAGGCTTCGCAGGCGCGCGGCCGTTTCAAATCGGCGTATGGATCATTGGGATCGGGTGCGTCGGCTCGCAATGACGGGTCCGAGATGTGTGACGGGGGATCGGGATAGGTCTCGCCGACGGGGGAGTGATGCGGCGGTGGATGGGACGACGACGACGGAGGCGCGGCTGTCATGCCGCCTGATCCCGAGGTACGGGGTGTCGCGTAAGATTTATGAGCGTCTGCGTATTCGGTTGTGTTGGTGCTATTCCCTGTGCGCAGGCGTGGGTTGAGCTCCATGAGTTGCGGGAACTGGGGCAAGCGTTCGGGTCAGTCAGGCTACCAAGATAAGGGGATGCGCGCGACACCATGGCTATGCGGATCTCTAGAAGCTTGTTGCGTGCAGATGCGGGACCAAACTGGCTACCAGCAGCGAGGGTGACCATGTGCTTACCTCGGAAACGTGGGCGTGCAGAACTGCAAGGCGAATTGATGACGGCTTGCTTGCGTGCCTGGAGAATAAGCCAAGCAGTCGGAAGACGGTGAATCGGTGTCCGACGTCCGACAGGCGGGGCAACGGAAAGATAAGGCAGATCTCCGAGTTGAAATGGGATCTACAAAATATCAACAGGATGAATCAGAAGGAACAGGCATTCCCCGAGAACTAAATGGAGGCGATGATTGATGAAGACAGGATGAAGAAGACAGAAAGTGGTGAGGACGAGAGAGAACGCGGGATTTCCTTCGGCATCAGGCCATCCATAGGGACTACCAGACAACTTCTACATCCAAAGATCATGACAAACTCCATTTACTATGTTCGATTATGCAGACAATCCACCAACGCCGGCTGAAGACTCACAGGCAGATTCTCAAGGGGAGTGGTTATTTGCAGCCAAAATCGCCCAACGCCATACACGCATCTAGCGATAATATCCATCCAAAAAAGGGTATACGTCGAAAATCACAGCAAAGCAGAAAAAGTCCCTATTTACCAGAAGAACCATCAAGATACCTTGTGAACAGGACACTCCTTCTTCCGCTCAAACCACTCTACGATGCAACGTTTGTGGAACTTGCAAAGACACTCCAGACGGACCAACGGCTGACCAACCTCGTAATCCTCCATGCAAATCGTACACTCCTGCGTCGCACCGTCATGTCCGAGACAATCCTTTTCCGTGGCGGCGAAGGCAATCATACGGACCGGGGTTGAAGCCAGTGCCACGGGGCTGCACTGCTGCGAGGGAGAACGTCCCTGACGACCATGGCTTTCGATACAATCCCGAATATGCGCCTCACGGTCATCTTCGCTGCCATTCTCGCCTAACGGCGGCAGACGCCGGTCACAGATCGGGCACAAGTCACGTTCATCGACGTGACGCCGCCTCATGCCCAGGCCCAGATCAACCGGTCTGCCGGGTGATCTACCCATTGGAGGAAATGGGTCGCCGTTACCCGTCGCCAGCGGGGGCAGAGATCGCACAGAGGATCTCGCCGCGGGTGCGAAACGCGAGGCAGACAAAGACCCGTAGTCTATGGGACGCTCCTGGAATCGCGAGCCGTAGGAGCCGCCGAATCCGCCGAAGCCGGGGAAGTCGTTCGATCCGACTGTTCTTCGGGTCGGTCGTTGAAAGAACGTGTCGGACTAGGATATCCAGGTTAGCCACAGCAAAGAAAAATGTCCGCATCGAAACTTACGCCTGTGTAGTGAGAGGGTCGTGAACCTGACGACACTGAATGGTAGGACCGGTGACGAGTTTGGCCTGGGGGCGCAACATAGCTCCCTCGCAACATCCCCGGCCCTGAAGTGCCATACCCACAGGGAGGCTCCGGGTTCGGGTCCGGGACACATGGATTGCAAAGACGCACTTCTTCGCCGCCTCCTAGGGCGGGATTCAGCGCCGTGGGGGATTGAGCAGCGTCATCGTCGGCATCTAGGTTAATAACCTGGCCCGCACGCGCACCCAGCAGCGCAGCAGCTGGGGCGCGGTTTGGGTCGGGAGGGTGGACGATGAACTGCCTGGGAATGGTAATGCGATGTGGTGAGCACGACGCACATACGACGCGACCGCACTTCCGGCAATGATGCTTGCGATACCAAAAGCTGAACTGGACGCCACAGATTGGACAGTTCGTGACCTCTGAATCGGGCTGCCATCGAGGGCGAATATACTCCATATAATCGCCCCCGGGGCGAGTCCACGACTCCCGGCGGTTATTGGGCCTTTGCATGATCGGATTCGGCGGCGAAGACGACAGGTCGATGGGGTCCGCATAGGACGAGCCTGGGCCCGTCGCGTCTGGTGACGTTTGCGAGGACGAAGAAAGAGTGATAGGCCGGCTATCCATCTCTGATCGGCTGCTGGAGCCGATCTCCATCCCCGGACCTGATATCACACGCCTCGGCCAAACATCCCCCTCGGTATTCACTAATCTTCTCTTCCGGTCCGAGCCGGACAGAGTTGACCGTCGCCGTTCCGATCGCTTATCAAAAGCAGGTCCAGCCTCACTTAGTCTTGCGGAGTCTGAATTGGCATGAGGTCGGAAACGAGCCGGGGGCGGATCGGGAAAGGTGTATGCGGTGGGAGCACCAGTTGGCGTTGATGAGTGCGTAGAGGCTGGACTCGACGACATGAACGGAACAGTCTTCGGAGGGCGATAGAAATAATTCGAGTGTAGGCCTTTCCCCTTCGCTAGAGAGGAGATCAATCCCCGTTATTCAGAGGGCACGGCGGCATTGACTGGGTGGCACGATAAGGAAACAAGGAAACAATCGGGCGCGCTGAGGACGTCGAGGAGCAATCAGCGCCAGGCAAAATGTAGCGTCGATGTGAAGGAGGCAAGAGTGAGGTCTGACGAGAGGAAGTGTAAGAATAGCCTTGATGTTGATGGATCGAGTTGATCTCGTGACGGGCAAGGCAGACCGGCAACCTCAGGCAACCGGACACATCGAACACATCAACAGCACAATCCAGAACAAATTTTCGGTCACGATCAAGTAGTAGATAACAAGCGAAGAGTAAGCTGGCAAGGTCCGAATCCGCTAGAACAGGATGGGTGTTGCACGCAAGAGACACGGATTCGCCGCGGGGCTGGAAAAGGCGGTCTCTCGTGACAGGTCCGATTCAGTCACTCGGGATCTGATGGAGGGGGAGACGATCGGATGGCGAGAGATGATCCGTGCAGATGTCGGTGTCAGGAGGCTTCCCAGCGCCTCGCGTACCGTTGAATGCCACTATCGGGGGCAGAGAGGCGAAAGGGGAGAAGAGGAGGGATGGAAGGGGAAAGAAGAGGAAGTTGGGGGCGAGTTGATATCGGGCTTGATATCGGGTCGGCCGCGCCATTCGCCACATTCGGCCTCCCAATGGATACAGGGACACTGCTACGGTAGCTGACAACAGTAAGTATCATTATTTTTTGCTGAGAATAGTTAAAGGCCTATTTCTGAATATTTCATACAATGAAATGAAATCCTCCAAAAGATGTACAATATACAAGGGTTCCGCCCACCCAGTGGATAGACAATAATTGCCTGCAAGGAACAGTGATGACACGGTGGGAACGCAAATCCAATCAAGATCACTAACGCCAACGCAATTCTTTTCCGGAGAGAAAGGAGATTCGTAACTTGAATATGAGGTACAGACGGAAGAGTAAGAGAGCCATGGCAGACACGCTTGGACATCTTAATCGTGTCTTTCCGTGTTATGGGGCTCATTAACCAACTCGGCCGAACTCCCGGTGAAAGTTGGCTCATCGGGACTCGCCTGGAAAATATTATCCAGCATTCGGTGCTGAGGAACGTATCCCATACTCGACGGTCGCGCGGGGCCACCCTCGTGTCCATGCTGGTGGCTGGACGACGTCGACACTGTGGTGGAAGCTATAGATAGGCCTCGGTCTCGCGAAGGAGAGCTATTTGCACTAAACGGAAGTCGACCGGTACTGGATGACGATGGATGGAGTTGTTGTGGGGTGAAAAGGGTGTCCCCCAGACGGCCATCCGCTGCAGGTGCCTGTTCCGATGGGTGATCATCACGTCCCGCAGAAGCCATGGAGTCCTGTCTTGTGATCGACGGGGTCTTCGGTGCCGCTGAGGGCGCATGGGAACCATGGCGGGACCCAGCACGGCTTGGAAGCTCGATCGTACCACCGGTTTCCACCTCGGGAAGGGTGACCAAATTATCACGGGCAGCACCGTCCTCCTCGCCCTCCGAATCCTGAGGGTCCGCGTCATTCTTGGGTACCTGGCGGATGGACCCTTGGCCGGCTTGGTCGTCAGGTTCGTCACGATATGGTTCATGGAAGTCTTCTGCCTCCCCATACAGCCCAGGAGGCGGAGCCCTTGCGCTGCGGACAACTTCAAACCCTTTGCCTTTCTCCTTGGTCTTTCCTCGAAGCAAATTCCGGAAGAAACCGGTGGCAGAGGAGACAGGCCCAGTGGGATCTGCAGGGCCCGTTTTCAGTTTGCGTGTGCCACTTTGGGATAAGGGTGGCCCCCGCACTCGATAGTAGAAGTCGACCTCGCGGACAGCGTAATCCTTCCTGGTCTGTCGCGGGTCGTCATAGTCAAGCTCGTCCTTGGGTGCCGGCAGGTAGGCCGGAACAGGGGTGCCGCGTCCAGATGCGGATGGGCCCTCGAGTATATCGTCGTCTGCATCAGTCATATATCGACTACTCGAACCGCGTCTGCGTTTCTCCCCAGACAGCCCGGAATCCATCCGCTTTTTCCGAGGCCGTGGAGGGCGATAGTACGGGTCATGTGGTTGAATGTGGTATAACGGACCACTCTTCGGAGAACTGCTTCCCGTCTGATAGCCAGCCGCATTGAAGGTGGTAGTAGTAGGCGTGAACAGACCACTACTATTGGCGCGACTATGCGTACCACCATGGGCACTTCCCGACTCAAAAAACGCACTGGTCCTACCGTCACTCGCGGTTGCTCGGTTCAAAAGAAGTGCGGAACTGCCTGACAAGCTCCTAGGCCTGGATCCCTCGAATTGAGACGACAGTCTACTGTCATGGGGTCCGAGGATGGCAGCCTCAGAACCCATGCTCTGCCGGGTCCCAACAGCTTGTCTTGGTACGCGTCGTGAAAGTTGCCGCATACCAAACACCTGCGATATGTTAGCAAATAGAATCCCTAAAACTGTTACAGTTAAGGAGGTTAACCAGTATATACGTACCTTGACAAGTCCACCACGGGTGATACCTCCCTCATTTCCGCCAGCTCCGGCAAGGCGTGCGACCACTTCAACAATCGTTTGCAAGGCGTTCAGGAAGAAGCCAAACACCAAAACCAAAGCATGTAGCAGAAGGATCACATATCCAATCCATCCACGAGCCGCTTGGGAGACCTGTAAGGACGGGACGAATACAACGCTCAGCAGTACCGTGAGGAAACGAACAATGGAGAAGCAGCCATGGTAAAGGTTCATCGACGTCGGGGACGGAAATGGACGGAAGGCAATCAGAGTGAGGGTGAAGACGACTTCGCAGATTGCGAGTACGACGATTTGCGCTATTCCGGACGGCTGAAGCGCACCGATGGCAACACCTCGAGCAAGCGAAATGAAGATCGGGACTACTGCAAAAGCTGCGGCGTCGTCACAGTATGTGTTATACAGTGGACCATACAGCAACACTGTTGAGAGGTCATCAAACAAGTAGGACTTAGGACGGGTTCTTGCGATAATCCGCACTGTCCAAACACAGAACCCAGCCACTATCAGGATCACAACAACTGCAAGCACTGTGCAGTAGGCAGGAGAATCACCGGCGATGACCAGTTGGAAGAATGAAAGCGAGATCAGCGGCAGGAACAGGAAGTTGAATACAATGCGTATCACGTTGCCAACGGTGAATGGCATGTTCTTCGCTCGAAGGTCTTCCTCCGGGATGTTTGCAAACTCGCGATGAAGCCAGCGGAATGCGAAAGCGGCTTGAATAATGAGAGTGATGATCACCACGATTGAAAGCAACCACACCATCATACCCGGCCAGATATCGCGGTAGGAGTTCATTCCGACGTATTGCCCCAGCAGATCCAACCCGTAGGTGCCATCGACCGCGTACACCCCATCAGACACAGGATTCCGTTCGTGGCCGGGGTTGAAAAGACTCTGGTTGAACATAAGAGTGGACCAGGCAACTTGACTGACGGCGGGCTGGTAATAACCAGGATAATTCAACGACAAGGCGCCCGTCAGCACTGCAAACTGTATATATTGGAGACAATCCCCAAATCCAGGCGTCACCAGTCGAAGGACATCCTCGTCGCGGCCATAATTGCTTGTCCACCGAAACGGATCCGTCGTACCCCACGGGCTCCAAATGGCCGAAATGACTGTCGCGACGCCCACCAAGATCAGGATGACGAGGGGAACGTAGGCCAAAGCACTTTTTAGGGATGATCCGAAGTCTGGCGTAATGTCAACAGAAATACATCCTAAGGCCGTAACAGCCGCATCGCCGGATTTGATCTCCAGGGTTGACGACAGGGTGGCGAAATGGTATGATGATTGCATGTCATGTTGGATCGAAAATGCACGGAGCTCGCTCAAGTCACTCCTGTGGCATGGATACCGTGTTAGCTATAGTAAATCCGACACTAATGAAGTGAACCAAAAGCAAGTACTCACGTGTTAGCATAAAAGACTGGTCCCAACGGAACAGTCGCCCTTGAACCAGGGTATCACAGAATCGGAATGGCTCGCTATAGGGGGAGAAATTGACGACATCCACGGAAGCAATCAAGGTGGAATATCTGTTGTTGGCAGTATCCAGATCCACAATCTTCCCCACGGTGTCGTTGGGGTTATTCCATTGCGCATCATCAGGAAGTGGATATGTCGACCGCCGATCGGCCGTTCCGGAAACATTGCCGTACACGGTGATGTTCAGAGAATGAAGGGGATTCTCCAGGTCAAAAAGCACCGAGACATTCAGAGGGATGAACTGCAGTTGACGTGGGCTCGATTCGATGATGGAGGCATCCAGGCAATTATCGAAACTTAACAGGGCCGCCGAGGCCGGCGAGACCCAAGTCAACAAGACCACCATCATCACCACCACTGACCAAGCGATTCCCCCATTCCACCAGGTGATCCGACGCCGTCGCGGTGGTCGCAAAGAATCTCTCCATTTTCGTTGCTGCGTCGAGCGCCATCGGCCTCCGAGAACCTGGGATGCGTGCCGTTGTGAGACGGGCGCAGGGCCCGATACATCATGCCATCGCTCGTCGTGGTCTACACACATCACGGGCGGTGGGTTGAATTCAGGAGGACCTCCTCGGGGAGGTCAGCCCCCTTGTCAATGAATCAATCCACGCTGTGCGAACAATGGGAGGGAGACGGTTGAGGATATCGATAGATGTGCGGTTGCCTGGCGGAGAGCGTCCAGTGCGGATGTGACCCTGCAAACGGCGACACGGAGGGAATCCGAACGGTCGGAAAGCGACGGAGCCCAAGATGTGGTCGCCAGAAGGGAGAGACAGTTCGACGGAGGATGGTGGAAAGGAATCAATCCTCTCTAATCTGGTCCAAGATGGTTATGTAGGGGATGCGCAGCATAGTACTTTTTCGCAGCGGGGAGGGGAGAGTCCAGGCCAGGCCGGTAAACACGGAGTCACAAAGAGGGAACCGTCAAACCACAACTAGCATTATGGGTGCAATCAGCGAATGACCGGAATAGGAAGAAAACCGCAAGCGGGTTGAACCGATCCCGCCAGGTAAATGGAAACAAGAGGAAGCCAGAGAGAAGAGATGAGGAGGAATGGAAGAGCGAGACAGAGAGAGAGAAGAGTTGAGAGTAACAGTGAAGGTCTCCACTCCGGACGGGGACTGCGCCATGTTTGCTCCCTTTGCTCGTCTAAACTTGGAAACGCCTAAGAAAAAGCCTCTGGGTTCCTCTCAACGTCTTTCCTCCACTGGTCCAAGCCTCCCCATCCTGTCTCGGCTGGTGTTGTTTTGATGCTATTAATATGATCGTTGTCTTACGTATGACCTTCCAACTGTCTCCCGCTACGATTGGTGAGTGGGAGGTTGAAGGATCCGTATCGGCCCTTTGGACATCACCTCCAGTGGGATGATATCAGCCAGATGCGCTGGTCAGAAATCCCCAGATCCAGATCCCAGCCATGCTGTTGGCTACTGGGAACGCTCGCCATATGGCCTAGCCGCTTCAAGTGGCTCCTTGCGTCTAGTCTAGTTAGTATCCTGGACATTATCAGTGATCCCCAGCATCCTCAGACGATCATTGATCTACCTGCGAGATACGCATGCCTAAGCTAAGATATCCGGTATAGTACTACTACCATCAGCGATTATAATGATCATAATTAAATTGTTGTCATGTCTAGACACTCATGACCATGATATTGTTGGGCCGGGTCAGCTGCGCCTCTGAAAGAATGTCTCAGGAATTAGGGCCAAACGATGGAACCATGCAATAATATCTTGAATATTATTATCATTAATATTATTATTATTATCAGAGCTTAGACATCCGCCTTACCGCCCGAATATCGACCAACTGCGCCATTCTTCAGTCGTCCATCGGATCCACCAGGTTGGTGTCGGGAGATATACCGTCCTTGCGTCCAGTAATTATGTACAAAGAAACTCTAGATATTTTTCCTCCCACACTGGACAGCTGGGGACAGGCCTTTGCTGTGGCTAGTGAATGTACATAGCTAGCTCGATCGTTTGTCATTCATTGGTTGATGTTGGTTGGTGGACTGTGAAGCAGTTCACGCCCAGAATATATATTCCAAGTCACCGAACTACAAGTATACCAAACGTGGTTGAACCTCCTTTGATCCAAATAATAGTATTTGGAAGGAAACCACATGAATCTGTACTCCATATCATGTATTATAAAACCAGTAGAGATAAAGCCAGTGGGTCAACAAATAAATGCATCTTTACTACAGTCAAGCCCTGGTCGCTCAGATTGCAGACGAACGGTCAAAGAACCTGAAAGAGCAACACCTCCAGAGTCAATGCGTTCTTTGTGCTGTTGTGCGACCTGCACGCTATTCTAAGCCGATTTCATGTCTCGAAGAAATCCCCGTGGCTAATCCCTATTAAGCATGCGTGCACCGGGATCTATGAAACAGGCAAGCCGAACGGAAGCCATAGCGCCCTTGGCTTCATTCGGACATGACCGAGGATGCAGCGGCAGTCTAGTGGACTTCTTGAGGAGCCAAGCATTTGACAGGATGCGCGTACGGGTAGAGTGTGTCGGACAAGATGGCAGGGATGGTGGGCCAGATGGGAATCGGTCAGGGGTGAAGCAGCTCGGGAGGTGACGTATGACTGGGGAAGGGAAATCTGCGTCATTGTGAACAGCAATGGTACTACGGAGTATATAGAAATGATGGAGGACCCGGTCTTTGAAGCGAACGTACCGAGTTTCTGGGAGGCCTGGAGGTTCATGAAGGGACGAGCGGATGAGGGAGCATCCCGAGGTTCGTCCCTGGGAGCATGATGGAGAAAGCTCCCACCAAGCTTTGGCTCACATAGATTTAGATTGACCGTTTCAAGTGTAGATGGACTGCAGGCCAATCATGCCTCTTATTTATATAGGCAGCATCCAATTGCTTATGAGGGATTATTATCTAAAATCGTCACCTGATAATCTCTACCACAGACGAGGAGTATCATGCAAGTCTTCTTGACCAGGGGGTAATAGACCATACTACTCCCTATACCTCCAGGTAGGAGCGTCTCTCGTCGATGCGTTCATAGTGGAGGACACGATGAGGATCGCATGACGGGATGGACCCTCTTCATTGCAACATGAGCACTCGGGAAGATCGATACACTGGTATTTTGCCTCGACGCTCTCTGCTTTGCATAGTGCAATGAACACAAGCAGAAGAATACCAGGGGTCGTCAGCGGCCCACCCAGCCACGACTAGCGCCATCCCCAGTGGAGCTTAGTCTCGTTTCAGGTTCATCAACGGATGCCATTGGTTCCGCAGGGGACGATTCAGAATTAGCGCCGGGGGCATTAGTACCATCCGGGACCACCAGGGTTATTCAGGATCATTCCTATTGTCTGATTTCAATGGATTGATCTTGAGAAATTCAACCTATACCCAGGCTGAAGGGTTGCGTTCTTGTATTCATTGTGTAAAGATGTCCATATAATTAGGTAGGTTCCTACCAACTGGTGCCTGGTTTGGGCATTTGGAGAGAGGATCTCCAGAACTCGATAGGATCTTCGGCATCCATGGCTGTGCATCTTCAGTCCGTGTCCGGGGTCTAACTATCTTCCCTCCTGTTTCAGTTCGAAGCCCCAAACGACGAAGCTCTCATTGACGATTGATCGTGTTGTCAATTGAAAGGACCGCGCATTATAGAATGAGATCTGTACGAGCTCTCCGCGAGAACAGTGCACTTAATATACCCAAGTCGGGATCTTGCTGAATTCCTAAGGTCGAGGATTGTCAAAGAATGAGGGTACCAGGATCTAAATATGTACCCGCCCGTCCTCGGCTGGGTGAAATAATGAAAGGAAAGAATCGTCGCATACAAATAATGAGAGCATCCGCTGTCATGACTTGGTTGCCTTGATCTTTCTCTAACCTCTCCATTTTCTCTCCCCAACAGAGTACTCAATATCCCTCCACCCTCTTCTTTCATATTCATATTCCTATCTTCATCTCTCCCTCGCCCCCCAGTCTGGAGATCCTTCGCTCGTGCTACTTTAGGTTGGATTTAGGGCCCTACTTAATTTTCCCCCCTCCCCCCTGAAATCGCTTCCAGGAGACCCCTTCTTACCACCTGATTGGACTCGGTCGATCCCTCCAGGGCTCCACTGCGGACAACTGGAGGAGGCAATTGCGTCTGGCGCTGAGCCACCGATTTCATCGGCATTCCTAGGGGCGCTGTCAAGCTGGAGAGGGTTCTAATTATTATCTTCTCTATTATTATTATTATTTAGTATTTACCTACCTACCAGTCACCTCCCTGGCCTCCTCCCCGCTCCGCTTGGTCTCCAGATAACACCTCAGTTCACCCACCCACCCCCTCTCTTTCTCCGTCCCTACCGCTCCCGTCCTTTGCTTCTTCTCGTCCGACCGGTCTCTTGAGGTGGTTGCCCGCATTCCTCGCTCCCTTTCCGTCTCTTGGTCATCCCGCTTTACTTTCCTCCTCCCACTTTCCTCCTCCTTCAAGCGCAACCGCACGAGACCACACCTCTCTCCGCCTTATCTACCTCCCTCAGCGACCGGTCTTCGCTTACTCCCTGAACTCGACTAGCTTCCTTAGTGTAGCCCCTGTCGATCTTCTATCAACGCGCAATCTCATTGTGCGCGGGGGGAAGAGCACTGACAAGAACGACACGACAGCCCTCGCGCCGCCCGGTCGTGCTGCACTTGCGATGCTCAATAGTTCTCCACAACTACTCCCACGAAAGACCGACTTCTGATCACGACCGAGATGTCTAGCGATGACCCTTTTGCCTTTGTGCAAGAGCAACCCGACCGGAAGCAGCCCAAAAAGCCGCACTGGAGAGAGAAGTTGTTCTCCAAGGACAAACAGAACCGAGGCTCGACCGACCAACAGATCGAAGCCTTCCTAGCCCCCGTCCGTTCCAAGTCCGTTTCCTATGGAGTGTCCTCCTCGTCCGCAACCCCTCGTGGTGTCCCGACCCCTCGTTTAGACGTCCCCCATCGCTGGCCGGCCCCGCAGGACGTCTTAAATGCCACCTCCCCAGTCTCCAACCCCTCGCCGACGACGGACCAGTACCAATCGGTCACTCTTCCCCGCCCTCCAAAAAAGTCTCGCGCTCGCAAGGGACTGAAGGTCACCTTCGCCGATAAAGGTCCGGAGGTCATTGGCGAGGGCGGTGATGAATCGGAGCTCCCGACCATCGAGATCTCACTATGCCGCAATCGCCGGCGCAGCAAGAGTGCTGGTGAGGTTGCGGACGATTCTAAACTGCCGTATCTTCGACTGGATACATCCTTTGGGGAGTCCGATGACCGTGGATCGTTTGACAAAACACATCAGCGGAGAAATACTGGCGATGAACTGAGACCGACAGACCGGAAACCTTTAATCCAGAACGCCCAGGATTCCGACTTCTTGATGACATTAAACATCGGAGATGGGAACCGCCGCGTGTCATTCCGAGCTTCGCCGGAATCCAACTCCTTCGCGCAGCGCGTTCGTGCAAAGATGCAGGCCGAGGAAGGGCGTGCCTTGCAGCACCACTACCAAGATCCGCAGTCGCCTGCGACTGAAGACCCTGATGCGCAGCAATCTCCCGCCGAGGTGGCACCTGATAGCCCTGATTCCATGTATGAGACGCCTTCAGTCTCAGGGAGTGAGCATTCTCCCCCGGCCTATGTTCTGCGGAGTCCTCCGAGCCCTGCGGCGCGAAGCCCACCCAAGCCTTACCCTGCGGAGCCCACTCTGCCGACTGATCTGACTCCAGGTGGAAATGCACGGCAACTGTCGCCGCCAAAGCCAAGCTACATGCCCGCCGACCCGGCGTTGGAGAGCTCCAGCCGTCCAACGAGTCGAGATAACCGCGAGAATCCCCGTAGCAGTCCACAGCCACCTAAGATGTCATTACGCTCCCTTGCTAATCAAGTCGGTGACACTGCTTTTGCCGACTTGAAGGCATATGCGGTCCAGTATGGAAGCGTCATCCAGATATCTGCGGAACAGGCAAAACCGCTGATGGAAACCTCCCTGGTCGAGTGGATGAGGGCTGCTGTTTGGTGGTTCATGCGGGGGAAAAAGAGGCTTGAATTATATGCGCGATCACGGTCATCGAGTTCAGGGAGGGCATCTTCGCGTACTTCTCCAAAACAAGCCGTGGTGGACCTTGCTAAGGCCTTGTGGATCAACGAGCATATCGTTCCTCAACATCCAGAATTGGCTCGGTATGGGAGGATGAGCATCGACTCGCTGTTAGCGGTTGTGAGCACGACCGGTGATCACCACTTAGCCGAGCTTCTCAGTTTGCACCATACAATCATGAACCATGTGCGCTCCTTAGCCATGTCTATCAAAAGGAACAATATTCTTGATGTCATCGCTACGGAGAGTGATGGATCTACCAAGATCGACACGAGTGTGTGGCTGCGATACCCGTTCTTTGCTCCTGATGTGTCCGCCGTTCTCTCGGGTGCGGCTTCACGATCTATGCTGGTCGACAAGCCTGAAAAAAGTCCCAGTCTGATTCATATGATGCCGCTGGGCGACACCAGCAGATATTTCAGTTACGGCAGTATGTTCGTGGATGTATGCGTGAGTTCGCGGGAAGACGACAGCCAACAACAGTTTTCTATCCCATGCGCTCTGTCCATCATCCGAGACCGCGCGGATTGGTATGTTTTTGCGGCTATCGCCAGCCAGAGCGACCTGGTCAACGTAATGATCCAGTCCGATAGGAAGAGGGGACCTACGTGGGATGACGTGGATTGGCAGGTCCGATCGCACTCGATGCGGGTCAAACTTCCTCGTGGGTTCGAGTTGGATATTATGTTTCAGGAGGATGATTTTAAAAACTTGTGGAATATTGTGCAGTATACCCGGAAAACGGAGGCAAGCCTCCAACCAGAGGCGGGAGAAACCATGATCTTCGAGACTTCCCTGAAAGTCTTCCAGTACATGGACCCCGGCACGCCCAAGGCCTTCCCTGTGGAACCCATTGAGCGGTGCCGTGTCCGGCTTTTCGAACGTTCCGTGTCTGTGACAGAAGGAACCGGGACCCGAAATGCGCATCGAGGGTTCCGGATTACCGTTCTCACCAGCCCTAAGGTGAAGACCCTGAGCAACGTGAAACATATCGTGGGTCATGGAACGCCTATTGTTTTTGGTCTGCTTCGCGGTGAAGATGCGGCCCCGGCTATGTTGATCAAAGCCAAGGAGGATGGCCGGACCCGTACGATGCTGATGACATTCCAAAGCGTTGAGGAACGCACCACGATGCATTCTCTCCTTTTGGGAATGCTGCCTAAGGAGGGTGAGGTCAAGACCTCGGAAATTCCCATTCGCGCCTATTCTATCGAGCAGCCGGGCGATCGGTCAAGCGGGCTTCCACCCAAGACACACGTTCAATTCCCGGCCGGGACCGTCACGGTGATTGACCAAGCCCACGGAGGATATGTTGAGCATGGATACGGCCCGACTGTACTGTCGGAGAACCTCCGGGCCTTTGTCGCGACCGAATGGGGCTCCGCTACGGATCGCATCAATCTGGGACCTGGTGAACTGAAGTTGGGACTGGATATTAACAATCGGACTGGACTGAGCCTGTATCGCCCTGCACAACAGGATCTGACTGTCTCCGTGGCGGAGAACCTCGTTACTCCTGAGATGCCGGATACGCTGACAGAATTTCTGCAACTCGCTATGGTCAAACCTATGATTCGACGATTCGACTTTGCAACTGTCAAAGGTGATTTCCTACCATGGCCTGACCGATCGACTCCTATACTTACTTTGTTAATAGATCTTCACAAGTTTCAAGCCGCGGTCACCGGATTCCAGGTGCTGTTTGATAGGTATGGGTTCTATCAATCATGCAAACTAATTCAGACTAATTCTGTATAGCGTTGCTTCTTCCTTCTCTATCTCTCGCCGTCGCATGGTGGTTCCGATTACGAAGAAGTGGGAGGCGAGCATGGCCCGGATTCAGATCGTGCAACAGGAGAAAGTCGTCCAGTTGATCGCATTTTTGAATGATTTCAACCATGGGAAGTGTATGAACTTTGTCCTCAAGGGGACTGATACGCTAGAGAGCTTTGGCCGGTCTGGCAAATTCGGGGTTCGCATTGTCGACGCCAAGTTCGCCCTGCCGAAGACCGACGATGATCCTGCATCGAATTTTGTTTGTTTGGATATGCCGGAATACGCTATTGAACATGACGATATCTCTATTACTTTCGACTCCGAAGAAGGTGTGTTTGTCACCCGATCTTCCGACTGACACGATGACTGACGTTTGCCCTAGACCGAGCCAAGTTCCAGGCCGCGGCGCCAGGATCAGTTCGAGAGCCCTCCAGGATGGGGTCTCTCCGGCGATAACCACCAGCAACTGGTTTGCAATTGAGCATTATTTGCGATTCCCCATCTTCCAGCGTCGATGTACATACCTATTTCCTTTTTTCTTTTCGCATCTATATAATGCCATCCAACGACGGTTGTATTTCCGTGTCACGTGCTGCCCCTCATATCCCCACTTGACTCCATCACCTCATTCCCTCATGCCGATGACTCCAATTCCCCTTCTTTCTTCTCTCTTTCTCCGCTGTCTTCAATCTCTCGCCATGTCTCCGATTGGGAAAGAGATTGGCACCTCGACGCGCTCTCTCCACGCCGACGATGCGCTGAACGTGGTCTCGGATGTGGCGCCTCCCCTCCATGTTGCGACCACTTTCCGCTATTCAGACAACCCGGACGACCTAGTGCCCTTGGTGGATCTTAGCGGCGTATGTCTCCCTTGCGGAGGCTATCGGTCTCCCTCTGCAGTTTGGTTCTGACGCCTACTGTCTTTAGTATGATCAGGATAAAACGAAGCATGTCTACTCCCGCGCGACAGCGCCGAATTACACGCGGTTCGAGGCCATTCTGTCATCCCTGCTGAACGGAGAAGCCATCAGCTACTCGTCTGGGCTGTCAGCTTTGCATGCAGCGCTCGTCCTGCTGAATCCTCGTCGCATCGCGATCGGTAATGGCTACCACGGATGCCATGGTGTGATTGCTATGGTCGGCCGTATGACTGGCCTCCAGAAGATTGACCTGAACTGCCCGGCGGAGCAATTGGAGTCGGGTGATGTCATCCTCCTGGAGACGCCCGTGAATCCGGAGGGCATTGCATTCAACATTGAGGAATACGCGAAGAAAGCGCACTCGCGCGGGGCCTACTTGATTGTTGACAGCACTTTTGCTCCGCCACCGCTTCAAGACCCATTCCAATGGGGTGCCGACCTCGTGATGCATTCGGGATCAAAATACTTCGGCGGCCACAGCGATGTTCTCTGTGGTGTCTTAGCCACCCAACGTAAGGACTGGGCTCGCCAGCTGTTCTCCGACCGTGTGTTCCTGGGCAGTGTGATGGGCAACATGGAAGCCTGGTTGGGAGTGCGGAGCTTGCGGACGCTCGACCTGCGTGTCCAGCGTCAGAGCGAGAACGCAACGAAGCTGGTGACCTGGTTGCATGATGCGCTGCAGACGTCGAACCCTGCACCTGGTAGCGACGAGGCTATCACGCAGGCAGCTTTAGAGCAGGTATTCCACGCGAGTCTACAGAAGGACGATGCGCCCTGGCTGTCCCGGCAGATGCCCAACGGGTTCGGACCCGTGTTCTCCATCACCATGAAGGAGAAGGACTTTGCGCGCAAACTCCCCAGCAAGCTATCCTTCTTCCAGCATGCTACCAGCCTGGGCGGCGTGGAGACATTGATTGAATGGCGTACGATGTCTGATTCCACGGTGGACCAACGCCTGTTGCGTATCAGCGTGGGCCTGGAGAACTGGGAGGACCTTCGGAAGGATCTGGTGGGGGCATTTCAGGCATTGACGGAGGAGAAGTAGATAGATGTCTATTTGTTGACTTGTGATGTATTCCCATGATGTGACGGAACTTGTAGGTACATAGTTCATCGGTATTATATGAATGTGATGTGACACCTTAATCGGACCCCGCATTTCTTCCGCTCCGATAACGCTTAACGCTTTCTCCGTCTTCCCCTCCCCAACACGCTCCATTCCTCCAGAAGACCTCGCGATATCTGAACGAGACATACTGTATATACACCATGTCCTCACAACCCTCCTTCCAGATCCACTACTTCTCCACTGCATCGACCTTCACGGGCAAACAGACCGAACGGCTGCCCGCCCCGCTGCCGCTGCACCGTCTTTTTGACGAGCTCGAATCCCGCTACCCGGGAATCAAGTCGAAGGTGCTGAGCAGCTGCGGCGTCAGTCTGGGCGAGGAGTACGTCGAAGTGGAGGGCGAGGACGCGGAGACTGTCATCCAGGCAGGCGACGAGGTGGCTATCATCCCGCCTGTGAGTTCGGGGTGACCAAACCGCAGCGACCTGGATCGTATCTGCAAAGGAGAGAGAATTGAGAGTGCAATAATTTCAGTGGATTGAAGTCCTGACTCGATTATACGGTACAATATTGGCCGCTTCAGCAAGATTATTATGCGGCCACACGCAGCACAACAAACGCAAAGTACACAAAACAGACAACGCAAGAGAAGGAGGGAACGACTGTGCCAACAATTTCCATACTTCCATACCATCCATCGTCCTCGGGCTAGGAATCAATCAATCATGCATCCGCCTTGTCGCCTCCTGCAGCAGCAGCCTTCTTCTGTCTCCAGAGACAGACGCAGCACACCACCGTGAAAAAGAACATGATACTATCGCCAATAATCAGCACAGACCCTACCATAAAGCAAGAAAAGATGTGAAGGGACCTACCACAAAGCAATACTCAACCCCCAAATCGACTTGGCCTCCAAACACACCCCCTTCGTCGCCGCAATCAGACTGTCGTACTTGACCTCACCGCCGAGATTCGCGAGATAGCTATCCAGGTGCGTGGCAAAAGTATACGCGGAGTCGCCGGCCCCCGTCGCGGCGTCGTGGATCTCGTCGCACTTCAGATACGACAGCGGCTTGCCGATGACCACCGCCACGACGATCACGGCGACGAGGACCAGGAAGTCGGCGGCGGCGGCGAGGAGGCACGGCAGGATGTCGTCTTGGAAGAGGATGGCAGTGATGATGCAGTAGATGACGGCGATGCAGGTCTGCATTCGGTCAGGTCTGTTGGTCATGATGTGATGCGTGGGGGTAATCGTTTCTTACCACGGTGATGGTCCCGATGAACACGCCCGGCGGTTTGGCGTTGTTGTCGACGATCTCGGCGATGAAGTTGGCGGTTAGGCCGATGATGGTGATGAGGCAGCAGGCCTGGGTGAGGCGGGCGATCTGGAAGGTTGCGCCGAGGGCTCCGTGTTTGGGCATTGTGCTTCGTGTATGCTTGGTATGGAGGATGGTGGAATTGGCAATGGAGAGTAACAGGTGCGAAGGAGTGTATATAGATTAAGGAGTGGAATGAGTTGAAGGAGTGTGTAGTATAGTCAATATATGAAAGAATCCTGAAGAACTGCTTGCACCAGCAACCTCACCCACAATGGCCCTTTATATACACCGTCCCCATACACACAAAGAAGCGACCCCGGGTCTAGACCACTCCCAAAATAGAGCGCAGTTGTCTGCGATCCAGCCATCAAGCAAGCGCCAGGGCCGTCTATCCACACGGAAGACATCCAGCCCAGACACGGGGTCTAGACTGAACACACGGGCGTCACCAGCCGCGTGCAGACCCTGTTTTGCACCGCGTCTGTAGCTTGCAGGATCGACCTGCATACAGACAGCTACGAGCTATACGATCGTGGGTGTGTTATTCGTCGGGCGGATAAGAGCTGTCGTCGACTGCCGCCCTGCGCTGGGATGCTCCACCGCGGCGCTTGCTACATTCTCCCGCCGCGCATTCTCAGCCAACAGCCACACGAGCTTAATCCAACCTGACACAGCTAGTGAAGCCGCGCTGCTGATCGCGGGCTTTATTTAGAGAGCTCAAGGGCGAGCTCTTTGTCTGTCAGCTGCTGCCGCCGGGGCATCAAATCATCGGGGCGCCATACGCTGGATCTATACTTGGCAGGACGGCAGAAAGACGAGTCGATTCATGTACATGACTCACTTAGCTATTATTATATTACTATGTTCTATACACCGTCATTCATGATGCGCGTACCACGCCCTTCATTCCTAGCCGAGACGCCACCCTCCGCTGGTGCGCTTCTGGAAGAACATCTCCGGGTCGTACTGTTGCCGCACGGCACGCGCCATCTGCACCGACGCCGGGTCCATGCGCGCCCAGTAGTCCTGCGCGTAGTTGGCGTCGTTCATGAACAGCGGGCGGTAGACGTCCGGGAGCACGCCCTGGTCGACGTAGTTGGAGATGATCTCGTTGAAGCCGTTGAAGAGGTTTTTGTTCGCGGCGTCGATCTTGTTGTCGCTTGCGGCGAACGAGTACGAGAAGTCCAGTTCGATGACGATGTATGCCTGGTCGTCGGGGAAGTTGATCAGATCCTGTGACGTGGTTAGCGAGAGATGTCAGGACGCGAGCTGGGGGCTGGGAGGGACGGGGAGGATTTACGCCGCCCATGGCTTTGGCCTTCTTGGTGATCGCAGGCGGCATCGGTTGCAGGGCGAGGGAGCCAATCACGCCCGGCACGTCGAGGACCGTCTTGGTGATGTTGAACCAGTGGTCGTAGTAGGTCTGCATGACTTCCGCGCCGACGGTGGCGTTGGGGATCGGGGTGGTCTCCGTGGCGATCGTGTAGCGTTGGCCCCTGGAAAGGAACGTTAGTACGGGAGTGGCGCGTGCGATGAGGCGGTCTTACTTGAGGATAAAGAAGTCATTGTGCTTGAGCTGGTGGGGTGTTAGCGGTTGTGTGAGATTGACATTATGGGTAGAATGCTGACCAGGTCGTAGTAGGTGTCCCAGGTCTTTGTCGTGTCGGTGGGGTTGAGGGCCTTGAATCGGTCAAACACACCCTGAGGCGGCTCGGGCCCGTCGTAGAACAGAAACATGATCCAGGTGTTAATGAGGGCGGCATGCTCGGAGGTCACGATGATGGCAGCCTTGTCGTCGGGGTAGTTCTCGGTGAAATCGCGGACGGCTTCCAGGACATCGGCAGTCTGGTCTGCGGTGAAGATGTAGTTTCCACCCCAGACCTGGATTTGTTAGACCCTAGTCAGTGCGTGGAGCGAACGGACGTACCTTGTGGTCCATGGGGTGGGTTTGGAGAGTGTACGCCGTGACGATTCCGAAGTTGTTTCCGCCTCCCTTCAGGGCAGCAAAGAGATCTGGCTCCATCAGTATAGTTCAGCTCAAGTGGCGGGGGTTCTCCTACCGCTGTGCTCCTTTGCGTTCGCGTTGACGACGGTGCCATTGGCAAGAACCACTTCGAAATTGACGACGTTGTTGGCGGCCCAGCCGTACTGGGAACTGAGGAAGCTCAAACCGCCTGGTCATGTCAGCCTACGGTCCAAACTCAGCTTCGGTGTGACCTACCTCCGAGCATGTATCCTCCCACGCCGACACCTCCTAGACGACCTCCGACGATAGCTCGACCTGAAGCGGTCTTATCCAGAGCTAATTGGGCATCTTCCCAGGCGAGACCGGGTCCAACGACGGCGGTTTCGTCGTCAGCATTGTACAGAACCTGATCAAGGTTCTTTGTTGAGATAAGAATGCCGTCCTGGATACTAGCGAAGCCATTGTTGGGCATGTGGCCGCCAGACTTCACGGCAAAGAAGGTGTCAACATCGTGCAGCTCCTTGACCACCTGCGACATCTCCATGGCACTGGACGGCGCGACGATGCATGTTGGTTTCAGGTCACCGCATGCCGTGGACCAGTAGTTGTTCTGCTCCTGGATGTAGCTAATGCTGACCGGCGATTCAACCGAGATGCCTTGAGCTTCGAACTTATCGCAGAGATCCGCTGCTGCCAGAGGGGCAAGAGCTGTCAAGGACAGCGCCACAGCAGTCCGCCACGCAGAACTAGAGACCATGGTGGCAGGAATGGACAGGGATTGAAGGAAGAGATACGGACAAGGCACACAGGGACAGTTTGCTAGCTGCTCTGCTTGACCAAGGACAATCTCGGGACGGATACGGCAAGCAAGGTATATGTACTTCCATCAGGAATGATCCTGCGTAAAAAAGGGGGATTCTTCGTTCACATCGCTACCGTCGGAGATTCGGGCCTCGCTCCAAGGCCCAAGTCCAATTGCGCTAATGTGATAGTAATAATAGCGGAGAAGGTCCGGTCATCCCGGACAACACAATATTGGACTGGTGAGATCGACGAACGTCTGCCAAGCGGGGTCATCCCGCCGACACGCGATTGCTTAGATGCCATCATGCAGAAGCGGACGACGAGATCCTGTAAGGAGGACCTCGGAATCATAAGATGTCAGGAACAGGCCACTGCGGAGGGTGCCTCCGCGCGACATTGAGGATAATGGTACGGTACCCCTGCCAGTGATGAATCGTCTAGTATGAGACATGCAGAAATTCCTGGTGCTTGACAAATAATTCGCTTTCACCGGTGGAGCAGAACAACATCGTTTGATAACCAGTCAATTGCCACTAAACAGTTCCAAATATTCAAAATTAGAAACATGCGGATAAGAGTCTTGGCTGGCCCCGTAGAAGGGCACCAAACAATATGGGCACACTCGTCCTGGTAGCCTATTGATGAGATCAAACATAGGCCTTGAGGTGAAACAATAGATAGGCAGTGCGTGAAGCTCAATCCACAAAGCTCAGATGTTGGGCTCCCGATACGCGATACGGAGAATAATCATGCATGCGTACTGCGTATTCCGGTGCCTGACACCCACTGATCGACACCGAGCGTTGTCTTGGATGAAGAAGCCCGCGTCCATCATTGCCCATATAGGAGAGACTGGTCTCTTACTCCGGAGTAGTCGCATGACAGGGGCAGACGGAGGTTCCTAAGCGAGCTTGAGCTCGCTATGCATACTTTCTTCGACGAACCGAATTGAAAATGCGGGGGACAGGAACAAGGCTCATCAGGATCGACCATCAATAGTTTGAGAGGGGAATGATTGCCAGGATCGGCGCATTGAAGCTGCGGGTCTGTTTGCTCTGCCTTGATTGTGGCAGACGGACGGAGGATTTGCCGAATTGTTCCTCGCCTACATACCCGACTCCGTATTATCCGGCTGATCGCCCTGAATGAGCCATTGGTGGATAAAGGTGGTGTTTCCATGTAAGCGAGCTGTGGCTTGACTCGTGCATGGCAAGGATTTCACATGGAAAGGTCTCATTCTTCCCTTATCCCTTAAACAGGACCATCTCTCAGCCGAGGATAAGGACGATATGACGTCCATAACCTTAAAAGATGCCGATAGAAACCCGACGGATCAGCACAGGCGTTCTCCGCCGAAGGATGACGCGGGGACCCCAGCTTTCCATATTCCCCGGTTCCTGGGACGGGGTCTTCAGAGTATGATCTGGATAGCCTATTAAGGCGATGACGACAGGAGACCCCGGTTCTCTTCAAACTGTATCTGAATGCCGAGAGATATATCTCGGGAGATGGGCGGCATCTCGGTATTGCCAGGGGAGGAATCATGTGCTCGGATGTGGGAATTATATCTCGTTATGGATGATGATCGCTTCTATCCTCGTTCTCATATCCTACTACTCCGTAGGCCTGGGCTGATCTCGTCGCAATTGGGCATTGCCATAGGCCGAGTCCCAAGGGTTCTTGGTTCAGAGAGTTATGATCATCCTCAATGGAGACAGTAGGCCCTTGTCTTTGTAAGAGAGTAGATATTCTGGAAACCTCCTGGTGCAAGCAATGGATGTCATTGTCAACGTGAGTGTCGTGGTGGTAGATACAGAGTATGTCCATGGCTTCGAAATGCCTCATTGGGAAATACCCCATTGGGACATGTCTCTCACCGCCTCGGCGGTGAGAGTGTATGCCGGCAGAATGCTCATTTTTCTCCGACGCAGCAATGACGACCCCCAACATCGTCTTCTGCAATCCCCTAATCATTCCTGCCTGGAGCATGGATAACGCCAAAATATGTCGATCGCATGGTTGAGGAGTCGAGCGTCGCAGAAGGTGGCTGGTGTGAGCTGCGCGCTGCCCCCAAACGGTCCCTCCGCTTTCGTCTCCGGGTCCATCCATCGTCATCGTCCCTTTGGTGGCAATAGACTATTTGATTTCCAATATGCAAGCTGGCGATCTTTGAGTAATGGCTCCATTGTAAGCTACGGATCGTCCAAAAATCTCCTGAGAAGATGCTTACCTTCAACCTAGGTTCCAAACCCCGGACAGGACCTCCTTAGACCATCAACAACATCCATCGAGGAGATTCGTCTCAAAACCGAGTTCGAGGAAAATAAAGATATTCGTGAATATCTGCGGAAATGGCAACAGACGCATCCAAGTCAACTGGATCCTGTACGGGGACCTGGAACGTTGAACGAACTGGACGCAACTGCTCCCTGGGTCGGGAATATGTTGAATGATAATCGCGAAGCTCACGATGCCGGAAGTGATACGCTACGCGCAGCGGATGAAGATGTCTCGGATTTTGCAAACACTGCTGATGAGGGAGAGGGTATCCACGACTTTCTGGAGCCCGGGGACCTGGTGGCCCTGTCATCGTAAGTGGCGTGAAATTAAGCTGGCGAACCTACGCGATACTGATTGCTATCAACAGCTCCGATGGTGTTTTGAACCTTGCCATCTACGTCAGATCGGTATGCAAGCAACAGCAGTTCTATACCAAACGAGGCAAATGGCGCATTGCATTCAACAGAGACATAGACTATGTTATCAAAGGCTTTGCGCCAAGGGAATCTGTCCTTCCCTTGTATCCGCACTTTCCTGATAAAATCGCAGAACTGAGCTCGGAAATGCAGTCCGCCGTCGAAGGGGGTGTTCCAAGGCCAGTCGGAGCAAGTCTTCTCCAGATGATCGGTGATTTTGACGAACGAGTCAAGGAACTGTACCAAGCGAATGCGTATCGCTTGGATAGAATCCACGAGATCGTGGCCGATGAATATGAAAAATCAGAGTTTACGCTCGAAGAACTGGCCTGCAATGCTCTGGAGATCGACAAAGACCAGTTGGACGACGCGATCTTGTTCACTGTCCACAAAACCGCCTGCCAAAAGCCTTTTCTTATTGAAAGTGACCGGAGCTCCCCATTTACTGATCACTACCTTGTCCAACCCAGACGGGTTGCTGAAGTCCTCGATAAAGTCACCACGTGGGTGCATGAGCACCAAGAATACCTCGTCCGCGCGGTTACTGCAAATGATGTCCCCGATTTCAGAAACCATCCTTTGCAACAGTTCATCCAGAAGGCACAGCGCCTCATACGGCTCAGCAGAAAAGTGCGCTCTCCGACCACCATGGCATCGGTTGGTCCGACAGCGCAACGGTTCGAGCCTGGACAAGAAGGGAAACCCATGGTCTATCGAGAAGTGTTGACTGAAAAGTTTAGCACAACTGACCGCATGATCATCGAATATCTCCAACTGTGGTGCATACCTCCTAGAAGAATGACCTCCGGCGCTCTGCGAGCTGCGGGCTCACATATCATGCGGGCTACGGGCATGTACAGTGCGTTAGATTTGAGCGCAGGCTCTGCTTCGTTGTTCCTGCAGGAGCTGGGAGTCATTTCACCTTGGGAGAATCTGCGAGTTCTCAATCAATTTCTTGCTCTTCCAGGACATGGCGTCTCCAACCGGTCTGAAAAGTCGTGGGCAGAGGTTCAAGAGGCAAGCGACCGGCTCAATACCGAGGGTCTAATTGACCGAATGGCACCTGCCCGAGTCGACTGGGGCAATCTGCCCGTGTACTGCGTCGACAATGTCGATGCACAAGAGATTGACGATGGCGTTTCTCTAGAGCGTATACCCGGATCTGATGATACATTTTGGATCCGTGTCCATATTGCAAATCCCTCCGCGTTTGTCGCGCCCGACGATATCATCATGAAATATGCGTCATCGCGTATTGAGACTCTTTACATCCCGGAGCGCACATATCCCATGCTTCCAAACTCCTTGACTCAGGGCAATTTCAGCTTGGCCTCGGGTCGTCCAACCTTGACATTCAGTGCCAAAATGAACCTTCAAGGCGAGGTATTGGAAACGGACATTTGCAGTGGAATTGTTAGAAACGTTATTTATACGACGCATGATAAAGTGCGCAGCCTGTTTGAAACTTCTTCGGATAACCAGTTGGACACTTTGACCGTGGGAGGAGAGTTTCCTCAGCATCATGGTCGGGACAATCTGCGCACTAGTCTGTCATCTGAAGATGAGGACACGTTCCACACTCTGAGAAAGCTCATGCTTGCATTCCGTGATCACCGGCGCCGGAAGGGCGCTATGGAATGGCCCAGCACGATGGACATCCCGGTGTCTGTGAGCGCCGGGAACGCGCCCTTAAAACCGTACAACATGGAGGTTACCGAGGGACGCTATTATCTAGGCGATCCGATCATCCAGCTGCGCCCTCGGAAGGTTGATCCGCACGAAGTTCCAGATTATACGAAGCAAAATCTCATCTCGACTTTGATGAACTTGGCTTGCTGGGTTTCAGGGAAATGGTGCGCTGAGCGCAACATCCCAACAGTCTACGATGGGACGTTTTACCATCCCGAATACCCCAAACTCACAAATGAAAACATGTCGGAGTACGGTGGACAAAAATGGCTGCAATTGGCATCCCCCAAGGGCGTATCCTCATCGAGCCCCCTACAACACGTGCCCCTGGGATTTGACGTCTACGCGAAGTCGACAAGTCCGCTGCGCCGATACACCGACCTCATGGCCCATTATCAGATCGAAGCCACGCTGCGTTTCGAACGAGAGCATGGCCGACGGCTAGATGCTAATCGCGATGGCGCGTTCTTGCCTTTCTCTCGGGAGCATGTCGATCAATTCATCTCGCAGTCCACGTGGAAACGTAGTCTGATTAGAGGTGTTTCCAGTGGGTCCAGTCAATTCTGGGCATGCATGTTGCTGTTCCGTGCTTTTTATTTCGGGGAGTGTGAGCTCCCGGAGACGTTCACTTGCCTGCTGCATAAGCCATACAGCGCCAGCTCCATGATGGGAACGCCATTTGCCCAGGGGTTTGCTGGTGTTATCACGGAGCTGGGGGTGAGGTGCCAAGTCCTCACTCCTGACGTGCCTGATGCGGACATTCTAAGTGTCGTGGAAGCGCAGATCAAGGCTGTGGACTTGTCCCGCATGCTCGTTATCATGGAAGCCACACGGATGATTAAACCGTTTCAGCGTGTTGGTGAATGGGCTTAGATTACGACAGCTGGATAACGACATTGTTCAAATTTGCATGGGAACTTGGACTCTAATGCTGTGTCGCTTGTGGGATTGTACTATATACCATGTACCATATATTTCGCTCCATAGAAGACGTACGTACATAGGCCATTCAATGAACAATTCCCCTCATACATCTCTTCAGTGCCGTCTTTCCCTCGAGGATCATCGCACACCCATGCCCCAGTCTCTCGAAGGACGGTCACAAGATTAGTTGATCTCACGCTTGTACGAGAGGATATATCTCTGCCCAACATGCTCCGTGACGGTATACCACTCCCCCTTGGCTTCATTGTAGCTCATATCTTCGTTCCCAGGCGGGAACCAGGAAGAGGTTTCCTGTGCCAGTTCACCAGGAGTCCAAGTGAACAGATCACCACCGTTGTTCTCGCCATTGCTCCGTCCAAGGTAGAATGTGTCGTTGCGAGAAAAGCCACCCTGCATGCGCAGGATGTCCACGCAGTACGCCCATGTCGCCGTCGCCACGCCGTTCGTATTCCGCAGACGGCGGGTGGTATAGTCGAGCGGATACTTGACCAGGCGAATGGGCAGGTCCACGTCCGTGGTCTGATATTCACCCACCAGCAACGTGTCCGGCGAGTCGGCGCGATCAAGCGCAACCCACGAGTGGCGGAAAGCGGAGTTTGGCTGCAATGCCGGCCAGCTGTAGGACCTATGCTTGGGTCAGATCTGAATGCATCCCAAGACATGAGTTGGTAACTACTCACCGAATTTGAGGCAGTACATAACGATAGCTGTTAGCCGAATATCCGCCGGCAGCGTCATTCTTGCCCACGCCATCGGCAATGGCAACCTCCCAGAGGTTGTCCATATCAAACACCCGCAGCCCCTTGCTCGTGTCCACGACGTACAGCGCATTTCCATACCAGGCGATGCCGCCGGCATGGATTGGAACAGACGTGAAGTTGTCCTTCGCGTTCGGCTCGACCAGCAGAACATGGCGGTATTTATGTGTCGCGCGGTCGATAAAGCTGACCCGCACGTTGGCGTCGCCTTCGTCCTGGTACCAGCTCACCAGCCAGACGTCGCGGCCCTCGTACGTGCCCACGGCCAATGCATCGCCGGAGCTGGACATGCCCTGGGGAATCCATTTCGTCGTCTCGTAGTCGCCCTCATTCCACAGCCACATCTCGTCGGGATTCCCCGGGACGGGGCCGGTGACGAGGTCGCGGTTGGCCGAGTCGAGGACTTCGGAGACGGTGACCCTGGAGGCTGCCATGGCCTGCGCCAAATCGGACAGGTAGGCGTTGTTGGATTCCTTCAGGGTGAAGTATGAGGGGTCGAGCTTTTTGTTCGTCGCATCGCAGGCCCTAGGGTCTGCGGTGACTGGCGAGGCCAGCTGCAGGGCGAGACAAAGCACGGCGGCCTTGGAGAGACCCTTGAATATTGCGCTCATTGTTGGGGGTTTGTCCTTGTGGGTGTTCTCACTACTTGTCCGCGTGCGTAGGGTGGCCCATATATACTACCTTTGCGTCTTGGTGGCGTCCCCGCCATGTCACCATAACTTGCATGCCGCCCGCTAATTACGGGTAAAGATGAATACGAGGCTGCCAAGAATGAAGGGCTCCGTCTGTGGGGGAGGTTACACGCGAAATTGTCTATACGAAGTCTTTAGCCTCTTCTGCAGGCATTTGCTTAACGTGAGGACTCCGCCAAGCTCCCGGCTTGACCTCTTGGGGAGATGTGGCGTCAGTGGACCGGCAGTTACCCGTGTTGATGGATAAATTTGGAGTCATATCGGAGATGTCGCTCGCACAGGTTAGCCCTTGAGGGACCTCCGGGACTCCTTGACTGTTCTGGATGTTGAGAAAGGGTGCGGGATACACTGGCGTTATCAACACACTAGTTCACATCACGCCTCAGCAGCGCCAGTCCCATTTCCCCTCTCCTATGGTATGCACTATGAAGAGTAGCTCCTTTAGCGATACCGTATTTGTTTCTTCGTATCGATTAAAATCGGGCATGCTCGGGCTAATCTTGCTAATGTCACCTCGAAGGTGTGAAAACCCACATTCGAAATTTCCGAACAGATGTGATAAAGGACATTGGTGTTGTATATCCACGCAGATCATAGTATTTGACTGCTACTACCTAAACCTCTTTGTGGCACAGTTAATAGAATGCGCGCCATTGAAGGGTGTCGGGGCAGATTCACCAAAAGAGCACCAACCAGTGTCTACATTGGATCAGAGGGTCGTGATCTCTACAGTACAGGCGGTTGAGGTCTCCCCGTTTTCCAAAGCCGAGGCAAATAAGGTGGAAAGAATATACGATACTGGAGACTCCGATCCAACCAGCCACATACTACAGAATAGGTAGAGATACTAGGCGTGTTGTCAAGGGCCAACAAACTTGAGTATGCAGCTCAAACTATTCCATTATTCTGTCTGTTAACCTTGTGCGCCAGTAATCCATATCGGTTCCGCAAGAAGCAACCATGAAAGTCGAGCTTGATGAATAATAATAGCTCTTGATGGAATCTACGGAGTATATCCGTACTATATTAGAATGTGATCATGAATCCTCCTTGCGCTGTCTTTGGTAAATCCTGGACCCGAAATCGAGGCGTCACGAGGCTAACAGTATATTTGTCAAACTCATATTGGCGATTCTAGATCACAGGATTGCAACTTACCACCAGTTAAGATAACCAGTGCAGTGGTACCTGCAGTTCTGAATGAATTCCTTCACTGCGTGCTCTTTAGAAGGACTGATTGCGATGTTATTCAGGCAGTCTGCTGCATTGTCGAACGTAGCGATTGTTTCCTTCAGCAGTTCAATTGCGAGATCCGATCCTTGTTGTAAGCTCTTCTCCTGTGTTGAAAATACAGATATGATGTTGTCAACTGAGCCCATAGCCTATGCATTTGCAAAAGGTTCCCATTCATTAGACTTCTCTGGAACGTCAACACCTTATAGATTCCGTTGGCAAACTTACAAGTTCTTTCTTGGCAGAATAAATGTCATTCAAGCTTCAGTTCGCATCAGAGAAAGTGTATCTGATTCCAAACCAGGATGTTCTTACATAGATAGAATCTTGTTCGTCGCTTCCCAAAGGACTTGCATAGCCGGGTGGTCCATGGCTTCCTGTGGGAGCTGAATTCCCAGTGCAAATCTAAGTCAAAACGCAATCAACACGACGGCTTTCAACATCAACATTGGAGAAAAAGCACTCACTCATCTAATGCCAGCAAGACGTAAGCTCCGTTAGTGCCCATCCGACAGGCCAGATACTCGTCCAAGCTAGGGATAGTTCCCTCGATGCGTCTGCGTTGTTCCCACTCCGAAGCGTCCAGGAATCGAACCCATTCGCGCAAGAACCTTTTCCGTTGTGCTGAGCATGGTCAGTCATGGTGAAAATGGCTGAGTGACTTGGGATACATAGCCTACCAATAGTATATTCCTCACAAAGGGGCTTTCCTAATATTTCAAAGCTCCGCAGGAACGTATTCTGTCCAGCGGTCCCCTGAGCGTCGGGCTGCTCTCCCAACCCTAGGGCATTCTGTATAGCTTTCAGACTCTCCTCCCTGTATGCTTGAGCTTCGGCAAAGTCGAAGTGATATGATCCTTCGGATACGACGATCTCGTCATCCCAAATGAACGACCAAGTAATAAAAAAGGCCATGATTTTAAGCTTGTCCCATGTCACGTCCGGGCACCAAAAAGACGCATAGAGTGCAAAATCAGGCTTTTCCAACTTGGCTGCCTTGCCTTCGTCGGGAATGAGTCTACATGGACATTTCGTGTGTTAGTTCATACTATGATTGGGAGAATATATTGTTGGGGCTCGCTGTCACCTTCTGATCATTCCAGTGACTTCACACGCTAAACTCTCGTAGAGCGGATTGACTTTGACTGGCCATTCGGCAAAGAGTGTTCGTATATCAGGGACTTGGAAAGTCTGGCCTTTGAGTGCGTTTATCAGCTGTTGCTGCGTACTGGCGTTGGTTTTCATATCTGTTAGCGTTGATTGATCTAACAGCGCTGTGGTGTGTGATATTGCTGGTACAGTCAGTTGGATGGACAGGACACAGGGGACAGGCACCATTTATATTCGTCATATCTGCGCCAGATATTACCCGGCCAGTTCAGGACTGCATGAAAAGCACCGTGCCCTGTTATCTGTCTTGAGTCATGTGTTAAAGACAAGGGTTACGCGTCTGATGCAGAAGGCTGTGAATAGCTAGTGAATAGTGCATATCATTGAGGTTGTCTCACGCAAATAGATAAGAAGGAAACGAAAGTCAGCGTTCTAGATCCCAGTATAGATCACACTATCTGATGCTATTCCAGCGCAGAAGCCGTAAAACAGTTACTAATGAGCTTATCGCTCTATGATATTCCATTCCAGCCTGAATCCCAACGTAGAAGCCTTACTTTGCAAGTTGCACAAGGGATAGGCAGCCTATGTATGTCAACATGACTCAGATTATACAATCTGTGATCATCTATCCTAGTCCCGATACCAACATAGAATACTTACGCGGCAATTTCCACAAGAAGTAGACAGTCAATGTACTACGCTGCCTAGTACACATTTTACATTCCTCCAAGGTAGGAGGACTAAAGCAGTATGAAACAAGTGGTCTGTGATCTTCCGATAAGCCCAGGTATTACTCCAGAAGCGGAAGTCGGCAAGTTGCATACCACCCCACCAGCGCCACATGGTGTTCGGGACCACGCAAACAATCAACTCAGCCTTAGCAGCTTTCTAATTGTTCTGCTAACCATAATGCCTTTTCGCATGATTAGAGGAAGGGTGTATCTGGTATCGGCTGTGTTTGTATTCTTTCCCACTAGCTCATACTTTGAGGCCATAGCAATTGTCGATTCAGGGTCGTTCTACACCCTGGACGTTGATACTGGGATGGGGAAGTGGATTGGGTATCAGGTCATAGGTGGTCGACTGGGGTCTTGTTACACAGGTTCCTATCATAGTAGTACGAGATGATGACATATTACAGATATCTACAGCCCAGGCCTAGATAGTTATCTGGTTCCAGGTTGACATTTATGTAAGCGGCCGCGCGAAGCGAGGCCTGTTTAATGCTTGTCATAGTAGTACAGGTTACTGCATTGGAAGCAGACCTGATGGAGGTAACAGCAACCTTTCTCTTCAGTAACTGGTTGCAAGACATGAAATTTCCTCGTGTATGTGCTGTCGCGGCCTCAGAGCCTTAACCTGCCCGTTTAGGCCTAGCGCTTCGCCTGCTTGATATCTGGGGTCTCCTACAACACACAGAAAACCATCAATCTGACCACGTCTCTTCTTGAGCTTTACCTCTATCATCTACCCTAATATATCATAATAGGCCATACCTATGAAAGCTCCAACGTCATTCTCATTCGGAGCTTTGCGCGTCCAGTGCACCAAGTCAGCGTTTGCTGGGTGACCCAACGTCGTATTCCCCCACACATTGGCCGTGCGGCTGTGTTGATGGAATAGGTGCCACGCTGACACGATCTAGACCAAGCCATTTGGCTCATTGACCCAGTTTTCATCGGGCGTGAAGGGTAGGCCGGGCAAGGACTGGCGCGTGTGAGAATATACTCCGGAGTAAGATCACCGAGCCAAGCCTCCACGGGAATCGGCTTCAGACGCAGGTTGACCAGACGGGGATTCCGGCTTGTCAGCCATGCTGTATGATCCCTACTAAGCCTCGCACACCGTTACTACAACGCCAGGGAGCGTACCTACGTACCCCTTGCTTGAATCGGAGGGTTTACATGACTCAACAAGATCTGGACGTTCCCGAGTGCGACCCCACGGGGACACAACATTGAGAGTCTTCCAGAGACAGTCCAAGACTGATGATCCTTTACCCAGGATCTTGGTCTATGTATCCCGAGCCTTTGCAGCCTATCGGCTCCAATGTGCAATTTGCGCGTCTCCACTGGACACACGAGCCCTTTCCTTCGGCCCGTGACATGATGATGTGGTGAAAGGCGAAAACGCCGAGAGTTGGCCCCCACACGAAGGGTGGAAGGGTTCTTGGGGTCCGGGGTCAACCCCGAAGATCCCCCGGTTTGGGTTTGCTGTGACCGAGAAGCCGATCCACTACGGTGTTCCATCCCGTCTGGGCCATGATCTAGACACCACTGATGTACTATCCCCTCCCGAAAATCGGTCAACCACCGAGTCTAGCTTCATCCAGCCCGTGCCAGGAAAGTATCGCACACACCTCGAGCTGCGTGGGAAGGGCGCAAAATCGCCGAAGTAACCCCGTTCGCATCTTAGTGGTACGCTGGGGAGACAAGTGCGACGGCAGATTGTTCTCGAAGAACTCTCTTCCACAGTAACTGCACTTCCTACTGGTGCACGCAATCTATACCCTGGTAATCTCTATTCCAACCATCCCCTTATAGGAGAAATAACCGGGTAGGGTTGGTCAGATCGAGATATTGCTCATGAGCAACGAAGCAGGAATTCGTCGCTGAGGCAGTTCTCTTCAACATCTATGACGGAGGTATACCTACCCAGGTGGACAGACTCATCCCGAAGGGCCGTATACGCCTTTTTTGCGTAAGTTGTGAGGCAGACCCATGACCCAACTTACGATATGGTCAGAAGACTTTCATACTATTCCCTCTTCACTTAGCACCGCTGCAGGACATCCACCAGCGCGGAGAGACCCCACCCCCGCATCGTATTAGAGGATTAATAGCTACTGATTATTGCCATTGATCCGAGTATTGCCCGTTAGCCTGGCTTGGGACCATGTACTCGTCCACGGCAGCGTGATGAGAGCCAGCCTCTTGGAGGGACTAACCTTTTGTTCCTTCCCAAAACTATATAAATATCGATCCCCCCACAAACCCAGCAATATCTACAGTACCCACAACAGCATCCTTGCAGTTCTGAACTAAGAAATAGGAAAACAAAGGCACACTCTGGTCGCTATCCGCGTGATTCTTCACGCTACACCAATCAGTACATCATGGGATTCCGACTACAAAAGCCCGCCGCAACGGAGGGCAGAACTTGGCCGGCCATTCTGATCAGTGGTTTTGTCGCATTCGGCGGAATCCTCTTTGGGTAAGATGATATCTCCTGCCAGACAGACAATGCCTGAGCTCAACGTTCTTCCAGGTATGACACCGGCACAATCAGCGGCATCCTCGCCATGCCCTATTGGGCCCAGACTTTCTCAACTGGCTACAGAGACAGTACCGGTCAACTGAACGTCACAGCTAGCCAGTCTGCCGCGATCGTGTCTATTCTTTCCGCAGGAACCTTTTTTGGTTCACTGGCTGCTGCACCCATGGGTGACTTCATCGGCCGCCGTTGGGGACTGATTGCGTCCAACGGCGTCTTTGTAGTGGGCGTCGTGTTGCAAACTATTGCGACATCCATTCCTCCCTTCCTTGCTGGGCGGTTTTTCGCAGGATTTGGGGTCGGGCTTATATCTGCTTTAGGTCTGTGCTGCTTGCCTCTGTTTTCCATATCCCATAGAGCCCCATGGGAGCATACAGAACCAACACTAACCAGACTACAGTCCCGCTCTACCAGTCTGAAACGGCCCCCAAATGGATCCGTGGTTTTATCGTGGGTTCCTATCAGTGGGCAATTACTATCGGTCTACTCCTGGCCTCGGTGGTCAACAATTCCACTCATCAGCGGGATGATTCAGGGTCCTACCGCATTCCGATTGCGGTGCAATTTGCCTGGTCCATTATCCTGGTCGGCGGAGTCCTGGTCCTGCCTGAAACCCCTCGGTACCTGATCAAGAATGGAAAGAGGGAAGCCGCCACAAAAAGCCTCGCCAAACTGCGTCGTCTGCCCGAGGACCATGCCGCAGTCCAGAGCGAGCTGGGGGAGATCCAGGCCAACCACGAGTATGAGATCAGCCTGGGCGGCTCCAGCTATCTTGACTGTTTCCGTGGAAATATCGGAAAACGCCTGTTAACAGGCTGCCTCCTGCAGGGGCTGCAGCAGCTTACGGGCATCAACTTTATCATTTACTACGGCACACAATTCTTCAAGAACTCGGGCTACGACAATGAATTCGTGATCAACCTGATTATCAACTGCGTCAATGTTGGTTCCACTATTCCAGGCCTCTATGCCATTGACAAGTGGGGTCGGCGTCCAGTGTTACTGGCAGGCGCGGTTGGTATGTTCGTTTCGCAGCTCCTGGTGGCTATCCTGGGGACTACAACCACCAGTCAGGATAGTGTAGGTACTATTATTGTGCATAATTTCGGGGCCCAGAAAGCAGCAATTGCCTTTATCTGTCTCTTCATCTTCTTTTTCGCTGCTTCGTGGGGCCCAGTCGCGTGGTAAGTACCCCACCTCGCTCCAGCCTTAGAAGAAGTGTCTAACCGTCCTCCAAGGGTCGTTACCGGAGAGATCTTTCCCCTCAAAACCAGAGCCAAGTCTCTCTCCATGACTACCGCTACCAACTGGATCGTCAATTGGGCATTGGGGTACTCCACACCCTACCTGGTCAACTATGGCCCCGGGAACGCGAATCTTCAGTCTAAGATCTTCTTCATTTGGTCCGGCTGCTGTTTCCTCTGCATAGTGTTTGTCTACTTTATGATCTACGAAACCAAGGGCCTAACCCTTGAGGAGGTCGATGAACTCTATAGCGAAGTCACGGCGGCCCGGAAAAGTGTAGGTTGGACCCCAAGCATCACTTTCACGCAGATCAGAGACGCAGGCGCGATGAAAGACAGCGAGAAACACGTGTCAGAGAAGCACGAAGAGAATTATGTGGCTCATGAGGCGACATGATAATCGACTGTCATGAGACCCTATGCCTTGGGACTCCGGGACGTTTGTTGCGTTGCATCAAACCTCTTCAGGCGACTAGGGGCGAGTGTTTAGTTTTCGTGTGATTTATGAATACCATACTATACTGTCTATCCAATGCATGGACCGCTGACGATATGTCTGCGGCCGCTGATTCTTTCCATGGTCTATGGATTGTCGTAACTCTCACCAGCTACATAGTACTGATCAAACTGCTTCGGCACCGCCGCATGGCAGAGATAGAGGGGCCATTCGCCAATGGCCAGAGACCCCTATCAAGCATGACGGCCAGAGAAGCTCATGCGATTATGGCCAAGTTGCAAGAAATGGAGTTTTCCCCTGCATTTGCCAAAGCCCGGCGGAAGGCTTCACTCAAGGTACGGCCAAGCATTGATCGATTCTAAATGAGCCTAACAGGATCGATTGTCTTACCAAAATCAGGCCGGAGAATCCCGACTATGTCGAAGCTTTTCGCCATGACAGGCCAGAACAACAGGCTTAATGCAGGCAAGCGCGCCGTTGATACGGGAATTCTATTACACGAGTCGCGGTCCCAGCCTCAAGATTGGGGTCGGTATGCATCCGCCGTGGCAAGGATGGATTGTTTGTAGGATACCCCTTCAAGTTGTCTTTCCAATCGAGACACTGACTAACTTGTCGCCGTCCAGCCATGCCCGCTACCGCCCTGTACTTCGCGGTAGAACTGAGGCAGTGGACAATCGACTGTGGAGAAAAATTCGCGAGACCAACCGCAACCAATGATTAATACGTCCGGGTCTACGTTGACTCCGCGCTGCCCAGCTTCTTGACGCCCGTGGTGCGACAGATGCTGGGTGCGGACTTGGATGATGTTATGAGGACGAGCCCGGGGTAAGTTCTATATCTACTCCTTGACAGTCTATCCCATTGCGACTGCCTGCTCACGGGCCCAGTGTCGAGTCTCCCAGTCCTTTCCTTTCTCTGGTGTTGGACATGGTCCTAAAGGCACGAAAGTTCGTGCTTCGACACCGACCCTCCTTTCTTACCGTCAGACTCGTGCACGATACGCCCAACCCGGAAACGAAACTATATAACTTTGAGAGAAAGGGCTACAACCATTGTACATTCGACCCACTATCTGGTCAAAATGGGGGCTCGGGGCGGTGTTTGTGAGACTATTTGGAGGCAAGATTCCCGGTTCGCGTGGCAATCGATATATGCCGCAAGGCTACGACCTGATAAGCATGGGGCCGGAGCCACGATATGGATAAGGACTGGAAAGCATGGCTCTTGACATCGAGGCAATTAAGGGGAGGGGTGTGGCTAGGAACGGAGTACATGCCCATTCTCACAGGCCAAGTCGGATAACTTCAGATGAGGTGTTTGCTTCTGTCAAAGTCCGAGAGCGATGTTGTACAGGACTCATATCCTTGACATATTTTAAATCGGGCTGTCCTCCTGGAGTTGGTTCCATCGATGAATCCTGCGGTCTAAGATACCTAGGAACAGACTGGCCCATCGACTTCAATAGGTACTGGACAGACGACACTCTTTACACCTGAGGTCTAGCCTGGAAATGTGCATTAATGTGGGTTCTGATGTTGATGAGGGCCTTCAGCCTCCACGATTATATGAACCAACAACAGATTCAGGCCATGATTGGAACAGTTCCTCTCTGGACATTAACGGTCATATAAATAGACCCTGCCAACAGCCACCAGGCTGGATGGTGCATACGATAGGAGCACTGCCTCCGCCAAGCACCGTATCATGCACCTCCCACATAGCCTTGAGCTGGGATCTTTAGTGAGAGCCACAAGGCTGGTCAGCATTTTATCCGTTTTGGGCGTTGTAGGGCTCCCCAGGCGTGGAGATGTCGTGGCAGCGCACAGCCCTATAGCTGAGCTTCGCATTATAATATCATAACGACCCCAGATGGTTGCAGTCTCCGTATGAAGACTAGACGTCTAATCTACACGGTTTCACATCTTCAGACACTTGTTTCATCCCTGATTCGATGCTCACTGCTTGATCCATCGCAGTACATAGGACCCCGCTCTTGCATGACACCCCTTAACCCACCGTCAGCCGTCTGAAGCATCTCTCAAACGATCACCCCATTGCAATGAGCAGCTGCACCGCCGGCTCAAAAAACTGCAACTTCCACTGTCCCCACGGCGGCAGCTGGTTCGTCTGCGAATCAGCTCCCTACTTCGTCGGCTGCTGTTCCTCCGATCCATGCCAAAACACCAACGCCGCTGCGCCATGTCCCGACCTCTATCCCGCCTCCTTCAACGAGAGCATCTACAACTCGACCCGCCCAAACAACTGCATCAATGCTCCAAGCAACAATTGGTACACCTGTGCAAAGACCCACCCGCCGTTTCTGGGCTGCTGTAAGAGCAACCCCTGCCAGCAGACCTCCGGGTGTCCTTCGAGTGATCTTATCCCCGCCGCATGGAGTCAATCGTCTCTCGGTCAGTTCGAGTTATTTCTCGACGGTGCGTCGCCGAAAGGCACAGGGGATAGTCCACCGCCGACGGATTCCAGCTCTGGTTTATCCAAGGGCGCGATCGCGGGCATCGCGGTCGGCGCAGCGGTCGGGGTGGCTGTCATCCTTGCGTTAGCGTTCTATCTTTTCCGCCAGCGACGCAGAAGGTTGAGAGGTGGTGGGGTTATGGGGCAGGCAAACATGCATACCGACGGCCAGGGGCCGTTTTATCACGCTGTGCCTCAGCAAGCAGGTGCGTATATTGTGACCAGTGCGTGAGGGACAATCGCTGACGATTTAGACTCCCGGCTGAGCGCCAGCCCCGGAACCTGGACCAGTAAGCACCGCGCAAGCTCGAGTATTGGGACGTCGTACGGCTCTCCGACTCTCGTGTCGGACAGCCGGCCACTGTCCGAGATGTATCCTGCTTCGCCAGGCAAGGATCCCAGGCGCTGGACCCAGGGTTTACAAATCGAGGGAGTTCCGAGCAGTCCTCCGCAGGCCAAGTTCATTCCCGAGTTGGATTCAACGCCCAATGAAGTACACGAGTTGGAGGGAAGATAGGTGCCTGATACTAGGGTACGGGTGGGAATTGTAATATTTCATGTGGCCTATTAATCACTTTAGCATACATATATTAATCCAGACGACGATAACCAGCAGACTATTCTGCGCTACCTTACATCCGAATCCCCTAACTTCTACAGCTTCTCATTATCCGATCATCCGAGCATCCCCCTCAGTGACTTTTGAATTCCCACAACCCCCTTCCATATCTCATAGCGCCCATCGTACAGAGGATAAAGAACAACAGACACAAATGCAACAAACTGCCAGATAATCGCCACAGTCGTCCAGCCCGAAAAGAACGACTTGTCGAAGATGTAGTCTCGGTACAGAGGCATCGGCCACACCACAAAGGTCAACAGGACAAGCACGACCCACATAATCCACGCAATGCGGTACCACCTATGCAGCTGCTGGAGGGTGTGAGTGTCGAACGGGTGCTGTAGGTCATCTAGACTTGTCTCCGAGGGTGTCTGTATGTCGGTAGTTGAACTGGATGAGGAGACCATCGCTCCCTTCTGATCAGGATTCACATATCCTTCGCTTGTCACGTTCTCACGAGGACAGCCCTCGTTAGCTGGAGCTTCGGGCCTTTGGACCAGCTCAATCCGGAGAAACTGTCGCCAGTCGAATTTATACGGTTTATAGAACGAGATCACGACCGAGTACACTGCTGGTGTAAATGTAGACGCAAGCGAGCCGTACAAACACGGCGCCTCCTCCATCGTCGTCTTCAGATTGATACTCCCGTACATAGACTTGGTCGTGCCGAGCCAGATCGCAAGACCGGTGACAAACCCCAGAATCGGCGACCAGATGGCCGCCAGCCGTGTCTGGCCGGACCAAGTCAAGGTCAAAATCAGAGGCACAATACCCGAGCCCGTGAGGATAGGCCGGAAGTAGCCGATCCACGTCATGTTTGCGCCGCCATAGTTCAGGACGATCGAGAAGGCGGTGATAAAGACGGCGTGAAACACAACCGCCAGATGGCTGACGCGGATGAGTCTCTTATCGGACGCCTTCGGGTTGATGTACGTTTTATACAGGTCGAAGGAGATGATACTGCTCACGGCGATCATGGACGAAGACACCGTGCTCGTGAGCGCCATGAACAGCAGGACCAGGAACGCGATGACCCCTTGCTCTCCGACCACAGCCTGGATGGCGTACGGCATCACAAACCCCGAAAGCACCTCTTGCTGCGTGAACTCGCCCGGATATGTCGGGAACAGGGGCGTTGTGTGTAGCACTCGCGCGGCCAGTCCGATGACCGTGCCCAGTCCCCACGGCACGCCGAAGATTGCAACAGCGGCCAGGTTGTACCCGGGCACCGTTGCTTTGACCTCTGTTGCGAATGACTTTTGCCAAAATGCAGTGTCCTATCGAGCTCAGCGTGTGGAATGAGACGTGGATTGGATGGGGACGTACCATAACGACCAAGGCCAGGTTTCCAAGCTTGAGAATCAGTCCCCATATGATAGCGTCGTGGGACTTCATCGTGAGAAGCGAGCCTTGGTAGTTTCCCGGGATGTAATTGTCTTCCGCGATGGCTGAGATTTTGTCGTACAACCCGTACAGACCACCGATAGCATCGTGAGTGAGAATGGTCAGCGTGAAGTAGATAATCAGAATGAGCGCAACAGCTGTATGGAGATAGTCCGTGATAAAGGTGGCTTTCAGCCCGCCAACCGCAGTATACAGCACCACTGTAGATCCTAGATTTAGCAGAGCCCTCTATCTGGCGGTTTGCGACATACCTCCAAGCGGAATAAGAACCGTAGCAGCGACAAAATGCATGCCCGATATCCCATGAATCAACTGAGACCCCGCCAGGATCATAGACGCACAGCCGAAGATATTGCAAAACAGGTTCAGCACCAGAAACACGACATGCGTCACTCGCCCATATCTCATCCGGATAATCTCCATCGACGTATGCGCGTACGGAACCCGGATCTTCGCCAGGACACCCAGCACCGCCATCAACGCGATCTGGAAGCACAGGCCGGAGCCATACCACTGTACCCGATACATTAGCCAAGAATGAGGACGCAAAGAGACTAGGAAATACCATCGGGGCAGCAAGGCCAAATCGGTAGCAATTCACCGCCGCAAACACCGTCTCGTTGATCCACATCCACGACGAGAACACGGCCGACGCTGTCAACCCCGTGCCAACGGTCCGGTTCGCCACCATGAACATCTCCGACTGCCCGGAATCTTCATCGAGATAAGACTTTTGGATTTTCACGGCGACGAGGATTACCCCGCAGAAGATAATACCAAGGCCGATGAGCATGCCGTACCCTGTCCCTTGCGAGATCAGGGTGACGCCTGAGGATGTGATCTCGCCCATAGTGTGCCGATGCGAGAGATGGTTTATCCTGCGGAGTTTTGGACATTATTCCATTTATATGGCGAGCTGACTGTTTAAATGGGTGGTAACTACTTCCAATCTGAACATTTACACGACTCATGCTTGCAATTCAGTGGAGAAGAATGGCGCTATGGGTTAGGAAGGGGCCAGGCATTTAGGGCAGATATCATGGTGCTAGATGGCCCCAGAAAAATCAAAGATACCATATCCAGCCAGTAAGAGGTCGTTAGAAGGTTGAGTCGGCTTTCGTGCGAATGTGTTCGGGATACACGCTAGATATTGCGTGCTGCGAGCTCCGAATTGGCAAGACACACACCTGGAGTACGGCTTCCTGCTCCAAATACCTAAAAGAATTCGTCAACCAGCATTTGTCTCTTGTCATTATTTGAATACCGCGTATGTCAAGTACAATCAGAAGAGTACAATATGACCTTCTTTGCTGCTAGGACTGATACCTCAGGCCCGCAGACCAAATCATGGGCGCACTGTAGTTGACCAAGAGGCCTGGTTGGTGCAAATATCCTGTCCGTCGTAGCCTCTGCGACCTTGGGGAGTTTCAGTGCATCTAGATTTATAAGTATCTTGATCCCATCAGTCAAGTCACTACTTTACCTATACCCATAGTAGATGCACATACAACATGGACAAGTCTTACACAACAGCACTCTCCAAAAGCAAAACGATCTCGTACAACATGACTCCCTCAATCTCAAGCTTAAGGGCAGCACTCTCACAATCATGTCGCTCCCCATTCATCGTACAGGACTTCGACGCCAACGGAAGATCATCACGACCTCTCGTTCCCGACGGACCGTAAACCTCTACAGAGAGCTTCTTCCAATGACCAGACATCCACGAGCTTGCCTGAATCGGCCCATGATGTGTCGGGACCCTTCCCCTCGCCCATTCCAGTCTCGTACCGAGTACTGTAGGCCAGAAACGCTATTCCGCGAACCAAGGCGCGGACGGCTGAATGCCCAGCACGTATTCGGTCAGTACGTACGTAGGCTCTGCGTCCCACGGGTGCGCATGCGAGGTGAATATGTCCAGTTCGGGTCGACCGTCGGGATAGATATACTCCCAGGCTGTTATGGTGTGGTACTCATCCTGGGTGATCATGGCAGACCAGAACTTCGGTTGATTTCCTACCGAACTGGGGCTTTGCAGCCTAGCAGCTGCATTAAACATCGGCATAGCGTGTCGTCCACATCCCGAGTTTGGCTAAATACGATGTATGTATATGATCAAGTCGGACATGTTGATATATCAGGCCCGGAGCTTTACCTGGGGTAGTTTCTGTCCAGGACTGAATTGTTGTAGAAAGAACGTCATCAAGGAACCCGTATCCACAGTTCTGCACCAGAAGCTATGCTATGGAATGCTGCTAGTCAGGGGTTCTTAGGGCGCTGTTGCTGCAGATGACGATCAGCATCCGATGGAGCAGTTCTTAACGCCGGAGCGGTTGGAGTTGCCGGAAGAGAGAAGGCATGGCATGGCACCCCACGATCTCTCCACATTCCCCGCATGTAACTCATCAGAGAGACTATCTAGGGGTTGTTGTGATCAAGTACGTCCATCGGGAATACTTCGGGGAGACGGGCGGTTATAGTTGCAGTCTGTCGTGGTGAAGTATATATATTGACGTCGACCGTCCTTTGTATACTTCCTAACACATCCCAGCTGTCCCGGAAGGCATTCATCAGTCTCAGGATGAAATCCATATTCTCCCTCTTATTCTGCACCTTCGGGCTTCACGTTGCCCTTGTCTCTGCCCTGCAATCCTTCCCCACTAAGCCCCGCGTCTTCATCCTCTCGGACATCTCCAACGAGCCTGACGATGCCGAGTCTCTCGTTCGCTACCTTGTCTACAGCAACCAGTTCCAGACCGAAGGCATTGTCGCCGTCACATCCACCTGGTTACGCGATGAGGTCCATCCAGAAGATATGCGCAAGATCATCAACGCATACGGCGAGGTCGTCGACAACCTCAACCACCATGCGCCGGACGACTCACCCTATCCCTCTGCAGGATACCTGCTGAGTGTCCTGCGACACGGCCCTGCAGTGAGTATCTCCCATCCATACTCCCCACCACAACCACCCACTCACCCGCATAGAAATACGGCATGTCCGCCGTAGGCGGCAACAACACCCTCAGCTCCGGCGCCCAGCTTCTCGTCGAGCGCCTCGAAGGCCCCTCCGACCAGCCGCTCTGGGTGCTCGCCTGGGGAGGCACCAACGTGCTCGCGCAAGCCCTCGACCACATCCACCGCAAGCACACGCCCACGCAGGCTGCAGCCCTGCGCGCACGACTCCGCGTCTACACCATCTCCGACCAGGACGACACCGGCGCCTGGATCCGCCACCGGCACCCGGACATCTTCTACATCGCCTCCGTGCACGGCTGGAACCAGTACGGGCTGGCCGCGTGGACGGGGATCTCTGGCGAGCACTACTACGGCTTCGACGCGGGCGGGCCAGACGACACCACACTGACTCGAGACTGGATCCGTGAGCACATCCAGATCGGCCCGCTTGGCGCCGTCTACCCGGATTACAAGTATATCATCGAGGGTGACACCCCCAGCTTCCTGTATTTGGTGCAGAACGGGCTGGGCGTGCCCGAGCACCCGGAGTACGGGTCTTGGGGTGGTCGGTACAAGCTGGTGACGCCGAGCCCGAACGGCCTGGACTTCCGACACTACGCGGATGCGGGTGACAAGGTCGTCGGCGATGGTAACCGTACGTATCTCTCGAACCAGGCGACCATCTGGCGCTGGCGCAACGCGTACCAGAACGACTTTGCGGCGCGCATGCAGTGGTCCCTGCCTGCGATGGTCGGGAAGGGGAATCACCATGTGGAGATTGTGGTGAATGGGACCGCGGGGCTGGAGCCGATGACTGTGAAGGCTACGGCTGGGTCGACTGTCGTGCTGGATGCGGGCGAGACGAGGGACCCAGACGGCGATGCGCTGCGGTTCCGTTGGTTCCATTATCGCGAGCCGTCGTCGGATGACTGGAACGCGGCGAACGTTGTGCCATTGCTGGAGATCTCGCCGTTTGGAACTTCCGGGGAAAAGGTACGCGTGCACGTCCCGTCGGCGGAGGTCTGTGACGGGGGAGAGTGTTTGCTTTTGCATTTGATCCTGGCGGTGACGGATGCTGGGAGCCCTCCATTGACGATGTATCGGAGGGTATTGATCCAAGTTGAGCAGTCTTAGGTGGATGTAGATCTATGGCGTGTCAACTCTATCTTATCTAGCACATGGTTGAGTGGAGTAGGTATATCATCCCTTGCGGTGAAGATACTTCACCGCCGAAATGAACATCAGTGCCCTGCATCGATATCAGCTGCAGACCTGACGCAGGACAGGGAATGCCCGGCTCTCGTGTAGATCTCAACGTGGGTGAGGCTATAGATCGGAGGTTTCAGGGAGTCAAAATAAGATGAGGAGAGCCAACCATGGTCCGACACATTGATACATGACGACGCATTCCCGAGGGCCCCGTCGCAATACCGACTGATAGATTCTTAACGCGGGGGAATAAAGCTCCTTGAAGGGTATGATTCGCATGTATTCTGTCCGACAGAGTCCAGCTGCGCAAGCCAATCCTTGGCTGTGCTTTTGCCTCCCCGGCACCTGAAGCTCAAGCCAACCATGACGCCATCGCGGTCGGTGTCCGAGCTCTATGCCTCATCTCGGGAGTTGTAAACAACGGCCAGGAGGGTGTGTGACACCCCAGACAGCTGCACGATGACGGTAGGTGGTTGGCAAGCTGTCGAATCGGATTGATGTATCAGATGATCCCCAAGAAGCTGCCTCGGTGGGAAGTGGTAAAGGAGGGCGTCGAAGGGATCGTGCGGATGGTGATGATCACGCGTACGCCGGGCTTGACCTTATCTAACCTAGTCGCAGCCATCCATTAGGCTCGTTGCAGCGGTTAGGATGGAGTCTCGTATTAGCGTGTACTAGTAGACACTAGGTAGGTACCTAGTAGTGTAACGGGTAAACTGGGGAAGACAATTTCTCATCCAGTATTTCCTGTGACTCGATATGTATAGTAGTAAGACTCGATATAAGACTCGGTATGTATCTGGATCCATCATCCGGCATGTGCACGCATGCGGCACACGGCGGCATGATGGTGTCAGCGAGCCCATCTTCCACCGGCTTGCCATGGATAGGGACGGAGAATCTACTAGCACATCATAGCTAGATAGACGATCCATCTGTTTCCATGTCGATCTGAGTTAATTTTCCACAACGTGGGCTAATGGGAGGGTCCTGGCCAGGGAGGAGTGACCCCCGGGGTACTTGCGGTGCCACTGTTTGTCAGTGGTGGCGGACGGTACCAGCGCGGTACCGCATCCGTCTCCACCGCCCGGCCTGGGTGGGATTAGTACGTATCCATCATCCATCCATCCTCACCTCGTTTGTCGGTGGCTTCTTTGTTTCACCCTTTTTTCTTTTGTTTTCTTTTGGTCCTTGGGCCGTCTTACGCGTGACATTGCTAAACTCTCACCGACTCAAGCCCGTGGTGGATGGTCTGGTCGAGTGATATAAGACCCGTCTTTCATCCTCGACTCCACCATGTCTTATCGTTAACGGTGACTCTCTTTTGGTTTGGGCGGTGTTCCCCCGGCCGTGGTCTCACCTGACAAGGATTCGCTTCACATCTTCATTTCCTCGTGATTTAGATTTCTACTTCGCGATAGAACCAGAGTTGCATGGTGTTGGTGCCCACCTCGTGTTGGCTCAGCATTTGAAAAGCTCGCGCCACTTGACCCACCCGCGTTGAGTCGCGGTCGTCGAGACTCGAGAGCTCCTGAAGTCCCAGGAGGACAGGATCTGGACAGGATTCCCATCATGGCGGAGACAAATACGACTCCTCCAGGTGAGGATGTCACTCAACAATCATCAGGGCCGTGGTGGCGGAGGAAATGGTTTCGGTCAGAATCGCAGAATGAGTCGGAAACCGTCGGCGGTAGCAGGATCTATCGCTCGAGAGCGACCCTGGGCATTCTGAGCGACAAAGAGACGGACGAAGTGCCTGGTAAGAATACGATCCACCCTGATATGAGCTCTTTCATCACAGACAAAGACGCTAACATGCATCCGTCCAGGAACGGTGCTCCTTCTTTCGTCCAACCGCAATGAGCCTCTGGGTTTGCGACATCAACCCCAGCGGACTTCCGCCTCGTCGTTGCCCTCGCCGCGCTCGGGATCGCGCTCGTCGTCGCGAGTCTCCACTCGATCGAAGAAGAAAACCGCCGACGGCCAGATCGTTCTCGAACCGCAACCTGATGACTCGATGAACGACCCCCTGAACTGGCCCATGTGGCGGCGCGATGCGGCTTTGATTTCCCTCGGGTTCTACTGTCTCATGGGCGGAGGAATGACCCCGATCCTGGCGGCCGGCTTCAACCAGGTCTCCGACACATACGATGTTAGTACGCAGCAGGTCGCTTTCACGACCGGGTTCTACATGCTGGGACTCGGAGTGGGCTCCGTGATCATGTCCCCGACGGCCATCCTGTTCGGGAAACGTCCGGTCTATCTGCTGGGCGCTACGCTGTTTATCCTGTCGGCGGTCTGGTGTGCCGCCTCCCCTAATTACCCGAGTCTGGTGGTGGCACGCATTTTCCAGGGTATCGCAGTAAGTCCGGTGGAGTGTCTGCCGTCGGCGACCATTGCGGAGATCTTCTTTTTGCATGAACGAGCCTACCGTGTTGGTATCTACACGTTGCTGCTTCTCGGCGGCAAGAATCTCATTCCCTTGGTGAGCGCGGCGATCATCGGCAATCTGGGATGGCGGTGGGTGTTCTGGATCGTGGCCATCATCGTCGGGGCCTGTCTGGTACTCCTGTTCTTCTTCGTCCCCGAGACCTTCTGGGACCGGACCCCACGGCCCCGTCGCAGCCGCAAACGACCCAGTCGGCCCAATATCTACCGCACCGTATCAGACAAGTTGGTCCATGGCTTCCGGGGTCGCCCAACGCACGCTGTGCGTCTGGAGGAGCCGGCTCCAGAGGAAAACGTGCAGCCTGAGGAAGGCCCGGATGCGATCAACCCGGCGCGGGCCAAGAAGGGCCATGTTGGGTTTGTCGATGCGCCCGAGCAGCCCGAGCATCCTCTCCCCGAGGACGAGAAGCCCGCCGGGTTGGCAGGTGACTCGGATGCCGTCTCCCACAGCCCAGCCATCACCGGAAACACGGCGGGAGGGAACTTGCCGTCGGACCCCGAAAAGTCAGACGGACACCTCCATCCCCCACCGCCCGCTTTCGCGCCTCCGTCTCACGGCATCGACCTTGAGGCTGGCCGAAGCCCCCGACCGTCCCCCGCACGCAGTGAGTCGCGCGAGTCGAGTGTCCCCGTCACCCCGGCCCTCCGCTACACCAACCGGCTGCGCGAGCTGCCCCCAGTCCCGTACGCGCAAACGCTTCGTCCATGGAACGGCCGCATCTCGCATGACAGCTGGGCGCGAGTCGCCGTGCGGCCGTTTATCCTGTTTGCGTACCCCGCGGTGCTGTGGTCCACGGTGGTCTATGCGCTGTCGGTGGGATGGCTGATTGTGATCTCGGAGTTGGTGGCACATATCTACCAGGACCCGTCCAAATACAACTTCACCGCGCTTCAGACGGGTTTGGTTTACATTTCGCCGTTTGTGGGCGGCTTGTTGGGCACCGCGGTGGCGGGCAAAGTGTCTGACCTGATTGTGCAATTCATGACGCGCCGCAACGGCGGCGTGTACGAGCCGGAGTTTCGGCTGGTGATGGCCATCCCGATCGCATTGTCGACGACGATCGGGTTGATGGCGTTTGGGTGGAGCGCACAGCTAAACGACCACTGGATCGTGCCGACGGTGTTCTTCGGGCTGGTCTCGTTCGGCTGTTGCTTGGGGAGCACGACCTCGATCACGTTCTGTGTGGACAGCTATCGGCAGTATGCGGGGGAGGCGCTGGTGACGCTGAACTGGAGCAAGAACGTCTTCCACGGGTTGATCTTCTCGCTGTTTGTGGTCGACTGGATGGAGGCGGACGGGTCGAAGACGGTCTTCCTCGCTCTGGGGGGCATCCAATTGGGCTGTCTGCTGTTCTCGATCCCGATGTATATCTACGGCAAGCGGGCCCGCATGTGGACGGTGCGTAGACGATTGATGGAGAAGTTCTGATGTCACGACTGGTCATGATTGCAATGGATTTTTGAATTTAGGGTGGCGAGGAGTGTTTTGTACAAAGTTGTACGGGTTCTCAGGATTTGCATGGCGTCGGCGCGTCGACTGATTGAGACATAGAATTGATTGACTGATTGATGAAGATCGGGATGCATGCTTATTACCTAGGTAGGAATAATAGGACTAATAATGTCCAGGGACCCCCCTGCACAATGACATGCACAATTACATGGCCACAATGTCATGGCGGCACCAGCCACGGGTGCGCCACGCCGATTCTAGACTTTTGCGGCGGATCCGCGTCAATCTCTTACCTGATGGAGTAGTAGGTGATAGAGGGAACCGAAGAATCAGATAGATGAACCCGCTCGTGCACAGAGAGATGTGTGAATGCATGAGATAAGATGAGTCAGCTATACAGTGCTTGGGCAGTGTCTGATTGGTGGATAGAAGGCCCGGGGCTGTCGCCCGCCAATGGGAACTCCTGGAGCCAAACCGCAAGCGGACTAGCCGCGCGGCCTGCAGTCGCCTCAATTCCCTGTTTTTGCGTCAACGTCCTTGTTTTGCTGCTGTGGTGGTCTGTGTCTCTGTCGCTTCTATCCGTGCTCGCTTGTGGCTTCATCCTAGTATCTCCCCTGTCGGAATCCTTCTCCCTGCAACCCGCCGTCTCATCATGAACTCACTCGCCTTCTTCACCACTGATCTATCACGGTGGACCCTCCTCCGAGGCCTCTGCCTGTCAGGGTCCACAGACCACCATTCCCCTGGAACCGGGATATCATCAGCAGCTTGATGAAGGCGCAGGTGGAGCTCTGTCACTGATCCTTCGTCCGTCTGTACATGCCATCATTGGCCGGGCCCCCGGCCCTTACACATCGCCACTTTGGAGGGTCATCATCGTCCAAACCCAGATCCGTCCCAACATTCCACTTACCATTACTGCGGGAGATTACTCGTCTCTCAAGGACTATCTACCGATCCATGGAACTCCCCTTGAGATTTCTCAGATTTCTCACTGTTCCTGTCGGGTCAAAAACGGTTCTGACGGACACTGCCTGAGGATCGAATCTGCCCCATTTCCCGTACCGTGCAGTCTAGACTGTCATCTAATAAAACCCTCGACGCCCTCGAACGCCCGCCTTGTTTCAAGCCTGGTTGTTCCTTTCTTCTTTCCCCCCTTTCTTCCCTTTTCCGCCATTCCCCTTTGCTTATCTGCCGCCACACCTTATTCTGAATCGATCCTGAATCGGGTTTGAGGATGGACCAGCCCTGTTAGACTTACCTGCCACTACAAGACCCTAGCGCGCATCGCTTGTACCGAGCTTTCGGTGCACCTCGATACCCCTCCCCCGCCCTATCCTGTGCACACCGTCCTCATGGAACCTCCACGGTGGGACGACGACCACAATGCTGGCCGCAGAGCGCGGGAGCTGTATCGCTACTTCCAGCCGGAACGATCCCCTCAGACGCCACCATCCCGAGAGGACTCTCCGCAGACGAATCCGGTTTCAGATGCCTCGTTGCCCGGACCTTCGCCATTCACGGCGGCGGCGCCGCCGCCCATCACGCACATCGTTCCCGAGGACGCTCTTGTTCTAGGCGAAGCTAATGCGACGCTCACTTCTTTTGCGCAACTAGCCGCCCTTCGGCTCGATGTCGATCGCGTTCTGGTCAGGTAGGATCTTCTATGCGCCCAGCTTGCGGCCATCGTTCTGACAGTGTGTCTAGCGTATCGGACCGCGACTCGCAGTTCATCCTGGCCCAAGCGACTAAATCACTGGTGGACCCGGCTTCGCAACTTTCGGGTGACGAGGAATGGGACGGATGGTGCCGGCTGAGCAATCGGATCTGGCCCATGTGCCGAGTAAGTTGTTTGTTTCAGTTCTGTCAGCCGTTAATCTAACAGGACCTTGCGTGCTAGGACACGGTTGCCCTCGCCCCGTCTTTCAAAGCCCCCGACGAGGCCCAATTCCTGATCGTGAACGATTTGAGCCAAGACGACAAGTACAAGTCTCTACCCTTTGTCAAGGCCGCGCCCTCCTATCGATTCTATGCCGGCACTCCCCTTACCACCGAGACCAACATCAACATCGGTTGTCTCTTCGTACTCGATACAAAACGACGCGATAGCTGGGGGGATGTCGAGAAGAGCACACTGGCCACTTTGTCCACACTTATAATGGACTATCTCAAGGTCAGTCGGCAAGCATCCGAAGGTCGACGTGCGGCACGACTGTCTCGGGGTCTGAGTTGCTTCGTTGAAGGCAGTTCGAGCTTTGTGGATACGCCTAATCCGTCGTACGCTGGGAGCTCCGCCAACGTACCGAGCACTCCCTCGCTATCGCACCAGAAGGCCACTCACCTCTCAGTCGGGTCCTTGAACAGCCTCGACATCCCATCTCGGCGCTCCCACAGCAGTGATGCCCGCTCCATCAGTTCCATGTCGGAGTGCAAGGGCGACCAGGCCATCTCGTCGAACCCTGATACACCACTGCCAGATTGGTGGTCAGGAACACGGGAGAAGGGATTCGATGAGTCGCATGGGAATTCTTGGGCGTTTCGGAGAGCCGCAAACCTGCTGCGGGAGAGTTTGGAGCTCGATTCGGACGGCGGAGTCATCTTTCTTGAGGCGGGAAACAGCCCGATGTTCGACGTGGAAACTGGCAGTGACTGTTCCATCGGGGAAACTAATCCAGCGTCGGTGCTCGCGATATCTACCAACGAAGAGCCTTTTGCACCAGGACCCGGCTCCAAGGGCCTGTACCCCGCTACCAATCTGGACAACGGATTCCTGCATGAACTCTTCCGGAGGTATAGCAAGGGGAAGCTCTGGTCGTTCCATCGGGATGGCCTGTTGTCGAGCTCCGATGATGAAAAGCCCCACCGCAGCCGACCCAAGATGACCAAACAGACCGAGATCCCTCGAGGGACCGGGAAGAAGTGGAAGACGATGGAGAATTCGTTGCTGAACCTTTATTTTCCAAATGCTACCCAGGTTCTCTTCGTACCCTTGTGGAACGCCGGCAACTCCCAGTGGTTCGCCGGTTGTTTCTGTTGGAATACCGTCGAGACGCGCGTTTTCAACTCGTCCGTCGAGCTGAGCTCCGTGATGGGTTTCGGGTCTTCGATAATGGCCGAGTGCAGCCGGGTCGAGTCCCTCATATCGGATCGGCAGAAGGGTGATTTCATCGGGAGTATCTCGTACGTATACCAGTGCTTTCTCAATCATGCGTTCATTATTGACCTGTGACAGACACGAACTGCGCAGCCCCCTCCATGGAATCCTGGCAGCCGCCGAGTTTTTAGGCGGCACCAACCTCGATGACTTCCAGGGCTCACTGCTCGAGACCATCAACGCCTGTGGTCGCACCTTGCTCGACACCATGAACCAAGTGCTCGACTTCAGCAAGATCGTTTCGCTGGAGCGATCATGGCGTCAACTGAAAAAGAACAAGAACTCTACTGATGTTAAATCCCTTGATCGGTTCTCGGCACATCTGGACACGTTCGTCGCGACGGATCTGGCGATTCTGGCCGAAGAGGTGGTGGAGGGCGTCTGTTTGGGCCATGCCTACAGCCAACGAACCACTTCATCACTAGAACATCCGACTCAGTCCACAGCTACAACCGCAGCCAGGTCACAATCTCTCAAAACATCTCGACACAATGTGGAGGTCGAGATCGACATCGCTCAGAACGATTGGGTATACCAGACCCAGCCCGGTGCGCTACGACGCATTATCATGAACGTCTTTGGAAACGCCATGAAATACACGGACCACGGGCGCGTGTCGTTACAGCTTGCGGTGACAGAAGCGTCGGACAGTCGGTCTCGCCGCGCCGGCATCGACGAATTGGTCACATTGACGGTGTCGGACACGGGCAGGGGGATCTCGGAAGAGTTCCTGCGTGGACGACTCTACACTCCGTTTGCACAGGAAGACACGCTAGCCGTTGGCACCGGTCTGGGACTGTCCATCGTTCGCAGCCTCGTGCGATCCCTGCACGGGAGTATCCACATCAATAGCCAGCCTGGACAGGGAACCACTGTCAAGGTTTCCCTCCCCCTATCGCGGTCTGTCCATGAAGACGTCTTCGAGGACACCTTGTCGCCGCGATCCCCTTCGGCCGCCGAGAAAGGCGCTATCAATGAGAGCATTCTTCTCCGCGACACTCATGCAGGCCGGCGCGTCGCCATCCTAGGCATGGACCCGTCCGAGGCTACCAGCCATCCATCCTGGTCTGTCATCACCCGCTATGTAACCGAATGGTACGGGCTCGAGCTCGTCTCACTTCATTCATCATCACCCGCGGACCTCGTCATCGCCGACGAAACCGCCCTGTTGGAGGAACTTCAGCGCCCAGCGCCGGCGTTCTTCCCTGCACTGCTCATCCTCTGCGACCGGTCTGTCGACTACAACACCGCCCGCGCCGGATTCGCCTCGCTCGCCGGCGCCATCAACATCATCCGCCGACCTTGCGGCCCTAACAAAGTCGCCCGCGCCATCCTCCGGTGTCTCGCATCAGAGGACACCTCGCTCGCCCCAGCGGAGCCAACAAAACCACCGCCATCCACTCTCCCCCTCCGCCCACGCAACGCCCGCTCCCTCCCCAGCGACGACTCCCAGTCCGAGAACAAACTCTCCGACGGCATGGGCGACCTCACCGCCGACGACAGCAACACCTCCGCGTCTTCATCGACACACTCCCAAGACGTATCCGACCTCCCCGACCCACTCCCAACCATCGCATCGCCCTCGTCGCCCGTCACGCTCGGTCCCCTGGACACCTTCACGCAGTCAGAACAGGCCAAGGCACCGCGGCAGGCTCGCGTGCTCGTCGTCGACGACAACTCGATCAATCTCAACCTGATGTTAACGTTTATGAAAAAGCGCCATCTGGCGGCGTTGGACGCCGCGCAGAATGGCAAACTGGCGGTCGATGCAGTCGAGCGAATGCAACAGGGGTACGACATGATTTTTATGGGTATGTCTTTCTAATTCTTGTACTACATGATTTTCTCTCTAGTTGCAGATGGCTAATCCGTACCTTATCAGACATGTCAATGCCCGTGATGAACGGCTTCGAAGCCACTCGCGCGATCCGAGCGATAGAAAAGGAGCGGGACGGGTGTGGACCCGCGATCATCATTGCACTTACTGGGCTGAGCAGTTCGCGCGATGAATCCGATGCATTGGCATCCGGGGTGGATCTGTTTCTCACCAAACCCGTGTCGTTCAAGGAGGTGTCGCGTCTGCTGGCCGAGTGGGAGGCGGGCGAGCTCCGCGGACGGTATTCGGCCGAGGCTTAGGGTGATGCATGTCTGGGATTGACACGGCGTGATGGTGTGATAGCACATTTGTTTATTTGTTCTGTACATATTGCATGAGGGCCGGGATTGCTCCGTACACGGATTTAGCAAGAGTGATACCCTGCATAGAATTGATGATTGCATGATTTGAATCTATGGGCTGAATGCTAGTGATATTATGCCATTACTGGGATCATGAGTGGGATAATTAGTATCGTGCGATCAACCACCGCCGCCGGGTGTCCTCATCCATCTTAAGCAGCAGGTCGCGCTCCTCGCGCTTGACGCAGAGGTAGTCCTTCACCAGTTCGGCGCCGAGCACCTCCTGCAATTCCGAGTCGGCCTGGAGCGCATCTATCGCCTCGTCTAGCGATTTGGGAAGCTTTTCCGTGATGCCCAGCTCCCGTCGCTGCTCGTCTGTGAGGGTTGCCGCGTCGTCTGGATGCCATTAGCAAGGGAACTTAACCAAGAAAGGAGGGAGTAGACCTACGAGCACAGTCCTTCAAGCGCAGCTTCAGTTTCTTCTCCAGCCCGATGTATCCCGCCGCCAGGTAGGCCGCCATGGCTAGATACATATTTGCCAGTCCGTCCAACGACTTCAGTTCCCAGTGTGCCGTCTCGATCTTCCGGACGGGAGACTCGCGATTCTGCGTGCCCCAGGTCACCCATTCGCTGCCGGCCCACAATCCGGACTGCACGCGATCGTAGCTGGCATCCTGTGACAGCGTGAAGGGCATGAGTGCCACGTAGTGCTCCATAATACCGGCCAAGAAGGACTCTTCCACTCCGGCCGACGGCGGTTCCTGAGTCGCATCGGTCTTTTTCAAGGAAATGTGAGCATGGGCTGCGCTGCCGGCATATCCGGGAATGGGGCGTGGGTGTAACGTAGCGCGGAAGCCTTTTTGTTCGGTAATGTTGGTGATGATCTGCCGGGCGCGCAGGAGGGTGTCGACCGCAGCCAACGGCGGGCCTGGGGGAAGAATGAACTCGAACTGACCCGGGGCCGACTCGGCGTGGAATTGCTGCAGGGCGATGCCGTGAGCTCCTAGCGTATCGACAATCTCCTCGAGGAGAGGGACCATGGAGCGCGTCTGGCTGGTCATCTGCGACCAGGAATGGTTGGTGACGCAGGGCTTATACCCGGTGATGGTATCTGGGTCGTCCTTGTCGGTGACCGGACGGAGGAAGATGACCTCGATCTCAAATCCGAAGCTCACGTCAACCTGATATTCGTTGGAGAGCCGAGTGGCGAGGTTCAGCAGCAATGTGCGTGGGCAGCCCGGCACGGGGGCCGATGCGTCCTCCTCCTGTCGCCAAAAGGTCATGACTGACGCGCTGTTGGAGCCTGGGATGCCGACGTTGCGGTGCAGCGTGTCCAGGTCGGGGACTAGATAAAACTGGCCCGTCGTGGATCCTTCGGGTGCAACGTGATCATCCTGGATCATCTGCTGGAGACACTCACAGACTCCCAGCCGACGCTCCTGCCGGGCAAGCTTCGTAAATTCGGCCATGGGGAACATGCGGACGCGCATGGTGGCGGTGTAGTCGAGGAACTGCATCCAGACGTGCTTGATGTCGGGGTTGGCTTTCGTGAAACATTCGAGACGGGTGCCGGGAGGGAGGTCCTGCAAGGTATCTGTTTGCGGAGGGGGTTCATTCAGGTCATAGAGTCGATTGGAGTTGTGGAAAAGGATATCGGCGACGGCCTGCTTCGCCTGCGAGACAGTCCAGTCGGCCTTCTTCACATACTCGATAGCCACGATTTCGAGGGCCGCGCGGAACTGAATATTCGCGAGATAGAAGGTCTCTGGGAAGAAATGACCATCGGTGCTCCAAAGTAAATGCGACGTCGGCACCAGATCCAGACTCTGCCGTAAAATTTGCTCCTGGGCGTCCCGGCTCACCATAGGGAAGACCTCGCCCAGATCCAGATAGACATTGTCGTAGACGCTAGCGAGGTAGCCCGCCTCGCGGGTATACGGGTACGAAGAATGCAGCAAGACGAAATCCACATTGCGGAATCTGGCGACCAGCCGCTGCAGATAGGCGGGATTGGCGAGCACCAGATTGATATCAGAATCTCCCAGACCCGTGTGCAGCTGCAGCGGCTTGTTCGGCACGATGTTGGCGGCGGTGGCTGCGGCCTTGCGGGAGGCAATCGCCTCCACAGTCGTCCACACAATCCAGTCGTTCAGCGGCTTGTCCTCGACGCGAAAGCTCCCGTTCTGGGCGCCGAAGGTGAAGCAGTGGACGAGAGCCGTCTCGAGACTCTGGTCGCCGGCGTCGACCTCCTGGACGTCTAACCCAGTCCGGTAACAAATGACCGATTTGAACCCCACCACGGCGGGGTCGAGGATCGCCTGATTGAGACGATCGCGGAACCCGGCGATGAACTGGTGAAGCAGTGTCTGGCGATGCGTGTGGCTGTCCAGGGTGGCCGGGTTAATGTCCAGCGACGCAAGCGTCTTCTCGGCCAGGGTTTCAATGCGCACTATGCGGCGGGTGCGTCCTGGCGTAAAGCGATCGTGCCAATGATACGGTTCGACGTCTTCTGCGGTCAACAGGTCATCCAGCAGGAGGCTGTGCGTGCCAACCAAACACGCGCGGACGAGCCCTTCGTAGTCGCGCTGCACCCAGTCGCCCCGTGCGGCCTTGACCTGGTCCCAGGTGCTGTCGGAGCTGATGCCGTACAACTGGGCCAGCTGCGGCGTGGCACGGTAGAGGGCGAGCGTGGAGGTGGCATTCTGCAGGGCCGTCCCGTGGGCCTCGGAGATGATCTGCTCAAAGGGATGTTTTTCGTAGGCACAGGCGTGGCGTCTGGAGAGAATGTTATGGGCATGGTTGTCAATGAGGGGATGCGTGTGGATGAGCTGGCGGAGCGAGGGGAGATCCATGGTGTTAGCGAGTGCGAGGGGGTATTATGTAGAGTATCATGCAGCGATGGGATGTTATTGTGCCAGCTAGAAGAGAGTGTTGGTGGTATGAAGAACGAAGAGGCCGAAGAATGCGAGGCCAGTAGATAAAGGTAACGGTACTACTAAGTACTAAAGAGCAGGCGCCGATGGATATACTGCGCGTTCCCAAAGAGGCAGCTGTTCGGCCATGCCTCTGTGTCTCCTGCCGATCGGATGCAGATTTTCTCTGGTGGCAGTCGCAGTCAGTCCCAGGCAGCCGAAGGAGAGACTACTGTTCATGTTCTAGTCGGCTCGGAGCGCAGGCTATATCTGGAAGACTCGACGATTCGGCGATGTTGACGGTGGATGCGCCTTTTCGTGCACCATACGCGATTCGGGCATTTCCACGAGCTGACTAATCGAGTCCTTCAGTCACCAAGTAGTTAGTTAGTTAGTTATTCATAGTTATTCATCTCATTCACCTTTTACGGAGTACTAGCTATTTTCTTGTACGTTATGTAAAAGATTCCTCCGTTGTGCAGGGTTCAGTCTGTGCACGATCGATCCACGCGAATAGCTTCATCCCAGCCTAATACTGCCCCTCAATCGTCATCGTCCCCGTCTTCGTCACCAAATACTCGTTCACCGCAACCTCCTTCCCACTCTCCTTGCCATACCCCGACTCTTTGATCCCTCCAAATGGCGACTCCGCCGCCGATGAATTGCCCGTGTTCATGCCAATCATGCCTGCCTCCAGGTTCTCCAGCATGCGCCACATGCGGTCGATGTTCTTCGTGAACGCATAGCTCGCCAGGCCCATGCTGGTGTCGTTCGCCAGACGCACCGCCTCCTCTTCCGTCTCGAAGCGGTACAGCGCCGCGATGGGCGCAAACGTCTCCTCGCGCGACACCAGCATGTCCTTGGTCATGCCGGTAAGGATGGTGGGCTGGAAGAAGTAACCCTTTTCGCCGGCGACCCGCCCGCCGCCGAGGATAACCTCGGCGCCCAGGCGGCGCGCATCCTCGACCTGCGCCATCGCCTTGTCGATGCTGCGCGGGGTCGTGACGGGGCCCATGGTGGTGTCGGGGCGGGCACCGTGACCGACGACGAGCTGCTGGGTGCGCTCCTTGAGCATCTGCGCGAAGCGGTCGTACACGCCGGCCTGCACGTACACGCGGTTGGCGGTGATGCAGGCCTGGCCGGCGTGGCGCCACTTGAGCGCCATGAGCTGGTCGAGCGCCTGGTCGAGGTTGGCGTCGTCGAACACGAGGAAGGGGCAGTTGCCGCCCAATTCGAGGGTGAGCTTTTTGAGGCCGTGCGCGCAGTGGCTAGCGATCAGCTTGCCGACACGCGTCGACCCCGTGAAGGTGACCTTCTTGACAAGCGGGTGCTTGCACAGCGCCTCGCTGAGTGCCGGCGTGCACTCCAGGTCGGTGGTTAGCACGTTGAACACACCCGCCGGGAAGCCCGCCTTCTGCGCCAGGTGCGCCAGCGACAGCGTCGTCAGCGGCGTCTCTGGACTCGGCTTAACCACCATCGTGCAGCCCGCCGCGAAGGCCGCGCCCGCCTTGCGCAGCACCATCGCCACGGGAAAGTTCCACGGCACCAGCGCGGCGGCCACGCCGATCGGCTGCTTGACGGTGAAGACGCGCCGGTTGGGCGCGGCCGGCACCGCGATGCTGCCGTGGATGCGCTCCGCCTCGCCGGCAAACCACCAGGTGAACCCGAGGGCGTAGTCGATCTCGCCGCAGGCCTCGGCTATCGGCTTGCCTGTCTCGTGGGTGAGGATTTTGGCCAGGTCGCTGCGGGCTTCGCGGATGAGAGCGTCCCATTTCATCAGCCACTGCGCGCGCTGCCGCGGGTTGGTCTTTTTGAACTGCTCAAACGCCGCGTGGGCGCTTTCGACCGCTGCGGGCACATCGTCGGCGGTGTTGGTCGGACAGCTAGCCCAGGGGATGTCGGTGCCGGGGTCTGCATGGATTCGTTAGGATGGTCGTAGGATTGTACAATTGTAGAGAAGCATCTCACCAACGACTTCGAAGCGTTTTCCACTCTTGGACTGCACCCAGGCATTGTTGACGAAGGAGTCGTAATGGAGGAGGGAGGGGTCGTCAAGCTATCCATCAAGATGTATAAGATGCAATGTATGTTAGGAGTATAGATGATCGCGACGTACCTGGAAGGGGAGCTGATACTGGGACGCCATGATGCGACAGAGACGGACGATGGGATGGAAGAAAGGAATGAAAGAGAAGAAGAACATAGTTACTAACTACCTCTTATTAAGTATAAGAATGACCCCGCACCCCCCTCACTTGGCCGATTACCGAAAAAGGCACTGAATCCCACCCAACCATATAGCCGTCCATTACAACCATCTATATCGTCTACTCATAACAACATCAACATTCAATCTATCTCATCTACACCAGTCGATCCACACTCCCCGTCCGGTGCGGACTCTGCTGATCCGTCGTATATTGCACCGAGACATCCATCGTCTTGACAATCCCCGCGCTGCCATCCTCGCTGCTCAGACTCGGGCTGTCCGCGCCATCGCGCCCCCCACTGCGCGTGTACTTGCGCATCTCGGCCTTGACATCCGCCGTGTTGGCGCGGAACGGATCCGCCAGCTCGAAGCCGTCGTCGTCGCCCGCCCGCGCCGACCGGTGGGGATACTCCAGGCCGGAGCGGAAGCGGTTCGAGCTGCTCGCGCCGCCGTAGTAGTACTTGGAGTTGGACGCGCCGTGCGAGGTGCCCAGCAGACGGGGGATGTACTTGCTAAAGATGGCCTTGAGGGACGGGGCGCAGGCCGACATCACGGCGACGTTGACCTCAACCGCGGAGCTGCAGAAGCCGACGCTGTAGGTCGGGTCCGGGTTCTGGTGCTTGGGGTCTGGGAAGAAGGCTTCGGCGAGGATGACGATACGCCAGACGCCGATGGCCGTGGCCCTGTATCTGTCAGTTGAAAGCGCTGAAAACGGGGGAACGCAGGTACGTACACTCCACCCAGGCAGAGAATCAAGCACACGGCGAGCTTCCTCCGCAGCGGCATGTGCAGCGACCAGGTGATGATGATGGGGATGGAAAGCACCAGCAGATCGGTGAACAGGTTCAGCGCGGCGGTGGCGACGTAGAAGGCGCCCTGCTGGATGCATTTGCCGTGGGCGATCGACTTGTCGTAGACGTAGGCCACGGGCCAGCATTGGAAGAGGTCCACGAAGAGCACAGCGAGGAATAAGCCGACGGTCACGGCCATGGTGCCCCAGATAAGCGAGTTCACCAGACGCGACTTGGACTCGAGACGCCGCAAGAACAGCAGGATGGAGACTTTGACCATGGTGAGGGCGGGATTGTAGAGGAGCTGGTTGGCAAAGTTCCACTGTTTGGTCAGCTTGAGATGTAGGAGAAAAGAGTATAGGAACATACAATCAGGCCCTTCTTGACGTCGTAGTCTTTAGGAATGTCCCAGATGTGGTAACCGACATAGTTCGCTTTAACGTCTGGACATCATTAGAGAAGAAGTAAGTCAGGATTACCGAGGGCTACAAACAATACCACGATGTCACGGACATGCCCACAGCCAGAACCTGCCATTCAATCAGTAGAGCCCTGAATCAGACGCGTGAAGCCGTACATATCCGGCGCAGATGAAATAGTCGTCTACCTCTGTTAGACTGAAATGACTCGTAGCGACCAAACGACGTACCACATCCCAGAGAAGACCGCGACAGATAACGACTCCATAACCGCAGAGTCACTGCAATGCCTCCCAGCGCCGGAAAGGCCGCGATCATTCCCAGCGCAATACTCTGTTGATTGTCATGGTCCATCGTCAGACATATCGCAATGCCGTCGCTACTGCAGGAGCATGAGGTATCAGCAGTATAAGTAACCGGCTCGCCCAATCCCTCGCTGAGATAACCCGGCGGCTTGTCCGTGTAAACCCCCAAATCCAGGCACAAGGAGCTGATCCACCGAACACCGCGGAACAGAAGGAATCGAGGAACCCTCGATCTGGCTGGGACCCTTCACGACAGCGGGCAAGTCATCTATTTCACCATAGACTCCACCGTCACGGCGCAAGCTATTCGACGAGAAAAGTGCTGTCCACGGTCCAGAGCCAATCTATTGGGAGACCGCGCGGGCGTTTCTGTTATTAATGGCACGATAATCATATTGACAGCGGCGCGGAACGGGTTTGGTGGCTGCCGTGGACGTCGGCAGTGAACAATGCAGGTAAGACTCCCTTGCTTCTCTACCAGCCCTCCCGGCATTTGCCCATTGAGGAACGCCACAAAATGTCTCAAATCGCGTGGATGCGTGGATTGCGTGGAGTCAGCAAGTCCTTCGTGGCAGACATTCTTAGCGAGGGAGCTGTCTGCTGCTCCATATCTGAAACCGGGCGCTGGACCAAGCCTGGAGGGCGGCGGCGCGACTGGCCCATGGTCCAATCTGCTCATTTCAATAGATTGCGGTAATATCCGTAGGCGAAGGGCTTCAAGCGAGCGTTCCGGCGGTCGGTGCAATGTCCAGAAAGGTGCAGCGGTAATGGTTAGAGTCAGAGGCGTGTTTACGTCTGGCATCCTTGAAGACAGTTCTGGCATACATAGGTAGGCCAAGCATACACCAGCGATCCATAAATACGCAGAAAAATACCTGCCCGACCTCCACTGCGTGATGATCACCACTCGGATCATCGCTGGAGATCAAGATTTGCATGCTGATCAGCGTTTCCCCGTGCTCGATCTAGTCTACTCCAGCATGCGAAGAAACGGTCAGCGCCAGAGATCGACTCTTTTGCATTCGAGAAATGCGGTCAATGCAAGGCCAGTGACCGTCTTTTCGGATCGTAATCTAGTTGCCAAATGCCGAGAATTCCATCCGAGGCTCCTCTTTCTCAGACATTGGCTTGGAGAAATTTTTCCGGGTTCGCCCGCAAAGCTAGTGCTCGTTTGATGGAGATTCGCTAAGGACAATAGTGCGCTTTAGGCGGGCGTCTAGAAGGTAGTCCCTGCGGAGATATCGTATGACTGACAGATGAAGACCCTGCTAGAGTGGTTTCTGGCTAGACTGTTTTCTTCCTTCATCTCCGAGTTCGTCTAGACCTTCGTTTAGTATCAAGGTGGTAGTCCAGGGGCTGGAAATGTCCTGAAAACAACCACATGTACTCTATGGAACAGGATCATCCTTCGTCTCCCCCTGAACCCTCCTCTCCCCAGTCGGACCTGATGCAATCTATCCATGGAACCTCCCTCTGGTGGAGCAGCAGGCTTAGCTTCTCCCGAGAATGTTCGTCTAGGCGCGCGTGAACAGCACTGCTGCGTGGGTCGACATTAGCCACGCAGCTAGGCCTCCTAGACATCAACTTAGGGCATCGGCCAGCTCGCCTCTTCCAGTCGCAGTGGAGTCCCCTCGTGGCCGTTCGACAGGAACCGATCCATCCAGATGCCCCAGTCGCCCTCGTGGCGATTGGTGGTGCATTCCTGCTCCGCTGAAGCAGTATGTCCGGGAAAGCCGATGTAGAACGTCCGGTTTAGCCTGTCCGATGTCCGCCTAGTTTGGGATTGTATATTATCTGCGCGTCTCCCCTATTCTTCCGGCTTGCGCATATCGCTTTCACTCAATCCCAACCCTTCACTGCAGTGGCAAGGTGATCTCTCCGCCATGGTCCGAGTCGCCTCTTCTGCAGGTCTGCTGGCCGCGCTCGCGCTGTCCAACCCGGCGCGGGCTGCGCCGACCTCCTCGTCTGTCATTGTCGCTGCCACGCCGGTGCCTTCGTCGAGCACGGATGCCGGCGTCCCGCTGTTCTCCAGCGAGACGCTGCAGCTGACCGACAGTGTCATTGATAACCTCGCACCCGTGTTAGACAATGCGACGGATCTGTTCGATTTTGGCAGCAATGCCTCCTCGGACCTGGCCGCCCGCTGCATCAGCTGCTTCAGCAAGTGCAAGCTGCTCCCGGGCGACGCCCTCTGGCCGGCCCCCGCCATCTGGTCGCTCTTCGACTGGCTGCTCGGTGGACGACTGGTGAAGACGGTGCCGCTGGCTGCATCCTGCTACTCCTCCTGGCCGGAGTACGACCCTGATCAATGCCAGGTCGTGTCCGATAACTGGACCGTGTCCTATCTTCAGTATGTTCACGCCCTACGATGGTAGTTCTGTACTGACGAAACAGTGCCGCGGATCCCGCCTCCATCATGTGGCCCTTATACGAAGGCCGCTCCTGCATGCCCACCGACGACCCGTCGGGCGAGTGCACCGTGGGCGGGTACTCCAGCTACGCCGTGAATGTCAGCAACGTTGCGCAGATCCAGCTGGCGGTCAACTTCGCCCGCAACGCTGGTCTCCGTCTGGTGGTCAAGAACACCGGCCACGACTTCAACGGCAAGTCCACGGGCGCCGGTGCTCTCGGCATCTGGACGCACAATCTCAAGGACATCAAGTACTACGCCGACTACCAGTCGACCAACTACCGCGGGCCCGCCGTCAAGATGGGCGCCGGCGTGCAGGCGTTTGAGATCTATGAAAAGGCCAACGAGCTGGGCTTCACCGCTGTCGGGGGCGAAGGAAAGGTGAGTCTGCAACTTTCCTTCCTGCATGACAGTATCTAACGTTATCAGTCGGTGGGTGTTGCCGGCGGATACGTCCTCGGCGGTGGCCACTCGCCCATGTCGAGCATCTACGGTCTGGCGGTGGACCAGGTTCTTGCCTTTGAGGTGGTGCTGGCCAACGGCCGCTTTGTGACGGTGACGGAGGAGACCGATGCTGATCTCTTCTGGGCTCTCCGTGGCGGCGGTGGTGGTGAGTCCCTCCGTCCATCTATACTCCCTCGACCACCTAGCTAATGACTCCGGTCCAGGCACCTACGGCGTGGTCACCTCGGTCATCTCGCGCGTGCACCCCAAGGTCGGTGTGACGGTGTCGACATTCTCCTTCTCGACCAGCAGCAACGTCAGCGTCGACACCTTCTGGGCCGGTGTGCGCGCCTATTTCGACCGCTTCGCCATCCACGCCGACGCCGGCACCTACGCCTACTTCTGGGTGATGGCGACAGGCGCGGACTCGTTCACTTTCCTGATGAACCCGTTCTTCGCCGTCAACCACACAGTCGCCGAGTACGAGGCGCTGGTGCAGCCGTGGTTCGACGAGCTCGACCGGCTGGGCATCCCGTTCTCCCCAGCCACCACCTACTACGACAACTTCTACGACGCCTGGGCTGCCGGCTTCCCACTAGAGACCGTCGGCGCGACGACCATGATGACCGGGTCGCGGCTCTTCCCGCGCCCCAACTGGGCGGACGCCGCCCTGCGCAACAAGACCTTTGATGCGCTGAAGACCACCGTCTCGGCGGGCTACCCGCTGCTCGCGTTCAACATGAAGGCCGAGCAGCCCGCCGGGGTCGCCGACAACGCGGCCAACCCGGCCTTCCGCGACACCCTCATGCATGCCATCTCGTCGGCCAGCTGGGCCGCCGACGCGACGCCCGCGGAGATCCTCGACACCATGAACACCTTCACCAACGATATCCTGGGCGTGTGGCGCGCGACCTGCCCCGAGTCCGGGGCGTACATGTCCGAGGCGGGCATTCTCGAGCCGAACTTCCAGCAGGCGTTCTACGGCTCCAACTACGACCGGTTGTACCGACTGAAGCAGAAGTACGATCCGTTCGGGGTGTTTTATGCGCCGACGGGCGTCGGCAGCGAGGACTGGACGGTGGATAGTGCCGATGGGCTGCCGGATCAGAACGGCCGGCTGTGCCGGGTGTGATTCATATAGACTGTATAGTAGATTTCATAGTACGATTTAGTTCCTCGTGTGTATCAAAAGTAGATGTTTGGTTCCGCCCGCACAAGCTCCTCTGCTTTCCCTGGTAGTCCACCAGACGAAACCCCCTGCGCCGGGGGTACATCCCCTTCTCTCGACTCCGTTCCTTCCCCTGGGACCTGTTCCCCAGTCTGGGCTTCACCAGAACAATCCTCCCCAAATAACCCCTCCTTCTCCGCCCACCACCGCTCCCAGTCCCGCGGATCTCTTAGCGGCAGACGCTCCCACTCTTCCATGTTGGTCGTGCGGCTCTGGCGCGCCAACCTATCCGGCACGGTTGGCGGAATGCGCAGGGCTGGGGTCTCAGTGTGCAGACCTGCGCTGCGGAGCTGGGTGTAGAGCGTATAGAGGGCTAGTTCTGTCTCGATGAGACGGTGCTCCAGATGGGTGATGTAGCCTTGGGGCAGGCCTCTACACGAGTTCAGATTGCGTATGTATTTGAGAGTGATGGACGCACCGTTTCCCGCTTTCGGGGTAGATGCACCGTGAGGGCGTGGTGGTGCATTGGGAGCAGGTTGGTCTGGATAGTCAGCGTCTGTCGCAAGCAGCAATGGTGGAGGTAGTGATGGTTACAGGATGCGATCACACTGTCTACTGTCAGAATGGCTGTTTCTTGGGTGGTATGACGCACCTTGCACTTTTTCTGGCGACAGGGTTCGCAGGAGATTGCGTTTTGGGACATGGTGTAGATAGACGGTGAGTATAGGGAGTATAGGGATGAAGGTCAAGAACTGATGCCCGCGCGGGGAAGAAATGCCGCGTCTCCGCGGGTGAATTCCAGTGGGTTTAGCTGCCGACAACATTTTGCCTGTTTATGAGAAAGGCTATGTGTCTCACGAAGTATGCCCACTTGTCTATATATTCTTACTCCATCGTGGGTGTGATGGCAGAGCATAATCAGTATCTTGCCAGTGTTTAGGTATTTATATATCCAGGTGTACATTTCATCGACTAATAGAGTCCCTCACAAGTCTAGATTCATACATTTCGTACAGTTACTTGAACGACTCCTATATGTTCTGTAAAAGTGAACGCACGCTCGCTCAAGGATACATGCATAGTTAAAGTGCATGACTTAGTCAGCCATTCTCCAACTTATGAACCCATCTCGCATATCCATCAACCTGACTGTCGACATCTGGACATTCTTCTTCATCATCACAATGGACACGCAGTATGATATACCGCCCGCCAAACGGCGCAAGACGCACAATCCCCCACCCCGAGAGATCGGGCTCATGCGCAAATCCCACCAGGAGAACGGTTCGGCGACCTTTCTGGGCAGCTCCAGCGGCATCTACTTCATCCGCGTCGTCTACAACGCCTTTGCCAGGCGATCCGCCCATCTAAACCAGACCCAGCAGACTCCTCCAAAAGACAGCCTCGTCCCGGGCGAGGACGACCAGCTGCAGCATCAGAGTCCTCGCCGGGATACCTCCCAGGCGCTCAAACACGACTTGTGGACGCCGCATGAATTGGACCACCGCCCAGCAAAATTCACCCTCGACCATCTCGTGCAATGGACCCGCAGCTACTTCCATCACTGGCATCCCATCTTCCCCTACCTCCTGGCGCCGACGTTCCTGCGCACGCTGGAAACGCTCAGCAGCAACGGATGGTCCAAACTGACGACCCCCGAGGCCATTCTCGTCCGCAGCATCATGTCCATCTCGCTGATGGACCGTCGACAGATGACTGCATCCGCGGCATCGGGAGCAAAAAGTCAGCCTGTGCCAGCGTCGCTGGTCTTCCGCACCGTCGACCAGGCCATGGAGAGTCTGCACACGCTGTTCTGTGACGCGCCCACGATCCTGACCCTGCAGGCAGCGTTCAGCGTGCAGCTCTTCCTCGCGTCGCTGCTCCGGCTGAACGCCGCCTCGCGCATTGGCGGCGTGATCACCCGCACCGCGTTCCATCTAGGTTTGCACCGCTGTCCCGCGCGGTATTCGTGCTTTACGCCCGAGGAGGCAGCCATCCGACGGCGTCTCTTCTGGTCCATCTACTGCTTGGAGCGGTATCTCTCCCAGGCTCTCGGAATACCTCTGAGCATCCGAGACGACGACGTGGATGTCTGCTATCCCAGTATGGAGATGCATGCAGACCACGTGCCTGACAGTAATCTCTCCCTGCCTCCATGTACAACAGCAATACTTACAGCATTGTCCTAACAATATGCAGACCGCCTACGCCTCCTCACGCACCTGGCCAAATTCGCCCGTGTGCGCGGCCTCATCGTCGAGCTCCGCAACAAGTCCCTCGCGCACACTCAGTCCTCTCCCACCGCGACCCAGATCAACGGCGAGCTGACGCAGTGGTGGAACGAGGTCTACGATGATGTGAATCTCCTGGATAATGACACCCCAGAAGACGACAGCCCCCCTGCGCTTGCCCCGCTGCACCGGCTGCTCCTGATCGTGCTCCGCCACGAATCCATCATCTCCATGAACCGGCCGCTGCTGGCCACCGAGCCGACCTCCCCCGAATACAAGGCCGCGTTGCAGGTGTGTATCGAGTCGTCGCGCGAGCTCATCGCCGAACTGCGTCGGCACCTGACCGTTGCACCCGTCGTGCCACTTGTCTGGCCGTCGTTTACGTGGGCCGTGTGGATGAGCTGTCTGATTTTGGTGTATGCGGCGTGGGAGGGGGAGTTTGCCATCGCTGCTGCGTCGAGGTATGCTCCCTACTCTGTTTGTGTATAGATATGGTCCGGACTGAACGTGCGAGCAGATATACCAAATCCGGCCTCGTCATCCTCCAGAATCTCGCCCTGCGCGATAGCTCCTGGCCGCAGACCTGCATCGAAGCCCTCCGCGACTTGGAATCGGCCTTGTCCAACCCGCCTACTTCCCAGCAGGAACAGACGACTGTGTCCACCGACCAGAGCCAGCAGCTCCCCGCTATGGACACCGGACTGGAGATGTCCGCAGAACACAGCATGTTGACGGTCCCGGACACAAACCAATACAGCAACCCGTCGGTCATCTTCGGAGACAGCAACAACCCGTTCTTCAGCGGGTTCTTCGCAGACGGCCTCTTGTCCGGGGACAGCGGGGTGGAGGGCATGCTGAGCGATTTGTGGACAGTAGCCGATGGACCGTGGCTGATCCAGGAGAATTACGACACGAGCGGTCTCTAATACTGTCAGCGATGCGGTTGATTGACCATCAGGATAATTACGACATGCAAGGCCTTCACTGCTCTCTGGGTGTCGGGAGAAACAATATCGGGTGATGGATCTACCGGACAAGTTCTCTCCGGCTGGCCTGCCGGACATGTCTTGTCCGGCGGGGCTTGCCGAGGTTTGTATATATAGAGGGGTACGAACACAGCAAGTCGACCCCAGCAAGGAACACCAAGAACAACGGAATAATGAAATCCTACAAGATCGCAGCCATTCCCGCCGACGGGATCGGCCCGGAGGTCGTGTCCGCGGGCATCGAGGTGCTGCAGGCGCTCACGGCCAAGCTGCAGAGCTTCTCGCTGGAGTTCACTCACCTCGACTGGAGCTCGGAGACGTACAAAAAGACCGGAAAGTATATCCCGGATGGCGGGCTGGAGGTGCTGAAGAAGCACGATGCGATTCTGTTTGGTGCCGTCGGTGCTCCGGGTATGTATCCAATGCCGCATCGGACCTACGGTCTACTGCTAACCAACGAAGATGTCCCCGACCACATCTCCCTCTGGGGTCTACGTCTCGCCATCTGCCAGCCGCTGCAACAATACGCCAACGTGCGTCCGACCCGCGTGCTCCGCGGCACCCAATCTCCCTTGCGCGACTGCCCGCCCGGCAAGCTGGACTGGGTGATCATCCGCGAGAACAGCGAGGGCGAGTACGCCGGACAGGGCGGACGGTCACACGTCGGATGGCCGTGGGAGGTGGCGACAGAGACGGCGATATTCTCGCGGGTGGGCGTGGAGCGCATCATGCGGTTTGCGTTTGAGACGGCGCAGAAGCGACCGCGCAAGAAGCTCACTGTCGTCAGCAAGAGCAACGCGCAGCGCAACGGGATGGTGCTGTGGGACGAGGTAGCCAGCATCGTGGCGCGGGACTTTCCCGACGTGCAGGTCGACAAGATGCTGGTGGACGCGATGACGACGCGGATGGTGCTGAAGCCGGAGAGTATCGACACAATTGTAGCGAGCAATCTGGTACGTCTCCCTGTTTTGTCTTTTTGTCATGTCTAACGGGGCAGCACGCGGATATTCTGTCCGACTTAGCGGCCGCGCTCGCCGGCTCGATCGGAATCGCGCCGACGTCCAACCTGGATCCCACGCGGCAGCATCCTAGCATGTTCGAGCCGATCCACGGGTCTGCGTTTGACATCACGGGCAAGGGGATTGCCAATCCGGTGGCGACGTTCTGGACGGCGGCGGAGATGCTGGGATGGTTGGGCGAGGAGACGGCGGCGCAGAAACTGATGGAGTGTGTGGAGACCGTATGCGCCAGTGGGCTGTTGACGGCGGATCTAGGAGGGACGGCCACGACGAAGGAGGTGACGGCAGCGGTGGTTGCAGCGATCCAGCAGCTGTAAGATAAGGTCATAGGTGTATAGTACTTTCGTCTACATCACTCGATGCGTCTGGAAGGGCGATTGGGGCCCCGCGGGACCCCGGACGGCCTCGAATAGACTCACGATTTTCGTACGGAGTGCAGCTGCAACTCCCGAGAAATCTTCGTCTTCGGGAGTCTCGCATGCAGCCCTCGCTCGTTCGATGGAGATTTCGGCGGGCCCAACACGGCAGTTGACCGAGCCGCGTACGGAGTAGTTACGGAGTACGATGCTTATCGACGGAGAATTTTCGGCCCACTGTGGAGAGGATGCAGAAGGCGTTACGAGAATGCATGTCCTGATGGCCTGATATCGTATCTCTCTGTCTTCCATTCTGGTACACCGAGGTCTATATACTCCCGTCGAACCTGCGAGAACACGCCAAGGACGCAGGGAAGCTTGTCCGGTCTTAGCTATACGCATATCATCGTGCGTTCTGGTTGCGGTCTCTGCTTCGATAGACTGTAAGACTCTATACTCCGTACTTCTCCCATCCCACGCAGCCCCCATGGCCATCCCCACTAGTCGGCCCAGTCTCTTCCGCACGAGCAGAACTCGGATTTGTGTGCTTTTCTCTCGCTCGACTGGAGCTGCCAAGCGCAACTAGCCCCCCGACCCATCGGACAGCCTTCCATCCATGCTTGAAATAAACCCGATTTGTAACACGCTGCCAATGAAACTCCCCGAGATTGACAGCATCGTCTACCCCGGCCGACTTGCTGCTCGGGCGCCGTCCGAGGGTGGGCCAGTCCCTGGTATACTCTGTACTCCGTGACCGGACAAGTTGCCCTCCCGGTGACGGCGCACTCAACGCATCCACGCCGATTCAGCGGTGGACAGGGATCGCCGTTCGGCTGACTTAATGGCAAGGCTGTTGGGAGTGCCATGCGGGGTCTCCAGAAGAGAAACGAAATCGGGGTTTGTGGGAGTGGGAGTGGGAGTGTTAGGGCTGCGCAACCGATATAAGACCAGACCTGTCTCGGTCTCTTTTCTTCCCACAACCACACTTCTCCCTCTCGGTCATTTTTCCTCCATTGATCCGCAATGGCCATGAAAGGGAAGCCTCTGCGTCTGGCGCAGGCGCTGCTGATTGTCGCTCCGGCGTTCATTCTCTTCGGCTACAACCAAGCCGGCGTCGGCCCTCTGGCCACCCTGCAGAGCTGGGTGCACACATTCCCGGAAATCGACACCATCAACACCTCAGGCGCGGTCAAGTCGCACAACTCCACCAGCAAAGGCGCCGTGATCGCCTCGTTCCAGATCGGTGCGCTGTTCGGAGCCCTCTCGTGCACCTACTTGGGCGACTGGCTGGGCCGCCGCAAGACCATCTTCCTCGGCGGCATCCTCACCGTCATCGGACAGGTGTTGCAGATCGCCGCGTTCCGGCAGGCTTTGGTCCAATTCACCATCGGACGCATCATCCTGGGCTTCGGGGTGGGCCAGCTGAGTGTTGCCGTGCCCGTGTGGCAGTCCGAGTGTTCGTCCGCCAAACACCGCGGCCAACATGTCATCGTCGACGGCATCTGTATCTGTCTGGGATACGCCCTGTGCAACTGGATCGATTTCGGCCTGAGCAAGATCCCCAACGACAGCTCCCTGCAGTGGCGCCTGCCGCTCGTCATCTCGCTCTTCTTCTCGCTTGTGTTGCTCGTCTCCGTCTTCCTGCTGCCCGAGTCGCCGCGCTGGCTCGTCTGCGTCAGCCGCGTCGACGATGCCACCGCCAGTCTGGCCGCCTACCGCGGCCTGCCCGCCGAGGACGAGCGCGTGCGCTCCGAAATCGCCGGTATCGAGACCTCGCTCGAGATCACCGCCGGGTCGGCCGCCTCCGCGTCGCTGAAGGAGATGTTTTCGTCGGACGACGACGAGCGCCTGCTCTACCGCTTCTGCCTGTGCATTGCGTTGAACTTCTTCCAGCAGATGTGCGGAGGAAACTTAATCTCCGTCTATGTCAGCAATATTTTCCAAGATAACCTCAACATGAGCTCGGACCTGGCCAAAATCCTCGCCAGCTGCGCCATGACTTGGAAGTTCCTGTGCAGCTTCATCTCCTTCTTCGCCATCGACCGGCTGGGCCGCCGCGTCGTGTTCATGATCAGCGGCACCGGCATGGCGTGCTGCATGCTCGCGCTGGCGGTCACCAACAGCTTCGGCAAGCAGCAGACGGCCTCCATCGTGTCGGCGGTGTTCATCTTCCTCTTCAACTCGTTCTACCCGATCGGCTTCCTCGGCGGCAACTTCCTGTACTGCACGGAGGTGGCGCCGATGCGGCTGCGCGTCGCCATGTCCGCGGTGTCGACGGCCAACCACTGGCTGTGGAACTTTGTCGTCGTCATGATCACCCCCGTCGCCCTCGACACCATCGGCTACCGCTACTACATCGTGTACACGGTGATCTCGGCGTGCATCCCGATCGTCGTCTTCTTCTTCTACCCCGAGACCATGAACCGCAACCTCGAGGCGCTGAACCACGTCTTCCGCGACGCGCCGTCCGCCTGGCAGATTGTGTCGATGGCGCGCCATCTGCCGCAGGGCGAGGCGGCCGAGGTGGACGTCTGGGTGCGCAGCGCCGAGAAGGGTGAGATCGAGGAGAAAGAGAGCGTATCATGAATGAATGGCTGAATGAGTATGTAGACAGGACTAATCGAGCCTAATCTATCATTAACCGTTGTACCGGAAACGGAACCGTCCATATCCATATATACATACGTACATTATAATGCATCCCTGCGACACCGCCTCCACCACCGCCGCTCGTCGCACACCATCTTCTCCCGCTCGCGTCGCATCTGCAGGTGCTGGTGCCGCGCGCGGCCCTCCCAGTGGTGGCGTTCGCGCCCGCGATCCGGATACGCCTCGTCGGCGTAGTAGCGGCCGATGGACTCGGCGAGCTCGACGATCCCGATGGTGACGGGGACGAGGAGCAATAGGCCTAGCGCGAGGAGCTCGTGCTCGTAGCGATTGAGCAGGGTGGTGGGTTGTTGTGCGTTGTGGAGCGCGCGCATGTAGTCGGTGCGCTCGGCGCCGGTGTTGATGAAGGCGCCGTGCGGAGAACGAGATGGTCGTTCGACCGGCGACGGGAGTATGCGATCAGGGGATCGGAAAACGTGCTGCATAACGGAATTGATAGAAGCAATCCGCGCTGGACTTGCGACAGCTGTCAACTGCGCATGGTGGTCTGGCCCATTCCATGGAGGACGCATCGGAATGCCCCAGCACAGGGGCAACAGGAACAACAAGTACAGCATGGCTGCGACACTGCGTGTACACGCAAGCTGGATAGAACTCAGACATGCCGGGGCACTTAATTTATATACTGCGTAAAATCAATTGGAAGCCCTGGGATCGTTTGCGGCCGTTGAAAGAAAGCAAACACACCCCGTGCAACAGGCCGCATGCGGATTGGCTGGCATGTGCGGATGTGTTTGCGCTGCCACCAAATTCACTATACAAACTGTAACACATCAACATCGATGGATATAGATATAGATATAGATCGCACATATAGATATAGTCTTCAAACTGTATGTAGATAGCAACATCAGCATCACTCCCGCTCCTTCACCCCCTCCTGCATCGCCTTCACATGCGAAAAGTCCAGCGTGTCCTCGCCCAGACTCCACGCCATCACGCCGCCCACGTGCTCGGCATCCACGATGTCCTTGAACTTGCGCTCGATCATCGGCACCGTATCCCACGTCCAGAAGAGGTCGACCTCCTTGTCGAAGTAGTACTGCCCGCCGGCCTTCTCGTCCAGCTTGCCGTCCTTCTCCGCCCGGCGCCACGAGTCGATGATCGAGATGCCTTTGCACTCGCCGTAATCGGACAGACAGCCCGCCTGGCAGAAGTCGTCGTCGGAGCCGCTGTCCCCGTTAGCCCAGAACACCAGTCTCATCAGAAGAGAGTCACATACCAGTTCCCATACTGACTGCAGCACTGCCCCTTCGGACAGCGCGTCCCCTTGGCAAACCCGCACGTCCCATCCGTCGACTCCTTCAGATCCTTCGGCGGCGGCGCCATCGTACCCTTCTCAAACGTCACCACCCCCGACTTGCCATTATCCGAGCCGTCGGGCTTCTCCATGGCCACGACCGGGCATCCGAGCGGGTGCTCCTCGCAGTCGGCGTCCTTTTGCGTCGTGAACCACTTCGCGTAGTACGCCACGCCGAGGTTCATCTTGGCCGGGTCGAGCCCGATCTCCTTGTACGCGTGCACCGTGTCGAGCGACTGCGCGACGCTGCTGTGGTGCGCGGTGGCGTTGTTGCGCCGGTTCATCAGGTCGTACGACATCACGTTGACCATGTCGACGGACGGCCAGATCTTCGGCCCGTTCTCCTTCGTGAACGCGATCATGTCCTCGCGCTTGCCCGGCACCGCCAGCGACAGCACCTTGTCCTTGCCCAGCGCCGCCCGCACCGCCTGCACGAACAGCGGGTACGCCTCGATCTCGGGCTTCTTCTTCGCGTTCGGGATCTTCTTGTAGTCGTCGCCGTTGCCGCCGGGGTACTCCCAGTCGATGTCTGCGTCGTGAGCCTGCCTGCGCGAAACGTGGGTTTGGGTCCGGGGGGAGGGTGAAGGGGAGGACTCACCAACTCCGTCAAAGCCATGGTCGTTCACCATCTTGGCTAGGTTCTTTGCAAACTGCTCGCGCGACGCGTCGTCTTTCGACCCCTCCGAGAACCCGGACGTGTCGCCCCAGCCGCCGACGGCGATCATGACCTTCGTGTCTGGGGCGAAGCGCTTGCGCATCTGCTCGACCGGCTGGAACGGCTTGAAGTCGCCGGCGTCCTGGCCGGTGAAGAGGGTGGTCTTTGCAAAGGCCATGATCGCGTGCGTGATGCCCTCTGTCTGCGAGCTGTCCGGCAGGTCGGTCGTGTGGTATCTTCCGTCGTCAGCATCACGATTCAGTAGTGGCCAGCTGGGAGCTGGGATACGTACTGGTCGATATACATGGCAAAGCGCATGCCCACCGCGCCCTGCGCGGCGAGAACAGCCAAGGCAAGCTTCTTGAGCATCTTGTCGTGCTCCTACTCAGTAGATACAAATTGCAGCACGCTCAGAGGGACAGAGGGTAGGCGCGCAAGAGAGCACGCGAGTAGATCGGCTCCATACTTATATAGTACGCCCTAACAAAGATGTCTCACACAAAGACAACACGAGAATTGGTCTGCAAGGGATCGTCGCACAAGCCCGGCAACGTCATTCATTCCATCCATCAGCTGGCCGGTGCAGTCCGGGCTCTCGTCATTGTTAGACACAAAGAATGCGACACTCTATTGTCCCGTGCAAGATGTATGAAACCCTGGGAGTTTCAATATAACTCTAGGAGTTCCTAATTGGGAAGCCCTATCTAAGTAACTTTCGTTTGGAGGAAACTCCCTTCTGTTCTAAGAAAAAGGTCGAAAGGAGGTGGGAGCTATAAAAGCTTGACTATTAAAGTATACACCTAGTATATACCATATAATAGAAATTGAGAGAATTAATAGGGGTTGCCTAGGCAATAGTAGCTGTCTGATATAGGTCCCTGAGGCTGCGGAATCATTTTCCTGGCTCATCTCCTTGTGTTGGGTATGAATGACCAGGAGTGACCGGGTCACATTCCACCCTCATTCCAAAGAGCAGACATGCCGGTTCACATACCTGCGCAACCAATTTCAGTGGTCTGGTTCCATTCCTGGTTGTTGGGTCCTTTGTCGATGACGCTCGTCTGCTTCTGACCGTCCAGATTCATCACTGTATCAAGTGTGGTTCGGTGTATTATAACTAGCTAGAGGGTATATCAATGCAATGCTAAACTTCAAGTAGATCAATCCCAACGCCGACGGATAATGGGCCGTGCCGGATCCCACGGGCCGATCACCACATTCTTATACTTCTGCAGGCTGATCAGCCACCAGCTACAGCCGCCCATGGCCAGCGCCGTGAGAATACTGCCCAGGATGGAGCCGACCACCGCCGCAGCGAGTCCGCCCCGTAGCGTCATCCCCACAGCGCCACCGGCCACGATCACCAGCGCCAGCGTCAGAAGGACGTGCCCGGTCCAGGAAATATGTCGCAGCTGACGGCGGAAGATCGGGAATAGCCCGAACACCTCGATGGAGAACAGCATCAGACTGAACACATGGGTGGTAGACGGCAACCGCGACGCGAGCACCGTCGACGCCATCACAGCCGCGTTGGTCGAGAGGGAGGCGGGGAATTTGGTGGCGCCAGCGCCCTCACCGCTCCCATAGTCGAAAGAGAAGATGTTCATGATCAACAGCCAGCAGCTCATCGCCCAGATCGAGTCACTCGCCGTGGACTTTGTCAGGGATTTCAAGATGGGACTGAGTCCGAGGAGGGCACAGTAGATAAGAAAGGCGGACTTGACAGTCGACAGCCTCTGGCGGTTGCGCGAGGAGAGCAAGGAAGTGCCGGGATCCTGAGCTGGAAACTGGGGCCCGTGGGAGTTGACTGGCGTGGTTTCGGCGGAGCCCTGGGCTTCACTCATCCCCTCACCCCGCCGTCCAGCGTCTGCCGGCTCACTCTGCGCCATCGTCAACCCCAGTCCGTGGACTTGGCCGTCCTTAATCCGGGAGCCGGAGCCGTTGCCCGAGCTGGCCAGCGAACTCGAGCTCGACCCATCGTCGCCCTCCGAGACGCGCTCCACCACATGCGGGCTCTCCTTGTGCTCCTTCCAAACCCACGTATCCCACAGAAACCACCCCATCGCCGTGCCCACGCTACCCCAGCACACCACCGAAACCGGGCTCACGCGTCCCTGCACAATCCCCACAAAGCAACACACAAAGATAACCACCGAGCACACGTGCTGCACAATGACCGTAGAATCCGCCACCAATGGCCAGAAATCATACGGACGTACGCGCGGGTTGCGCTGGAGGTGGTCGAGAAACGTCTCCGTGTCGGTGTAATTGTCCGGATCTGCAGCTATCAGCACCCAGCCCCTAGTCCACCGCGACAAGCCAACTTACACGACTGCTTCACCCAGAGAAGCTTCTTCCACGCGCCCTTGCGTCTGCGCCGTCGACTGGTCCCGCGCACCTTTCGCGGAGGCACCGCCGGCGGCGAGCGCAGCGCCGCCACCGACACAGCCGTGCCTGCGCTGCCATTCAGCGGCTGGAGAGGGTCATCGTATGTGTTTGGCGCCGTGCGCGTGCGGGACAGCCCATGCGAGTAGTACGCGTCCTCCGGGGCGAGGCGCGTGGGATCGGGGAGAGCTCGTTGCTGGTCAGGAGACGGCTTAAACCCGACGGCGCGGTTGGGGTGGGTTTCGACGGGGACAGGCGGCGGGACTGGAGGAGGGTCGGACAGGGAAGGCATCGAGCAATGTCGAATTCATGCTTGACGCCTGGTGTGGATGGTGGTTATGGAGGAAAAATAATGGCCATGCTGGATAGACTTCTAATTATGGATCTGCTGCTTGCGACCGCCCCACGTGGGCTGACTCAGCACTCCGGGGGTTCGCTGCGCTAAGCCTAAACGGGAGCATGATCTATGCCATATTTCAGCTTTAGGAAGTTGTCTGCTTCCGGTGAGATATATCCAGTTGATCTTAATCGATTCCAATGAGATAGTGGACAGGATGTAAAGTACAGTCGTTTGGGACGAGACTATTGGAGAACAACTCCGAGCAGTATCAAAAACACCATCTCCAGAACTATCCTAATGAGGCAATTTTTCAGGTGAAGCTCTACAAGCCACAAGAGCTGGCGTCTTCCACAGGGCCTTAGAGCGCCCATGAAGATGGCATAAGTAGATGAGACTCCTTCCCCGCCTAGCAATTCCCCAATTGTGGCATCCCGTTCCTTTGTCGAGGAAGAAATCACGGTCTCCACTGTCTGAGGCAACAGGCTGGCTTCCGTCAGAGTGAGGGCGATTGTCGCTGGCAGCAGTCCAAACACACGAAGAGTAAACATGAGAATCACTGTGAAGATGTCTACGCTGGGGCGTACGCCGATATCTGAGTCAACTTGTCCTGTTGAGATATCCGGACCCTCCATGAACCCTTGCATTTCGTACATCAGGGCGTAAAACATCCCGTATAGAAATGCGGGCAATGCTAAGCGTCTCTTATTTCCTGTAACGGGTTGCATATCAGAGGGTCGTGGTGGCTGTTGGCGGACTGATATGGTAGTACGCGTCCATTTTAGATGAAGTTCAGATAGGAGGACAGATGTAACGGCGTAGCCAACGGGCCGTAGCACTATATGGCTGAAGACCGTTTTTGATAGAACTGATCTGACGACGAAATGGGCCAGGTAGTAGATGAATCCCGCCCCGAGACCTCTCGCAAGGCAGTACACGCCCTGTGTGCGGTATATGAGGCGGATGGCATCAGAAACGTATCGAAAGATTGGGCGCCGTCTGCTGCTCTTCTGGTCTCGGTGATCGAGGGCAACTCCGTCTGCTTTGTGGCCCTCGATGACCAGGAGCGTTGCTACTGCATGCTCAAGGACGTAACGGAGGAGGATGCTGAGGAGAAGGTAGACAAAAATAAGTGTAACAAAGGAGAAAGTGCTCTCTTCATGGGTCGTTGATGAGGAAAGAATCTTATTAACGTAGTCCAGCAGAATATCTTCTCCGCCAGGACTGAGAAGGATATTCAATGTCCGCGCTGGTAGTATCCGGAGTAATTTCCGACTCAGAGAAGGAAGCATTTTGTATTGTGTCAGGAGAGGGATGTATGACAGAGAATAAAGTCAGACAGCAATTGATAGTTAGAAAATAAGGTAAGCAGGTAATGGCTGCCCAAATTTTAGTGCTGATGAGATTGTGGGAGCAGGTACTTAGCCCTAGCTCTAAGACAAGCCTCACCCGGAAGACCCGGCCCTCATTAGATGTACTGCCCTGGTGCAAACTGTCAGTTATTTAGTGAACAACGTTACAATCCAGTTGAATCTCCAATTTGAGCGCAGTGTGGAAAAGTGGAATGTAGATTCCTTCATATAGTGGGAGGTAGATCGTCGAGATCCTCCTTAATCACATCCAATTCTCAGCAGGTACAAATATCTGAACAACTTTACATAGATAGACACATGGCCCTCTCAAACAATGTCTGGATCATCGTGACTGTAGGTTTTTAAGTCTATTATGCATCATTATAGATCAACAAGCGGGTATCAGAAGCCCAACGAAGGCAATATATCAAAACAGCGCAATGTGCAAATGAATGCATGCCATGCTTGCTCGTACATAATAATGACACAGAGGTCCGAAAGGCGAATGCAGGAAACAGAGATAAGGAGGCAGCTAGGATTACGTCGCGGTGGTTTTGGTCTCGGTGGTCTTGGTCTCAAAAGACGGGGTGGTGCCGTCGAAACTGTTCCTCCGACCCCAGTTGGCGGGCTGTCGGCGGAGGAATGCGCCCACAGCACCGATGTAACCCTCATGACGCAAGAAGTAGGCTTGTTTCTCGCCCTTGGACCAGAATCGAATGGCGTATGACAGGGTGTTCATGGTTTGTCGGTGCCCCCGAATGAAGGAACCGCCGAAGTAGATGTGTTTGACGCTGTGCTTCTCAGACTGCAGGTAGGCAATTTGACCGATGTTGTTACTGACACTCATTAATATCACCATTTCGCTGTAGACCATAGTGTCATAATGTGAAACATACCTAATGGCATAGAGAAGGCTCCGACTCATATCTTCATGTTTAAACGTCACTTCCCCATTCCGATGATCGCCATCGTGGGGTTCGCCATCGCCATTGGTCTCTGGGTGTTCGGCGGCGCTCTTCAACCGAAAGACCTTGCCGAAGGTGCTCGCGATTGCCGTACTCTTGAGCCCGATCTTGTTGTAATCCATGCCGTAGATATCGCCGACGAGCATATCGACCCCGCTGTTATCGCCCTGGTCGGCCATGGCAAGCATCTCATCAAAGGTGCGAGCGCCGGTCAGCAGCGACATGATTCCCCAAAAGGTACCCCCGCCGAGGTGGGTACCTCCCACACGCTGGAATTGACGGGGACCGGAGACTTTGATCATGGAAACGCCGGAGCCGATGTTGACAAGGAGGTACGGGTAGACATCCGGTCGGGCCTCGGCAAATTGCATCGGGTCAACTTCACTGTAGGTGAAGACTTCGTTCGGGATCTCGGTGATAAAGAAGTCCAGGCCTAAGAGAGTTATTTCGCTGTTTCGACATGTATCGGAGGCAATGGCATGGGTAACATACCGGTGATTAAGCATTCCATTTCATCCTCGCGGATAATATTGACCTGCAGGGCCTCTTTGAGCTTGTCGTAGTATTTAAAGGCACCGCCTCCTGTCGCGACGACACAGAGCTCGTTGGATGTAGGGCCATGCGCTTTCTCGTACTCCTCCTTCAATTCCTTGATAAAATCGATGCAGAGGTCTATGCGGTGCGTCTCGAAGTTGATAAAGTTCAATCGGCCACCATTGTCCACGGAGTCCAGCTCTCGCGTAAAATAGACCAATTTTGCCAGGGAGCCGCCGATCTAGAAAAGAAAGCCATTCTCATCAGCATGCGAAACTGATTTGTGTGGTTGTGCGATCGGAAAAGGCGATTGCGGGGAGCTTCGCAATGGATGCGGGGAACGGAGGAAAAAAAGCTCCCACTCGTCCGAGATGAATCGACAGATCACAGGCGATGACATGACTGATAACGCAGAAACCACGAGAGACACTCACATCAACGGCCACATGGCTGACCAGACCGGTATGATGCGGCAGGCGAATGTCGTGACCCTCATAATGTACCCCGTCGGTTCGCACCGGGCTCTTCGACCGAGGATCTTCGTCGACAATAAAGGCGCCCTTCACATTGATCTTGACGGCCCCGGGATTGGAGATGGCCTGCTCCAGGCGGGTGGCCCGGGAAGCCATGGAATTGGAATCGGGATGGGGGTTAGCGGACATGGTAATTCATGAGGGAGAGGAAGAGAGGAGAGTAATCGAGAGAAATCAGGGGAAGAGAGGAACGGCGCATGGAGGGACCGCGGCGGGACCGGCGAGAGCGGTCGCATCCAAGAAGGGCCTTCGGGGAAATGGGATGGCCGTGATCCTCCCTACGGCGTATATCTCCTTCTGCCCGCCCGGATTTTTGTTGAGGGGGTGGGGGACTCTCTCCAGTTGCCTTTTTGCCCTTTGCGGGTGTATGCATGGACGATGCAGTTTTCAGACGATCGCAGGTGTCTCATGCCTGGATTTCTTGTTCTGACTGTATAGAAATTCCATTCTTGCCGTCGTCGTCGTCTCGGACGTTTTTCAATGTTCGGAGCGGCCGAGGCATGACGTAGATGAGGCCTTAGGCAGCTTTCACCAACATTGATCAGAACAACTATACCTACATCGATGCTGATTACGTCGAGTGCTACGATACGTACTACGTAGATTAGGAGTTGTACCTGGGTCGTACGTTGGCTCTATGGACATCTGTTTGTAAGATACTCCAGATTCCGCGTCGATATATATTTCGGTTAGACCCGGATCTACTCTGCGCATATCTTCCAGAATTGACGTTTTTCTTCATATGCCTGAGCCAGTGCGAAGCTTCCGATCACTCGTTGGTTTGTCCTAATTGTGCATCATCTTGAGTCGGTCTTCGCCGCTGGCAAAGTATACGTCATGTTGAACATGCTCCTAGTCGGATCCACATGCTTCTTTACCCTTTGCTGATGATAGGACATGCAGATGGTGGCAAAGAGATAAGTTGAGATATGGGTTTGCAGCATGAAATGTTGGGATATACACCTGCATACGACAAGAACTTGGATGTCTTTTGAGAGAATTCACTGCACCGGGAACAAGGCTCATTTCACCCAGCCTCACCTTCAGTCGTCCTATTCACTGAATGCAAGGACCATATAAAGCCTGGAGTGGGCAAAAGATGCGCTAGAGGCTCAGGCCATAAAGCCCAGCTGCTCGAAGAAGAGGGTATATTAGGTATGGAGTTCTATTCATGGCTAAGAGAAAGGGGAAGATACCAGAATATGAGATGATGGAGATATAATGGTCTATATCAAAGCAAGCTCTGTCTAAACAAACTGATAATCTTCACTATGATTGTATGGTACAGCTACAAATGCTGGGAAGAGCATATTGGAGGTGATTTTTTCAGTTGTCTAACGGGAGCTGATATCGGTACATCTTGATAATTGAACCCAGAGACAGATACTAGTGCCTACGTAGTTGCTTCATAGTGATATACATCATCTACGGGAGGCATTTGATTATAATAACTGTAACGTAGACTTGTTTGCTGCTTACAATCTCCGTATTTGCTCTTATATACGAGGAAGTCCTTCTTGTAGAGTCACAGTCACTGATCTTCCATGGCGTATGATGAGATCCTTTCCTTGACATCAAGAGTCAACCTGATATCCATATAGAAACTGTAGTGAAGCCTATACGCTTCAGTATAGACCTTCCCTGACAAGTCCTCCTGGTACATCCTCTCTAACAAGCGGTGAAGTCAATGACATCGCCGTTTGCCAGTGAGACCATCCATATAGACCAGCCTCAGGCACCCACCCTCTCTGTTCTTCTGTTGCTCTTCATTGTTTTGTTTTCTTCTCTTCTCTTCGCTTCTCCCCTCCCAATATTCTTCATCTTCTTCCTTTTCCTCTCCCCTTCACCTCTCTCTTCCCCACCGTCATCTTCATCTCTTCCCTCTCACACAACACAGACTCCCACTTCGCTCCCCCTCTACACCACTCTACTCTCCCACCATCACAGCTCACCTCACATCCCCCTAAAGCTTCATCTACGCGTGCCCAGCCCCTACCATGGACACCTTCGTGACTGACATGGGCTCTGTGCTCAAAGACGTCCCTGTCAACCATAATAACAGGGACCCTGCCGCAGCCAACGCGGCTCGTGAGAAAGGATGGGTCGAACCTGAACAGTACGATTACGCTAAGTACACTGCTGGTCCTCCCCTCCCCAAGATCGAGGAGGAGGGCTCCTTCGAGGCCGCTGGGGAGCCCCAGGACGTCCCTGAATGGGCTCACAAAGCAGCGAAGTACGAATGGAAGGATGAGTATGGCGATGTTGGTCCAGAGATCCCAGAACTCGAAGAGGAACTCTTCAGAAGTGACTTCATCAACAGACAGGGTCTCAAGCTGAACAAGTAAGCGCAGCGTCTTTCCTACCGGAAACCGCCTACTAACCGTACAAAGCCTCCAGAACATTGAGGTCGTCGCCGAGAGTCGTGAGAGACCTAATCCCGTCAAGAACGTAAGTCGACGTGTCCTTCAGAATGCGACATCGACCAGTTACTGACTTCCTCAGTTCGATGACGCTGGCCTCCACCCTATCATGCGTGAGAACATCCGTCTCTGCCGCTACAACGTGCCTACTCCCATTCAAGCCTATGCAATCCCTGCGATCCTGACAGGTCATGATCTGATTGCTATTGCTCAGACCGGCAAGTAACCATCATCCGTCTCAGTATAACTGACTAACTGTTACAGGTTCTGGCAAGACTGCCGCTTTTCTCATCCCCGTCCTCTCGCAGCTGATGGGTAAGGCAAAGAAGCTCGCCGCCGCTCGCCCCTACATTGGCGCCGGCTTTGACGCAGCAGTGGAGGCCGTCCGTGCCGAGCCCTTGGTTCTGGTCGTCGCTCCGACTCGAGAGCTGTCCATGCAGATCTTCGACGAAGCCCGTCGTCTCTGTTACAGGTCAATGCTGCGTCCTTGCGTCGTGTACGGTGGCGCTCCCGTTCGTGACCAGAGAGAAGAGCTCCAGAAGGGATGCGATATTCTCATCGGCACTCCTGGTAGACTGTTGGATTTTATGGACAAGCCTCACATCCTGTCCCTTCGTCGCGTTAGGTAAGTACATCCTATCCCGATGATGAATCCTCTCTCACATCACAGATACACCATCATCGATGAGGCCGACGAGCTTCTCCAGTCCGACTGGGAGTCCGACTTCAACAGAATCATGTCCGGCGGAGGTAAGCACATCCACCCTCTATCAACACCTCATGCTCACCAAGCTAGACGTCAACGAGGACGCGGATCACCGCTACATGATGTTCTCGGCCACTTTCAACAAGGAGTGCCGCCAGCTCGCGCGCAAGTTCCTGTCCGACGACCACGTCCGCGTCCGCATTGGACGTCCCGGCAGTACGCACGTCAACGTCGACCAGAGAGTACGTTGCCGTTCCCCCTCCCCATCAAGAACAGCCTAACACACCCCAGATCGTATTCGTCGAGGACCACCTCAAGAAGCAGGCTCTCTACGACCTGCTCCTGTCTATGCCGCCTTCGCGCACACTTGTCTTCGTCAACTCCAAAGTCCAGGCTGATCTGGTCGACGACTACCTCTACAACATGGGTCTCCCCAGCACCTCCATCCACTCGGACCGCACCCAGCGCGAGCGCGAGGACGCCCTGTACGTCTCCAGCCCACACATCCCACATCTATACCCCAACTAACACCCACACAGCCGCGCCTTCCGCTCCGCTAAGTGCCCCATCCTCGTCGCAACCGGCGTCTCCGCCCGCGGCCTCGACATCAAGAACGTGATGCACGTCATCAACTACCAGTTGCCGAGCGCCTCCAACGGCGGCATCACCGAGTACATCCACCGCATCGGTGAGGAGCCCGCCTCCCCCCGAAACAATCTTAACTCCTCTAAACCCATCTAACCACTCACAGGCCGCACTGCGCGTATCGGCAACGAAGGCCTGGCGACCTCGTTCTACAACGAGCGCGACACCGACATCGCCGCAGACCTCGTCAAGATCCTCCTCGAGAGCAAGCAGCCCATCCCGGACTTCCTGGAGCCCTACAAGCCGGACGACTGCGAAAGGCTCAGCTTCCACGACGACACGGACGACGAGGACGGCGTCGAGAATGGCGACGAGACCGTCGAGAACGGCGACGCCGCTGCTAACGGTGCGGCCTGGGGCGGTGTCGGCGATTCTGTGCATGCGGATCTCAGCGCCAACGATGCTGATGCTCCCCAGGAGCTTCCGGAGTGGTAGATTAGCTGCGTCGGGGTGTCCGGGCCGCGAGAAGAGTTGGTGGGTTGATTGATTGCCGGATTTGTCTGTCTGTCGGGTTTCTGCGCGTTTGGTGTCTTCGATTTGTTGTCGCGAGCGGGTCTCGCATAGATACTTGTACTAATGGTGCCGGACGCGACGGGCAGGATCACGGCTGTGCACACGTGGCCGACGAGCAGGCGGATCTCGCGACGGTCAGAGGGCGTTCCATTGGGACTGGCGACTTTTTGTTCATGGATCTAGACTGGCGCGGGAGTCTGGCCCCGACTGGCTGGTCGAGTTGGGGTTCTGTTCGGGGCTGTCGAGTGATTGCTGGGGCTGTCTGTTGGTCTAGCTAATACATTTTCTTCGTGTGAATTTCTTCATTGTGCATGCGTAGGTGGTAATTGTAGGTCGACATCTCGAGGAATGCATATGGCGATACAATTACATGACTCGATTCATGATATAAACATTTCAAGAACAACTCCAATCCATGCAGAATGCCTCCTATACGCCCATCCCAGCATCGAAGAAAATGTATAATCTATAATTACAATCATGTATGAATATAAATCGATGCCATGTTTTTCCTGTGCCGTTCATTGTTCGTCCCGCGAATCCACATTTAGTTCCCCCAATCCGGCCGCGTACACGTCGGCGCATGGTTCATCAGGTTCTCGATGCGACGCACCACCCACCCAGAGCGGACACCGGAGCTCCGCACGCCCAGACGGGGAGTCTTCCCCGTATAGCACTTGCCGTCGCGGAGGACGAACTGCGTGCAGTCGCCGGTGTTGGTACAGGTGGTTTGGCACTCATGGAACGAGGAGACCCCGACTTGCTCCTCGTCGGCGAGGTTGTCCCAATCGTCGCGGACGTTGGAGAGCTCCGGATAGATGAGCTCTTTGAAGACGTCGCTGTGCAGGAGAACGTATTTCTCCTTCTAGCGGGGAGTTAGCTTTGCGATATCGTGAGGGAAAAGGGGAACGTACCTCTCGCCACCGTCGGCGTTCAAAGTTCCACAGATACTCAATGTCGCGCGGCGCCAGGTGGTGGAAGGCAACGGCGGGGAAACACCAGGGCTGGCGGTAGAAGCTTCGGGTGAACTCGTCCAGCTCGCCGACGTTGGAGTTCTGCAGGATCGGCCAGGAGAAGTGCAAGGGCACCCCCACGTCGGCCAGGACCTTGCCGAGGACGCAGTCACCGGCCCAGTGGGCGTCGGTGTACTCGTTCAGTTCGACGGTGCGGTCTGCGTAGTCATCTGACACGCGCTGCATGGCCGGGTTGGAGACTATGAATCCGGACCCGCCGTGGGCGAAGATAACATCCGCAATCTGCGTCTCCGTGCCGATGTAGTGGGGTTTCGAGGGATCGAAATGGGCGAGCCATTGCATCAGGGTCGGCCAGGAGAAGTAGGTATCCGCCTCCATGAAGACATACCACTTGGCACGATTATTGTACCGCAGGGTCTCCTGCACCATGGGGAGAAATTTCCACTTGTCCAGCTTCCACCCGGGGTTGTTGGGCTTCCCGATGGCGGAATTGGCCTCGTCCGCAAAGTCAGCAGACTCGAGGCCAGCTCGACCCTGTTCCTGCAGACGGTTGTAGATGTCAAAGTCCGGCACGGAGCTCTTGACGTCGGTGTCTATGTTTTGAAGCGCATCATGGATTTGAACGCCGTCAATGACTTCCTCGAAGTCGGAGAAGATCACGTAGTTGGGGATGCAACGCAGGGTGGTGTGGAAATGCACCGGGACCTTGTCGCGCGCTTCGGTGACGCCGGTTTTCATGACGACGAGGACATCCTCGATGCCGGGTAGCGGGGGACAGTCGGGATGGAGATGCGGTTGGTGCGGTTGTGGGAGGGAAGGACGCAGCTCCGAGTGGATCGAGCGGAAGTGGTAGAGAAGAAACAGGCCGAGAAGGGAGGCTATCACCGCAATGCGACGGCGAGAACGAACCATGGTAACCATTCTCGTCGGGGAGACCGCTGTGCGGAGGAATTGAGGCGAAGGAGGGATATAGCGGAAGAGTGAAAGCGATTGATCCTCCTGATCAAAGAACAGGAACCAGCATCGTTTGGCGCCTCCCTGTCTTTCCTTGCGAGGGTGATGTTCCTCCTGTGGGGAGCTGGGGAGGATCTGAGGGGGAGGAATGCGGGAAGTCCAGCACCACCGCGGAGAAGAAGGGGGATCGGAGCAATTGAGAGAGACGAGAGGTAAAGAATGGAGGAAGAAAGGAGACAGAGTAAGCGAAGAAAAGAGGAAGAATGACAGCCAGCGTTGGTGGCTGCCTCCTCGATTGCAGATGATCGGCCCAGGTGCTGATCGTCGATGACGCGTTGGAGGACCAAAAGAGGCGGGACTAAGCCATGGACGGCGATGTCAAGCTGAAACGGAGTGGGGGTCCACGTATGCCGTACCCGTCATTCGATTGACATCCATGGCATTGAATTGGATCTGAGATGGAGAATATGAAGGAGAAAGAGGGGAAGAGAGGGAGAGAAGAAGAGGAAATCTTGAGAGATGTTGAAATCACGATGGACGGCTGAGTCAGCACGACCCCTGATCTCCATCCCCAGCAGTACGGAGTAGTTACAAAGTAGGTCAAGATCTATTCAAATATACACCGTGCGTAAACTACCCAAGTCTATTCCCATTCCGCGCCTAGACGCTAGCTGGGCCCTTGTACATGCACGGGCCACGACTACGACCCCTGCGCCTTCTTCGCGATCATGTTCGAGTGCAGCTTCACCAACTCCGGGATAATCATACTCTCGATCTCCACGCCCTCAGGCCCAGTCTGCGTTTCCTCCGCACGAGGCTCGCCAGTATTGCTTCCCCTGGACCGCTTCATCTCAGCCAGTCCCACCTGATCTTCCGCTCCAGATATGCTCTTGCTACGCTTCGACTTGGGCACCCGAATCCACCGCTCGTAGGGCGGATCTGGCGTGACAAACACCACCTCCCACTTCCGTGTGGAAAGAAGATTTCCAATCACTAGGTGGTGGGAGTATCGTTGCAGCGCAGTTTGGGCCTTGTACACCAGTAGATTCGGATCGGTCTCCAGCTTGAACGACACCACCATGCTGCCGTCTGGTGCCCACCCGTCCACCAATTGATGCAGAAACTTCGGGACAGGATCCAGGTCGATGATTAGCTTCTTGCTATGCGTCGGCGGCTGAGCCTCCAGACCACCAGTGTAGATGTCGGCCGGATCGATCGCCTGGTCGGCACTGTCCTTGCCATCAGGGCTGGCCAGATGAGCTGGTAGTTCGGACGACTGGATCTTATGTTCGGCCATGCGCTCGCGCGGAATGAAGAAATCACTGACGGCTGCAGCCAGATAGAACAGCGCGTTCGCCTTCAACGGCCGCATAGCCTGCGCAAGGGACCGTAGCTCGAACAGGTACTCCGTGATCGTCGTGAACGGAATCAGCAATAGCCGATTGTTCTGTTTCGCGTACCGATACTTGCGCAGCACATCCCGCATCTCATCCTGGTACTCGCTGCGCACCACGATCGCCCCGTGGTCTCCATTCAACCCAGATGCCGGGGGCGCTTCGTCCATGAAGTCCAGAAAGCAGTTGGTCGAGTGACTGTAATGCCGCGAGTATGGGAGGAGACTGAATTGCCGGTGCAGGAAAATCACCGCATATCCTTGTTCGAGAAAGTATTCGGCTGACGTCGCTCCACGGGTTCCGTTAGAGAAGTTGTCGATGAATCGGACCGTCTGGTTCTCCAGGGGCACCGTCGTGCCTCCAGAGGTGACCAGAACAACCCGCCGACCTGCCTCGACGTGGTCGTTGACGAATGCGCGGGCGAGAGCTTCGTGTTTGGGGAGGGTTTTGGGAGGGGGGTTGTTGCTGAAGTAGACCGATTCCGCCTCGGCGGGCGTCATTTCTTTCGCATTGGACGGCATTGTAGCCGGATAGAAGGGAAATGGATATGTCGAATGGGGGATGCGGGACAGATCTGATTGACTTGACTCTTAAGGGACGTCCGATAAGGGCATCCAGTCTAGACAGGTGTAGGAGTTACCTCGCAGATAACAGTCAGAGACAGACACAGTTGAAGGAGAGCCCAACGTTGCGATATCTAGAGGTCGAAATGAATGCTTTGAATCAAGTATGCAATTGAAGCTGGGTCGAAGACAATGTCTCTCCGTAAGAATGCTTCCTAGGTAACTAGATTGTCCGGTTAGTCATGGATGAAGCGCTTCTCTAATAAGCCCACAACGCCGGGCCTATAATACCTGGTGCAGGTCTATCGTCGAAGCGAGAGACTCTTGATGTCCAGTGTTCAAAAGGCAAGCAGAAATAACGCGGAAGAGAGAGTAGAGCACAGCATCAGCAAGAGAGCCATTGACGTCCACGATTGAGAGGAACCGAGGGGCATCGGCCAGTGCCTCACCGCCTTCGGATAATGACGCATTTCCACAGCCGATTATCACGTGATCTTTGCTTTACGCGGGGATGATTTCAAGTTGGCCTCAACCATTGATTTATTTCATACATCGTAATGACCTAATTTCGTGCATCGCCTCACAGATAACGGCTCCGGATGGCTTGGCTGATGGTGCTCATCCGACTGGCCATCCCTCCGTGTTGCATGTTACTCAACAGCGCCTCTTCCAGTGCCGATTGGGTCACACTTGCATCTGGACCGAGGCATTAGCGGCGGACAAGCGGTCGGGATTGGATGCTGGATTGTCTTACCGTCCAAATCACTGAAACTGCTCCCCATACTTGGCGTGTCACTGGCGTCTCTTGATGCAACAGATCGCCGCGGGCTTAGATGTGCGAGGTCGGCCGCTCGCCTGGGACTGAACGTCCCAGGAGGAACACGCCGCCGCGCTTCCGCCGACGGCAAGGTAGCTGGAGCACCTGAACTCACAGAGCTAGTTGAGGACTCGGCAGTTACTGATTTCCGCGGGATGGGATTCTGTTCCACACGCCTCCGTGGTGCTGATGGGTCTTCAGACTCCATCCGGAGGGTTGCATTTAGATCCGGGCCTGCGCTCTCGCGTGGTGCGTGTTCAGGCCCACGGGAAACGGGAAGGAATGCTGGGGACTCATCGTCATCCTCATCATCGTCCCGGAGACCCTGTCGATGGGTGGAGAACTTGCCAAAGTGACGGAACCGTGGGCCTCTTCGGCTGACTGTCGTCTCCTCAAGATCGGATTCAGACTCAGATGGGCTAGAAGTCAGGTCTTCCTCCTCGAGCGTGGGCGACTTGTGGAGATGGGGCGCGGGTGCTGGTTCTCGTCTGCCTGTAGAAGGACGACGGCCATAGCTGGCCCATTTCTGTTCCTTCGCCTCTGTAGCTGGAGATTCGGAGGGAAGAGGATCCCTTGATGTCTTGACCTGGTTGACTGTCGTCGAAGAGCTTGTTCGCCGTGGGAGTTGCCCTAGAGACGTGTTATGTTGAGTTAAGGCATGAACTGCATTGTTGAAGCTTACCTCGTTGCGGGAGTGTCTCTTTCTGATGCGATGCAAGCCGCGTGGGGGCTCTCGATCCTTGGCCGTGTTAGTTTTATGTTAGATCATTGCGTACGAACTCATCTACCTGCGCTCGGTGTCCCCTTTCCGGGAGGACCCAAAGCCGCACTCCCTGAGATAGATCCCGGAGCTGGGGAAGGAGAGTTGGACTGCGTTGTGCCGACTTTACGCATCTGGGCCCGAACCTGAGAGAGCTGTCGGTCGTAGAGCCATGCTGCTTGTTGGAGAAGGAACTGCAGAGTGACGTCAAATCTCTCAGCGCTGTGGACGTTAGCTGCTGAAGAGTTTATGAAACCAGCCGCATAAGGGAAACATACAGTGCCCTCCCTGACCCATGTTAGCGCTTGGCCTCACATAGCGTCCGTGGACTTACAATCTATATCATCTCCTTTGGAAGGACGAGACAGTATGTCCCAGAGAGCCTGGTCTTTCGCGGCATTCCACTCCACCTGTAGAAGAGTCAGTGGAGGACCACATGCGGATCCGGTTGGGCGGGCAATTACCGGAGCTGGATCGACAAAGTCGCCTCTGGGGAAAGGAAGCCGGATAAACACCGTAAACTGGGTGTCGCCCGACTGATTCAGGGCCGTCATGACGAATCGTTGCAGTAGCTTGGATATTAGCAAGGATGTATGTTGCCGTCTGAGTAGATAAGAGAATGAAATTAGTGTATCAATTAATTTGAGCCAGGGTATGAAGTACAAGTCAGGCACAGAGCACAAAGCAGGTAGTAGGTAGATAGATGACGTTTGTTGGGGAAGGCGATCGTCAAATCACGGGGTACATTCGGTGGCGGTCAGGTGCGTTGCATTAGCCGCATTAGCCGCCGCGATCGATAAGGGAGGGGTTATTGCCACGGGTCCGGCACATGTCTCATGGTCACTACTTCATCTCTACAGGTATACTCCGATAGTACCTATCACTCAACAACCAGTTGTCAATCTTCAAAACCACGGATACAGCCTCAATTTCAAGTCTACCGCTGAAACTGCCGCTGAAACTGCCGCTACTACAGCTGAAACTCACCCCAGTTTGACGATCTGCTTGTGAAACGCGTGCAGCTGCATCCAACCTCGGTCCTAGGAACGATCGTCAACAATTAGTTTCGTGGACCCCACGAGATAACCATGATTGTCCTCTCTCCTGGACGCACATCATAACAGTCCATCCTATTCTGCTGCTTAATTTCCCACGCGGCCTGTGGATCCGTTAATCCTAAGTCCGAGGATGGCTATCCTGGTCCACTACCGGAAAATTTCCCGGTACGGGGTCTGATGATTGGGCTCTGAGCCTCTGCTGTAAATAGGCGACCCCAGCGCCAACGTCTCCAACTTCTGCACAATCCTCCTTGGCCCGCCACCCGTGTTTCCTTCCTAAGTCCCTTCCACTCTTCTCCTTGATCATTGGTCCCCTTTTTGTTGTGCGTTCGGGTTCCGCTGTCTCGGAAACTCCACTGGGGGGCTCCACCATGTTCTTCCTGACGTACTTTTATTACAAGATTTTGGCCGTCATTCTCAGGGCCCTCATCGTCCGCGGTCAACGCCTCAGTGCCAAACCGGATAGTGTCCAGCAGATTCCTTCACGGGAGACAGGTAGAACTATCACTGTGAATGTCTACCGATCTGCATCCAAGCGAAGTCCATCGCCTGTGCTTCTGAATTTTCACGGCAGTGGTTTTCTGATTCCGCTGCATGGGAGTGACGATGAGTTCTGTCGGCGAATCAGTCGGGAGACTGACTATACAGTGCTGGACATTCAGTATCGCCTCGCGCCGGAGAACCCATTCCCCGCAGCTGTCTATGATGCCGAGGATGCAGTGAAATGGGTGCTCCAACACCCGGAAGATTTCGATTTATCCCATGTCTCTATCTCCGGGTTCAGTGCGGGTGGAAACCTTGCGTTGGGGGCTTCGTCGTGCCTCTTCCCGCGCAACACCTTTCGTTCCGTGCTGGCCTTCTATCCCGTCGTGGATCTGGTTACAGAACCAGGTATGAAGACGGCGCCCGATCCCACTATCAGACCGCTGCCTGCAACAGTGTCGCGGTTTTTTAACCGATGCTACATACCTTCTGGATACGATGCACGCGATCCGCGCCTCTCTCCGTACTACACAGCACCGGATCGTTTCCCCGATCGAGTGTTGATGGTGACGGCTGCAGGAGATACCCTCGCGCCCGAGGCCGAAGAGCTTGCCGCTAAGATCAGTCGGGAACCGGGTCGGGAAGTTGTGTCTCAGAGAATGCAGGGCTGCGGTCATGCTTGGGACAAGAACACCCGTGCCGGCAGCATTGCAGCTGACGCGAAAGACAAAGCATACAGCATGGCAGTTGCGATGTTGTCGCATTGATGCGGGAGTGTGCCCGCCGAATTCCAGACTCTGTACGGTGACTAGACTGTATTGGATGGGGAAGGACGATGTGTTGATGTACGAGCACTAACGAACGAACTGGCAGATGTTATGCCTACGGAGTATATCAATGTCTGATGTCTGCAGGAGACAGATAGGTGAAACGTGGGAAGGAATTTGGGCCGTTTCCCAAGAACAGTGGAACCAACCCCTGGAGAGTACCTGTTTGTAAAGGCTCCGGTGCCTGGAAGAGCCATGGTGAGGCATAGATGAAACCGTGGCGCCTGTAATCCGGGACGGTCCGACTATACCAACCCTAAGCCCTAACTTCCGGATGCGGTAGCGTTCCTGGCGGAGAACGTTGCGGTGTGTCCTCCGAGGAGCATTATCAGCGGCGTTATTACCGTCTGATTTGATTATTATGACTAGTAGTATTAGTATTATTATCAGTATTATTATTCACGTTTGGATGGTTCCGTCGGACTTGGATCATCATCTGGTCAGCGGGCCGTGGGTCAACTGGATTCGGCCCAAATCAGGCCAGTCTCTCACTTGATTACTTAGTATGATTCTTCTGTCTTCTTTCTTTCTTTTTTATTTTATTTATTATTTTATTATTATTATATTTATTTCTAATTCTTCTTCGCATCGTAATTAATCTCTTCGCTCCCCTCCTCCTTTTCCTCCTCCTCCCCTCCTTTTCCTTCTCTCCATCTCCGTCTCTCCCCCCGCAAGTCGGATGCTGCTCTTGAGCACTTCCTTCTCGTCCACCGTGCTTGGGGTACTGTGGACGAGTTCTCTCGCTGTTTAACTATCCTACGCCGAATCTCCCCCTCGGTCTGTCGGAAGTCTACCTTCATATCCCGATCGCACGACTGAATGCGCCCATGTCCATCTGAAACCCCCGACTACCTATCCAGGTACTCTCACACTCCCCTCCCCTTTCACGATGGAATATACGAAACCAGTCGAATTCGACGAGGCTCGTTATCGCGAGGAGGTTCTTCTGCTCCCGTCGGAAGAATCGGAGATTGCCCGGGAGCAGAGTCTCATCGACGAGGCGCACCAGTTGGGCCTCAAAGTGCCCGAGATCGAGGTTATCACATCGCTCGCCGCTTCGATTGCCTCGGGCATGGTCGATCTGTCGGCGTCGTCTCCCATCATCTCGTCCGGCTCGTCGACCCACCGCAATTCCTCCTGCGAAGTGACCCCATCGCACGCCACTCCGCCGCTGGATCAGATCGCTTCCTCGCTCTCCGACTTTACCATCGCCTCTGACCAGACGAAATGCGGCAGTACGCGCTCCATCGCATCGCTTTCCACCCGCCCGACCTCATACTCCTCCTGTGAGGGCCGCATGGTCCACGGCCCGCCGGAGCATTTCCCCGCCAGCGCTCCCTCACGGTCGCCGAACCCCCGGGACTCGGTGTGGAGTGTTGCCTCGAGCGAGAAGAAGGAACGGAGGAAATCCAGCCTGAAGTCAGCCATCGGACGGATCCATTTCCGCAAGAAACGCTCGCCCTCGACCGTGCTGCTGCCCCCCGCGGCGCAGATTACCGTCGCAAAAGGCGACAAAGGTGTCGATAAGGTGTATGTGGAATCCAAGCCGAACGAATCGCGGAACAGCCAATCTCGGGAGGACGACGGCCACGTCTTGAAGTTGGAGATTCCCGTGTTTGACAACGAAAGCCTCCAACGGGCCCTTGCCGATGTGGAATTGAAACAGATGCGCGAGGCGCAGCGGATGGAACGGAACCGTCATGTCGCCTTCCAGGATGCTTTCATGGCCGAGCTGCGGCGAAGCCAGCAGGCTGTTGTCGCCGACACCTTGGCCAATAATAAGCGCTTGGAGGATGCGAAGCGTGAGAAGGTATTTCTATTCTTTCTTTAGTTTGGGCGATGATGCTAACTGTATGCCAAGAACACGGCCGACGCGATCCGCATGGAAGAGCGACAACTCGCGGTGGAAATGGAACAAGTGCGCGAATTTGAACGGGCGAAGATGAACTCCCGCACCCGCATCAAACACATGGAAGGGTACTTCAACAACGCTAGTCCCCCGTCGTCATCGTCCTCGAAGTCTGATTCTACCTGTCCCGCCCGAAAGTTCACGTCTCAACAGAAGGCACAGCTGGCGCAAGAGTACCACGACCACGACTCGATGGACCAGCTCCACGAGGCGAAAATAAAAGTTCTCCGAGACCGACAGGAGCTCAAGCTTCAGGAAGCCATCGCCCGCATGGAGAGGGAGCTCGATGACCTGATCGACAAGCACGCGATGGAATTCGCCGACATGCAGCGTACCCACCAGAACGAGGAATCCGCCATTGTTCAGGCGTTTGACGCGAAGAAGGCTATGTTGCGCCACCGCTGGAACCTCGAGGAGGCCATCCTGCGCAAGAAACTCGAGAACCGCCATGGTCTCCCATACGGACCTCTCCCGCCGCTGTCGTTCAGCGACTCGCACTATGAAACGCGGGATTCGGCCATTTGCGTCTCAGATCATACCGGGGCTGCCAGTGGTGATGAGGACCCGATGCACCAGAAGAGAGACGGCGCGCCGGTACTATAATTATGATGTGATGTCTCCATGATACCCTTTCCTTTTGTTCCTCTCTCACTCGGTTTCTCATTTGCATGATACACCCTGGTCTTTATTATGGCCTTCTGCCATTTCCTCTGCACATGGTTAATACGTTACTTTACCCCCCTGTAATTAATCCCTTTCTTTCGTGGCTGCTGTGGTGCTAATGGGCATCGGCATATATATATATGATCGGCGGTACTTTGGCTTCTTGTGGATACTAATATTGGATAATCGGGTGTTTATATAGATCTGTCGCGCATTTAGATTTTACATATCAATATCATGACTTGTATTGATTCTTGCGTGCAATGAATGCATCTTCTAATGAGCTCAGTCATTCTCCGCGGCCCTCGACGCTGTCAGCTTCCGTAACCGATCAAGAACCGTCTCTACGCGACCATCACCCCCAGTCAACACACTCTCGAACAACTTGTCCCGCCCATGATCCCCAATGACGACCGCGCGCTCCACAGCCCCAGCCGCAGAGATCTTAAACCGACCAACCCGGCCATCTGCCCACTCCACACGCACATACGCCGCATCCAACGCCGTCGCCGACAATGACACAATGCCCAAATCATTCGTCTCCAGCCGCGTCTCGACCCCGGGCCCATCCTGGCAGAACACATCCCGTTCCCACAACCCCTCATCATCATAATCGCCGACACTTCGTTGCACCACCCCCAACGTCTCCCGCAGGTAATTCACCGCATCCATGCGCAGATGCCATGCGACCAACTGCCGACGCAACTCGCGCACCAGCCCGCGCAGATCCTGTTGCCGCTGCGCCGTCTTCCACGGCTTCAACGCGGCCTCCTCGCTCCCCTCGTCGCCGTCAACATGTCGCGGGGCAGGCAGGTAGAGTCGCTCGAGGCGCTCCATCGAGATAAAAGCGGGGATGGTGTGTCGGTGTACTTGGAGGTTCTTTTCCGCGCGCCGCCGTAACAGGATGTAGTACGGTTTTGTGTAGCGGCCATTGCGGGCGCAGATGTCGATGCGCACGCCGAGGAGGTTCGGGTGCGGGCTGTTGGGGGCGGGGTCTTTGAATGGGAAGGTGGTTGCGGAGAAGGCGACGCGGTGGTGGTTCAGGCGGGCGTGTTTTCCGGCGGATTGGGCCAGGGGCGAGACGTCATCGTTGAGGGAGGAGACGGAGAGGGCTGAGGTGGTTTGGTGGGTTTGGAGGCGTTTTTGGAATTTGGAGGAGGAGAGGAGGCTGGAGGTGAGGAAGCGGCGGCGGCGGTTGAGGGCGCGGACTGAGAGGTTAGTTGGGGGTACGTTAATGAGGACAAGGTGGAAGACGTACTTTCGCGCCGGATGGAGGCGATGTCTGAGTCGAGGTCGTCCATTTTGTTGAATGCGTGTCCTTGGCCAACGTATGGTCGTTGTAGGTATGGATAGGAGTAGATGTCGATTGTTGATGTACTCCGATATGGGGATGTTTGTTTTGGAAGTCATGTGACCTTATCGCGATCGGAGAATAACTTAGTCATCTCCCAAACTCTCTCCTGCATGAGGCCAGCTTGCCTCAATCGCATTGTCTTCTCCCTCTTCGCCGCCGTGGATGCAGGATTCAACTCATCCCCGTCCGCAGATCCCTTTGTCGACTTCTTCTACACCCTCTCCATCTGTTTATACCCCTGCTTCTTCTTCCCGCGACCCCCGCAGCCATCGACATCCCGACGAGGTGGAACTGCAGTCCATAGTATGCAGCACCCGTAATAACGCTGACCCATCCCCCCAACTCTCGTCTCTCGCTTATCCACCGAACAATAACCATCCGGACGCCTTTCTCTCATCCGACTCTGACACAGACGCCTCCAGCGATTCCTCCGCAGACGACCTGTTAAACGATCAATCTGGCGGCAGCTCGTCACACCGTGGACGTAGTACACCCATGACGAACAAGGCCCGCACGGTCTCGAAACGTCGTTCGAAACCGGCATTGTCCGTCACCACCGGTCAGAACGGCCATGCGCGTGTCGAGATGAACTCCAACATTGAAATGCGCAAGAGGGACACCTCCAGCGAGTCGTCCGGCACTCGAGCCTCCCGTTACATGTCCCACTCCAGCTTCTCCCTCGATCAAGACCCCCCATTGACCCCGCAGACGCCCGCCATGTCAACGACCAGCTTCGCCAATCTCCCCGCGACGGACCGGCGGAACTTTTTGCTCCTGTGTGTGTTATATTTCCTACAGGGCGTGCCCATGGGCTTGGCGACAGGGTCCGTCCCGTTCTTGCTCAAACCGTACCTGTCCTACGGCCAGATCGGCGTGTTCTCGCTGGCATCGTACCCGTACTCGCTCAAACTCCTCTGGAGTCCCATCGTGGACGCCGTGTGGAGTCGTCGGTTTGGCCGCCGCAAGAGTTGGATCACGCCCGTGCAGGTGATTGCGGGGCTGGCGATGATTTACATGGGTGGCAAGATCGAAGACATGATGAAGCAGGCCGGTGCAAACGGTGGCGCTGGCGTCTGGGACTTTACGTGTTGGTGGTTCCTCCTGGTGTTCTTCTGCGCCACGCAGGATATCGCCGTCGACGGGTGGGCTATCACCCTCATGTCCCCGCCGAACATCTCGTATGCGTCTACCGCGCAGACGGTGGGATTGACCGCCGGCCATTTCCTCTCGTACACGGTTTTTCTGGCGTTCAACTCGGCCGACTTTGCGAACCGCTACTTCCGGACGACGCCCGCCGAGGGTGGTCTTCTGTCCTTGGGCACGTATCTGACCTTTTGGGGCTGGGCGTACCTGATCGTGACCACCGCGCTGGCGGTGTTGAAGAAGGAGGACCGCAGTCAGGAGCGCGACAGCATTCTCGATGTGTATAAGAGCATGTGGAGCGTGCTGAAGCTGAAGAACATTCAGACGATCATTCTGGTCCACTTGATCGCCAAGATCGGGTTCCAAGCCAACGATGGCGTCACTAGCCTGAAGCTTCTGGACAAAGGCTTCGGCCAGGACAACATGGCCCTGGTGGTGCTGATTGACTTTCCCTTTGAGATCGGCTTGGGGTACTATGCCGGGAAATGGTCCACCGAGTACACGCCCATGCGGCTGTGGTGCTGGGCGTTTGTCGGTCGTCTCATCGCGGCGGTTCTCGCCCAGGCGACCGTCATGGTATTCCCGGCGGCTGCAGAGGTCCCATTCTGGTACCTGCTCATGGTGATCGGGGAGCATCTGATCTCGACCTTTATGAACACGGTGATGTTTGTCGCCGTGTCGGCGTTCCACGCTCGCATTGCAGACCCGGCCATTGGCGGGACATACATGACGATGCTAGCCACGTAAGTTGCCTCGCTCTTTTTCTATCAGTACAGTACTAATTCATGCAGGGTCTCGAACTTGGGCGGCACATTCCCGCGCTACTTCATCCTTAAGCTCGTGGACATGTTTACGGAGGCGACCTGCATGCCCCCGTCCGTGGCGCCACCGGCCGATCAGCTGAAAGGCGATCTGGTCACGACGTCGTTCTCGTGCGCGCTGGAGCCGGATAAGGCGCGGTGTGTCAACGGCGGCGGCACGTGTCATACGATCCACGACGGCTACTACACGACGAACGTGCTGTGCGTGCTGGTGGGAGTGGTGACATTTATTTTCTTCATCAAGCCGGCGGTGTTGAAACTGCAGGGTCTGCCTCTGCGGGCATGGCGGTTGTACCCGAACAGCAGGAATTAGCTGACTATATGGGAAACGTGATATAGAACGAACCGACTGGGAGTCGGGTGTATTAATAGACCAACCCTGCGAGCCGCTGCAGGTACTTCTGTTGTATAAGCACTAGCAAGAAAAAGAAAGCAATGAATCACACCCAAGAAGAGCCCCGAATGACCTGTTTCATGTTTCACCGCATCTCGCCAATCAATGTCAACCCGAGTCTCCGCTTAAATATAAATAGTCGTCCTCACGCTGCACGATGTGCACTTCCCCATGTGCAGGTACAACCTCCGTACTCCACACAGTATGCGTCTGCTTTCGCTGCTCGCCCTTCCCCTCGCAGCTGCGACTCTGCATTATGAACCCCGCGACGCCCTGAAACCCCGAAATGTACCCATCCACTCCCCTATACTGCTCTAAAAACAATACTGACTTGCAATGATGCAGTGGGACCTCCGGCTCCTCACACCCGGCTGCAAGACAAACGAGTCCAACATCGACCTGAGCGTGTACCATGCGTCGGGGATCAACGCGCGCGACTGTGCGGCGCTCGATGTGAATGCGTCACTGGTGGATAGCGTCTCGTGGAAGAGCCCGGTGGAGAATGCGCGGTACGATCTGTGCATGTTTGCGGATGGACAGTGCGGCGCGAACGGGTTCGTGGGGGTGATTCGCGACGGTTGGGAGGTGTGTTATCCGTATAGTGGATGGAGGGGGTTTAAGGTGGTTGCTGCTGATGGGGCTTGTGTATGAATTATAATTATAATGTTTGTATATCGCCAGCAATATATCAAGAAAAGCATCACAATGGACGTGTCGGTAGGCATACGGACAAACATGTCCTACTGGTGTATCCGCCGACTACTATCCTCAAGCTCGTTCACCCGGTGACTGTCGCTCATCTCGACCAAAGAGTCACCCGCCAATTCCATCACTTGCGGTGGCTTGGATTGAGTCTGATTCGTAACCACCGGGTGTTCTGGTTCTTTCAGCGCTTCCTTGTACCCCTGCATCGCAGGACTTTGTATAAGCGTAGGCGCACCCGACTCTGCCAGCCCAGCTTGTCCAGCCTCCGCAGCAGCAGCACTCTTCCTCCGTCGTCGTACAAGGAAGAAAACCACCGCCGCGATGATAGCCACACCAGCGACCACACCCACCACAACCCCAGCAATCGCACCGCCGGACAGCGCTGACCCGCCCTCGGCCGTCGCCACGCCAGCAGCCGTCGTCTGCGCAGCCGACCCAGTCCCCGTCGTCGCAGACGGAGTACTCGATGTCGTAGCCGTGGTCACCGTCGACGTTGGCGTCGCAGTCGTACTCTTAGTCCGATCAACAATCCGAAACGACCCGATAAAGTTGCCCGCGGCTTTGGCGAGGTAATGGTCCGCCTGGCCGCCAGGGGTACCGGCGCAGTTGGTATTCCCGTACAGGTAGATAGTGGTGGGGTCTTCCTCGGAGTCGTACTCGAAGGCCATGCCCTCGGGGTTTGCGACCTGCGTGCAGGGGTAATTGGAGGAGCCGCTCTCGACGAAGGAGTTGTTTTGCGCGTTGTGCCAGACGAAGGTCCAGGCGGAGGTGGTGGGGAGGAGGGAGAGGGCGTAGAGGGCGTAGAGGGTGTGGAGGCGGCGCATTTTGTTCAGTTTGCTGTCGGGTGTTTCTTTTCTTTGCTTTCTTTATTTTCTTCCAGCTGGAAGGGGTGCTAGAGGGGAGGGACTCATGAGACGATGCACTTTGGCTTCTGGACGAGGGTTGGTTTTAAAGATGATACCAGCACTGGATAGGGTTTCTGGTGTGGATGCTAAGAGGGAGATTTGCAGAGTCTCGTATTTTGAAGACGGCCATGTCCAATCGGGCGGATGATTGTTAGTGATCTGCAGCGACTTGACTGATATTGGATTATGGTCTCCATCTCAGCTGGGGAGTTTTAACGGTCTCTTTAGGGCCAGATCAGCGTCTCCTGTGCAGAGACTGCTGCTTATGCTGTGGTTTTTGGAAGCTGTCAACTGTCCACCGTCCACTGTCAACTGTTAAGAAAAGCAAGGTTAGGCAGGAATGCAAATGCAGGCTGTGTCGTCTTTCTCATTGGTAGGATTGTATTGACTCCAAGAGAGGATGTCCTCAAGGCTGACTGAAAGTGAGTATAGAACGAAATTCTTGATGCTTTAACCAGCAGCCATATTCCATACGTCTTCATACTCCAGCCCAGCATCCATCAAGTCCCAAGTCATTGTCTTTAGAGACCGGTACTGATCATGAAGCCAAGACTAATGACAGCAAACTTGTGAAATGCGAGAATTATATCTGGGAGGTGTCGGGTTCACTAGAATGCCCACCTCCTCGCATTTTTTCATACCTCCACGAGCCCTCCTCAGGACTTCTGCGGGATTACCCCTGTCTATTATAGCGAGCATTATCTGCACCTCCTTTCACTGAGTCGTAAGACCCCTTTTCCAGAGAAGTCAGCAGCTGGACTATCGTTAGAATGACGGCCTCCGCACATCAGTCCGTACTTACTTAGGAGCAGCCTAACCATCAGTTTCTCGGCATACAGGGTCTCTGCAAATCCAACAAATAACGAGGACAGGAACAAAAATAGGCCTGTTTGTGAAATGGGATCGTCGAAAGTACGATGTTAGCGGTGCCGATCATCGTATTCTCGACACAGCCCTAAGCCTTTCTCTTTCCGGATTTTACCATCCCCAAACCATGGAGGAAGGATAGGATTCACTTCTGGGGCACTTGAGACATGTGCAAGTAGATCAAGACTGGGTAGAGGATGAGTTTATGAGTCTACACTATACCAGGCGTTATATACGTCCTTGGTACGGTATACCCGTCGCCGGGATCCGAAAGACTATACTAAGCCAGTTGGTGAAGCTACTCATGGCAGAACTTGTACAATGCTGTACAGCAGCTCTTAGGGCATATTGACAAAGGCTCTACTCCAGGGACCAGGCACTTCTATGTTTAGCATCACCATTCGGCCCCAACCGACGTCGTATCCACTGGCCAGGTACTCTGGGGAAATACCTAGCCCTATCCGAGGCCAAGACTTGTCCAAGATCTAAAGGAACAGATCTGCTGCAACATCCTGTCGTATACTCGTCTTGGGCTTCTATATTGAGTATCATCAAGTCGTATTCTCAGCTTCACGAGCGATCTACATCGTGAAACTGGAGCTCATCGCGACATCATGGCATTCGGGGGTATACGCGAGCAGGCGGTTTCGTTCTGGAGGTTCGTATAGCCGTTCAGCTTCATAGTTCACGTTCATCAAGGCCTCAAACGTACTACAGTTTATAGAGATGCAAAAGTTATAAATACCCTCTCGACCTCCATCAAAGTCGACTCTCTCCAGCAACAATCAAACAAGTCATCTATCAATCAATCAATCAATCCCACTCAAACACTATCAAACGCCCTCTTCTTATCACAAACCACCACCAAAATGCAGTTCACCAAGGCCATCGCTCTCTTCTCCCTCGTCGCCACCGGTCTGGCCGTCGCTGCCCCCGAGGACAACGCCAACGCCAACGCCAACGGCAATACTGCCCCCGCGAAGCCCGTCATCGGCGCTGGCGAGCCCTTCGATGGCGACTTTGACCTCCTCCTCGGCGGCAAGCCCAACATGATGCTCAACAAGCGCGGCTACGGATGCCCCAATGACTACGCTTGTTCTTCTTACGTACGTCGATTCCTCAGTCTATCCTAAGGGTCTTGCTGACAGGCGATGAATAGTGCTCTAGCATCGGCCGCAATGGTGGCTACTGCGGTGGATTCCTCTGGCAGACCTGCAAGTGCAACGAGAAGAAGTAGATGATCGGTTCTACTATAGACAGGATTGCAGTGATATAAGCGGGAGAGGGCGGAAATATCGGACATCGAGTGGGAGCATGGACATGGTGCAATGGATTCAAATTGATTCTGGTATCTTTCTTTTTATATGGTTTTGTTTTACAGGTTTCAATCAATGCATATACTCCTTTCACTGTTAGCCTTTGTAGAGGGCATGACCACGGACACAATCATACTTCTCGGAAGACGTTCCCATATGACGTCCAACGTCCCTAAACTTCATTCATCACTTGCTGCCTACCCTTTGAGTGTGTCGCTTGGGATAACATCCTTAGGCAGTGCTCGTGGGTGCCTATTAGATTATCTCATAATGGCATTGTTTTTCATCATGCCCATACTTGACGACTACTGATAAAATCCCCTCTGTCGCTCGCTGCCTACATTCCTTCTTCCATCTCCTCATCTTCCTCTCTCCACCGGTTTTCAATCTCGTTCTCAGGTTCATTCTCATTCCACCTCCTTCTTCAAATTCTTCTTCACAAGCCCAAAAAAGACCTACTTAACATGCCGCTGGACACCATCGACCAACCAGTTACCCCCGGAGACCTCATTCTGGCCTACACCCGCAAACGTAAACGGATGTTTCTCGTCACATCTGCCTCCAGTAAACAGGGAAGCCCTGACACATCCACCATACTAGTGAAGCGTGCACCCTACAGCGTAGTCGACGAGCCTGGGTTTGGACTCTCTCCGGCCCCGACGTCTACTACGTCGAGAAGGAAGCGGATAAGCAAAATTCAGACGAAGCAAGTGACGATGGCGACTCAGCTGATGGAGAGAACGATGCGCGCAATAGCGAAGTTAAGCCGCTGCGGGCATTTCTTGACGAGCTCGCGGGATCCCTTGACGTTACCGTCGTCGTGAACCCCCACGGACGGCGAGTACTCCGCACCCAAAGCATCGCTGTCTCCTACTAACGCGCGTCTAGGGAGGTCCTCGAACACTACTTCTCAGGGACTTGTCCGTATTGCAACAATGAGACGTTCTTCTGCCCTGGATGCCAGGGAGACTATCCCGAATTCTTTGGCAGCTGTGCAGTATGGCTCTCATGCCCTGTTTGCCTGGGATATGATCTTGCAGAGGACGAAAAACAGGGGCTGAGATGGCTGGAAGATGAAGAATACCAGATTCGGGATTACCAGCGACAGGCTAAAGAATCGGAGTTGTCAAAGAGCGACAAAAAGCGGCTGAGGGAGATCAAGTATGAGATGCTGGAATTTCTGGAGGAAAAGTATGAGGCTATCAACGAGAGAAAGAAGGAGATGGGTATCCCTTTGGACGATGTGGAGGAGCAGGTGAAGGACTATACCGATTGTATGTTTTCTTTTTGAGATTTCGGTTTCAGCATTCGAAAATTGGGAGGTTTGAAGCAGCCCTCGTGCAATGGGAATGATGGGATATTGACATGGCTGAATGATTCTGCGTCGAACTTTCTCTTTTCCTTGCGATGACTTGGGCGTTTGGTTACTTCTATTTTATTGTCCTAGATAGCGAAAAGCGATGATCCGTGTTTTTTTTAGCAGAGAACATTCTATTACTATCAGCGCTCGTTATAATCACCGGCCTGTGTGCATCCAACTACATACACTACATACGTAGATCCTTCTTGCCAGTCCACCCACACAACCGACGCAACCAACACTCAAACGACAGCCAGAAACTGATCACAAATGCGCTACTTGATTCATTAGAGAGAATCTTCACTGGAGCAAGAAATACGGCTCAATGCAGCGGCCTGATGCTGTATCGATGCGCTGAATTGTCATTCGACATGCCCGCCTGTGCCTCTCTTTCCAATACTGGAGATGAGGAGCTTGATCCCATCACAGCAGATGCGGCTGCTTCAGAGGGAGCACTCACGTCAGGGAGACGGAATACAACCCCAGTAAGGCGTTTTATGAAGAATCCGGCAACCGCCTCACTATTGCCGCTCTGAGCCTGTCCACATCGTCTACCATCTCCATACCGAATTTCTGACACACAATCTGCACATTGCCCCTCTTCCAGTATCCCTCAGGGCAAACGACGATTGCTTTTCCCGGCACCCTTGCGCAAATCCCTAGCTCTAACAGACTGATGGGCGCTTGAGTTGCAGGGTGGAAATAGATAACAACCACGTCGGTCTTGTCCTGTTTCTCCAGCTCCCACTCCACTTGCTGGCGGTAGGGGGCGAAATGGATATCCTCACGCCACGAGCTATCCCAATCAGCGCGATATGGGTTGTAGATGGTAATCGGTGTATCGGAGAGAGAAGCACATAATGCCTCGCGCCAGTCGGTCGCGTCGACTTTGCTGGTTGTTCCAGCCAGAAAGACGGACATGATGCCGCGGGGAGGTTCGTCTGAAGGGGCATTGATTACTTGACACCGTGATCCGGCCATCATGGAAGAAGATAATGTATTTATACGTGATGTTTGAATGCAACGAGTACGGAATAAAGGATGAAAGATACGGGGTTGGAGCACCAGGCTAGGTCGTCTCTGCAACGAGTCAGCTTGGATTGGTGAGCCTCTCCCGGGGTAATCACCTTTAGTATTACGTTAACGCTGAACGACATATAGGACTGGCCAAGTTGTCTCGCTGAGGAAGAACTAAAGTTATATCACTGGTGGTCATGTCATCCTGGAACACTGTCTTATGCTGAGGGGAATGACTGAAATGAGGGGCTAGTCCATATCCCCGGGCGGAATCGGTAGAGGGTTGGGCACTGCTATTTTACCTACATGGTATAGTTCCTACCGCGGAACAGGCCGACGGCCACGATATTTCCTAACAAAAGACGGTTGAGATTCGGCATCCATTGGGTCTGCATCTGAAAGCTTCATGAAACCCATTGGGGTGGGACAAATAGAATATGATGAATTGGTCGCGGCCTTCCGAGCTTCGTTCAGAGTCATTTAGATGTAGACTGAACGGAATGAACTTTTGTAGTAGAACGCTGACATGGCACTTAACAGAAGGAAAGCGGCCGATCAAGTCAGGACAGAGGCCGAGGTAGTTCAGGTTTGTCGCGCCAGCCTGAGAAACCCCAGCCCTGATTGAGGACGCGGGCATAGCACGCCCGCCTCCATGTAAGTAGACTCAGCAATCTTAATTTCAGCATACAGGCTGACCATAGCAGTTCAAGGACCATCCCAAAGACCACCATATCCCAGCCGTCGAAAGTATCGTCCGTTCCCATCTCCCAGGTCCTATCCACCGTTGTCAGCTCCAGGCGCTTCCACTCGAGAATATGCGGGTTCCCTTGGCGAAGCCAGCGGCCTCCGATCAGCTCCGTCGGGCGATTGAAAGTGGTACAATTGCAGACCCGAATTTTCTAGAAGGTGCTGCCCCTCTGGAATGGCTCCGTAGTGGTGATATTCACAGGGATCCATAGCTGGTCGTCAGTATTCAGAAGCAGATCAGGAAGGACGATAGTTCAGTGGTACCATGGGGGTATAACTCACTGCCATTTATAACATATCCAGATATATCCAGATGAATGAAAAAGAGAAAGACAGACCAGAATGAATTAACTTGTCATTGGCTCTGTTATTTAAGGATGGATGGATCTGGTTGAAGGTATAGACAGCCGTGGTAGGCAACAGAGCACAGGCAGATGCTTGGGTCGCCCAGTAGTATATACAAGAGAAGTATATCAGGAGGTATGTGAACAATCGAGCTGGACCGGGGGAAATTGACTTTCTATATATGTCCAAGTGAGAAGTATCTGGGATGGATGTGATGGTGAAGGAAGCCTGCATGAAGTAAATGCGATGCAATGCAACATTCCCACTCTTCTTTACTTCAGCATGATGATTTTTGATACCAGAACAGATAGTGATGAAAGTTAGATCAATGCAATGGCTAAAGCTCAACTAGAGAGGAGAGTACCTACATTCAAACGCCCGTAATGCAGCGCTGGCACCTCACTATGCCGCCCTCCATCCAGCCACAGCAACACCAAACAACCCAATCACTGTTTCAGCTCCCGAACAGCAGCATGCAACAGCAGACGCGCATACCCGCAGTGTAGCCTCTGCGTCCACTCAGGGATCATCTTCTGGTTCTCCCCCTCCGAGGCAACAACCTCATAATCATGGGCGCTAGCAAACCCAACCTCCACAAACGGACCTTCGCCATCGACCTCAAACGGCGCAGAGACCATCAACTCATGCCGGCCGCCGCTCATCATCCGCCACGGGTACCCCCACAGCGCAATGCGCTCAAAGAACCGGCGCACCTCATCCGCCATATCCCACCGCACCAGCAAGCCGTAGTGATCATCTTCGGCAGGCGGCCGCTCGACAACAAACGCGCCATGCGCAAGGACCCGCGGGGCCTTGGTTATTGGGTCCGGTGCGAACGCCGCGGGCGTGTCGCCGAGATCGCCGGTGTTGAAGCCGGCGCCGGTTAAGAGGCCGCAGAGTTTGGCTTCGGCGCGGAGAGGCTTTGTGTTGAAGAGGGTTTGCGCCCAGGTGGTGGTGAGGTCCTGAGTGGAGGGGGTGGTTTTTTCATTGGGTTGCTTTGTCTGGGGCAGTCGGGATTGGAGAGCTTTGAGAGGGACTCTTGCGGTGAAGAGGTCGATCCGCGGACAGTGTTGGGACGATGGATGGGACGGGGTTCGGAGGGCGATACTGGTGGAGTTGTCGATGGGTACGTTGGGATATTGTTGTTCTAGAGAGCGAAGACCATGGTGCACGCTGTATCCTATCACGACCGGGGGGACAAAGAGTGCGATTAGACGGGTCCGGGATATTGTTGCCATATCGTGTTTTCGTATGGGGTCTGTTGACTGTAGAGCTCTGATATCAAGAAAGAAACATACAGTCGTTTAATATGGCTCAATGACTGAGAGAGCTGCCATGGATGTGTGTCGATACAGAGAGGATCGAGATGGGGAGTAAAACGTGTTGTGCAGTGATCAGGCCATCCTCGTAAGCACTAATGTCTAGTTGCTCTTGGATGTCGCAGCCCGAGAATGAAGCATGAGGTATAGGTACTATAGACTGAAATCCACACAATCTTCGCTTGTGAATCTCCATTGATCTTGCCCAGCTGTACGAGTTATGGCTAGGGTTTAGATCTGTGATGTGGAAGTTCTGTAGATCCACCGATGGATAAGATAAACCGCAATCTTGGCATCGAAGCATCACGATAATTTTCCCCTCCAACAATCTTCCTCCCTCCGCACAAGTTACAACACAACACAACACCGCCACCAACAACCCACAATGGACAACTCCCTCGACGACATCTTCGGCTCCTCGCCTCCCCACGAAACCGCCCACCCCATCGCCCCTCCATCAAACCCCTCCCCCTCCAACCCCGCCGAACCCTCCGAACTCCCCTCCCTGCGCCGCCAACACGTCACAGCCGGCTACCGCGACGGCATCTCCGCTTCCAAAGGCGAACACGTCCAAGCCGGCTTCGATGCGGGGTTTCCGGTGGGCGCTCAGCTGGGGATGCGCGCCGGCACCGTCCTCGGGATCCTCGAGGGCGTTCTACGCGGCTACGAGAGTCGCACGTCCTCCGTGGTTAAAAAGCCCGCCCGCACCGCCGCCGGAGGAGCCACAAAGAGCGAAAATCCGAATGAGGCTGACGCCGAGGCGCGAAACGCGAAACGCGCCGAGATCCTCACGCTGTACCAGCAGGCGCTGAAGGACCTCGACGTCCAGGCGGTGTTTGCGGGCTTGCAAGGCGCGGAGGGGGAGAAGCCCGAGACGCAGCTTGGGCGGAAGGGGGATGTCGCTGTTTCGGGCTGGGAGAAACGGGTCTTGGTGGCGCATTGGGAGGAGAATATGGAGGCGTTGGAGGCGAAGGATGATGGGGAGGGGGAGGGGGCTGCGGAGGAAGGCGAGGCGTCCAAAGCAGCACCGGCACCAGCACTGAGCTGAGCTGGCTCTGGCTGTGGTTTTGTTTACAGTGTTGTCTGTCGATGATCTGAGGTCGGTCCTTTTGTCCCAGGGCGAAAGAGGGAAGACCGGCTGCACGGGACTCACGGGAGGTTCGGCCGGTCTTCCCGGTCCTCCTTCAGGGGCGCCTGTCTTACTCCCGCGGAGGACACCCCTAGGCTCTTTGTGCGCCGGGTGTCTCGCGGAGAGGTCCGCTGCGGTTTGAGGGGACCTTGCAGCGAGACCCCGTCACCCGGTGACCCGGTCGGTTCTACCTGCAAGGTACGAAATTTTACTTGCGATGGCGCCGGTTGGATCTGACGGTTCAAGACAGGGTTCACCAGCTTGGCTGGATGGATGTGCATGTCAGTGGGGGTCGGCAATGGTCGTTTGTCGAGGATTCAAGACAAGGCTCAGGCATGTATCGGACGATACGTCAGTGGTAGAGTGAGCCTAGCTATGGACTTTGTTGGGTCTTGAATGTGAGCATTCAAGACATAATGTTTCTGCCTGTCAACTCGAATCGAACAATGCAGTAGTATTTCTGGCTCGCTCCACTCTGTACGGATATTTGCTGTAAACATAAAAGAACAGAAAGAATAACCCGAGGTATGCCATAGATTGCAGAGGACCACGCCCGCCGTCAGGAATGCATACGCGGAGTGCTCGTGGGCCAGTTTCCTAATTCTTCCTCGCCAGTCCTCTATGGATAGATAATATGAACCGTGATACTATTATTGGGAAGCAGCGGGAAAAAAAAAAAGCCACATACCTCATTAGGACCATTAAGATTCACCCAAAGTACACTATATCGGCCCCTCGCGCGAATCGCCACAGAGTCTAGCGGAACACCGGGATCTACGACTGAGCTGAAGGAGTTCCAAAAGGACTAGAGTAAGACGATGGATGGGTCTGTCCTTCAAGGGATGAAGGACTCGGGGTCTGAGACCCAGGATCCCCAAACAAGGGATATCAAAACAAACCCGCCAGCACCGTCGCATTGTCCCATTCCGACCAGGACACCGTAACGCTACCACATGTCGTCCAGCGGTGTTCTGCGGGGTGGTATGCGTGGTGTCTATCGTGGAGATCTCGCATTCCTGAGATTGACAAGGAAACACAGACTGTTGATTGTTTGTTTCATTTCTGCTTTTGGTAGAATTCTATGTATGTTTTGGGGTGTTTGTTGAAGCAGGTAAAGACCGTAGACATTAGTGGGTAGCGTAGTAAGGAGTGACGCTGTCCATGACAGCACGTATATGACCATCAAAAGGAAACAAGTTCAGAGAGGGTGTGATGTGGTGTCACAAAGAGTGTCTGTGAGAGTCCAGCACAAAAGGAAATAGACGTAGCCACAGGGCTTGTGAGTCCGAAAGACGGACAGAGATAAGGAAATCAAAGACAGGAAGACAAGAGACCGAGCTCGAGTCCGGCAGCAAACCAACTAACTCCAGGCATTGCCTCGTCATCGTGGAGTACATGAGTCAATCAGTCATAGAAACACAGGCTATCGTTGTAAGCATAGCGATTGGGAGTCGACTCCTCATCGCGGGCATCCCATCCACGCATCGAGTCATTGCGCTCGAACCTGAGATCGTATCGGTTCGAGATCGAATCATGATCAAAGTCGTCGTCATAAGACATTAGGTAAAGGAAAATCATCGACCCTCCTGCCACCGCACGGGGGAGCGGGAGGACTGTAATGTGGCATGTAGAAACCGAGAAGCCGGACGCCGATGAAAACCGATGCGCGCAACCAAAGACAAATGCAGACATAATACAACACAACACAGCTTACATCGGCTTGCGAGCCCGCGCAGGGGAGATATCGCCGTGGCAGCCCAGCATCCGGAGCGACTCCCAGAACCGCTTGTACAGCGGCGGCCGCACCAGGCTCAGACTCTGGTGGATGGCTCGATCGGAGCGCTCCTCGCGACACAGAGTGCAGAGCTTCTCGCGCTGCGGGGTGAGGGGCATATCGGGCGAATCGGACCGTTGCCGGCGTCTAGTCTGCGCGTGGATCGCCGCCGCGGTGGAGCGATCAATATCGTACTTCGGGGTCTGAGGGCGCGAGGGGCCCGTCGTGGCGCAGCTGTTGCCACGCGATCTCGGCGTGCGAGGCCGCACGAGCGAAGTCGTCGAGGGAGCCACTAGTCGGAGGGTCTGATGGGCCGCGGGACGGAAGATGTCCTTGCTGGAGCGGGCCTGCACAATCGGCATGGGTGGCGGCGGCGGCAGGTCGTCGCAGGGCAGCTGGTCTGGAATCGAGGGGAACCGTTCCAGCTCCTGGCTGTTTTCCTTACTCGGAGGCTGGCTCTGGGACTGGGCGTTCTGGAGCTTGGGGGCGGACTTTGCGACACGTAATTGAACTCGACTGCGGACTTTCTTCAGAGTGTCCATGGGTTTGCGGGAGAGCGACTTGGGATCCGTGTCGTCATTGTCAGAGTCGGACTCCCAGACGGACTGCTCGCAGTGCATCTCTGAGGCGGAGGTCAACGGTCTGTCCCTGCCCGAGGTTGCGGTGGGAAGGCGCTCCATGCCTGGGGACGCTGGACTCGGTGTTGGGCTGGGGACAGGGCTAGGGCAGTCATTGGCGGGAATGAACAATGCTTGATCGAAGTGAGTGGTATGGGGCTCCATTGTGACGGGATTTATGCGGCAAGGAGGGGATATCATGGAGGGCTCGATAGGAGGCCGTCCAGGGGGATTGGGTCCCCGCTTGCCCGGAGGAGGATTCCCTATGCGAGGGACTGGAGGCATGGCAGGCAAGGCCTTTCCACGGACGGAGCCGCCGTCCGAGATGTCAGCGTGAGGCATGATGAGGGTGTCTGACGAAGCGTTGGATTGTGCCACTAGGGCTCTTGCGTCCTTGGTCTCGGATGATCGCCTCGTCGGCAACGCTGTGTAGGGATGAGGAGGATAAGGCACGTAGCCGTGTCGTGTACGCTTTGTAGCGTCGGGATAGATCGGAGAAGAGTAGTTGGACGAGAATGAGCTACTGGGAGTGAGGTCTGGGGTGGCCTCGGATTGCACCGAGCTGAAGGAGCCCTGACTGGAGTGGCAGGGCTGTCCACTCCACGGGTGCACGTTGGCTTGTTGAAGCCCTAACTGATATTCCAGCTCCACGACAGAGAGGGTCGATCGATTGTTGTTCGCACGACACTCCCCACGGGGTACTGCCGGGAAGGAGAAGTCTTTGCCGGAATTGGCGTTGGATAGCATGAAATAGGGATCAGGGTCGTGGCTGAACCTCGCGTCCCCCATGTCCCGCCGGCAAGAGGCCCAGGAGGCACCGTTGGACAACGACTGTTCAAGATAGAACGGGTCGGGGTTGGAGTCGTCGACGATCTCCGGGTCAGTGGGAGGGTAGTAGGACGAGGCCCGATGCTTCGCTGGAGAACGAGCAGGCAAACGAATGTTGGTGGACTGTGATCTACTCCGGCCAGGATGAAAAGCGTTTGCGCCGGGAAGTTGATGCTGTCCGTGAGCCATGGGCTATGATTCCAATGGCAGTATTGGATAGGCCGATTGTCTGATCAGACCGAAACGGACATCAGGATACGGGCGATAGCGCAGATGGGAAAGAATGAGGGGAGAAGCTAGGAGAGAGAAGGACAGATGGAATGGGCAGGGCGAAGGGGATAGATATGTTATACTCGGTAGCCCTAAGTAGGCGCAGATCCAACGGGGTGGTGGCTAGACCGGGGAGAGCAGCCGCTGCATGCCAATGGACCCATGGTGTAAACAAAAGACCGAGCACAGACACCAGCACAGGTCGCAGTGGACCTATCATGACCTTACTTTGCAAATAATGCTGGAGGTTGCTGCTGCTGCTACTCCTCCTCCTCCTCCTCCCCTTCCGTAGGGATGGCGGATGCAGCAAGGCGGGCTCTCCATCGACGCTAGAGCAAGGGAGACAACCCGGATTCTGGTTCCGCAACTCAATGACGGCTGTTCTGCTACTTGAGACTGGTTCTGGTCGCGTCGCGACTTGAGCTGGGTTGGTTTCAGGATGCTGAGTTTGTCGACACGTCGGTTGATACACGCGGGTGGTGCGTGGTACCGAGTTGAGTGTAGGTATGCCATCGTCCCTTCGTTATCCTCCCTCCATCATTCAGTCTACTGTATTCGGCCAAATCGTTTGATCTCCCGTTGGCAGATTACAGCCTCAATTTGCCTCCCGGCTAATCCCCGACGTGGCAAATAACATACATGGCACTATCTAAAATCCACATACATCCCGTCGCGCCATAAATGAAGAACGGCGGGCTACATGCCTTCATTCACCATCGTGACCCCGATTAATTAACAACCCGAAGGCTGGCCCCGAGTTCCAGCAATCTGGGACATCCACCGGCGGAAGGGAGGTCAAAGATCCCGAGTCGACCGTCGAATGTGAGATATCAAAATGGCTCCTCGCTAGGGCCGCGGAAGCTCTCCCTCCAACCGTCGATACGTGATCCCCCAAAGCCGGCGGGCGATCTCGTCGATCAATGGGTCTATTCTTTTCTGGGACGGTGGCACACCATTAAATCTTCCGTAGGTTCAGGCCTACAGCTGGCAGGCTGTACTTCTGGCCTGGCTGATTAGCCTTTGATACACATAGTACCTCTACCACACTGGTTCAAGCCCACCAGCGGGTATACTCCGCCACCGCGCCAGTGGAGGGGGTGGATGTCCTCGAATAATACCGTTCTTCATTTCGTAGATTCCTCATAGTCTATGTTTGCGCAGGCCGAGGCGCAAAGTCGCTCTGCGGTGTCCTGCAGAAAAGCCGCCGGGACCCGCATTCCAGAAGCACATTCTGGTTGCTGTGATGCGACCCGGATAGCGACCGACTTTTGTTGTTGGCCGGACCAGTCTGTCATTGTTGTCCACGGCCACGCAGTCCGGTTGCACTGGTTTTGCGTGGCACCCGTTTCCACGCTCTTGTGTCCGTGTCGTCCCGGTGTACAGAACGACACGACTCCTACGGGTTATTCCCCGAATGGCTGGCTGGCCTCGAGGTTGGGGTGGATCTCGGTATCAGAATCTATGGTAACTTGGTAATGGCTTCAATCGTGGGCGGGTCAAGATCCATCGGCTCTTTTTGGCATTGATCGAGGCTAGGTGTTAGGGTTTGAACATCACCACCCCTTGTCTGGTGAGTTTTGCATTATAGATGCGAACGGGTGAATCCGTTTACTGATTGGTGTGCATCGTGATAAGTGCCACGGTGGCCACAGTCTGGAGATCGAGTGCACTGACTGCATCCCATGTTGGTGACAGTTGATCTATCCAAACGGCCGCGTTCCCCGTCCGACAAGTAATCTCGCCGTGGTGGAAGCTTGACATCATCTCCGAGGCTCGTTCTGAATGTTGTACGGAGGTTCTCCGTATATAGACTGGCGGAAATTGGGGAATCGCAAATAAACCGAGGCACGAAGCGCGGGATACAGCGTCCAGGCCATCGCGGACGCAACTCCGCGTGCATGACCCGCATTCCAATGTGGTGTTAGAGATTGAAAGCCATCACGGAGATTGGATACATGCACATAGATGGAGTTCCGCAATCGACAGCCCAATTGATTCCATATAGCGAGCCCGGCAACTAACTGCAATGTACATCATCTTCGATCGTACGGTCTGTCTGTCCAGACGTGCGTCAGTGGGTTGATGCGTCTGCATGCATCTCGAGTCCGTTTGGGGCGAGATGGGTACAATTGGTACGATGGGTCCTCGACAAACGCCTTCATTTACGGACGCTATGCATGGACTCGAAGCTCACTTGCATGACCCTTGGGCGATTCTTCACGGGGAGCACGGGAAACCCCTGCACGGTGCGGCCGGACCTGTCGGTTCTACAGCCGGGACATTCTTCAATATGCAAGATCCACGGCGTCCAAAGATCCATCTACCAGATTACGAAGGAAGAAACTGATCACCGAGAAGACCTTTATGTGATGTTCTGTGCTGTTGTGCGGGACGATGACTCGAGTGGCAAAGTTGAGGTCGACCGGGGCTCAATTCCAAGATCCCTCCATAAGCGGCATCCTCTGTTGGAGAGGGTACAAAAGTTCCATTGGTCGATCATCCGATCGAGCAAGTGTAGGAAATCTACAGAGAAGAACTTTGACGGCAAGCGCAGGTCCAGGCACCGGCAACAGTGGCTCGAGACACGCTGCAAGGCATGACCAATAGGTTTCAAACAAGGGCAATGGCATCGTTTTCCCGCTAACTTCTTGAGCGGATGTACTGAGCAGAATCCGACAACCCTTGCCGATTCTCCCTCTGGCCATTTGATTCTTTTTATGACTGTCGCAGCATGACACCCTTCCATCATTGATCGGAGAGGGATCGGTGGACTCATCTGGGTCGTGAGCCCTGTGAAATGAAAACAGGAATACAAAGTCCTGTATCTAGAAGCTGATGCCTTGAACGTGAGTATTTGTCATATCCCAAAAATGAAGGAATCCAGCTGATGCTCATTTTGATTATCACCCAGCATCAATAACACCCTCAACAGCGATAGTCGAGTTCGCCGTCGTGCAACCACGACCCTTCCTTCAAACGGGGGCGATGAGAGGGCTTCTGTTTGAATTATCCCTTCGAACTGCCGAAGTGATAGGCGTTCGGGTCCAGCGGAGGCGTTCCACGGATCGTGGGCCGACCTGGCCTGGCTTTGGATGAACCCTTCGATCGAGGCTCCAGTGTGGGGAGATAGACCCAGTGGTCCGTTCCAGCGATTCATGCGTACGATTCATATTCAGCTATTTAGCAACATCGGCTCGCCTGTTTGTTCGTTTACTAATTATAGGGCGGTTTTAGGTATCATCGTTGGGGGAGGATCGGGTGCGAACATGCCACATCCCACGGACATTGGTCCAAATCTCTATCCATCCTGCGCCTGCCAACACATCAGTCGGAGAACTGGCCGGGTACGAGTTGGCACCCTGTTCCGCCGAGGATGAGGTATCCGTTTGAAATAGAAGAGGAAATCCCAGACATGTCCAGTAGGGATGAACCAGGGAGGCCGTTGGGAGTTAATCAGACTCGAAGATTCAAGTGAATCTGATCCATCGGGAAACTGTAGGAACCTTCCATTATCTTCGAAATGAATTCTCTCCAATTTCGAATCAGGAAAAAGAAGGATTCACCCGAGTGTCATCCGAGGCGTACAGGAGACGACGTGTTCTGCAGGACGAAAGGGGAAAGACGGGCTGGAAAATCAATAGATCGGATGCAGCTGGGGAATAGTGACTTGTAATCGGCAGCCGACCACATTGACGTCTCATTATTCAGTAATAATACTACTAATAAGACAGCAAGGTAAGTAGTTGGAAGTCAGAAGAATAGAAATTGGATAGGGCTGGGCGAGACCCGTGACTTTCTCCCTTTTTGTTCGGATCGCATCATCATCAGCTCCTCCTCCGCCTCTTCTTCCTCCTCTCCTCATCCCTCGCAGCTCCAACACCCAGTCTCACCCTCAATTGAACAGCTTCCCATGACTGCCCCGAGCCCATACTAGTGCTCGCGGCGGTCGGGAAGGGGAGCAGGTCCAGCTATCCCTGGGACACCGCACTCCGACAAAGGAGGGTACGTATGATTGATCGATGTGTCGTCTCCCCAGCCATCGCATTTCTTCCCAACTTCTCTCCCCATTTGACCAGCCACTCCTTCTCGTCGCCTCCTCTCCGATCCCTTTTCTCCCCCAGGTCGCTTTGTTCTTCATCTCCCTAAAAAATCGTTACCCACATTCCTCCCCCGTTGTGAATTGCCTTCAAGCTTACTTCCTTTTCGCATCTAGAAGCTTGACTGCCTCCCGGACACACTGCATCATCGCTCAGGAGGAACGCTCCTTGTCTCAACCTGGAACAACAACCTCGACGCAGCTGAAGCTCTCAATTCCCATCGGCGACTGCTGTGCACTCAATTCCCACGTTGTCGTCTCATTATCCACCTCGCCAGACCCCATCGACTCCAGCGGTGTCTTACTACACCCCCGGCGCTTTTGACGAGTCTCACGAATTTCACGACCCTTCCACGTTAACGACCTTTTCACGGCAACACCAGCAGCAGGCTGCTTTCCCTTCCGCCTCCAGCTCCCATCCTCACAATCCTCCGCCTGCGCCCCCTCTCAGTGCACAAGGGAGTAGTCGTTCACTACGCCGGACTTCGCGCCTCGTCCAACGACCAGCCTCGGTAGATGCTTCGGGTCGCCCGTCTCGCATAGAACAGTCTATTCCCGTCCTCGTCCGGCCCATTTCGGATCGCACGAGCGGATTTGCTGCCCTGCGACCAGCCCTTTCGGAACCGCAGACCGACGACGACTACGACCACGAAGACGCCGACTCGGCCCTCGACGAGTACAATCGTCTCATCCGCGGCGAATCCTACTGGCCTCCTCGGTCCACCCGTGTTTCGCCCCGCACTGCGTCGGCCATCCTCTGGGTGCTCGAAGAAGGCATCCGGAAACCATTTCCATTTACCCCGGATTGGGACGAAGTGAATGCGCCCATGTCGGAATTGGCAGGCGCTCCCGGCTCAGCTGGCCTCGGAGGTTCTGAAAAGTCCCAATATGGAGCTACCCGCGCCCCCCAGGGCCCTGTCCCGGTGAATCCACACCCGCCCAGTGGCGTCCGGACGCCCACGGATATCATGAGACAGCGCCGGGATCGCGAAGCGCGCAAAAGGGCCGAACAGGAGGCCCGAGATCGCGAGCAGGAGGTGGCGGAGCGGAAGCAGCAAGAGGCCCAAGAAGCCCGGGCTCAGGCTCAATTCCAGGCCCAATCTCAGGCCTATGCTGCTGGTGTTGCCGGTGAAAAGTCTTCTCAGCGAAGAGCTGCCGCCTCAAGGGTGGCGCCGACTGGATCGGGTGCCCAACCAGCTGGCCCTACCAGCACCGTTCAACAACCACCCGGGATTCCGGCGGCGACCCGACGACCAGATCACGGTCAGGCTCCGACCCAGCCGAAAGCATCAATGTCTTCTGTCCAGCAGATCCCTTCGCAACAAGCTCCACTTCACCCCTCCGCGGCATTGCCAAAACAGGCTCAAGCCGCCCCTACCACGCAGTCGCAGCAACAACCCCGTCGTGCGGGTTTTCCCCATGCCTTCGAACGGTGGGAAACACTGTCGTCCCACTGGGAGGGTCTGACGGGGTACTGGATCCGCAAGCTGGAGCAGAACAGTGCAGATTTGGAACGCGACCCGATCAGCCAACAAATGGCCCGTCAAGTGACCGATCTGTCTGCTGCCGGTGCCAATCTTTTCCATGCTGTAGTGGAACTGCAACGCTTACGGGCGTCCTCAGAACGAAAATTCCAGCGCTGGTTCTTCGACACCCGTGCGGAGCAAGAACGCGCCAAGGAGCTGCAGGCCGACCTGGAGCGACAGTTGAGGACGGAGCGACAGGCCCGGTCTGAGGCATTTTCTTCCCTGCAGAAGGCCGAGAGCGACAAGACCCGTGCGGAAGAGCTCCTCAAGGAGATGCGCCGGGAGCTTCAGATCTCAAAGGAGGAAGCCCGTCGCGCATGGGAGGAACTCGGTCGTCGGGAGCAAGAAGAACGCGACCGAACGATCTCTCTTCGAAACGGAGAGCCCACCCTGGTCGGCGGCGTGCAAGTAGTGCCCATGATTCAAGGGCTCCCCCATCGACCCGGTAGCTCGAACCGGCCGCCCACCCGCGGGAATCCATATGCCGGAGGTGAGGAGCCAAAAGTGACAGACGGCCAATACTATGAACAAGCTCCCGCATCTCCCACCGGAACTGATCCTTTCACTGAATCGGCAAGACCTGGCGCGCAGGAGTCTCACTTCGAGGCTAGCCAACCGCCGACCACCGCCGGCCAATACTATGAGCAGGGCATGTATCCAGCACGGCCAGTGTCGGAGAATGATGATCGCTCGTACGGCCCCAGCGTCGGCAGCAGTGAGCCGGGCGAAGAGGAGTATGCCAGTTACCGTCGCACGCAGCCCGCTCCCCTCGTTTATCCCCCCGCCTTGTCCGAGGAGAGTGACGAGTACGAACATGGGTCAATGGAAGGCGGCGAAGCAGGGTATGTGCCCACCTCCATTGCGGGCTCTGCGCCGCCCTATGGTCAGACCTCGGTGGATTACAGCGGATCGGGATGGGGCGTTGGCTCGAACTGGGAGTCGGTCACCCCTCGCCATCGCCATCCCACGCGTCTGAGCGACGTTATCGAGGAGGAGGAACCCCGGACGACGCCCAGCCGCGCCAGTCGTGCCAGCCGTGCCAGCCAAGCGAGTAGAAGTGTACATTGAACCGGCTTCTTTACATGACTTTGCACCGTACATAAGCTGCATATTAATCAAAACTGCCTTTCCTTTGTTCCTGGGTTGTTTCCTGCTTGTGGTTATGGATGTGTTTCTGTTTATCTGTTGCTCTCTTCGGGATGCGCCAAAGGTTTCCATTGATATCCGGTACTTAGCTATCTTCCCTGGACGATCGGAGTTGAAGAAGGGTATCGGGATAGTTTGTAATATCACTCTTTTTTATTGTGGATCGGCCGTGCCTAGCCGTTAAAGATCTGAATCGAGGGTGGAATATCGACCATTTCTTGCCGCTATAGTTTCTTCATTGTACATATACTCTGTATGAGAACGTCTATATCAGGAACCACGCGATATAAGCAACGAAAACTCGCGTCTGAATTAATTTCCCATACGACGTTGCTTTAGCAAATAGCTTAGTTAGAAAACATGGGTCTAAGTAGCCAAAGACCTTTATTACGGAGTATAATAGGTAGGTAATCATGTAACCACCAGAGGCACATAGGGTGGAAATATATCTCGGAAGTGTGACCCCCTAGTAAAAAATATACGTAACTAGTTAACTACCTAGTAACTACCGGTACCTAGTAGGTACCTTAGTGAGGTACCCCGTAGTTACTCCGTTCCGAATACGATGATTTCTTCTTCCCCTCACTCCAATGTTACACACAAACAACTAAAGAATCATAATCCTCGTCTCCCCACCCCACGAGCAAGCAAAAGGACCTCTGCTTCATCCTTCCCGTTCCATGAGCCCCATAGTATGGATGGTCTTTAGGGTGCTACCGTAGCAGGGTCAGGCGGCCTCTCTTCTTCCGCTTCCCGGATACAGGATTATACTTGTGCTCACAGCCTCAAGTTCCAGCCAACTCTGGTGGCTCGAGAAATTTTTTGATCTTCCACGTACTAGCCATCGTCCCGTGAATATTGCTGGGCTCGACCGGGTCGCGCAGAAATAAGTGCTGAAGTTGAACACCCCCTTTGCTGGCTTCCATTCGATCGAACACGCGCATGATGCCTTTGCGCGTGTAAAAGGATGACAGCTCGTCTTCACTGCCATCGTTGTACGTCCGCAACAGAAGCAGAGCCAAGGGAGCGATGCCCACCGCTAGAGCGGTAGCCACGGACGAGCCAGAGACCGTGGAGCCCACATTCCCCAGATAAAACGGCGCGGATGCCTCCAGATCCTCGCCCGGGATACTAACATCCACCCGAGTATGGCGATCTGTTTTGGAGGTCAGGCCGCCCCAGCTATCGGTGGCGCTCACGCTGACGACGTGTTCTTTATAGTCCACTGGGTACGCGGGTCCGCCAAACGCTCCTTCGTCGGCCGTCGAGCAGAACATCAGAGTTGGGCGGCGTCCTTTATCCGTCTGGGCAGCCTCTTTAACCGCTTTCTCGAGCTCTTCCTCATTTTTCTTCGTCACCCAGCTCATCGAGATGATATCAACCTTCTGCTCCACGGCCCAGTGGATCGCCTTGGCGGCCTTCTTGGGATCAATGTCGGCGCGGCCTTTGCCCACTCGTGCAATGTACAGCCGGCAGTATGGGTTGATCTGGCCAATTAAGGAGGCCATCTGAGTCCCATGGGCGTCGGCAACCATCCACCAGGGCCGCGGTGCTTCCCCTAGGAGATCCGATGACACATACGAGATCCCCTTCTCAATCATCGATCCAATGGGCGATCGAATCTTGTCCGCTCCATTGTCAATGATGGCGACCTTGATCCGGCGATCGGGCTCGGTGGCGAAGACGTGGTCGTAAAGCTTCAGTGCAAGCTGATCGGGTGGTAGGAGTTTCTCAAACTCCTCTCTCGGTATTGACGTCTTTGATTCATGCCGATGCTTGATCTTGACCGATCTCTCCAGCAGGATATCAGTCGCCCGGGCAAGCTGTGCGTCCATGAAGGACCGGCATGGGGTTAAGAGGCTGGTGAATTTGTGCCTATTGTGCGCCGCACCGCGTTAGTAAAAGACTCGAATGCCGTCTGCCCATCATCGCTGTAAGAGGGAAGGGAATGCTTACCGAGGAACTTGCACAGTGGGCTCTTCCATCTCTTGGAACGGACGGGGATAGTCCCACCGGGAATCGGTCCGAACAGCCAACTCGAAGCGGTAATTTAAGGAAGGATTGTTCTTGTTCTGCTTCTTCTTCGAATCGTGGATCTTCGTGAGGCTACTTTTATACGTAGCCACAAGACTCCGATAGTACTCCCTGGTGACTTTGTCGTGGGCGCCCTTGTCATGAAAAGAAACTTCGTCAGCCCTCTGACAGATTGGCAACAGGGGATCGGGTACCGACAGGTCAAAGGACAACGATACTTACATCGGCAGTATTGAGATGAACAATATCAATGGTTACCTTTTCCAGCTGGTTCGTGCGGTGTATAAGCATCAATCATCCCTTCGGCACGCGCGGGTAGAGTACGAACCTTGGGGAGTTTGGCTAGGCCCTCTTCGCTAATCCAATGATAGAGGACACTCCAATTGCCGCTGGAATAGAGGTTCAACTCCCTGAGATGTTCTCGGGTATTGGAGGTCGGCATTCTCCTCGGCCCTCTGGTCGTTAAATCGCTCGTGCCCGACACGCTTGAAGTCAAGATGTCAAGGTTGATATCCAGTTTCCGCCAATCCAGCGCCTTGATCGTAAACTTATCAAGAACATACAGCGCTATGAAAGCATCACTGAGCGGGTTCAAGCTGTTGTCAGGAATATAGAGTCTGTTGACCGTCTTGACGCCTTGACGTTCCCCAAGCCAGTTGAAAAGCTTTCGGATCGTCTCTTGCGAGCATGGCTGTTTCACATAGTTCAGGTCTGGTAGGTTCACAAAGAAAAGAGTGTCTTCAAATTGTACCATTCCCGGAAGACTGGAAATGGGTTCTTCGTCGTCAGATTCCTCACCCATCTCTTGCTGGCGGGGAACGATATCTGTAAGCCGCTCCACAAACTTCTCAAAATCATGAGAGGAACGATTAAAGTCGGACATGTCCAGGCACAGCTCGCTCACTAGAGATTCGTCAACGGGCGTCAAGTTGCGCTGCGGCTAATCCCAACTCACCTTCTGCCGAGTCTCCATAAAGGGCTGTGGTGGCATCCTGAATGCTCTTTGCATGCTTGAACACAAGTGTCTTCAGTCGCTGGACAATTGGATCCTCCCCGAGCCGGTTCCTCACGTCCCAATACAAAGAGCCGGTTTCGGCGACAGCTTTGAGGACTTTGGGCAAGATCTTCTCGTGATCCTTTCTGTTACAGAGCTCGTCCAAGATGTCTTTCCTCATGAAGCCCTGGTTCAGGCCCAGAGAGTCGGCTCGGCCGCTCTGCCTATAAGTCGGATTCGGGACCATTTCTTCGTCACCATCTTGCTGCTGCACCAACCCCAGGTGGATGGGCGTATAATTTTCTGAGTCGGTCTTGGTGAGAGCCCTTGGAGAGCAAACAGCTACAAAAGCAGATGCAAAGGGAAGACGAGCTTGCAGCGCTCGATGGACCACATTTTGCCCCTCCTTCTCCTTCTCGACAGCCTCAAAGACCAAATTGACCTTCTCAAGCCGTTCCCGCGGCAGACTCAAGAAACAAACCAGAAACCAAAAGTTCTTCACGTCAATGGCGAAGTGAAGTGGTAGTCGATTGGAAATGTCGCTTTGTAGCTGGTTTCGGTTGTCCGGCGTCTTACTAAACGTGTCCCTGAAGTGATCTAGCAACCACGAGAGCAGATCCAATCCCGCCCGGGACGCCCATATACTCTGTTCCCGTTCCTCCTTCGTCCGCGGGTTGTCGTGCTTGATCAGGAGAAGAACCGCCCTGTCCCCTTCTTTGCCAAAGGCGGACGTGTCCCGAATATAATTCTTCAGGTCGGAGGTTGACGACTCGTCCCACTTGGAGATCGCCTTGGCTTTACTCACTAGCTGCCTGACTGCATCGGGCGGTGAAATAGAGGTGGCTCTAAATGAAAGGCCCCTGGCCGAGCCAGTCTTGAAAGACTCTTTGGAGAGAGTAGTACGCGACATGGGCTTCGATCTTGCTTCGGTGATCTTTGGGAAACACTGAATTGGCACAGATTGAATTCGTTCCGCGACATATGTATGGATGGAAATAAAAGAGCTAACATCTGCTGCTGGAACCCCCTATAGCTGACGCAGGATCGAGCTTATTGGTTACCTTTCGGCCTTGACAATTATCTTCTGTATTGCAGCAACGGACGGTTCGAATTGCTCTTTTCATGATCCACATAGATACCCCTGCACGATAGTCACAAAGACCCCACACGCTCGACATGGACACCTGCAGCTTCTCAAAGCCATCCCGGCCCGTTCTCAACCTGACGGGCATACGCAACCTCATCCTGGGGCAAGTATTGTCGAGCTTCTTCCCGATGAAGCTCAGCCAATCGTTCGTACAAGGCTGCCATCTTTCGATGCCGCTCCATCCGTGCCATGCCAGACTCGCGCTGCAGGACCGACCTAGCTTCCAGCCTCGTCGAATCATCCGACCCATGGGGAGGGGTACACACAGTGCCATCATCTCGGCGCGTGACTATCTCTTGCATGGAGCGATTCACGGTCTTAGCAGCACTAACGCAGGCTGACACGTCTGTGGTCGCGCTCTCCGCCGCATCGGACGGGCTGACAGTTTGGGTGGCTGGCTGCGATCTGAAGTTTGCCAGTCGAGCCTCCTCAGGAAGATGGAGGCCTATCTCCTTGATCGACTTCATGACATCGTCCTTTGAAGCCGCACTCAGGTTGTGTCTGTCGATGCCATTCGGCACCTCGGTCGACTCCTGGCCAGTGCGAGGGCCATAGGTTCCCAAAACCGTGGGGTTTTTCTTGCTGCGGAAACCCGATGGAATCAGCCGTTTCATCTGGTCGCGGAGATTTCCTATCTCCCCATCCACCTTAGCCATGATTTGGAAGGAAGACGTCGCCGGTCGACGAATCAGCAGTGCCACTGTGAAACTATCTCCAATCCCGGAATCCTTGATGTCTGCAGCTCGAATACGCCACCACACCTCGTTGGTCTTGCCTAGGGGAGCTGGCGGGCTGCGGCCAAACCCCGACTCGATCTGCAGGACGTGTTGTTTTTCGAACTCGGTCCTCTTGGTTCGCGAACCCTTGATGCCTGGCGAGAACCCCATCACGTCCAGTTGCGCATTGCCCTCCCATGTCCGCTCCAATGTCTCATTGGTCGTGCGCACTTTGATGTACTCGGCCCCGGCAGAGTTGGGCTCATACGAACGGAGGATCGGCACGTTCCGCGGCTCATCCAGACGTCCGTCGGGCAAAATGGTCAGAGTAACATCGAAGGAGAGTAAGCTCTGCTTGGGGTCCGTGGATTCAGGAATTATCTTGAAGACCACCAAACTGGCATCGTTGGTTGACGTCGATTTGTAGTCCCCATGCACCTCGTAGAGGACCTGAAACTTGACAGTGAAGTTGGAGTATTGGACGCTCGATTGCTGCTCGGGAAGATCGCTTTTGACCTCCGCCGCACCTGGAATATAGGTTTCGAGTTCGAGAGTGACTGGCTCCATTTCCGTCGATGGCTCAGGGCGACAGCTTCAGCCACCAGCTGATCCTATATACTGCAACCCGTCGGGCTATCTCTGCGCTCATTCCTGCCACGGGTCTGCCCGCCCCCATCACCTGGCAGGTTTACGAACCTTGTGCAAACTCCCGATCGGCCGGGAATCTGGAGATGGTTGTCCAGTGAGCATCCATATCCTCAGCTGGACCTGACACGCCATCCCACTCGAGCGGGGAAAGTTGCTGGCAGTCTGCATGTCAGCAAACACCAAGCACATCGCGTCTCAATGGCTACTTCGGATCCTGCTGATAAGCCACAGGTCTGGTCTGACCACACCCATACTGCAGGTAGGACGTGTCCGATCAGCGGCAAAGCCCATCCTCTCGAGCTCTTGCGGTACAAAGGTTGAGTAGCAGCTATAGCCGTGGTTTCTTTCATCCTATCCTTGAGAGTCGATAGGCTTCCTAGGCGTGGATGTCGTTTGAAACGCCGTTCCAGCATGTCGGACTTCAAGGCCCAACTCAAGTTGATCTATGGCAAGCCAAAGAAACCACCGGGACATGAGAGCGCTCGCCAAATCCAACAATATCAGTGAGTTACGACTCCCTTTAGAGCCGTCCAGGTCTCATCTAATTCAACAGCATTGTTGCTGTTCATGGTCTAGGCTATATTGATTGTCCGGAGAATGCCTGGACGGAAGGGCAAACGGCCTGGACATCGGATCTCTTGCCGCTCCATTCCCACTGTGCGAGCGTGATGAGATTTGATTATTCCTGCCCTTCGCTTGGAACTGGTGTGTCAGTTAGCGATGTCCAAACACTCGCAAGGACCCTCCTAGATGAGCTCATCAAGCTTATCCATGATTCGGTATGTCTCGTTGGGACCCTGTCAGCGTCGATGATAATAACAGGAGGCCTGCTTCTTCCGGATCAAGCCTGACCGTATAGTCCTCATCGGCCATGATCTAGGCGGACTTGTCATAAAACAGGTAGGGCTGTTACTCACAAGCTGCCCAATTAGTTCTTCTGCTAAGCAATCTGTGTTAAGGCTTTGTCCATCGCATTGGTGGCGCAGCAGTATAAACATATTTCTGCCATGACCTCCCTTCTCGTGTTCTTTGCAACCCCTCACCGCGTACGATCATCGGAGAGTGTCGCGAGCTGGATGTTATTTGTCGCCGGTGAGGATCGCGACTATGAACTATCTTGGTTCTCTAAAACGGCACACATGTTAGAGACCGTCAACGCGACGTTCGAACCATTCAAAATGATTTATAAGTCGGTCAGCATTTTTGGTACCCATCCCACGGGAGGGCAAACGTTAGAAAATGATAGAATGAAATGGCGGGTGAGCTTCACCTCAATGCCCTCTTCTTGTCAGCATGGACTAATCATGACCAAAGGGTTTGGATGCGTACTCTGCAACAATGGGGCTGCCTGGGGAGAGAATGATCGACCGGAATGAAGCACATAGCAGACTTGCTATCTTCACTCGCGAGACAGATCCCGCGTTCGAAGCCATCTGTCAGGAAGTGAACCGGTCCAAAAGTTGGTCGATCCTCATCCGCAGCAGTGACTTGATGATTAGAAGGTTTCTAATACAAGACCCGCGCTCTAGACCCTGGATACCCCTTTGTGAACTGCCTTGACCACCTGGCACTCTTCTTCCGGCAGGACGAGATGGAGTATGGCCAAGACCTACTTGAAAGCGGCATTTCCAGCCGACAAGCTCTGGATCAAATACAAATCAACGGCGTGTATCAATCGTGGTCAGCTTCTCAACACGGAGCCCTCGTCATCCGTGGACGCTTGAATGCGGACTCTGTCTTAGCTCTATTGCAGACTGCACCACGGCACAAGATGACGACTCTCACTTGCAGATTCAGGTCGAGGAGTCATATGCACGGTTCAGCTCAACTGCCGGCCTTTCTTTGTCACCAGCTCCTTTGTCTAGCACCTCAGCTCTTCCCGTGTGTGCAGCTAATGGTTGAAAATATTTCCGAGGAAACAAATTGGCCCGACAGTCTTTGGATATTGTTCCGCTCCCTTCTAAGCGGTCCAGTTGAGGGAGTCCTTGTGTGCTTTGTTCAAGATGTGGAAGGGATCCCAGATGGATACATGGCACTGCGAAAACTCTTGTCCTTTGCTGATAACGCCATGTTTCCATTCAAACTCCTAATGACGACATCGCCTGAGCACGCCGTGATGGGTGAGCTGAAAACTCCCGACACTAAGCTTGTGACGATTCAACAGACCTCGGACTTTGCAGAAATTGTCAAATGTGAATTGGATACGCTTGTCTGCAGACGCCCCGATCTCCTCAAAATGAGGGAACCCGTCGAGTCTGCACTGATCAGTCGTTATCGCGCCATGACAAGTCTACTCAATCAATCATCAGCATCTATGGTTGACATGGTGCAAGCGTGGATTGCTCTCCTTGTTTTGCAATCTTCGCCTGCCACAAGGTCATCCATAAAACTATCATCGGAAAACCTTCCAGATTCTCTGCATGAATCTTACGTCAAAGTGCTGCAAAGCTGCAAAGCAAGTCCAGGAGGCTTAAAGTATCTGCATGCCCTCTTTTGGAGCTCTCGTGCCCTTCGTCCCTTGAGCACCCAGGAACTCGGCGTCGCCGCTGCACTTGATCTCAGTACGAAGGATATCAGTCATTTGGCGAATGAGATCCCACTCAATCTCCCATGGGACATCAACATGACCTTAAGTCCACTGGCCTATGTATCAAATGATGAGGTCCTGTTTTTGCAAGACTCGTTCGCACGCTTCATTGGGCTTCCACATGATGGGCCCTGCCAAAATAACTGTCTTTTGTGCCACGAAAATCATTCTATCATGGCCTTGAAGTGCTTACATTATATCGCCTTGATAGATGAGAAAGATTATTTTGCGTCGCAGCAAGAGATCGGCAAAGGAGGCAACAGTCCGTATAGTCTTCTGGAGTATGCTGTCCAGCACTGGCATCAGCATTACAAACTGGCCAAGAAGGCAGCAGAGGAAAGCCGAGGCCATTTACCTGAATTCGACCCCTATCTCCACGATGAAGCGTTGATTCGGAAATGGGCGCACCTCTTTTGCTCATGCCCTCATCCCGTAAAGCAAGCTGTATGGGTTGACCCGATGCTCGTATCTGTCGAGATTGGGTGTGTTGACTTGGTCAAAACGTTGCTCAATTCTTCGTCCCGCGCTCCGGAAATCCTAAACACTGCACTTGAGATTGCCATTGGCGACGGTGATGGAGAGCTAGTCAGCCTTTTCTTAGAACACGGGGCAAAGAGCACCGATGTTTTGCACCTGGCCGCTCTATCGGGTAGCCTGACGATGCTCTTGCGGTTTCCGCATGTAAAAGACGACCTGGCTTCCGTCGGGACTCATGGGTTGACTCCTCTCCATTTTGCCTGCAAGGGCGGGAGCCGTGAGATGGTGTACACCCTCATCGAAAACGGGGCCGACGTGAATGTGAAAGGCCAAAAAAGTGGGAGTACACCGCTGCATCTTGCCTGTCAATACGGCCATGGCGATGTCATCTCCCTGCTTCTGGAGAAGGAAGCTGATCCCAACGCCGAAGATGAAACTGGACTGACACCGCTACATGTCGCAACCATGTGGCAGCAGCCGCTTGCTGTTCGCGTTCTGGTCGAGTCAGCTGTCTCAGTTGACTATAACACCACCGCACTACATGTCGCTGCAGGGACAGGGCGGCTGGACATTTTCAAGCTTATATTACACCACTGTACCCAGACCAAGGGGCCCGAAAATGAGGACGACTGTGTCGTCCTTTCAAACCGGGATGAGACCGGTGCCACACCATTGCACCGAGCAGCGTCGGGAGGCCACGCAGAAGTCGTACGAGCGCTCCTTTCTTTGGAAAAGGACCCCGGATCTGGCGCCGTATTGACATTGGACTATGACAGATGCCTGCCTCTTCATCTTGCAGCGCGATCGGGCCATCTTGAGGTGGTAGACTGCTTGCTGGAACATGGTGAGGCTTCAACGCAGCTCCAGACAGAGGGGGGAGCCGGAACATACGCCATTCATTGGGCCGTGCTGGGCGGCCATGTCGACGTAGTCAAGAAGCTGTGTGAGGCTCATGAGAATAGACATGTGTCTTTGAATTTGTTCTGCGGGGAAGACAATGGGAGTCCGTTGCATCTAGCTGTCAAAGGTCACCAGGTGGACATGGTCAAGCACCTGCTGTCCAGCAAAGCCACACCAAACATCATGGATGCAAACAATGCCACACCGCTCTTTTATGCCTGTCAAAACGGCCATCTCAAGATTGTGGATCTTCTTTTGGAGGACGAGGCCACCATTGACACGCCGAACAATCAAGACATCTCGCCACTCCTAGCCGCCACCGCAAACAACCACCCAAGGGTCGTGCAGAGACTCATCGAGAAACAGGCTCAACTTGATACCCAAGATCGGCATGGAAAAACAGCGCTTATGGCAGCGTGTGAAAGCGGCAATGTGCTTGTCGTTAGATGGCTTCTGGACGCTGGTGCGGACGTCACGGTCAGAGATGAGCATGGCCGCCAGGCGTTGCATGTGGCCGCAGAGTATGCCGGCAAAGATATTCTTGAAGCTTTGCTTGAGCTTCCCAATATCGATCCGTGTAGCAGGGACTCTGCCGGGAATACTCCGCTTCATCTAGCGGTTCAGTCCGCGTCAGGGGATCTAATCCCATCCATAGATGTGCTCATCAATCATCAAGCGCAACCTGATATGGAGAATAATGACGGCGAGTCACCGGTTGACCTAGCAATGACCGAACAAGTGGCTTTGAGTTTGGCAAAAGCCGCCCGGTTTGGCGGCTCCTCAGAATCAAGTTTATTCCAAAAACGCTTATTGCAGGTATCTGCCAAGAAAGGGTGGCTCGAAATTATCAAAGACCAGCCCAGGTCTGGAGTCGATATCACCGTTCAGGATGAGCAAGGTCGATCTCTATATCACTTGTCTGCGATGCATGGCCAGATTGATGTGATCAAATATCTCCTTCAAGCAACCATCCCTGGCCATGGTGGAACAGACGCCTCCAGGCGTACACCTGTCTCCTACGCCGCCGAGTATGGCCATCTTGAAGCTTTGAAGATGTTTGCTGATAGGGCTCCGGAGAGCTTGAATCAGTCAGACGAGGATGGCGAGTCCCCATTGTCATACGCGGTTAAATTACGCCATATTCACATCGTCAAACATCTCCTTGAAAACAAGGAATCCTTCGCAATTCGATTTGGAGCGGATGACGAGGAAGAAAGAGCAACCCGCACCTTGTACCATCTGGCTGCAGCCGGATCAAATGGATCCCCCGAAATTGTCGAGCTGCTGATCGCCCAAGACGTCCCCGGTTATGATGGGGTTGACGAGCGTAAACAGAGTCCCATTACGTATGCTGCGATTTATGGGAGCCTGGAAATCGCTAGGATCCTTGGGCGCGTGGCCCCTGGCAGCTTGAATCAAGCTGACGAGGATGGCAAGACCCCGCTTTTCCATGCTGTGGAGCAGGGCCACGTAAAATTGGTTGAGTATCTCGTCGGCGAAGGGGTTGACCTTGACGTCTCTGAGAAAAACGACGGACAGACAGCACTACACTGTGCAGCCCACAATGGCCGATGGGAAATAGTCCAGATCCTTTTGCGCTCCAACGCCGCCATAGACGCGCAGGATTCGAAGAAGCGAACACCTCTCTACCTGGCAACATATCATGGACACTTCGAAGTCGTATCGGCGCTGATCAGTCGCAACGCCAATCTTCATCTAGCCGACGAAGATGGATGGGAGCCTGTGTTTGTCGCCTATGACAATCACCAGATACTGGAAAGGCTGCTTGATTCCGGGGCCAACATCGACGCGAAAACTAACGGTGGTTTAACTGCTCTGCACGGAGCTGCGTGTGGATATACAGAATCGGTCAGCCTACTTCTCGCCCGGGGCGCAAATCCGTTGGAGACGACGGAGGAATTGTGGACGCCGCTCCATTATGCGGCTTCAAACGCCTCGGAAGCCGCTATTATCACTCTGTTGGTGAAAGGAATCCTGGAAAAAGGGGCCAACGCAGATGTGAGGGACCGTAGAGGTTGCACGCCTTTGATGATTGCCCTGGCCGAAGGTAGCCATACTGCAGTCGAAACGCTCCTCGAGTCGGGATTGTTTGATGTGAACAATGTGAACGATGATGGCCAGTCGATGGTGGACCTTGCCATAGGAAGATCTTATAGGACTTCCGTGGAACTGTTGATCAAATACGGCGGATCTTCTTTGAATCGGCGGCAGCTTGTGCAGGTCCTTGCCTGGGCAACACAAGCGAAACATGATCGCCTTCAAAAAGACGCTATTGTTGTCGCCCTTGAGAAAAGGCCTCTGGAGCCGTCACAGTTTGATGAGCTATTTGACATCGCTGTTGAGTGGGGTAATCCACCTCTGATCAACTTTCTCTTTGCGTGTGAACCGACCTCGAAACGCAAAGATGCGCACAATTGGACACTCCAACAAATCCATGCGTCTTTCTGTCTTGACACGGCCGAAGCAGGGCCTGACGACAATCATCTGGTGCCTACGGGATGGAGCTCGGACCACCAGGCAGGCGAGCTCATCATCATCGATAAGGAAGGACTAGGACTGGCTGTGCGACGGGATCAAGGGAAATCGCCAGCGGCGATTCTTGCTGACCACCCAGTGCCGTATCTGAGTAAATTCTATTTTGAGGTCGAAATTCTCAACCGCTCATCTGATATGTAAGTGTTCCTGCCTGCTCATCGAGATCAAGCCTTGGCTGATGTTTTCCGGGATAATAGGCTGGGAATCGGGTTCGGCCATCAGGATTGCGACCTCAACGCCATGCCCGGGTGGCGTGAGAACACATGGGGATACCATGCCGATGATGGGGGGTTTTTTCATGCAGACGGATGGCGTTTAGTGGAGAAGAGTGAGTGGATGTACGATACGGGTGACGTGATCGGGTGCTGCATTGATCTTGGCCAGCGCAAGGCTTTCTACACGAAGAATGGGCTTGATATCGGTAAGTCTGCTAGACTCTTCTAAGGATCTGCTGAGAATAACCCGTCAGGACCGTGTTTCACTACCATTACTGGCCAAGTCTACCCCATGGTCGCGCTGGGGCCAGGAGACCGGATTGTGGCCAACTTTGGACAATCCACTGTACCATTACAATACAGCGATGGGCGAGATCGGGAGTATCAAGCGGACGTTGAAATTGAGTCCGAGTCTTACCGCATAGCCGCTTGGCCGCAGGCCATTCGTTGATGACGCCGGGTGTGCCGGGAATAGCCTCCTCAGTTCCATGTTCGTCAGAGTTCAGGTTCCTCCCATATCTCTTTATCCTTAGTGATTTCGTATGCTCTAGTAACGCTGACTTGTGGTACAAGTCAGTTCCGACGGACATCCCTTTTGCGGTTGATGGGATGCAGGTCAAGGTGTGACAGGTACCGGGGGCTGCACCATTACTCCGTATAACGGTGGGATTGATTTACTAGAAGAGGTCTCATATGCTACAAATCAATGCAATAATTATCCACATTACCAGACATGAAATCCTCTACCAATTCAAAATAACAACATATAACTGCAGACGTACAGCTCATCAATGGTCGTGATACAAGCCGAGCAGTGGTTATAGAACCAACTAGATATCACGTGACACAAATCAACCTCAGGCACCAAACTAAACCGCATCGGCATCTCATGATCGACCACTCTGAGCTCATCCATCGCACCAGCAAAAAAGTTCCCTCTCCCACAATCGAAGCCAGACCTCGCAACAATGGCCTCGACAAGATATCTCCCGCACATGCTGAGCCGCTCCTCGCGCTCCATGCTTTCCGCCATCGAAGCCCCATCCACCACGACCGTCCGATCGACGCCCATCCTCCGCTGTCTCCGCTCCTCCCCAGCAGCCTCAGCCTCATTCGCATCGCGTCGTGCATTCCCCCCAGCCAATGGCTCCTCGCTGCAGCAGCGGTCGTTCACGACGTCAGCGGTGCGCAGCCGCGCCCGCACGATGGGCCAGCTGAAGGCGCGCAACTCGACCGGTCCGTTCTCGTGGAAGGCAGCGCTGCTGTTCGTTATCACGGGCGCCGGGATGATCGTGTATTTCCGCGTGGAGAAAGAGCGGCTGGAGCGGAAGCGGATTGCAGAGATGAGCAAGGGCGTCGGCCGGCCTAAGGTCGGTGGGCCGTTTGTGCTGAAGGATCTGGATGGGAAGGAGTTTACGGCGGAGGATTTGAAGGGTCGATACAGTTTTGTACGCTCCCTCTCCCCATGCATCTCGATTCCTCTTTGGTCGGGAGTGAAAGTGTGGGCGAATTCAGGCTAATGCGTTGATGTGTGTGGCAGGTGTACTTCGGCTTCACGCACTGCCCGGATATCTGCCCCGACGAGCTGGACAAGATGGCCGAGATCATCGACAAGGTGAAGGAGGCGACCAAGGGCGAGAACATCTTCCTCCCCGTGTTCATCACCTGCGACCCGGCGCGCGACACGCCCGAGGTGCTGCGCTCGTATCTGCAGGAGTTCCACAAGGACATCATCGGCCTGACCGGCACATACGATCAGATCAAGCACGTGTGCAAGCAGTACCGCGTGTACTTCAGCACCCCGCGCGACGTCAAGCCCGGCGAGGACTACCTCGTCGACCACAGTATCTACTTCTACCTCATGGGTGAGTGGCCCCAACTCCTGCGAGACACGAGCGATGCTGACGTGACGTCTGTAGATCCCGAGGGCGACTTCGTCGAGTGCATCGGACGCCAGGACACGCCCGACTCGGCGACGAAGGTGATCATGGAGCATATCAACGACTGGAAGCGCGAGGGCAAGCCGCTGAAGACCGAGTAGGCAGTCGGTACTCAGCCGTGGATCTGTACGATAGAAATACCCTACTCCTCGATGTACCGATAGTGTAGAATACATTCATATGAATATGGACATGGTATCTCGCTCCCGACTCCGCAACTCCCTCTCCCAATACAATATTTCACGAAATAGGCTTCCCCTCCGCATCCCGATCCCGATTCGCCCTCCACTCCGCGCCCCCATCCACAAACTCCTCCATCTTCCAAATCTCCGCTTTCTCCTTGCACCGCTCCAGCACCTCCTCTCCCGCGCGCCACGCCGCCCCGCGATGCCCCGCACTCACCGCGATCACAATCGACGCCTCCTTGATGGGCACGACGCCGAGCCGGTGCGCGATGACGATCCCCAGCAGCCCGTGCTTGGATACCGCGTCGGCGGCGATCGCGCGCAGCGTCTTCAGCGCTAGCGGCGGGTACGCGGTGTAGCTGAGCTGCGCGACGGGCCGGTCTTCGAAGGTGTCGCGGGTTGTGCCAAGGAAGAGGACGTTGGCGCCGGCGGCGGCCGAGGAGACGTGGGCGAGGGCGCGGGAGGGATCGAGCGGGGCGTAGGTGAGTTCGAGGTGGATGTTTTGGGCCGGATCGGTGAGGGTGCGTGGGTAGGTTGATGGGTCGAGGTGGGAGGGTTGGGTTGTTTCTGGTTCTGTTTCTGGGTGGGTGGTGGACATTTTGTCTTTGCTTGTTCTTCCAAGGCTGGGTCGCTAGGAGAGGGGTTGTCGATTGCGTGGATTGTTCTGGTAATGCGATTGGAGTGGGATTGATCGAGGGAGGCGCAGTACGAGGGAATGACGTCTGTTATGAGAAGTGTAGGATTGAACGTATGAGTGTTTGTGAATGAGGAGCGAGGACGAGGATGAAGTGTATCGAGATGAGGGGACGTTATCAGTGCGGAGAACCTCAGGCAGCACAGTCGCTGCCTTACGATAAGCATCAGCATCTTTCTACATTGCTCAACCACAACCATCCTGATACTGTCTTCTATTCAAGTACATATCCACGCTTCAATATCCCATCTCCTCGAAACCTACCCGATCTCATCTTACATATGATCCTTAAGAACAATGTGCATGTACCTGTCGACATGTTAGCCTACACCTACAACATCCCAGCGGAAGACGAGACACTCACGAGCTCATCCCAAGCAACGCCATAAATATCCCAAAAATACTCTCGCCCATGACGACATGACCACTAGACGCCCAGCCCAGTCCAACAATAACGCAGGACTTGAGCTGCGCAACAACCGTGGAGCTCACAGCCCCAGCCGTGTCGATGATGAAGAACCCAGACAAATTGACTATGCTGGCCAGAATACCGCTCTACAGCATATTAGCATGCGCCATTGAACAGCCACAAGAGATAAAGGGAGCCACGCACTAGCAAAATCGAAAACCACATCGACCCCGGCACAGAATATACACTCGGCGGACTCTCCATCCACGGGATCGCAAAAAGCAACAATCCCGCACTCACCGGCGCCTGGTTCAGCAGGAGCTGCATGCTACTCATATCCAGTTTCCGATGATAATGGCCGATCCACACCACGTAGATGGAACTGGCGCCGACGCCCGCGAACGCAAACAGCACGCCCCAGAACGATGTGGTGGCCTTCCCGTCGTCCTTTGGGAGGGAGTCATAGTAGGAGACGACTCCTACCCCCGTGCAGAGGAGGGCAAGCGGCAGGAACGCGGAGCGGGGGATTTTGGACCCGTAGAGGATGTAGTTCAGTCCGGCAACGACGGGTGTTAGGAGGAGCCGCGAGAGCTGGTGGAACATCACCGAGGAGTGCGCCAGGCCCAGGTTCTGGAGTACCACTTGGATGCACATTGCCGCTGATAGGGGCAGCATCTGTGGGAGAGTAGCTTCCTTAGGCACGAACAGCCCGCACGAGGAACGGGACGCAGCCCATAGTGTGCCGGCGGTGATCAGGAAGTGGTATGCGGCGAAGGTGACCTGGCAGTTTCCGAAAGACGGGTTTGAGAAGATAGATTTGTTGAGGAATACCTTTACCGGTGTTAGAGGTATCTCGTTTCATGTGAGGAGGCAGGTAAGCTTACTATTGCTACTGTGGAAGCAATGTTGACTCCGGTCCATATCAGGAAGCGAGATCCCCCAGCCTGGGCGTCATCCTGTTTCTCGAGATCATGGAATTCGGACTGGATATCGCATTCTCGGGGGTCGCTCTCTGCCGTGTGATTCAGCAGATGTCTGGTCTCTGCGCTTTCATCCCTCAAATTTGCTGTCTTGTCAATCATATTTCACTCGGTGCTGATTGACATCGTCGGTGCATGTTGGCTGTGGGAGAATAAGTGGACCAGCGCATGCTAAATACTCAGAAAGCATGGGGGCAGTGCAGTCCATTTCCAAGGGCTGTCAATACATCACCAGGACCCAGATGTGACAGACCACCAGCGACCAGATATCGCTATAGGTGGAATGCTGGGGTAGCATTCCACCGCTATGGGGTAGCCGAACTGACGAATATCGCATTGACGTCAATGAGCTTGGGCTAGCTGCCAGAGGACAACGAAGCCATACACCCCCAGAGAGATATACATGTTCCTGGACTGCAACTTGTATCCTGATAATTATAGTCTACGAAGCCTCCGTCCAAATCATAAACGAAGGACAAGTGGCCTGCAGAAGCAGACATGTGCAGCATCCAGGCCACGACTTTTCTTGGTTTGCCAGGGACCTGAGTGATGGAACTTCGATCCACATCACTTCTAGGCCCTGATGGCATTCCGCATTAGGCGACGTTGCAGGAACCGAGCTTGTCATCGCGGGGAGCTTTGACGTACACCATCATAAGGCTTGATTATATTTGTAATTGCTTCTGCTGTTTTCATACGCCTTCGGAGCTTGCTTACTCACATCCTACTCTGCACTGTCCAGATAGGCTGTGTTCAGCGATATATTCATAGGTAATTTACAATACTCTAGTCCACTCCCCGCCATGCATACGTCTATGCTAATCTATTTTAATAGAACTATTGATCCTGATTTGGAACGAGGAAACCCCCAGGGTATTCCATATCCCCCAATATCACCTTCTTCTTAGACCATGGATCATCAGTTTCCTGCCACTGGGAATATATTGTATCGTCCTTGGCCACCAAGTGATGAATATTCAGCCTCGTACTGTAGACCATATTCCACGACATGGCAGGATGATAGTCCCCACTGTCGTAGGTCTCAATATCGGAATCCCTCGAGCTTCCCCCAGCAGGCTTGTACGTCCCGATTAGATTGGGAAACGGTGCATAGCATCGCAGGTGTGGACGGTTCTTCCCTGCACACAAGTCGCTCATCGCATTATCAACCGGCATATCCAAGTAATCCACCGAGAGCGCCGCAAGAATGCGCCGCGCACCCTCCAGAGTGACAGCGTACCCGTACAGACAGCAGCCCATGTTCGCTCGATATATGTATCGAGTCGAGTCCTCCGGTAGCTCGGGGTGCTTCGCTTTCCATCCATCCGACGGACCGCCCCAGGTGCCTCGATGCTTCACGCTTGGAGTGGTGGGATCGTTCGGGATGGCGTAGATGTCTGTCTCGTTGTCTGCGGCACCGCTGGCGCAGCCTCCGACCCATAACATGTCCCAGTTTGTGCCATAGGGAGCATCCTTTGAGGGGTTCGGGTTGTCGCTTAGTGTGCGCACACCGCGGGCGAATTCGCGTAATTGCTCCCGCACCGATACGTCCCAGTCGGCGTCGTCTTCCATGATAAGCGCGGTGCCGTATCCGTTTTCCACGACGCTGAAATGCGTGTTAGTGGCGGTTTATAATGCTGTTCCGGTGGATGCTTACTCGCGGAGAGCGTTCATGTGGGCTCTCCAGCATGCGGCTACCGTTGGTTTCCAGAAGGATATATCAAATTTCTATGGCAGTTAGCAACGCTGAGATCCTGGGGAGATACCATCAGGCTCTCACCTCAGGTAGGGCTTTTTCGACTAGACTCTCGGGGTCGCACGCCGTCCAACCATTTGACCTTCATTCCATGCACTGAAGCTGCCAGGGTAAGAAAGTCACGTTTGTCTGTTCGCTCTTTCAGACCTATCGCATATATCTTCTCGAACTGTTGCAGGGTTCCAATTAGCCATGCTGGTGAGTCTAGTCCATGCGAGCCTTACGCCTAAAGTCTCGTTCTTAATATGATCATATGTCGTGTCTTCAGTCAGGCGATGTCGGCTAGCACGAATCAAGTCCTGCGTTGACCTGTATGCGTTTCGATCGGTGACGACTATCGTAAAGAAAATGTAGATGCAGAGAACAGCCGCCACACTCTTGATGAGCGTGGCGCTCCATCTGGTCATGGTGATCGCCATACCAGTTAAGGCGAGAAAAGACCGAGATGAGAGGCTCCAAAACCTGGACAGAAGGGTCAAAACAGATAAACTGAATCCCTGTCTCTACTCAGTGGATATACAGCTTCCTGCTGAAGCTGTATATCCACTAGTCGAATGACTTCCTGTTTGAAAACGGACGCATGATCCATTCACACATTGGTAGCCATTGATGCTTGGATCTCCATCGCCAAAGGCCCACTAGTGGGGTAGCATCGATAGTAGTGATCGAGGTCGGGGCTTTGTACAGATACAGTATTTGCTCTATCAGCGGCAAGACATGCTCTGGACGCCGAGGGAAGACGATTGGGCTGCGTATATTAATCGGGAGGAATGTTGCATTCCAAACAGCGGTCTGGAACAAAGACAGCATAGTGCGTCTGGTTATTGAACCAGTACATACAGTCTTGTAAAATATCCATGGGTCCATCAGGAACTGCCATGTCCGCGTTTGGAAATTTCCATTTCCGGCCTCTAGCTGATCCTATGAAAGAGGCGAGTTGGCACAATCAATACAGCTATACCTTCCGATCTATCGCCCATGTTACTCCATGTTAATCTGTTTTAATTAATGGTGTAGAATTCTGCATTTGGTCCTACGTCTTAGGTATTGTGCGGAATCTTACATCTCCAAGTAAGGAGCCAGACCAACCTAAAGTAAGGTAGGCTGCTGATAGTTACCGACAGTTCGGCGGTGAATGGACGGACTCAGTCGGGATGCCTTATGGCATGCTATGGCTATCTATAATCCTCGTGCTAATATGGCTATATTTGAACACCCGCAGATATTGTGCACGTTTCTACGTCCAGTAATCGATAATGTACCCCTGGAGCTCTGGTAATCTCATGCGAATCATCTCCATGGCACGAACTTGATGGGGCCAGCCACTGGGTCTAACGCAAGGACGCATCGACCCTCTCAACCTTGCCACATAGATCATGCCATGCTGACTGCGCCATGACATGTGCAGCCTGTAAGAAGGATCTATCAGAGAAGGATAGTCAATATGCTGGTGCTGGCTGCGACACCAGTGGAGCAGGCACATTCCAATGCATTCATTTCCCTGCAGTGGACGACATATCATCCCTCCATTCGGGGTTATTCGGAATTAGCAACTCAACCAGTGCATATTGCGCGACTTGATAGAAACCATTCTATTCGTATGCCATTATCGTGGGCGTGGGTAGCTGACTGCATGGAAAGGCGGAAGACAGGCGGAGATATTGGATGCATTCTAGTCAGTTGCGAATGCAATTCACAACCAGACCGACCGCATCTCGTAAACGATGACAACATGCAGCCTTCGAAGTCAGAACAATGAATCAAGACTTGCAGATAGCCATACCTCAGCACGTCTTCTGTCCAAGATCCCTGCAATTGAGGTATCACGACATACGCCAAGGTCGTAATCCGCCGTTCAAATAGCAATCCACATCCATGCCGATGGATGTCTATCATACAGATGACACGTCAGTGCTCTCAGCCGCTTTTCGACACGAGAAACCCTGCAAGGAGGTGCCATCTTGGCCAATATAAGCAGATAAGCAGGTATGATTTGGGAGGATAGAGAGATTATAAATTGTCCTGGGAGCAGCATCAGAATCGTTTCTTCCATACCAACAGACATCGAAGCATCGCATAGTGTATCTTGCAATCTTATAAATAGTTCCTTTTCACCATGACAAAAAGTATCATCGCTTCTGAGCCTCCCAGCGCCGAATCGTCCGGCAGGCTACCCTGGAAGATATTGGGACAAACGACCGGATTCCCAAACCAAGACCAGGAGCTCTGGTGGCTAAACACAGCCCCTCTGCTCAACGAATTTCTGGCCGAGTGCCAATATGACGTCCACTTGCAGTACCAATACCTCACGTTCTTCCGCCACCATGTCATTCCTGTTCTAGGGCCCTTCTTTGCCCCAGGGACGACTCCAAACTTCGCCAGCAGACTCAGCAAGCACGGCCACCCTCTTGATTTCAGCGTCAATTTCCAGGAGTCCGGTGCAACAGTCCGAATGAGCCTGGGGGCCATCGGTAGCTTTGCTGGCTTGCAGCAGGATCCGTTGAACCAGTTCAGGGCGAGAGAAGTTCTCGACAAGCTAGCCATCTTGTACCCAACCGTGGACTTGCAGTTGTTCAAACACTTCGAGTCTGAGTTTGGCATCAACCACGCCGACGCGCTGAAGGTAGCAGCCAAGCTCCCTAAACTAGACCGGGCAACGAAAATGATCGCGATTGATATGTTAAAGAACGGGTCCATGACATTCAAAGTCTACTACATGGTTCGATCTAAGGCGGCTGCAACTGGACTCCCTGTGCATACCGTCCTCTTCAACGCCGTTCAACGTCTGGGATCAGCATTTGAGCCTGGATTGTCTCTGCTGAAACAGTTCCTCTCTCCGCTATGTGATGCTGGGGAAACGGATCTGGGTCTGCTGAGTTTCGATTGCGTTCCTACCGAATCCTCACGCATCAAGCTCTACGCTATCAAGCAGGTCGGGTCCCTGGACGCCATCCGGAATCTCTGGACCCTCGGGGGCACTATGGATGATCCGACGACTATGAAGGGTCTCGCAGTACTGGAACATGTTTGCGAGCTGCTCCAGTTCGGCTGGTCAGGCGATTCCCGTGTCCAGCCCATATTGTTCAACTATGAAATTAAAAAGGGATCGACCCCGAAGCCACAGATATACATCCCTCTAGCCGACAGATATGACGAGTTCGACGCTGCCAAACTGAAGGCAGTTTTCCAAGATCTGGACTGGAAGCGAGTCCCATTCTATCAAGATACTGGGAAAGACTTGGCTTCAGTTTTGTAAGTGCTCCTTCATCACGTCTATGGATTAACTGGCTGACAATTTTCTGAGCCCAACTGTTGATCTGGGTTCTACCACAAACGTTCATCGTTGGCTGTCATTCTCTTACACAGAAGCCAGAGGGCCTTATATGAGTGTCTACTACGATGTAGTCCATCCTGAGTGTGGTCCATCCCTAGACACCGTCCGTTTTGAGCCTCTGAAGAAGTCTATCGAATGACGGTTTTCGTTCATGTCTGGCGTTGAACACCTTGAAGAGGACTAACCAGAAAAGCCACAATCTAAATATCTTGTTGATCTGTCCTGCAACTTCCAAGTCCCGCATAGCCGTGGGAGTATCCTCGGACCTGCTGTCCCACCCGAGCATCTAGTCTATGAACTACACCAGCAGGACGACTGCCTCGTAAGGCTGGAGCAGCCATTTGCTCCCCGAAAACCTCTGCTTTGCGGACTCTGCTGGCTCATAAGTGTTCAGCAAGACGTCTCGTGCGCCCTTCACCCCGTTGGCCGCAGCATCCCACTCAAGACTATTCTCAGTCCAGTTCGCCAGAACCAAAGCTTTCTGATCCCCATATTGACGGCTGTAGGCAAACACCGCCTGGCTATCCCGATCAACGAGCTCGTAGTTCCCGTAGACAAAGATGTCCAGGTATTTCTTCCGGAGGCCAAGCACAGCGGCCCAATAGTGATATGTGGAGTTCGGGTCGTTGACTTCGGCCTCGGCGTTGATGCGCACATAGTCGGGGTTGACCGACATCCATGGCTTCACATCTGGACCGGTGAAGCCACCATTTGGTGCTGAGGTCCACTGGACAGGGGTCCGGCCGTTGTCGCGGGACTTCTTCTGGTATTCTTGTCGAGCGATGGCCTGCGCCTCTGTGTCATTGGGCCTGTGTTTCAACATGCTGGTGTCGCCAGTCAGTAATCCAATTCTTCCTACTGGCGTATGGGGGCAGAAAACCGGTGGGGGTCCTACAGCTTCCAATGGTTGAGACAATCGATGTCCTTGTACTCGTCCATCCCCCACTCGCGAGGCACATTCCTCATCCCCAGCTCTTGGCCTTGGTACACAAAGGGCGACCCAGACTGCAAGGCCAGGATCGTAGCCAGCATCTTCGATGCGACCAGACGATGCTCTTCCTTGGCGTTTGTATACCGATCGATAGAGCGCGGTTGGTCGTGGTTCTCCCAGTACAGGGCGTTCCAGCCGTCGTTCTCGTACATGAACTTCTGCCACGTCTCGAAGAACGCCTTCAAATCCGTGAGCTTCCAGCTGCCCGGCTCGAACTTATCGTACGTGCCGTGGTCGATATCGACATGCTCGAAATTGAAGATCATGTTGATCTCGTTGCGGTCGTATTGCACCGCGCGCAGCACCTCCCGCGTATCCTTGACGAACGGCATCTCCCCGACGCTGAACGTGTCGTACTCCTTGAGGATCTTGCCCAGATCCTGCAGATACTCGTGCAGCCGGGGCCCGTTGGCGTAGTACTTGTCACCCCACTGCCATGGTGTGCGGGGATCCTTGATGGGCGCATCGGGGAAGCGCTGGTCCTTACTGATGAAGTTGATCACGTCCATGCGGAAGCCGTTGGCACCCTTGTCCAGCCAGAAACGCATGATGTCGTGCACGGCCTGGCGGACGGGCGGGTGCTCCCAGTTCAGATCGGGCTGTTCCACCGCGTACAGGTGGAGGTAGTACTCCTGCGTGTGCTCGTCCCATTCCCAAGCGCTACCTACAGCAAAGTTCAGTTCAGCTGCTTGTGTATTCGGGGGCGATGGAGATCGTACCTTGGAAATGCGAAACCCAATTGTTGGGCGGATGGCGGTTCCCCTGTTCGTCGTATCTGGCCGGCTTCCAGATATACCAGTCCCGGTACTCGCTGTCCTTTGAGCTGCGCGACTTCTTGAACCACTCGTGTTGGTCGCTGGTGTGATTGACGACCAAGTCCATCAGAAGCTTCATGCCCCGCTCGTGACAGCCCTGGATCAGCTTCTCGACATCTGCGACCGTGCCGTACTCCTCTGCGATGCTATAATAATCCGCGATGTCGTACCCCATGTCGACCTGGGGCGACTTGTACGACGGACACAGCCAGACGATGTCCACGCCCAAGTTCTTGATATAGTCGAGCTTGGAGATGATGCCGGGGATGTCGCCGATGCCGTCATTGTTGGAGTCCTTGAAGGAGGCCGGCCAGATCTGGTAGACGGACGATTCCTTCCACCAGGCGCGGTGGATTTTATCGGCGGGTTTTGCCATGGTCGGAGTGGTCTGGGTTGTGTTGATTGAGATTGTACAGTCGCCCCGATCGAGGGAGCATGGCCGCCACTTATATGACCGCTGATACCCGAGGAGGGGCACTACAATCGCCAGTCATGCTGCGCATCGTCTGTTTAAGGAGTCAGTGATTGACGCCGTGGTGCATCCCGCGGGGCCCAAACATATCGGCAGCCAATGCCCCTCCGTGCGGAGAAATTCTCGGTGGATTTCGTTCTCCAGCAGCAAAACATCTTTCAGAATGGTCGCAACAGCCACGGAAACCCAGCCGACACCAGATCCACTGGCTCTGTCTCTAATCGAATGATGACGAGACACGGGGAAGGTCGGCGGTCCCTCATTATAATGGCTGGAGCTATGACCCAGGTGGTGGCTGCATTTACGTAGATTAATTAGAAGTTATCGGAATTAGGAAGAAATTGCATATTTGAACAGCTAACAAACACCCGTAGTATAGCAAGAAACAATAAATCAGAATGAATCACAACAAGCATACCTAGGTAGTTTAGGCGCAACTATCGAGACTTGTGCTTCAAAGCACCAGTATACCAATCGACAGCGCGGACAACAAGGTCATCCTTGAACTCTTCTCCAATGGCAAAATGCTGCTGGATTTTGAATGGATGAGCTTCGGTAACAGTCTCCGAGAGCCAGTTGAAGAACGGAGGCCAGTTGTTGTGCTGAACGGTATCACGGTTAGGCAGCTTCCTAACGTCCATCCCCGGCTTCCACTTGATAGTATCAGACGTCGCCTCCCAAGGCTTCGGAAGACCAGTGATCCTATCAAAAGACAGGAAGTTAAAGCACTTGCGAAGTTCTGTATTCGAAAAGAACGGGTTCTCCTCGAAGGAGAAGATCAATGTATAGTCGTAACCATCACCAAACTCCAGGCGAATGTCAGTGAGGTGCTCAAGCGGCTTGAATTCCTTGCGACGTACCATGCACCCGATTTCAACATGGTTGTTCATTGCCTTTAGCCAGAATCTTGGAATGCCATGTGGGACAGCGCCGTCGGCTTCGTTCGCATCGCGGTTGGGGCCATTGATGATTCTGAACCGTGCGTCGCGATGTTCCTGGTGGTTGCTCCAATAGCGAACGCGGTCGTCCCATTGGCCTGGAAGGAAGTTGGTGGACATGCGTTTGTGAGAGATGCGCCATGCTTGCAAATACTTCACACGGATCTGGAGGTATTTTTCGGGCACCTCTAGGTCCTTATTGTTGTCAGTGCTTGAGGACATATCGGGGGGACTCACTCTGGGTGGTAGCAGGAACGGATTTGAACTAGTCTTGCGATTGAGACGTAAGATGGTCATGGTCTGCTTGTTCGACACTTTCTTTGAGCATAAGGATGCTGTTGTTGTGTGGAAAGCTAACTGAGTCAGGGAAAAGCTGAGGTTTATATGTTGTGGCCGTGGTGGAAATTGCCTCTAGAAGTCCAAAGGAGATCCATTTCCATAGACCCCCCCAAATGGAAGATGCCAATATCTGACACCAGCAGTATAGATGCGGCTTCTGGTACTTTCATACTCGTAGGACGGAAATTCCCAGTGGAATATGCCTTGCACACTGTCTCGCACTCATCCTATGTCAGCTTAAACTATAGTCTGTTATTCTATCAGAATACGAATCATACAGTGGAAAGATCCGAAACTCGATACATTCTCTGTTCGGAAATACAAAGCCTCTCTGGTTTCTTTGACCAAGTAACCTGTCCTAGATAGAAGTGGTACCGGCTTTATTGGTTGCCTCCAAAATTCACGTCTGGACGAGACAAAGAGCGCCATAGTCCTTCCCAGGCAGATATCTTTCACCCCAACTCAGACTTCCAACACACTTCGGACAGTAGAAAACATCGTCTGGGTCATATCTCCTCTTGATTGACGCTAAACGGTCATAATTGGAACCGAAGAAGTCAGATATCCAGAACGGGTTGTATCGATCATCCTATCATCATTAGCAGTGTTACTATCACACGGCAGATCCATACACCGACCTCGTTCATATAGCTGCCCATACCAGGTGATAGGGCTCTCATCGCGCCAATCTTAGTGTATGTAATGTCGTCTTTCACGGCTTGAGCTGTGGCTGGATCCGCATCCGCAGGCCAGCCTCTTGTCAAAAGATGCACGACATAAGTAGATCTCCATGCAGGATTGACGCCAGAGAGCTTGTCTTCTGCATCCTCAAAAATCTTCCCTCCTCCGACCAAGTCAAGGGTATTGACTGTCTGTTGCTCCGGAGTGCCGGCCACGACGTTGATCGTATCTCGGAGCATAGCACGGCTGCTTGTCAACGCACGCTTGTCGAGCATTCGCGAAGCCGTAGACTGGGCAGCAGGGCTCACTGGACTGTGGAGATTCCACATGGTGCGATAATAAGCGCCATAAGTCGGAAATTGAACCCATTCAAGCGAGATAGATATTTTGGTGCCGTTGTACTTTTTTAGTTGATGAAAGAGAGGTCTAAAGGCCTTTTCTGCTTTATGTTGTGACTGTCCCATTGCCGCGAAAGTGTGATAATATCCTCTCGTCAAGTTTTTGTATATAGGGACAGGGCTGTTGATAGACCAAATTCCGTAGCCCGAGAAGCCTGTATCGGAGAGGGATGGTGAATGGGCATAGATTTCAGTGATAGCATCCAAAAGAGCCTTGGTATTGTTCCCGACAGGCCGGATAACGAGACTCTGCGCAATGACCGGCTTCGATGGGTACACTTTGACAGTCATCGAAGTAACTACACCATACGTGCCTCCGCCACCGCCTCTAAGGGCAAAGTAGAGGTCAGGGTTCTGGCATGGATTGGCCGTGACAATGCTACCGTTTGACAGCACAGCTTGGGCCTCGAGCACCTGATCTGCTGCCAGTCCGTAGTCATGGCACGCAGGAGAGTGACCGCCGCCTTGTGTATACCCACCGATGCAGCCCACGTTCTAGAGAGCATGCAATGTCAGTAATGACCGAGACTAATGTCACGCATGAGAAAAACATACCGTATCTCCGCCTCCAACAATCGTCATATTACGTCTAAACACTTCCTGATAGGCGTCCTCCCATACGTACCCTCCGCCTATAGTCAGTGCCGATCCATTCCACGTCGTGCTCTTGCACCCATCAGATGGAGCGTAGGACTCGTGGAACTTAATTCCTTTCCTGATATATTTGATCCAGATTTGCAACGCCCCATAACCCTCGGATCTTCAATCTCATTAGTATACGGATATTGATGATAGGGGCGTGCACTTACTTCCCCAGTATATCATGACCAGTGTTCCTCACCACGAGGCGGATATTATGCTTCTTCGCAAACGCTATCCCAGTAGCCAATTCCTCTGGCTCAGTTGCATTGATGGTGTAGATTGGAGCTGGGCCGAGGGCACACTCTTTTGCCTTCTGTCCAGAGCTAACGTCCACAGGAGGACATGGATCATCAGTGGGAAAGACGTATCCTACTGGTGATAGTGATTGAAACGATGAATTTGACCATTGGCTGTATACGTAGGCACATTCTGCCTCGTTATGATATGGGCCTGGGTAACAGGATAGAGCAGGAGGCGTATTTCTGATCAGCTTGCCAGAAACGGAAGCGTTCAGACTGTTCCAAGTTTCTGGCGAAGGCCAACAAGCGTCGTTAGGTGTCTGTTCAAGAGTAAGCTTTTCGTCTGGACACAATGGTAATGAACTCACACATTTGCAAGACTGCTCAGCAAAAGTGAGTGCCAAGAAGAAGAGGAAGAGTACCGGAAAGATCGAATAGCTGGTCCACATGGTTGTAGAATGCATTCAGCTTGGGTTCTGTAAGCCGAGAGATGACATGTTCTGATGGAAGAAAATGTCCCATCTTATATATTCGTCAAGATAAAGTATCAAGTAGATGTAAGTCTTATGAGGTTTGATATTCGCAAATTACCTACAAACAAAGTAATGCGAATGCGAAGTCCGAATACGAGACTTTCCTAATTTGGAACTCAGATGTCAGAAGGCTGACTGATTTAGGCTGCCAACAAATTGAACATATTACATTGGAGAAGACTTTATACGTTCAAATAACAAGCCAAATCAGTCAATTATACAGGAGAATAGCGGCCTAATAAGAGCTGACATATCAAGATCGAATAGCTACGATGCAACAATCGACCATTTCTTATGTGGCTTATGAGTCTTCCAGGCTTTTACGACATCCTACTTCTTATACATTTACAAGTGGGTCTGATTGGTCAGAAACAACAAAGTGGCATTGCAAAGTTATCAGAAATGCAGTGCCTGCCAACGAGTCGAAAACTAAACCCCAGGCTAGGACCAGCTACCCCGAGGGAGTCGTACTTCAACCCAAGCCAGTACAAACTACTATCATGATGCCAACCCATGGTCGAAGCATGAGAGCAACTCCGGATCCTCCGAAGCTCCGTCCCAAGCTCGTCACAACAGAAAAAACAGGAAAAACCGCTCGTTGAGGAGGGTAAGACAAAAGTCGTTGAGACCATCATTCATGCGTGCCTTCAAAAGTAGGGGACCTTGCAGGTGCAGGTAAGGCCGGGGTGAGTGCATTTGCAGTTGTGGGGAGGGTCGTGGACGTCGCAAATGCGATTAGAGTTACACCGGCCCTTGACGCCCTTGTAACCCTTGGGCTTCTTGCCTTTGCCACCCTTTAAACGATAAGAAGGAACATTAGTATCATATCATCGATGAAGCCACTGTCTGGATGGAGAAAGAATTACCTTGTTACCGGGCTTCTTGCCTTCAAGAACGACATCATCGTCTTCAGGGTCGGTCTCGTAGTCCTCGTCTTCAATGTGGAACTCGCCGTCGTCAAAGTCGCCATCATCGAGACCTTCGTCGAACCATTCAATGTAGTCGAGGTCAGAAGCCGCGCCGGTAGGAGCTTCGGCAACCGCAGAAGTAGTAAAGGTAGTGGCTGATTGGGCCATCGAGACCTGGAAGAACAGGCCAAGTATGGCGACCAAGAAAAGGGTAATCTTGGAAGAGATCATGTTGACTGGTGGAAATGTAGAAGAACTTGAGGTATGGAGAACTTGTAGACGTGGTCGATGAGGAAAAGGATGCTTTGAGGGTGGTGAGAAGAAGGGAAAGAAAGCAGAAGATCGAGGGAGATGAGGCCCTATTTATGCTTTTCCAGGGGATGTACAGATGAGAAATGTCGTTTAAGAATATGCGCAAAGTGCCGCGCGGTGAGGATAGATTCACGAGTATCTAAGTGCGTCCAAGGAGATCGGATGCGGAATCAGTGACTATAGTTGGATATGGCCTGACTGGGCGCTGATCTTTCATCATAATTCACACGTCTATCATATCGTAGGTTAGCTCCATAGATTATTATTGACGAAAGAAGAGCGTACCTGCTTCCATCTAGGAGACTATAAGTGAAGAGGCATTCAGTATCCATACATAAAACGACGCGCATATACCTGTCCCACTGTTGGTATACTCTTTTAATATAGTTAATACTGATGGCACAAAGGGGATGTTCCATTTTCTTGCGCTTAGCGACGTTGATATCAAGGTTAACATCGTCGTTCATCCATATCGGCCCACTAATGCCCTCATGTCGTTCAGCATCCTGCGTTGAAGTTAATACGATCTCTCCGTAGCGCGGAATTGTCCTTACTGGTCTCTTAAGCCAACATTATCTGGAAACAAAGCAGATACATGGGTATTGAACCGCCTGTGCAGGTCAGCAGGACTGAAGAGGATATCAGCTCTAGTATCTCACAGTTTATATAGGTCAAGTCGACCCTCATAGTCCTCTTTTGGTTCAGATATGTCATTGTATGCATGATATGCTGCACGATATTCTGGACCGAATCTATTACAAGCTGGCATCCATTGGCCAAATTCGTCTTTAAAGCCCGAGTTAGCCAGCCAGGTCCATAAGCTATTGCGATACTTGCACCTACATTCGTTATGAGCATAGAAGCAACAAGCGTCAAATACCAAAGGCATGTTTGTCTTCGCATCGACCCCAGAATTGGCATACCAAAGGTCACCATGCACAAGGGATGGTTTGACAGACCATCCCTCACTCTCCAGTGGTCGCAGAAGACGAGGAATGACTTTTCCAAAGATCACCGGGACAAGGATGTCAAACTGAGGATCATGTCCCTTGGCCGCGATCTCGCATTCGAGAGCCCATCTCATGTTTCTCGTGAAGAAGACTTCCCAGCTATCCTCCCAGTCGTTTTTCTGGGGCAAGTTACCACTGTATGTAGTTATATGGAAACCAAATTTGCCCTCAGGAGAAACACTATCCTTATGCAGATCAGCGAGACCGGCTCCGAATGAAGTAGGCTCAGGCATTATAGCAGGTTTCATTTCCCGGTATTCACACAAGAAGAAGTGGGTTTCTTTGTTGGTCTTGTATGTGCCATAGGAGATCGGTCTCGGTGCAAAGTCAGGCGTGACTGCATATATAGCTGCCATGGACTCATACTCGCCTCTTGCCATAGACAGACCATGCTCATTGGAGATAATCTTGATGAAAAAGGATTGACATTTGCCATCGACAGAATCAACATCAATCCGGCCTGTGGTTGTCCAGAAGCTGACCCCGTAGCGGACTGCTGACACTACCCGAGAGCTCTTTGGGAGTCCTGTCATACATTTCAGCAACGGTTGTATGCAGTAAGGGTTAAATAAACTGCACCTGCGAGTACTGATGGATCCAGGGCTAGCCCTCCAGCATCAGGGTCATTGTTTTCTAGTACGAGGGTGGCCGTTACCATCGTTTATATATATCTGCTCCCCGGTAACGTCGTCACCAACTCATAACAACCCGGATATTAGAGTGCCCAGAATTGTGCACTTCCAGATGGTTATCTAGCTATAGCGTAATACAGCAGAATTATTCGTCCCACTGGTGTGCAGCATGGAAAAAGGTCCTGGCGAGAGGTGGATGTCGATATAGAGAGCAGGAAGGCGGTGTGATATTTTGCCGGGTACCTGGATATGAAATCAGAATAGCTCCTCGAACTCTACAATCTCCCAAGTCTCTTCTCACTCATCATATCTTCATCATGTCTCATTTTCCACAGGAGGATACCCGATATCCTCCAGGTCCATCCCACCGACCGTATCCCCTCCGCGGCGACCGGGACGGCCGCATGTACGACGACCGTTCGCCTTCGCGATCACGCTCGCCTGGCGGTATTACGCTCCTCCCCGCACAGTAGCTTGGGCGCGGAATATTTGGATGCCGTAAAGTTCCTTCTCGCGACGTGGCGGTTACTAACTCCGTTGTGGATGAACAAGACCTCGCTCGCTCTCCTCCACGAGGGCCTGCGTCGGATAGGAGGCGCGACTATTCCGGAGACCGATACGATTCTAGACCCCGTCATCGCAGCCGGGACGGTGATGGCTATCGCCGGCGCTCATCAAGATCACCACCCCCTCGCCAGGGCAGACATGCGTACAGAGACCGCGATCGTGAAGGATATCGCTCGCCCGAATACTACAGCCGAAGCAGGAGTTACAGTCGCAGTGGCAGCCGAAGTCGCAGCCCTCGACGAGGACGCCATCACGGACAAGGAAGCAGAGAAGTGATGATGGATGGGCTGCCAGTGGATATGGCGGAAGAAGACGTTGGACCCTCCTCTCCTTTGAGATTTCATTGTTGCTAGGAGTGTAGAGAAGCACTCCTTCCAATCTCGTTCTTAATGGCAAGAGGCTAAGATGTGCTTGTCACCGGTGGTCCCGGTTGGCTTGCTGAATAGATTTCGAAAGAGCTCCATGACGGTTATCGTATTGAAGGCCTTGAAGAAGTTCGTGTGATACGTGACCGACAAACCAGTATGTTCCCCCGGTTCCCGTTCCACGACCACATTCTGAAGCTCGCAGAAATGTCCCGCCAGCTTGGATTCCTTCGATTCCAGAACATCAGTTTCTCGCGCGCATTCATGGAACAAAATTTTCCCAATATACTCCTCTACGGCCCAAGCGCCGGGCCAAATGACCGCGGTACCAAAGTTCGCATTGCGTTCAGCCGAGAACGAGAGGATCGTGTACGTGCTAGAGCTGAGGGTGACTGGGTCTGCAAGATGGTGCGTGTACCGGACATATTCTCGGGTAACAAGACCGGCTAACAGTAATCAGTGTTCTGTTGTCAATTACTCCACCCGACAAAGGTGTTTTCGCTGCCAAGCTCCTCGGCCTGGTTCGTTTCACCTGCTACTTTTCGCTGCCAATACTGACAACAGACTAGAATCTGGCCCAGCAGGACCCCCAGGTATAGCTGCCCCGAAGGTGGAGAACCATGGCGACAACGATGCTGCGCCGGAGAACCAGGCTTCCCAGTTCCTTCTCTTTAGAGGATTGGAATCTTCGGTAACAGAAGAACTCCTGGCCAAGGGGGTTGCAAAACTATACCGGCCGGCTTCTGGTGACAACTCGGCTGGAAATCAGAAGAAAGGCGCCAAAGTGGCTTCTACCACGGGCGATTCCAATCTGGGAGCACGAGATGGTTCCATTCGTCGTGTGCTGCTAGTCCGGGACCGCAGAACCAACGAAAGCTGGCGGTATGGCTTTGCAGAGTTTGCTACAATCCAGGTATAAAGCTAGAGTCTGCCTCCAAACACTTTCGGATCTAACCATTTACTCTTCAGGACGCCCAAGCCGCTGTTGCTCGTCTCAACTCATTCGAAAAGTTCACCATCTCCTCCAGGCCAGTTCTTGTGAGCTATATCCACGCTGGTGTATTCGTGCCCGTGATCAATCCCAGTGCAAGCACAGAGAGGTTTACTTTTAGCCCTTTGAACAACCCTTCGTTAAAGCTCATGTACTGGGATGAAGAGGCCTATGTTACAGAGCTCACCGTGTCCACAGCCGACCTCGATAATAACCAACCCCAGCAAAAGAGCGACAAAGCGGGCCAATCGGAGAATTCCGCCAAAGCCAACAAGGACGCAGATAAGGCGAAAAAGAGAAAAGCCGAGTCATCCGCGGCTGCAGGCGCCAAGAAGCTTGCAGTGCCGTCCCATTTACAGTTCTGGAGCAATCGACATGCTGAGCTGCACGGAATCCAAAAGAAAGATGCAGACAGCGGTGCTGGCGATGGAGCAGATACGCTCGAAGCATCTGCACCGCCAACCCAGTCTTACGCGGATCTGAATCGGAATTGCTGCTATCTGTGCATGCGGCAATTCAAGACGTCGGCGGAAGTGAACCGTCACGAGCGTCTAAGCCAGCTCCACCGGGGAAACCTGCAAAATGAAGATCTCAAGGCAAAGGCAATGGGCAAGCTCATCAAACACGGAATCGTGCAACAACCACCAGAATATCGCGATCGAGCCCGGGAGCGTCGTAAGGCATTTGGCAGCTCCAAGACCGCCGCTCCCAAGAAGAGTGCGCCCCCGCCGCAGGAGGAAGAACCACCAGTCGAAAACACATCCAAGGGCGCTTCCTTGCTCAGTAAGATGGGGTGGTCGGCTGGGTCCGGCCTGGGTGCTCAAGGAACGGGCATGACCGCCCCCATTGCTACAGAAGTTTATGCCCAAGGAGTAGGACTGGGAGCGCAAGGAAGCAAGCTGGGCGACGCAACCGAAGAAGCTGGTCGCAACACGCGCAACCGATACGACGAGTTTTTGGAAAAGACGAGACAGACCGCGCGGGAGCGATACGAACAGATGGAAAGATGATATGCGCTTGTATTCTACTGTACGATAAAACCAATGAGACATGACATTATACACAGGACCAAGTAAAAGAGAAGAGGGGTATTGTCTTATATACATTAGGCACACACATCTGCAATATCCACGCGAAGCCCATTTTCATGCCCGCATCCGACTAACGCCAATAATCGATCCATGCAGATCCAAACAACCCTCCACTACTTCTCCCGACCATCCGCAGTCCCCTCCTTCTCCTTCTTCAACTGATCCTCAAACTTCTTCCCAAGCACACTGCCCACCCACTGCTCAATCTCCTGCTCGAGCTGCTCATCCGCCCCGGACACCTGGCCGCCGTCGCTCTCAAACCCGCGCCGCACATACCGCCGCATATCGTCCACGCTGTCGATATCGAACGCCCACAGCGCCGCGCCCGTGCCCATCATCCCGAACGAAAGCACATTCAGCGTCGCCAGGTTGAGCGCCTCGAACGCCTCCGCGCCGCCGCTCACGTCCGGCCGGTGGTACACGGAGCTGGTGTAGTACGGCGGGATGGAGGCGCGGAAGCGTCTGTTCAGTGCGCGCCGTGTCGACCACAGCGAGAAGGTGAGGAAGGCAAGCCCGCCGAAGAAGAGCTTGTATTTGGATTGCGGGTTGAGGAGCTTGAATTCTAGGTCTGTCGGGCGGGAGTAGTTGGGTTCTTGGGGCGGTTGGGTCGTGGATTGTGGTGGGTTCGGGGTGGGCTGTTGCGGTGTGGAGGGAGCGGGTTGGACGGTGTCTGGCGGTGCGGTGGGCTTCGAGCCCCGGAAGAAGGAGAACATGGTACTTTATGGGCGAGAGTTGGGGTTCAATGGTGTTGAGGATGGTCGTGGATTACGGACTGTTTGCTGTGGAGAAATCCCGGCGATCGTTGATAATGGGATCACGTGATTTACACATGGAGTATAGATTGCTCTGATGATAATGGGAAATATCTACTATCGCAGGTTTTGAGCTATTAATGAAAAGATGAATTGATCCCCAGGCCATTTCGTACATCCAGATTGTATATGCGATAAACGCGCCGGATCTGCTCGCCGATCCAGGCCAGCTGGTCCTCGGGGAGACACAACTCCGGCGAGCAGAGGTTCGTCAGATGAAACAGGACATGCCAGCCGCCCAGGAGCGGCGCGGCCTGCTTATGGGCTTGGGTAATCCGCCGCGTCTCAGCCTCCGGGTACTGGATGCCGGACGGGCTCAGCTGGAGCGACTCCGTCTGGCTGCCGAGAAAGTACGGCACCGTACCGCAGATGTCTGTCGCCACGACCTGGATCTGAGCCGTAGTCGACTGTATTTTCTCTAAAGTATCAGTATCTGGAGGGAGTCGACGCAGACAATTCAGCATGATGTTCTGGACGACGACGCGCGACTCGCGGTAAAAGTTCCACGTCGATGCAATCCACTGATCGGCGTAGCAGTCGCATCGGCTACGGTAGATCCCAGCTGCACGCACGGACTCTGGGATGATAGAAGCGGGGAGCGGCTTCCAATACTCGGGAAGCATGTGCTCCCATGCGGAGAGGTGGCGGTTGAGGGTGACCGCCCTGGTGTAGATGTCGCTGATTTCCGCCACGTCGTATGTGGCCGGGTTTGCCGTTGCGAGATTGTACGCCCCTCGGAGGTTCACAAGCTCCGATGTGACTGATGTGAGCTGGGATGAGGGGGATTGGGGCACGAGTGGCGAGAGCGGCCACACGTTTGGGGTTTGGACCAACGGCGGATGGGACAACATGGAGGTTTTGATCTGCAAGGGTAAGTTAGCTGTTGCTGGCGCGGAAGATACGGGAACATTACAAGTTGTGTTTGGATCGAGTTCGTCATAGTGGTGGTGTAGTCAGAGTCTAGTCGCCGCTGCCCCCTGCTGTTGAGCAGCGCAATGGCACCGCGCAGGTGTGCTCTTGCGGGAAGTCTACCATCTTTTATTGCGGCGAACTCCTGCGCAGGCGTCAGCAGTGTTCCGATAGCGTGTGCGGTCCGTATACCTCATATGTAGAAAGCACGAGAACCGTCATGAGGATCTCATCTAGATGATCGTCGACGTCTCCCTGCAGGGCGATCCTCGTTTTAGATATCGCTCTCACGAAGAACTGTTCCGCTGAGCGAAGCAAAGCAGGATTTCCTGACCAAGCAGCAACGGAAAAGAAAGAGACCGCCAAAGTACTGAGATGCAAATGGGACCCCGGCGGGGTGTTAGAGTAGGACTCAGGCAGCAGCTCCATGAACCCGTCCCTGATTAAGGGGTCCTTTGGCAGATAGAGATACGAATTGAAAAATATGGAGGTAACTGTATCCTCCAGCGGAAAATAAAGACTGCCTGGGACACCGGCTGATCGAGCCTCGGACAGAAGTGGGTATCTGGGGGAGACAGCGGCCGAAGTAGACGCCGGGGCGAAGGGCACGGCCGACGGCGCAGGCGTCGGTGAGACTGAGACTTCTTTTCCGCCATGGCACCCTTGACCGTCAGACGGTGAAGATGAAGCCTTGCTACCAGACCCGCTGTGCTTCTTGCGCTCAAACGCCGTACGCTGCCGCAGCATCACGTCCAGCGGGTGTGGATAACCGGGACAGGACCGGCCCGTCCGAATGCATGCTCTACAGTGAGGGCGGGTTTCATCGCACTGCGATTGATCAGTCGCTGAAATGGCACCACAGCAGGTATGGCTCACTTACCTTGATGTGTCTCTTTCGACAATTCTGGCACCCAGTGCTTGGTTTCCCGCGATAGACCATGATGGGGTTGCGTCAACAATATGATTGCCTAAAGACGGCAAGTGAGAATCAGTTAAGGACCGTTCTTGAATGAGGAAGCGGAATTGCAGTAGGGATGGAATGCCAGATCCATAACTGGCCACTGGCTGAATCTCATCCACGCAACATCAATGCGACGATCAGGGTCTAAGGGTCTGTTGTGGTCCGTGAGATCGCAATTGTACTCCGTATCTCCGCCAACTTAAATCCAAAAAAAGCATCTCTCACGTGGCTGCTGAGTCATTGCATCTTATCGCCGATAAGGGCTTGGGTATGATGTCATAGCATCATAGCATTCATGTAGTAGATAGAACTTCTATGCTAACAGAGAGCTCCCAATGCTTCAACAAGTACAACTAGGACCACATAAACAACAGAAAAACAAGCAGCAAAAAGTCAACAGCTCCGAAAACAACAGCCATCCATCGCGCATTATCATTAGCCTCGTACCAATTCATTCCATTCAATAACAATCATGCGACTCATGTCAAATCATCAAGATCATAACGCCATAACTCATCAATGCAATCAGATGCAATGCGGATGATGCGTAAGTGCTCAAGCTGGTTCAATCAAAACCATCTCGCTCCAGCATGTCATTACCTTCGCTCGTCGCGTGGGTATCTCACTTCATCGAGCCCGTCGTGATCAACATGTCCGCCCGCCCAGGCCGATGAAAACGGTCAATTCCAAGATGTTCTTTCCCGTCTCGACCGACGTAGATCCCAAAGCCATAAGTCGGATACTCCCTGTCTCCCGGGGGCGCCATTACGAGACGAGTGATCAAATCCGCTTTACTTCTCGGTTCACGGAGCAGCTTGTCCGATAGCAAAGGGCTCTGGTAGAGGAAGCTGATCTGATCGGCGAGTGTGGTAATAGCATGGGGCAGATGGCGGCATCGTCGGGGCCAAATAGCCAGAAAGGACACTGTGTATATCGCACAGAACGCTACCAACGCATAAAAGGCCGGCATGAGAGAAGCAATGCGGATTTCATCATCCGTCGGGTACCAGAGAGCGATGAAAACGCCACCAGCTAGGATAGGGAGCGCGCCGGAGAGCATAGAGACCAGGGAGATCCAGGCTACTTTGTAGTGCTTGTTCAAAAGGGCGAGGACGGTGACTTGAAAAGGCAAGCATGATGGATATGACAGCAAAAGGCTTCGCTCTGCTGTGGCGCCTTCAGGGGCAGACAAGGTAGCAAAGGGTTGGAGGGCTCGAAAGTGGACGTCAATATGCTGCCAAGAAAGGAACAGCAGGTTGCCGATGAAAGCGGGAATAAAGCTGTATAGAAAATTCGAGGAAGAGAAAGCGCCGGTAGACGGAAGGGTCGGCAGCTTCGGGGGGAATCCGCCTTGTATGGCATCGTGGATGAAACTGACGACCACGAAGGCAATGAAGAGGGCGGCGATGATAACCGTCCACGACAATACCAACGGTCTGCGCAGAAACCACGGAACCCAACGGTATCGAATGGCAGGAGAGTACAGATGCCCATCGCACGCATCCTTTTCAAGACTTCCCTGCTGTTCGACATCGTATGCGACTTTCGAAAGACCATGTGGCTGCTTGGCGCGGTTCTTCTCCAGACGATGCAAAGACGGAGTCCCAATAGGCGCATCAACTTCTCCAATGCCGTAGAAGATCTCCGAACGGGTAGACAACCTCCAATATCCCAGTCGCAGGGGCCTGGGGTCAAGCGTTTCACCAACATCAGGGACCGTTTCCGAATGCTCAAAATCGTGCAGGATGTTTGATCGCTGAATGACCGAGATCAGGTCCGCCAGGCAGACAGGGTCCCACATTAAGCCCGACCAAGTGCGAACAAAGCGGAACATGAGCATGAGCAGGCCGATTGTAAGCAGCGCGTACACCGCGACAAGTGTCCAACCAACAGCAATCACCGCAGTCCATCGCCACACTCCCTGACCGTCGATCACAAACCATTTCGCTTGGAAAAAGCAGCTGAGTAGAGGTATCGCAATCATATTCGACAACCATATCGAAGACAGTGCGAGCCCAACGACGGGCTCTCCATGCACAAAGTGAGATAGGTCAGGCACAAGGAAATTCTGCGACAATACCGGCATTCCCTGCAGAACACGACCAAGTGGTCTCTCGGACGCCATGATGGCGAAAGGAATCGTCCGATAGACCGCGGCCTGGACGACAAACGTCCAGATGGTGATAATGACCGCGAGAATCTGAGGAAGGAACTCGACGACAAAGTATCGCGCTCCGCCTTGCCCGTGATAATCCCAGATACCCTGATGTTTCTCGGACCAGACATTGCAGAAAGCAATGCCAGCGATCATCAGCAAACAACACAGAATAACCAAGGCCAGCGCCCACGGCCGGAGCACCGTAGGCACGTAATCCAGCGGTGGATAGAGTAGACTGTCATCGGGGGGATCCACCGGCACGAAGGACTCGATGTCTACGGAGTTTTGAGGCGGCCGATCGACCGGGGTTTCTTTTGTCTGCTGTGGATATGGCTGCTGCGAGGATGTGGCCCTAGATATCTCCGGCGCACGACGGAAGTAACCGAGCTCCTCATCCCACACGACATGTTCTCCTGTCGAAATACTACTCGCGATGGAGCTCTGTCTCCCCAGCTGCTGTTGATCATCATCTCGCGTGAGTTGGTTGATCGCGAAACGCAGATAGGGCGAATCGTCCACCCCGGGGGTGGGAGGGCGCCCCGCGTAGCTGTCCGAAGGAAGCTGATGCATCGCGTGGTCCGCTACGGGGTTCAGACGGACGGAACCCTCGTCCGTCTGTCGCATTGTTCGTTGCGCCTGTGATGTGCTGGGTCCGTCGACGTCTGGAATGTTGACGGATTGTTGAGACCGGGAAACAGGGGCCGGTGGGACAAGATTGGCTCGAGAGACTGCAGGCGATGCTGTTCGCGAGACTGGATGGGAATTTGGTGTAGCATATCTCACGATCGTGAGTTGACTACTACCGTTGCTGGCGGACCGTGAGCTTGTGTGACGATCGGAGAACGAGTAATAATCGTCCGATGCGGCGATGGACTGTTGCGATTGAGAGTGGTGCAGCTGCGGTCGACTCGCTGAGTCGCCTAGTTAGCGCACGTTCCTGACCGAGCGATCCCCACGAGGCATTGAATTCTTCGGAGAACTTACAGCTGACAGTTCGCAGGCTCACATTCCCAGACCCCGGAGCCAGCATGACGGTCGACCACCGAAATATGTATGCACCGAGCGCTGTTGCAGGGCAAGTCCGCTGCACATTCCTGGGTGCCGATAGAGTTGAAGGGGCCAGTAAGTCCGCCAGGGACACAAGGAGGCATAATCTCGAGACTTGCGAGAGTTGAGCGTGAGGTGGTTGGGACTGTTTAGAGTCCTCGATTCATCCCAGCCACCGCATCGGCCCAGCCACCACGCCATGCAGGCCCGATCAGACCCGATTCAACCGCTAAAGTGGCTTTCGACATGGCTGCTGATGACTGGAGATCGACGACGTGGTGTAGATCGTGGTTGGATGCACCTTGCATTGCAGTGGGATTGAGTTGGAGGAGTGAGTTGGCAATCCTGGTTGAAGTGGTGGATATGCGGCCCGAGCCAAACCCAGAGCACCACCCGCCTCTATATTTACACCGTTCTATACCTCCACGGAGCTGAAATCTTCGAAGTAACCATGAGAGTAGTCAGTCATCAGTCCATGTGACACTCTAATTGACAACATATCTATAATCTGCAAAGATAATAATCCATAGTACCCGTGTCTATAGAACGGGCTCAAGAATTATACAGAAACCCGGCAATCACTCCCCCCCAACCACCAGAATTCTCTGCCTCGGTCGCAACCTGGTAGTTCCCTTCGAGAATCATATTGGCGGCGCTCTTCGTGTTGGTCCCATACAGATACAGCGCCGTGGAGTTAAGCACCTGGATGGCGTTCTTCTGACACGCCCCATTGCAACCCCCGTTGTTGTTGAAAAACGCCCAGTTGCACCCGCCAAACAGGAACAGATCTGAAGACTGGTTGATGCGCTCAAACAGCGCCATCCGGCAGGTCGCGTCGTTGGGCGCACACTGCGCAAAGTTGGGATCGCTGGTCGCCACGTTGTCTGCCCAAGGCGCAGGCGCCAGAATGTTTCCTGGCCCTTGCCAATACGGGGTTTCGCTTTGCTGCAGCGCGGAGAAAACGTTGCGAGCGGCGTTGAAGTTGTACTGATATAACGTGTGGTGTTCGAAGCCCGTGCCGACAAGCCAGGTTGCGGCGGTGGCTTCGACGAGGAGACCGCGGCCGGTGGAAATCACTTGCTGGTTCTGGCCGTCGAGGTCGTGGTCCGCGGTCCATCCCCACATGTTCTCGATATAGGCAGACGACGTGCTGCTCAGACGCAGCAGACCCCAGGCAGCTTTGCAATCCGCAGCGGACCCTGTACATTGGCTCTCGACCTTGCTGCCGGCTGCACCGCCGATACGGAAGTGAGTGTTCCAGAGTCCAACATCGCCTGGAGATTTTCCCGAAATGCTTACGACGACCTGGTAGCATGGTTCGTTAGGACCTCTGGCATGAAGGGCCCAGTCTGAATTGACTCACCATCTGACAACCGGGTAGGATATCCGCGACCGTGAACAGCATGTCGCTGATCTGGGCTACACCCACATCGCCTGGGTAGCCCACTTGCACCATCGTTCGAACAGCAGTTGTGCTCTTGAAGTTGGCACCGACTGCGCTGATGGTGGAAGCATAGGGATCCCCAATGATCCGAGTGCCCGAGGGGATGAAGATCGTGTCCGTGACAATGTATGTGCCCGCAGGGAAATAAATGAGCTTGCAGTCTCTATTCTGGGCCAAAATCGCATTGATATTCTTCGTGTCATCTGTCTGGCCGTCCCCTTTCACCGGTCGATCGGGCACAGACTTGATGTTGAGGACTTCCGAAACGCTATACTCCCGATAAGTTGGCGGCGCCATAGTGAAATACTTGTTTCCGGAGAGCAAAGAAGAAGATCGGTTTGTCTGGACCATTTGGCCTTCCACTCTTTGGATCTGCCCTTGGTGAGGCGGGTACTGTATACAATGTTAGCACAATGTTTTCCCCAGGATGGTTGGCTACCCTCACCAATGTTCCATGCACCCAAGTTCCGGATGTGCGCCCGGAGAGGACGACTTTATCCCCCAGCTTAACTGTGTCTCCCGAGTTCTCCACGTTATCGAGGATAATCGCGTTGCCGGCCGAATGCGAGTCGTTGGACGTGATGAATGTGCGCATGTTGGACCCAGTGGAATCGATGACCGTCAAAGACCCGGAGGTGGAATCCGCTTTGATTGCGACATCTCCTGCCTCAAAGCTACACCCGAGGAATACAATATTCGTTCCTCCAGCGATAACCCCCGTCAACGTTCCTCTGAACTTCAGGTTGCGAAATACCCATTGCTGTCCACTGAGATGCATTCCAACTGCACCACCGTTGAATGTCAAGTCAGACTGCCAAATGATCAGCACCCTTATAGAAGCAATGAAGAAAGGACAACAAGATGAGTGTTAGGAAACATACCACTATGATATTGCTGTTATAGTCATATTGCGTGGTAAGCCCAACATGATTTGACCCTTTGGTCGGCATGTTGAAGACAACGTTTGTCAGCTGCGTCGCTTGACTGACAGTCCAGTCAAGGAGAGTAAAATGCGAACCGGCGTCTACCTCCGTAGAATCCAAGACCACATTTCTAATCCCCATATAAAAATTGACCGTGCCCCCGTAGTTGGGATCCTTCGCATAAATCATATGGTCACCCGCTATCCCCTGACCCGCTTTCAAGATGGGCGGGTTGGCAGGGTCACCTGTGATGACAGTGCCGACATATAGCTGCAGCGCTTTCTTCAACTGATAGACGCCACTAGGCAGATACACGATGGCAGGCTGCCCGGTCGTGCCCATCTTGTGGGCGCTGCGAGGCGCGCCCTGGGCCGGTCCCGCTACACACAACCGCAGAGGTCAGCTGCTATTCCCCGTGGCCAAGGATTATATGCTCGTTATGTCAGGCCATACCTTCAATAGCGTTCTGGATCGCCTCTGAAGCATCAGTCTTTCCTGTGTTGTCGGCGTGAAAATCCGCCACGACATTCCGGAACACGGCATATTTCTCCTTGTACTCGGGGCTCAAGAAAGAACTCTGCCCATTGTGTTCGATATGTTCGTACCAGTATCCCGAAGAGCTGTTGGTGGATGAGCAGCCGACTTGCTGGCCAATTGGTGGGTGAACGGCTGGTGCTTGTGCCACATGGAGCCATGGTTTTATCTTGTTGTCCTTTAATGTGAATGGGATGCCCCTGCGAAGTCAGCAACGGCTCAGATATGTATGGGAATGCACTTACGACGGACGAGGAGCATAATCACGACCTGGCGCATTCAAATATTCGAGAAGCGAGGCGGGAGGAAGCTTTGCCCATGATTGTAGTGACAAGGACATTAAAAGCAGTACACCCAATGCAGATTGAAAGAACGCCATAGCCAAATGCGAGGGGAAATGAGCGGATATATGCAATAAAAAGATAAGAAGGAAACTATACAAAGCGAATGGAATAAGAGAATGTCCAAACCCTTCTTCAGAACATATGTCCCAATGGCTCTAGTGCTTTAACCAACAGAGTCTGGCACTCAGACTGGGCCAGAATAAATTGACAGAAACGAGCCCAGACGGTGCACAACGCGTGGCCGGAGAAGAAGGTGGGCAAAGCAGACGCGTCAGGCGAGGATCTGTTCTTAGGTATTTATGTACTCTATGGTTGTCCCTTGTCCGCAGGCACATGCATACTTCAGCTCGGTCCCGGTATGGCGGGCTGAATCAAGGCCAGTCTCCTTCGCGACCAACGCATGGCTGGAATTCGGGTTGGGAACTGTGGACCGAGATCTGATATTTCCAGAAACAATGCTCTAGTACAATCCGGTCTCAAGCCCCGCCCCTTCTAGCCCGCGGTTCTGAGTTGGCTGTTCAGTGCCTGGAATGTAGTACGGCAAAGAAGGGAGGTTTATGCCAAACGAGGTAACCATGCAGAAACACGGCAATAAAGCCATCGATTGCACGTAAAGAAACCGTTCCAATTCTATTTGATTAGGCTCTTCATTTGCCTATCGATTTTTGCAGTTATCCATATCATCCCACTGAGGTGTGTACCCGGTTGTGCATACCAAAGACGGCAGACGCATCAGCGGATCAACAAGGGGTTAAGTCGTGCGAGAGACAGCAGTCAGCCATAAGTCATGTGAAGAAATGTTTCGGTCAGCGTAACTCGTCGTTTCCTTCCCATCAGCTCAATTCCCCGTTTGATTTCCGTACTGAACCCATTTAGGGATGGGAGTCGGGTCCAGCTCTGGACGGGCCTCATTCCTGATCGCACGGCGACCCGAAGAACCCTATCTGCCGTCGCGGATCATAACCCTAATTCCACAGGATTAGAGCAGGTCTGTATCAGTTATGGCAAACAGAAGAAATGGTGGCCTGACTTGCGAATATTTCCAGCACCACCAATACCGAACCCGACATAGCGTTCCTGGGGCGCCACAGGTGCAAGCTCGGGGTTCTTCACACTATCCGTAGGAGCACACGACCGTCGCATTTCGCGGACCAGCAGCGGGCGCTGATCATCGTCGGGGGCGAGTTTCGCTTTGAGCCAGATAGGGCCCTTCCAGAAGCCAGGCATGGTAGGGAAGCCTAGGCATCCACCACGCTATGAAATGTAAGAAGCAATGGGTCTCTGACAGAGCGCAATAAGCGTCGATGATTCGTATACTGATTCAGGAAATAGATGGTGTTTTCGCAGTTGTTGGTGTCTCGGGTCCTTTTGTACGAAGGGCGATGAAAGCGAGAAGACGACAGATGAGGGGAAATAACTCAAAAAGCAAAGTGCGATGCGCAGGCAAATAAATAGCGCACTCTTGAGCCGTAGGCATTACAGGTCGCCGTAGCATCATCGAGCTGTGTGCGACGGCACCCTGCAGTTTGTAGGCCATCCATCACATGAGAGGTTCAATCGAGTGGGATTGACCACGGACGCCAATCGGAAGAGCAATGCCCCATGGATAGTCGTCATGGGACATGGGGGATTTTCATCTGCAAGGTATCGATGGGGTTTACGGCCCAAACTGCTGATTTCGCGCTGCAGCGGTTCAGACAGAAGGCCAGAGGTGAGATTTGTGCAGCCGAGACAACCTTATTCAAGGATGTTCGTGATGGCGCCTGTTACTATTGGCTTGGGTACTGTCAAGCTTTTATACCTCACAGGAATCCTCATGAGTGATGGAAGTGAGGGAGCATGTAGGTAATGTACTGCTTATGGTATATAGAGGTCACTACTCCCAAGAAGTTGGACCTATATCTATAACTGACCCTGATCGATGCCTTCAGCAGTTCGCTGACTGGATGGTGACCATCCGACGGGTTGATCGAAGCAGCTTCAGCCCATGTTTGGCTTCATGGTGTTGATCCTCCGCTAGTGGGAAGCCCGACAAGACATAGGGCGATCATTATGGAAATTATTCTCTTTTCGACAACGCCCGAGCTCAAATTTGAGACAAATACCATCATGGCAGTGTTCCATCCGAGCAATTAGGATTAGAAAGTGTACTCGAGGTTCATCTGCACTGATAGTCAATCACCGAATGCCCTGCAGAGGGCGTTTTGCGGTAACGACAACGGACCGGAGGGACCTGACCAACTACGACCCCAGTGCGCCATCAGAATGGGAGCCACGCCATCTGATACGACAGACACGGCACGAAGCCCATAACACCTAACAACGCTCAATCGTGGAATTCGGTCCCTACCGAGTCACCTGTGTTGCGGATTCGTTGGGTACATAGTTTCGAATCATTCTCCTGCATCTAGACCGACCCATAATCTAAATCCCGTGGTGGATGAGGGGGATTCCTTCACCTTACCCAAAAGGCGCTGGGCCAGAGCTTCCCAAGGATACTCCGTACTCCGTGCACTGGGAGGGATTAATGAGGTGGGCCTGGTTCCTGTCCCATAATTTCCTTGAATTTGGTCCCTTTTTGCTTCTGTGGGAGAATCGCAGATGCAATGGTAGAGTCCCCTGGGAGTAGTCGATCATGCACCCAAACGGGACCTTGGCTAAAACGGTTCGGTGGTTCAGATACGCTTAGCTTGCGACAAGCTGGACCCGATCGGTCAACGAAAAGACCGAAAGTGATGTGTATTCAGGGATGGCACGGGAATCACAAAGGTCCATCGTCGGATAAGCAAAGACAACAGTCTCCGCAACGAGGCACCATTGCCGGTCTTTGTCTGGTCGGGCTTGTATCGCACTGCCAGCCTTGGCAAGCGTAGGTTACTCGTGGACCGTGGGACTCGACCGCATCGTGATTGTCTGTGGTTGAACGAATCAAGAGGCCTTGTGCAAATTTATCCGTCTTGCACTCACTCAGCCACCACGAAGAATCGTCCAGGGGAGAGTGAGGATTGCAGGAAGAGAGGAGAGGAGCTTGAAGCTTGCGGACTGAAAACGAAGCTACAGCAAAAGATCAGAATAATCTTCGAAAGGGGATAGAGAGTAGATGTAGAAACGTCAAGCGTGGGAGAACGAAGTTGTAGTGGGTGTATGTAGATGATTGTCAGTCAAAGTAAAGAAATGAGGGCGGGATGTCACTGGACGTCAACCCCGTTATGCTTCTGCCTCTCCTCCTCCTCCTCTCCATCTCCTCCCACACACTCTCTTTCTCCCTCTCTCCCCCCTAGTCACTCATTCCTCTTTTCTTCCCTCGCCAAACAGGTCGAATTATTTCTGCCTGGCGCTGGTCCCTCTCAGAAACTGGATTTCTGATTCTTTCCTCTCTTTCGCCCCCCATTCTCCCCCTCCCGTCGGGGCAAAGCGATGTCCCCGTTAATGCTTTGAATTCCCCCTTAGACACGCACCACTCGATCGTCATTTGACGGCGTGTCATCCTCCTCGCAGTCTCCTTCGACACCAGACCTTTCTCCCTCGGTCATTCCTTTCGTCTGGATCCTGTCTGTCGCCTGTGGCGCTGACGGTGATCATTGTCCTCCCCTCTCGCCATGTTACTGCGACCCGCGACTCCGCTTACTATCCTTCTCCTGATCGCGTTTGTGCTCTTACTTCTCTCCGTCATCTCCACCCCAATCGTCAAGGGGATTCCCTTGGCGACATTCAAAAATGTCGATTACGGTGTTTTTGGTTATTGTAAAAATGACAAATGTACCAACATTCACGTTGGGTACACCAATGGTTTGTTCCCCCGTCGCCACTGACGGACGCTTCCTTCAGGCTAACCATGAACAGACGATATGACCAGCACCGGCTCCAGTAGTGACTTTAATCTCCCGTCAACGACCCGAGTATCGTTATCCTCCATCCTGATCGTCCATCCGGTGGCCGCCCTCCTCACTCTCATATGTCTCTGCATGGCCATCGCTGCGCATTTCCATGGCCCGTCGCATTCGCCTCGCTACCTTTTGGCGCTTTTGATCCTCCTTCTTCCGACCCTTCTCGTCACCCTTCTTGCCTTCCTGGTGGATATCCTGTTGTTTGTGCCACATCTCGGATGGGGCGGGTGGATTGTGCTCGCAGCGACCATCATCCATGTCAGCTGTGGTGTCGTCACCTGTGCGATGCGCCGGACCCTCGTCAGCCGCAAGGCCAGGAAGAAGCGGATCGCGGAGAATGCCGAAATGAGCGGGGAGAATTTTTACAACCGCCAGAATGCAGCCGCCGCCGCCGCGGCGGTGAATGAACCCAAGGCCTTCCAGATGGAGACAAAGGATTCGTTTGTCACCCCTCCTGGCTCCGACAATGGCCCTACATTTGCTACCTTCCGGACCAACACACGAGAGAGCGATGACGATCGCACGCCTTTGAACTCAAGGACCCCGGCCAACGATGCGGAACATCAGTTCCAGGTGCGCGAGGACGCACCCTATCAGCGCGAAGATACTCTGCCACCTGGTCCGTACGGCCCAGGCCCGGGGCCAAGAATGCGACCCGGCCCGAACGATCCCCGACTGCATAACCAGTATTCGGACCCTAACATGGGCTCGCGCAGAGGCCCACCCCCTCCTGGATTTAATTCGCGGGGACGAGGTGGCTACCCTCCTCGGGGCGGCTACGGTCGCGGAGGCCCGTATGCGGGCCCCAGGGGACCACCACCAGCTGGTGTGAGGGGGGCCCCGATGGGTCCTATGCGGGGAGGGCACCCAGGAATGATGGGACGAGGGGGTTATCGTGGGCCACCAACCCTCGGCTATGGACCAGGGTCTCGACCGATGCCACCTCCGGAGGAGGCTGCGTACGATTACCACGGCCCGCCCAATGGCCAGATGCGCCAGCCATCTCCCGGGCCCATTGGAATGGCAGTGTCAGCCGACGCGGGACCAATTGGTCAGGCAATTGAAATGACGCCGCAGCCCAGACGAACGGGATCTACCGAACCACAGATGCAGGACTCATTAGAGCCGCAACCGCATGCTGTCTCGGCCGATGGGTATGCGGAGCCCGTGAGCCCATCGAGTCTCTACAGCCGCACTCCGTATGACATGTCTCAAGTGCCTTCCAGCTCTGTCCCCCTAACAGAATCTAGGTCGTATGTTCCTCCACGTGCTGGCTGGGGCGCCGATCTGCGTGTGGGCCCGTCTCCGTCTCCTGTGCACGCGTATGGTGCCCGCAGCATGAACCGCTCTCCGCAAACGCATGTCCGGTCCAACTCGGGCGACTACTACGAAGATAACGACCCGCGGTTTGCGAATCGGAACGAGTCGGCTGTGGGCAACCCGCGGCTCCCTACTGCGTTGACACCGGGCAATAATGGTGAGCAGAAATTGACGGAAGGCTTGGCAGAAGAACCCAGCTCACCGACTACTAGCGATATAAGCCACTTCACGTCTATTTCGGAGCGGCCTATCAATCCTCGCTGGCGTCCGCCGCCGCTCCCCGCGCAGCAGAAGCGGGACGTGCTGTTGGAGAACAACCCGGACTTTGATCTCCGCGCGGGCGCAGGCAGAGGCGGCGGCGCTGGTAGTCGCATGCCCCCTATCAGTGCCACAAGATACCCCCTCCCTTGAATATAATATTGGCGGTTTTGTGTTTTGTTTGTTTGGCGGAGTTTGGAGTTGGTGGACAGACTTGGTCTTTATCATGCCCGAGCCGGTGCTTTTTGTTAATCCACTGGACTCGGCTTCTGTGTACAAAGTCTGGTATATAGTGATCTCGACGTGTATGATAGTCGTGCTGCACGAATGGGAGAGGCTAGACGGGACCTTGTGCATGAAGTAGCTACACTCGTACGATGAACGAAATGGCCATTGTAGAACAGGGTATATACATTATCCGGGTATTATTCACAAGAAACAATCATGCATCGACCAAGCTTTTCCACCATCGATCACCTCAAGACCATATCGATCTCTACCGATACGGCGACTTGACACTGCCCTCCAGCTCATTCAACCGATTCGAATCACTCATCTCCACGACCCCATGGCTGTTGCTCATCTCCACCACGCCATGCGTATTGCTCATCTCGACCGCATGCGGTCCAACCGGCAGCTCCACGGGGCCCTTTTCCACCGGCCACTTCTCCGGCGGCTTCTCCGCCATATACTGCTGGTGGTGGTGTCCAGGCGACGGCGGCGCCGCTCCACCCGCACCCGGGGCCCCATCCTGCCCCGACTGCTGCTCAGTCGCAGCAGCAGCAGCAGCAGCAGCAGCGGCAGCCGCCGCCCGCCGCCGGCGTCCCAGGAAAAAGAACGCACCCCCCAGCACAGCAACACCCGCCACCACGCCGACGACAATCCCCGCGATCGCCCCGCCGGACAACCCGCCGCCGCCGCCGCCGCCGCCGCCGCTGTCACCACCAGCAGCGCTGGTCGTCGCAGCCGCCGCACTACTCGTGCTGCTCGAGGCTGATGATGAAGACGAAGGCGACGACGTCGCACTGGCAACGGTAGCCGTCGACGACGGGCCGGACTTGTCGCCGAGGTCGATGAGGTAGGAGTGCAGGTCGCGCGAGGCGTTCTTGCGCCAGAGCGTGTCGCTGTAGCCCTGGTAGTCGCCGGAGCAGTTGTTGTTGGCCCAGATGTAGAAGAAGTAGGGGTCTGATTCGGGGTTGAAGTCGAACTGGCGGTCTTGGGCTTGGTCGATCTGCGTGCAGGGCTGGGGCGAGCGGCCGTTCTTGACCCAGGCGGTGTTGTTTTCGTCGCGCCAGGTGAAGGTCCAGGCGGAGGTTGCGGGGAGGAGACCCAGGGCGAGGAGGGCTAGGGGTTTCATTGTGGGATGAGGGTATATGGGTGTACTCCGGATGGTGTATGGGGTGAGTGAGACAGAGAAAGGGGTCTGGAGCGCGGGGGTAATTTAAAGTCGTGAGTCGTGCTTGGGAGGCTCGTACTCGTTAGCTTCAGCAGATATTTTCGGCTTCAGGCTGGGCATTTGGCCCCTTGCCGTGTCGGGACAGATCAGCAGAGCACAGATGGCATGCGGTCGGCTGTAGCATGTTCCTGTTCATGCCTATGACTGTGAGTCGTGTCACTGGAGGGGGGTCTATAGTGAGGATGCTCATATCCTGCAGGTTGGGACATTCGGTCTATCCGACTTCGTCCAGGTCTATACCCTCATACAGTATAACTACGGAGTACACTTTCTCGCCATTCGATAACGGACGCCTTTCAGCCTCCGACAACCCCTTGGACCAGTTATTCCGTAACATATTTGAACAGCGCGTCTTGGCTCTGCGCGGTGGATTCCTGGTGATTGGCGGCACGGCAGGAATACGAGGTGGTGCTGCTCATCCACTCACACCACAAATCACGACGGCTCAAGCCGCGAGCCGATGGAGCTGACGGGGCACAAGGTGACGATCTCTTATTATTTGTTGCAACGGTATCTTCCGAGGCTGATCTATGGGCTGTCTCAGTTCATGTGAGATGGATACAATTTATGTGTGCAATACTGACGGGAGGTACTCCGACGGAGTTAGGGCTACGCTACTCCACCATCTTGACTCCCTCTCTCTCTCCCGGATCACCACCTCTTTCTTCGCCAGCGACGCCTTGACCGGATCCCCACAGATCGTGCCAGCGTTGTCCTCAACCGTGCTGTCGTGCGATATCAGGGCTTCTCGGCATGGCGCCTTTTCCAGCACAGAGGCGGTTCCGTGGCATAGCCTGCAATCACGGTTCATCAGCGCGTTTTTCGTGGCCAAAGCAGCTAGCAATCCGTTGGTCTGGGAACGGAACTGTTTCTGGCAGATTGAATCGTCAATCACTATGCTGATTATGGCCATTGCTTTGTAGGTAGGGTTCGGTTGTGGCTTCCATGGCCATTGCTTGGTTTCACGTTCATATGAGACTCTTACAATTTGGCAGGGGCTTGCGCATCAGCTAGTATATAAGATTTGGATTATGGGCAGATCATCGGAGACATCATTTGTCTGAAACTGTCATAGTATCAAATCGGCGAGATAGTCTGAACCTGAAGGTGGAACAGGTGGAGCTGTCAGGTTCAGCGATTGTACGTACCGAGTGGAGTGACAACTTACGTACTCACCTTACACTAAGGATCTAGATTCCAGACGGTGTGGTTAGTGTTGAAGGAGGATTAAGATCTATCTAGGCATTGCACGATAGAATGGGTATACTCATTATTCATAGCCGCCAGCGGAATCGAAAGGTATTAGCATACAGTCAAAGCATAACATGATAATCGAAAATCAAACTCATGGTATCATTAGCCCATCTCTAACCACCTAAACGACCATTTACCTATTCATCGCGTCGGAAGAAACTTCTCCGAAGCATCTTGTTGCTCGCTGAACGACTCCCTAAACGCCGCAATCCCTGCGATGATTCCGACCGCCATGAACCCAAGCGAGATGAGGGACCAAATGACGCCCCAGCAGCGAGAGGATCCCCCGTATCTCTGCGCAAAGACGCTGGCATCCGAGGTGTTGACCTTGCGGATGATCAAATCGTCGCACTGAACCGTCAGCAGAAGCACCTACACATAGCGGCGTCAAGAACTTACAATATCCCAGACACTATACAGCGCGGACATCACACCAATAAACAGCTGCACAGTCAGTCAGTCACTGTTTGCTTCATGAAGGCGACGAGCACATACCACAACCCACCGCAGCGCCTCGCCATGGGCAATAAACCAGCAGGCCACCAGCAACCCCACCGCCAGAAGAATAGTCACAATAGTCAGCCAATCCCGGCGCGCCCACCACAGCGTCAGCAGGAAGCACACGCCTAGGACGATACTGGCGACTTTGCTGGCTACAATGTCGAACCCGGCGAAGATGAGGAGCGCGCCGATGATCGACGATCCTAGATAGCCCGCCGGAAGAGTGACGGCGCTGATTCCGCCCTGCATATGGGTCACTCCGCCCTCGTGGGGATCCAGTGAGATGGACTTGACCCGGCCTCCCGTGCAGCATGCGGTGATTGCATGGCCGAACTCATGGAAGGCGATGACCAACATCTGTTTTGTGTTAAATTATGGTTGGTACCCGAGGTGTTAGGGGCATACCTTGAATGGCCAGAGCGACCACCGAACATAGGGCAGGTTCCACAGCAACGCGATCACGACAACATAGGCGGCCATGACTCCGAGGGTTACTGCTTGGGTATGGTTGACGGTCAGATCGCGTCTGGCCAGGTGGTGGCTTGCCAGATGGTGGCTTGCCAGATGGTGGCTTGCCGCCTCGACGGCCTTTTTCTCGAGGATGTCGTAGAGGGGAGGCATTATGACTGGACAGCCTTGAAAGGTACCTAGGTAGACTAGGTAGATCAGTGAAGCGGAAGTCGTTACGAAGTAGTAGATAAATATCTGTCTGGCCTGGAGTGTCTGTTGATGCCTACGCGTCGGCCAGCCAATACTTACCTATTTGGGACTAGTGTCGTGGCTGGTATGTATGCTATTTTTAGCTCTACAGCCCTATTGATTTGTACGGAGTATATTGTACAGTACATCACAGCTTCGACGATGCCTTGCCCTTCTCCTTTGCCGCCAAAATCTCCTTCATTAGTCGGGATGGCTCACTTACGCCCTCTGCACCCTCAACTTCAAACGACTGCCCAAACGCAGGAATGCCCGCCTTGACGCCCTCATCTAACCCGAGCTGCTCCCACTGCCGCATCAACGCCTTCTGGCGGCGAACCGCAAGAGGCCCATTCTGTTCCAGACGCTGGATCCACCCCTCCACCGCCTCGTCCAAGCCCTCCGGCTCAACAACCTTTTCCACGAGTCCCCACTGCAGAGCCTCGGCGGCGGAGACATTGTCTCCCAGCAGGAGGAAGCGTCGCGTCCGGCCCCAGCCAATCAGCCCGGGCAATAGAGCCGCTTCAACGACGCTCGGAACGCCAATGCGCACCTATCAGATACCCTTAGCGACTGACGTATAGCTGAGCTATATCGGACGTGTCTTACCTCCGGCATCCCAAAAACAGCATTGGAGCTCGCCACGCGAAAGTCGCAGGACGCAGCGACCTCCAGCCCAGCGCCCAATGCGTACCCGTTGACTCGTCCGATCACGGGCACCGGGCAGTCACGGATGCTTTTGCATGCGTGGTGGACGCGGGTGATGAACTGCCGCGCGGCGGCCGGAGACTCCAAACTGCCCATCTCCTCGATGTCTGCGCCGCCGATGAAGGATTTGGCGCCCGTGCCGGTGAGCACGACGGCGATGAGGTCTGGGTGTCTTTTTGGGATCTCATGGAATGTGTCCGTGAGCTTTTCGAGGAGCGTGGAGTTTAGACTGTTCAACTTGGAGGGACGGGATATGGTGATGGTTGCGACCTGGCCGGTGAGCCGCTGGGCGACGCTGGTGATGATTGCTTCTGCGTTCTTTGCCATTGTGCGCGGATGTCTGACTAGTTAGTTGCTAGCAGACATGTCAATAGAAGCTACTATACTATATAGCCCGATGCTCTGGATCTACCCCGCAACAGCAACTACCGAGGCTCCATACGGCGATTCCACGGCGATCCACGGTGATTACAATATCCCCACCCTGAATAGCCTCATTCGAGATACCCAGATACCTATCTGCCTGTCAAAGCTTAGACCCATCATCAAACCTCCCATGCCTCCCCAGCCCACTACTAAACCTCGCCGCGCCCGCCACACTCTCCGTCCGCAACACCTCCGCCCCACCCTCAAACTCATGCCTCAGCGCATCCTCAAACGACCTCGCCTGATACGCACTGTAATAGCACGACTCCCGATCCGCCTTCATACACAACTGCGGAAACGCCAGTAACTGCCGCGCAATAGCAACAGCCTCATCCACCGCCGTGCCCTTGGCCACCACGCGATTCGCAAGCCCCATTGCCAGCGCCTCCTGCGCGCCAACCGGCCGCCCAGTAAGAACCATATCCAGCGCGCGCCCCAAGCCGACAATCGCCTGCAGACGCACCGTCCCGCCGTCAATCAGGGGCACGCCCCATCGCCGACAGAACACGCCGAACACGGCGTCTTCCTCCGCGACCCGGATGTCGCAGAGGAGACTTAGTTCCAGGCCGCCGGCGACGGCGTAGCCGGATACTGCGCCAATGATGGGCTTCGTAGGCTGTAGTCGGGACGGGCCCATGGGGCCGATGGATGGGGAGCCCGATGGAGGCGGTGGTTGGAAATGGGGGGTGTTGTGGGCTTTGTCTTTGCTCTGCGCGACGGCGTGGAGGTCTGCGCCGGCGCAGAAGGTGTCACCCATCCCGGTTAGGATGCATACTTTTTGGTGCGGGTCGTTCTCGAAGGCAAGGATCGCCGAGTAGAGGTGTTGGGCTGTTGCGTGGTCGACGGCGTTGCGGCGGTGCGGTCTGTTGAGGCGGATGATGGTGATGCCGTCTGGGGTGGTGCTGGAGATGACGGTTTTGTTGTCGGTGGACATTGTGCTTGTTGGGGTGGAGTGTGGGAGTTGAGAGGTGGAGCGGGGGTACGGTCTTGATATAGTTATATACTTCGTATCCATCCGAGGTAATCGGATATTTTGCACATGGAGTCATGGAGCTGCCACATTCAATGCGGTTTAACTGGCTACTGAGTATATCTCCCTACACGCTTTCTATACTTCTCATGCTAGCTCTGCCGGAATATATACCATGAAACCCGCTTTCCTCCATTTATATATGTACCTATACGTAATAGATTTTCTAGGATAATCGTAAACTTCCTCTCTAGGACACTGCCGCTTTAGTAAGGGCGCTCAGAGGTCTGCATCACAGATCACTACTTACTAAAATATCAGCCTTTTACTCATGAGCGATTATATATACTCACAGAGCCGCTTACCCCATCTATTTTATCTAGATAATTTAATAACTATATTTAACAATATTTCTAAAAAATTGCCTACGCCTCTTAAATACCCGGTCGATATAACGTAAGTAAATAACAATAGAATCTAATTTATCCTTTATCGGCACTCCAAGCTGCAGTATTTCAAGGGCATGAGAAGATTATGCAGATTCTACTAGATTGGGGCGCCGATGTCAATCTCAATGATGAGGAGTGTGGCACTGCACTACATGTCGCATCATCTGAAGGACATGAGAAGATTGTGCATCTTCTGCTAGACCGAGGCGCGGACATCAATTCTCACAGTGAAGGGCTCCACAGTGCACTTCAAGCTGCATCAGCCGAGGAGCATGAAAAGGTTGTGCAGATCCTACTAGCTCGAGGTGCCGATATCAACGTACGGGGTGGAGACCTCGGCAGTGCGTTTGAAGAGGCATCATCCAACGGACATGAGGCCATAATGCGGCTGCTGCTGGCCAGGGACGCTGAACAGAGTGATACGTATAGTTGAGACCTCTACATGGTTCCCTCATCAATCGGGTTTCATTCCTATGCCATTGGGAATGTCTGACTCTCTCAATGTGCGTGGAGCTGCGGGAATTGCTGGGATCTGGCCTCAGATGCATCTTTTTGCGAGGAGTTGGTCTTGAGTGATTGACTCTGTGGTAGGATTAGAGATTTGAAGAGATCCTAGACTGTCATTGCGACGTACCCGTCGCAGGACCAATTTACCCTCTGAGGCGCTTCCGAGATGAATAGAGGAGACAAGGACGTAAACGAAGGAGGTCACCGTAAACTGTTCTGGAGGGAGCGACTTTACCAGATGTTTTATGACCGGTCAATACGCATCCTAGCCGGGGTCCGGGAGAATTTGTCCGTTGATTCCAACCTGCTATCATATTGGCGCTAGTAACGCTCATATGTTCAAGCAATTGGAGCGACGATAAACGATTGAATTGACGATAAAGACGATGAAGATGCTTGAAGATAAGAGTCCCTCTGTTGAAGAGGCAGCGCCTAAATACATGAAGCCCAACGAGCAAACGAACGAGATCATGTGCCACGAGTCCACCAGATTCGACATGGCCATGCTTATTCCAGATCAGCCTCATCTAGCTGATATAACTCCCTTCCCAGCTCCCCATTCACTCGATACTTCTCACCAGTCTTTCCGTCCTCCCATAATTGCATAGGGAGCGACAACTGATCCCATTCAACGGCAACATCAACAAATATCTGCTCATCGAATTCTGTCCGGGTCTCTTGGACAATATTCCTCTTCCCATCATAATAGATTAACCGTAGCATATCTGTTTTAAAAGCTTCCTGATCCGCAATAGCAAGATAGCCCTCTGAAACTATTCGCCGAAGGTATGCAAGGTCTCTTTCAATATAATTATCACGATTCGCCGTCCATTCGTCGCTTTGTTTGAGGGTCGGTAGTCTCTCCTTGAAATACTGTCTGCTCCGTGAGATACTTTCTGGGTCTGGCAGGCGGCTATAACTATTCAAAGGGCCGGCTAACTCAGGCAAGATATCGAAGACTCGCCACCACTGGTCACCAAAATTGAAGAGTTTAGGATTATCAAGAAGTGCCCACCAGGCCGTCCTCTCCTCGTGGAGCTCATCGGACCCTACTAATTCCGTGATCTTATAGTCGTCATCGGCATTGTAGTGGGTGCGTAACAAAATCAACTGATTGTTATCACACCCCCAAATCTTCCATGCTATCTTCCGTAGGTTATCAGAGCGCCAGGGGCGAAGGATAGTATCGATTTCATAGGCCGTAATTGACAGTGTTTCGTAAGTGTCCGAGGCATGACAACTAGGGTCCAGTTCCTTCGGAATCTCATCTAGATCCAAGAACTGATGGATCAGTCGGAGGCGCTGGTCTTCAGGAGGCTCAGATGAGGAGTGATCCCAGTGTTTCTTTATAGATATTAGCCACGCAGGGGAAACAACAGTGGCGCAAAACACTCACGATCAAGTACAGCTCGACGGGTAACAGGCCCCATTGCGGAAGGTATGCCTTGTCCATCACTGTTATGGGCGACAAAACAGAGCTCTGGACGGTAGATGGAAAGGCCCTGCCTGTCCAACGCGGGGCAAATAACACGTTAAACAAACACTATTTTGCACTGTTTGCATGTAGTGATCTCAGGACTGGTTAGGGAAAGAGCCCTCATAGAAACGCTGGGCTTTAAGTAAGCGTAGCGGGTAAGAGTGGACTGTAAATAGAGAGGCGGGCAAGAGAGAGGGTTATTAGTCGGGGTGCAGTTTATTGAGATTACTCGCTTAGGGCATTCAGTCTCCTGCTCACCCCGTGCTCAGTGATAGCCTCAGGCTGCTCAGGACGTGCTCAGGGCGTGCTCAGACCTACTCAGTGAGCAAAAAGCGGCGAAAGGGTGAGCACTAAAACGGAAAGGGAAGGCCATCGACCGTCCCAGAAAATCAATTATGTATGAGTAAATCATCAGACCATAACCGCGTACATCATCTATCTTTACCCATAAGGAAACATCATCATCGTATCAACCCTCCACATCCCCCTTCCCCTCTCTCTCTCCCCTCCACACAAACCACGCGATCGTAATCGAAAACTTCAACCCCATCGCAAACCACAAGCTCGCCGCCATCTCCGTCGTCTTGGACAACCCTCCCGCGGTCATCGCCCCAAGAAACAGCGCCAGGAACGCCCCGACACGCCGGTTCCGCTTCGGGTTCGCGCTCCACCCGCGCGCCGTGAGCTTCGGGTCGACAAGCAAGTCGCACAGCAAGGTCGTCAACACGACCGTCGGGATCTCGTCGAAGGCGAGGATGCGCGAGGTGCAGATCTGCCCGCCGGCCTGGAACGCCAGCAGCGCGATGGGCAGCACCTGCATCCACTCGATTGGGGCGCGCGGGTCTTCGGGGCGCGGGCCGGCGACTTGCATCTGCAGGAGGATGGCGGCGGTGAGGAGGCAGGCTGTTTGCACGGCGAAGGAGAGGATCAGGGTGGAGCGGCGGCGGGGGCCGAGGGCCCGCGAGGTGTTGATGAAGATGACGTTGCTTAGGAGGAAGGTTGTCAGGGCGATGAGGGATTTGGCCCAGAGGTATGCTGGGTAGGCTGGTTGGCCCGAGGCGCCTAGGGCGATGAAGAGGGTGTTTCCTGTCCATGGTTAGGACAATATAAGAAGCAGCGGTTGGGTGCATACCGGTTTGCATGCTGGAAAAACTCCCCCAGGCGTTGAAGGAGAGTCCGTCGACCAGCCCACTGACGAACCCGCAGATGATGAGGAGAATGTCTGTGTATGCGGTGTTGATGTTCGCCTGGAAGTGTCTCGACAGGGCCGTCAGTACCGGCTGCTTCTCGGTCAGGGTGCCCTGGTTCCCTGACAGAGACACTGTGGTGCTGCCTCCGACGGACCACATCCCGGCAGGGTCTTTGGTCTCGTCATCGAACCGGGATATCGAGGGAGACACGACAGTCTGCGGGTCCCAGTATATCATCTGGTTGTTGTTTGCCGTTGCGGCCGGCTGAACTTCGTTGTGCTGGCTGCTCTGCATGGCTGTGGCTAGGGAGGTACAACAGTCCACGGGGGAGATCTTGGAAGAACACGGTAGGGTTCTGGTTTATATCCTACAGGCGGGTGGAGCAGGTCACTGCCCAGGGTGGCTGTTTTATATCATACTGCCCAAAGCAATAACCCTGTGCCAAGGACAAAGACTGCGCGTCTTGCTGGAGAACTCCGATCTACTCGCTTACGGAGTACAGCCTCCAGTCGCATCTGCCATCGCCATGGCGAGCTCGTGCTTTGGGTTACACGACCGGAAAGGCGTTTCAAAACCGACCTGCGGCGGCATGATTATCTACCTCAGGAACTGGTCCTACCAGCGGTCCCAAAGTTCCCGACATATACTCCGAGGACCAACGCACCAGTCGGGTGCCCCTTGTGATATCACGACCCCCCGACTTTGGATTCATCGCAAGGCTCCGCCGTGGAAGCAGCTTGGCACGTCCTTGGCGTTACCACCGCGGCGTCACGGGCTGCATCCGGTTTTCGTGCTCAGTCCCGGAATCCGCTTCGGGTAGAGATTAGGCAGACACGCCAATGATATTGAGTGCAAAGAAGTATGTAGATCGGTGGGACGCCAAGGGGAGTTCTCTTGTAGACGATAGCACGCTGGATAGAGTTGGGGACGGAATTAGGCGGGACCTTGGCAGGCAAGTGTAGTTCGTGAGGATTCTGGCAGTGCCGCCGGAATGGGGCAGAATGCTTCTGGGGACTGGGGAAACGTCAGCTGCTGGCCTAGCATGAAACAAGTCCCGGCGTCGGTCGTATTCTGCTGTCTTTCCCAGCTCAGGGTGACACAGATCGGAACAATCAGGTAGCAAATGTGGGCGGTAGGGACTTGGTGCTTATCAGGGAGTCTCTACACGAGAACCGGATGGCGGCCGCCCCTTCTAGACCCCGGCTGACACCAGATGCATGCAAAGCTGGCAGCTACCCTGCGTGGCGCAGCATAGCCCGTAGTTTGTTTTTTGGGCTGTTTGGCCAAGGAAGATCGCCAGCAGCCGGTGAGCATAGTTTGCGACTAAAGTCTTGTCTTTTGCACCAGCCGTCGTCTAGTTAGGCAAGGTTCAGAGTAGCTCAGTTTCTACCTTATCATGTTCCATGTACCCCTTTTGAGGTGTATATTGGCTCTTGATATAGAGATCTACATGTTCGCCTGCAGAAGCTGAAAGAAAGGAGTCGAGCAGCGAAGAATCACTGATAAGTACGCTGTATATCGTAAGCCAAACATATTGCTTGACTAATCTCATAGTTCCTTGTCGGTCAGGGCAGACATCCCAACCATGCATTATTCTTTCCCAGTCGAGGTAACAAGATCAGCCACTGTTGTATGCCAAGGCATGACACTGCCCCGCGTCCATGAGACTATGATATCCTCGAGAGATTGCTGATCTGGGTGCCATGAAAGTAAGAACCATGTCTCGTGGATTGCACGGATTGCACTCCAATCTGTCCATTGGCTCCAGGGTCCTTGGCATCAGGTGCGGGTGCCTCCAGTGTGCATATACTCTGTAGAGACTAGGCGTAGCAAGCATTTTCAATTGATGATTGCCTTTTACATTCCGTATTCTTCCGAATCTACGGTGGATATCTAATCAGATGTCGTATTTGGGTATCCCAAATGCTCGGAAGGGGGAAATGTTCCCCGGTTGTATAGAGCGGACAATCTGCTAGACTTTATCTAGCTACCAAAGAGCATTTTTATAGTGTAGTGTAGGCTCAACAGACTATGAGGCTGTACTTCTCAGTCCGATCTCTTGGAATCCGTGACAGGTACTTTATATATTTCCTGGGTTGTGAGGGTTTTATTGACGAAGAGCAAGTTATTGCACAATCATATAGTCCTTCCCAGTGATAAAGACTAGCCCTAATTCATAGAAATTTCCTCTATCTCTTTACTAGGTGCAATCACTTTACTGAAATTCAAGTGTCTAGTACCTAGATATCATTCCTTTCATCTATCCCCCAGAATAATCTGAAATTGTATACCCCCATTGGCCGGCCCCTCTGTTTCAAGTAGATTGTATGATCCACCGCCGCTATGAAACCCGACACACGACGATCATCCCATTTCATCATCCTGTCGTGTCCGTATCCATAGCATTTCCATTTTGGGTTAATTGGCAAGAAGTGTCAGCTGAATAAGCATGTTTTCCTGTCGTCCTGACAAGCCACTTGGTCTAGCCCACGTTCTCAAGCTGAACGATCCTGCGTGGTGGGGAGGGACCGCATCATGGCTTCTGTGCGTGAGAGGGTCCATGAGTTCGTCCGACGTGCCCGAAAGTCCATCTCAATCCACCGAAAACCAGCCAGGTACGCACCGCATTTGATACTACTAGGATCGAAGCTAACCTGTCTATAGGAGTACAGTCAACCAGAAACAGTCGGTCTGGGAAAGACTCCCGACGACTGTGCTTGTCAAGATCCTGGCGCAATGCGAGCTGAGCGACATATTCTCTCTCATGCTCGTCTGCCGCCTGTTGCACCAGCGGATCCGGGACCATGAGCCCGCAATTGCACAGGCCTATCTCCACCACCGCAGACTCGACAATAGCTTCAACGAGGAGGCAGAGAACGAGATCAGCGCCTCGCCCGGGGACGACCTGTCCTTCATCGCGGATCTCTTCCCTCCGCCCCCGCCGCAGTACTCCAACAACAGCTGCACCGACGACCAGCCCGACTACACCCTCGGATACATGGCCGACCTGACCCGCTGCTGGCGAACATGCATCCGCCTGTCATACTATCTCGCCGCGCACGTCGTCCAGCACCATCTCCAGACCGACCCCGTCGCGCGGCCGCTCTGGTCGTCCTCCAAGACCGAAAAGGAACTCGTCTACAGCAAAGGCATCGGCCTCCTGCAATCTCGCCTCATATACCCGATGTAAGCCTCGCCTCCCACCATCACATCCACCCAAACCACCCCAGTAACCAGACCAGGGCCTACCTCATCCTCTTCCTCGAAACCACCGCAGCCGCCACAGACAGCCCGTCCCATCCCCAACACTCCCTCACCACCCAAACCTCCATCCTTCAACAACCCCCCTTCTCCTCCACCCACGTCCTCCTCTCCACCCACCACTGCATGCACCTCCTCTGCTCCACCGTCCGCCGCATGATGGCCCCCGAAGTCCCCGCCATCTCCACAGAGCACTGGCTGGGCCTCCTCCTCACCACGTCCACCCTCGAGCGCATCCTCGACTTCTTCCGCGCAGCCGCCGCCGACGAGCTAGCTAAAGACGTCCCCGCGAACCATCACCATAGCCATAGCCATTCGCACGCGCTGCCGCGCTCATGGACGAACCGCATGGAGTTCATGTGGCGCATGCGTAGCGACTGGGGCGCGTACTTAGCTTCGAACGGGGAGGCGGGCCGCGGGTCTACGCCGCCGGCTCTGGATGCGGTTTGGTTCGAGGCTGCGCGGAGGGAGTTGCGGAGGAGGGGTGCGGTGCCACACCGCTGTGAGGAGGCGGTGCATATACTGCATGGGTCTGCGGTTGTTATGCGGTGTGGGCTATGTGATGATGATGACAGTGATGACTGATGTAAATGCATGGAGCGGGCGTTTCTGACGGTTGATTGCCGGGGAGTATGGATTTGTAGATAAGATGTCCTACGTGGCTGTTGCACAGATTAACAGAACTCGGTTTGGATAATCTATCGGACGGACTGGGACCGGTTAAGAGAAATCGTGCAACGGTAATGATGTCGGTTGCCGAATAGAACCAAATATTTACTCAAGTAGTCAAAACAATGTCCCAGGGCATAAGGACCAGAACGAAAAGTAGCCACGCCAAGTTGAAACGAACGAAAGTTGATGCAATCAACAACGGGGTATGCATGATTCGCTCGAGCACTGCAGGACGAAGAATGCCATATTAATACATTACTAAAAAAAGAAAGGGTGTTTCTATCCCGATATCAACACCCAAAGAAGGAAGAAAATCTGCACATGTTAGCAACAACATCCATCAGTCCTGGATAAGTCGACGTCACATACCATTAACACGCCAAACATCTTGGCGATCAGCCACCGATTGCCGGAAACCCGCGTCCAATACTTCAGAAGTTCGCGATGGGCGCCTTGCACGTTGTCCACCACGTCCTCCGTGTTGGCGTCTATCCGCTGGATCATCTCCGTCTGCTCGTTGACCATCTGTGCCAGCTGTCCGAAGATACCGCCGAGCTCGCTGATTGTCCGTTCGATTGCATCGATAGCCTCGCCTCGCGCTTGGATATAGGAATTGCTGTTCTGCGCTTCCTCCATCATCAAGAGTTGCTGGTCGGAGTGCATCGCCGATTGTCCGAGTGGGGAGGGGTTCGAAGGATCGAGTGTCAAGAGATCTGACGAACCACCCGGTTGGGGGGTTCTCCGCCCCGAGGGGTTGTACAGTGGGGAGTCGGATCGCTGGGGGTCTAGCGCGGATTGCGACTTGGACGACACCGAGGAGACAAAGTTCTCCGTCCTTGACCGCGACGCCTGAATGTTCTTTGTCCGGACCTCGAGAACCTCCTTGAAGTTTGCGCCGACGTCGGCCAATTTCCCTTGCAGCATCACCACCACCTGAGATATTGTTAGACACGCTTATGCGTCCAATTCGGGTTCAATCCAGCACATACATTGTCATTATGTTCTCCCTCTTGATCAGCCTTGGAGCGACTGGACTTCGGATGTTGCGACAGCGTAAGCTGCTGCAGGCCGGCAATCTGTTGGTTCAGAGATGCCAGATCCTGCTTGATTACATAGGTCAACTCCGAAATCTCGACGGGCCGGTCATCGAACAGCGTCTTGCGTTTCGCAACTAATCATCAACCCAAGTCAGTCAACCCACTCAGTACGCAACCTTGTTCCCTCAACTCACGTTCGGCCAGTCGCTGCAACTTCGCGGTCGTCGCAGTGATACCCCGACCGATTTCGGCCGCTCGTCGAGCGAATTCCGATCTCCTCCTCGGGCCTTGGTCGGCACCATTCGCCTGTTTCCGCTGCGCGTCCGACAGCAGGGCCTGCCGCTGGGATCCCACTTTGGACGAGCCGAGGCGCTTCTGGGCCTGGCCGAGGATGGCACGGAATTCGACCGTGCGGTCTTGAATCGACGGCCCGGTCATGTTCGGCGAGATGTTTTGAGGGATATCGGAATGTATTCGGATCGGTTTGTTGATTATCGATAAGGAGGCAACGTGGCCGTTCGTGGAGGAGTCGAGGTACGACGGAGGAAAGCGAGTGATGGCGAGAGAAACAGCTGGGTCGTAATTAAGCGTCAAGAGAAGATCATGTCGTCCGTCGTTGCGATGTGGCAGGGAGCCAAAATGGACAAAAACCAGGGGAATGAATGAATGGACGGGATTAATCCAAGTCGCCGCAGCCGTCCTGGCCGAAAAGGGGAAAGGCGCAGGCGGGATGCACGTGACGCCGCATGCATAACGGAGGCATTACGTCAGCGGTACCAGCCACAGAGCTTACATAAATTCCCAGAATAGTAACTAACCAACTAACTAGCCGCCTCCACCTCCCACTGCGTTGTTCTTCTGCTCCCTGCGACAAGATCCATTATCGGCCCGTCCTTCGCTCCAGGCATCCAAATTATACCCCAGAGAGGTCGCAGTCGCCTCCTGTCCCTCTTTTTCTCCCGACACACGTCACAATCCTGGTTCGTCTTGCGTGGCTGAGCCCGTCGTTTCGACTTCTTCCCATCCACGTCATCTCCACCAGCCTTACGAACTCGCGTTGTACCCGACTGGCGCTGGTGGTAATTTCGCCCGATCCCGATCAATCTACTTGAAATATCACATTGATATCACTTCTTGGCGCCTATCTCAAACTCCCTCTTCGTTTCCATCATTAATGTTATCTATATCGTGCTTCTCGTCGAGTCCGCTATAGTGATGGCTCGCCAGTTCAACCGTCCGTACGAGCCCGAGCTCGCTAACCTGTCAGTCCCCCGCTAGGTGAATTCCTGGAGATTGTTAGCTGACCCAGTTGTCATTCGAATTATAGCTCCTCCCCTAACACCAGCAGCCCTCTATCCCCATTCCCTCGCGGCGAAACACCCATCTCCTTCCGGCCAAATGTGAACCGAGCAAAGACAAAGCGCTGGGTCGAAGCCAAGAAATACTCCTACGATGGAAATGACTGGGGCGAGGACGAGTGGGATGAGTATGACGACGACCCAACACCGCCTGTACCACAACCCGCACCGCTGGCGAACCAAAGCACCGGCGATATCCCCAGTACACTCTTACGGAATGCTCCCCGACCCCCGGCGACTGCGATGGATCGCTCACGATCCATGGAGCACGTAGCCACTCTAGGGGTAAACAGTGGGCCAGGTAGTCGAAGCCAGTCGACAGAGCGTACCGCGGGACAGAGCTCCAACATTGCTATGCCGATTGTACGCCCAGCAGACATCTACCGACGTATGCCAGGGCAGCAATCCGGACAGGATGCACCTTCAGGGACGGGCCATCCGAGTGAGATTCCAACCGCTGTGGGTCTCTCCGCGACCACTGAAGCTGCGCCCAAGTCCAATCTGTTAGAACGAGAAATGAGCGGCGATCACTTACCCCACCAATCCCTGAGCGCTGATGCGGAGGGAACTCCCACTCAGGAGAGACCGTCAGAGAGCTTGACAGTTCAGCACGACGCTTCGGTTCCTGGATTGCCTGACGTCAAACGTCTGTCTGGGTTCGGTACCGATTTTCTGGCAGGGTCATCTAGCAGTCAGAAGGATCAGATCCCTAACCCTGAGGAAGACCATCAGTTGCAGCATAATCCGTCTTTGGGATACCGTTCGGTGGTACATCACGCCTTTGATGTACCGGAGACCCCAAGCACTACAGTCGATAGTGTCGAACGGTCGAACAGCGGGAGCACGTCGGCCATCAGCCCTATCATTGGTAGTCGTGCTTTCGCCTCGGAAGACAAAACCCCAACCATTGTGGAAGAACCGGAAAGCACCTCTCCCCCCAAAGACTTTAAGATCGGACATCGTCGTGATCTGAGCGTCCCGAGCCCAGGAAACAGTCCTTCGAGGCAACCGGTCATCACCAACAACGACACCGTGTATTCGTCTGCGTTGGCGGAAGTGACCACTAATACGCCTGCTGACTCGTTCGGAGAATACTCTCCCTCACACCAGACCGATAGATTCTCCACTCCAGGGCAGTCGCCCATCAAGGAGGAAGATCGACCGTCACCTCTTAACATCAATACGCAGCAGGTCGGAGAGGGCCGCGAGAAACAGAACGTACCTGTGATTATTCCATCGTTGAGCACGGACGACTCACCGCAAGACACAGAAAGTGACAGACTCCGAAAGGAGATTATCCGTTCTCTAAGCCGGGAGAACACCCCAACCGACGACCTGGACCAGCAAGACCGATCCAGACCTCAAACGGGTCGACAAGATAGTCTGATTCCTAGCGAATACGAAAGATACTGGAGCGAAGAAGCTGCTTCCGGCACCCAGGAGCAGTATCAGCCAGTGGACCCTGCGCCGGCTCCAACTGCCTCTTCAGAAGTGTACTCTAGCATTCCGGCTGCATCTTCCACGGAGCAACAAAGCAGACCCAAGATCAAGAGGCGGTTTTCTTGGGAATCTTCATCTTCTGACGACGCCACGCCAGTAACCGGCGCCCAGTCCCCTCCAGGCGTGGCTATGCCTGGACAGTTCCCTATGGCTACCCCACCGCCCGTGGCCGAGGAACAGGAGGAAAAGGGACCCGACATGGGACTTACTCCTACGCCTGAGAAGCCGAAGCTTACCATCATCACGCCTTCGGCCATTGATTCTAGCAGTATCTCTTCAGATCGTCATCTTCCAGAAGTGGTGGATGCTGAGCCTATGCGCGATGTCTCTCCTCATCCAGAGGCCCAGTCGCCGGTAATCGACTACCGGAGTCCCGTGCCAGCGCCTACGGCGCCACCATCCATCGAATCGAGTTTGTTGGGCTTCCGTGACATTCTTGGAATGAAGACATCCGACGAGCGCGTGCAAGCGTTCAACCGCACGAGAGACCAGTTTGCTTCGATCAACACGGGCTTGAACCACTGGATTCAGGTGACGGTCCAAGCTCATCCCGAGCATACTGATGTTGTCGAGCAGAGTTGGAGCCTGGCGAGTGCGGCGCCCAAGCCCATGGCGGCTCGAGCGAAATTCCCGAAGTTGCCATCCCTGGGCACTTTCGGTGCATCGCACCCGGATGGTTCGCCATCCGGCTCTGGCCATGTTAGACGGCCATCGGCGCCTCTGGGAGCGATGATGAACAAGCAACAGGTGGAGCAGCGTGGAAAGGACCTACTCCACACCGCTGGGGTCTTGGGAGGAAAGGCCGGTGAGGCTGCCAAGGGTCTCTTTGCGAAGGGCCGCAGTAAATTCAAGGGAGGCAACGAAAAGGTAGAACCTTGATCTCCTATGATGGATGTTATGCGCGGTTCGTGCAAGGATGCGATGGTAATTCTCTGCACTCATCCATCGCTGCACTTGCATTTGGTTTGCTTTTTCTGGTTTATGTCTTGATACCACTGTTGTAATTGAACATATAATGTGACGCATCGTTATCTCTGCTGTTCCACCTGCCTGCAATTTGCTTTAAGTCTCCGTGCGTGTGTGTGCCAGTCACCTCTAATGCGGTGCTGTAGGGGTTTCAAACGACACGGGGATATCGGAGAAACATCCGACGGTCAGAGTTCGAGTTCTCCTCGGCCGTAGATCTGACTGCGCTGGGCCACGGCGACCAGCGACGCACAGTGCATTGTGGGAGTCTCCCGCTGATGAAGCATTCTCGACCCTGGGACGATCGAGATATGCGGTTCGACATCAAGCGGAAAGGAGTCCCTGATGTTTCGGCGAGTAGACGCGAAGTCAATACTCTCGCAGGGGACAGTCCCTCAGAGGCCACTCAACGCCGAAGAGCGCGCGGTGATCGACCCGAATATCTGCTCGACTTGGAGAACGAAATGAGTCGCGCTCTCGGTCTGGACGGGGCGTGTCGATCCAAATTGGCTGCCGACGGAATTGACCGATCGCGTTCGCGTTCCTTCTAGGCAATTAAGGCCCGACAAGCATCCGCGGACGTCAGCAGAGAGTTTGAGGCTCTAACGAATAAACATGGCGGGGCTGATGGTGCGGCGAGGTTGAGCTCGTATTCCGACTCTTCACGACTCCTGCAGACCAACCACGCCCTTCTTCCACGACAGTACAATATTGTACGACGAGCCCCAGATGCAGACGACGATCGGGCGTTGCGATGACTGTCGACGAGCGCCGGTGGAGCAGAGTAGTGGCGCCAAGGCAGACTGTTCGACACTGTCACATTCCCTGGTGCTGCTAGGCGGCGACGATCAGCGTGAAGATGCACATTCTTTTGGCGATTTTGGTCTGCAGCCCCCGGCCCTCCCACGCGGGCGTCAACAACGACGAGGGGGAAGTGCACCGCTGCAACTGCCCCTGTCGCCGCCACTACATCGGATGGAGTCCGTTTCCTCCTTGGGCATCCAGCATCCTCCTGATCTAGACCCGAATCGGCCGCGGGGTGCCCTGCTTGGTGAGTGATCGATGCATTCCCCCCTGTCCCTTTGTTTCTTTCAATCCCCCAGAAGATGACAGAACCTGTGATCGGAGATTCCATCTGACGCCGCTGACTCGGTCAGATCGCAGCGCCTCCCTCGTGTCGCTCCCCTCCGACATGGACCCGGATGAGGTGCAGCCGCAAATTCTTGGCGGCGACGAAGACAACAAAGAGCCTGAACAACGTCGCTCAACAGGCCGGGACTTTCTAGCCCCTTCTACTCCAAGCAATGACCGCACCTTTTCTACTTCTGCTGCCTGCAAACAGGAGACTAAAGGCCGCTCCGCCATGGACAAGATTGTCGGGAGAATCCGCCGTCCCTCCAACCCGGCCGCTGATCCTGGTCAGCCGTCGCATAGAGGGCCTCTGGATAGGCTGAGTGTATGTTCTTCCGCCAGTCATCCATGCGCGCGCTCGAGACTAATATCGTTTCACTCAGGGGCTGTTTGGCCGCCATCATGGCCGCAGTGAGCAACACCTGCAGTCACCGCCGTCCATTGCAACGCAAGGTCCACGAGGCCATAAATCAATGGACCGACTGCATCTCTCTTCGTCGCAACCCTCGACGCCAGGCTACCCGCCTCAGCACGTCTCCTCGCCCGGCCACACCAGGCCCAGTTCGTCGCGCGACAACGCCCTCTTCCAGGGACAGCGTCCGCCGCCTGAGGGGTACTTTGCTCCAGAGTCCTTCGCTCGGTTCAGGGAGACACAGGACACCAACATCCCCCTGGCCCACCAGGTCAGCGCCGAAACCATCCCCCGCCATAGCGGCAGCGGTCGAAGCCGGGGAAGTGGGAGCGCCGCCAGCAGTCTCCCGCCCAACTCTCCACGACATCCCCCAAGAAGCCCTCCCCTCCCTCACGCCCGGCCATACCACCCACCGCAATCGCCGCCGCAACCGCAATATCCCGCCCACCTCGCATCCCCGCTCCCTTCCCCGGTCCCGCGCACGCCGCCCTCTCGCGGCCGCAGCGAAGAACGCACCTACGCCCAGGAACTCCACCTCCGCTCCCGCAGCCCCAAGACCTTTGCCCCGCGTCCCGAAGAACGCCACATCCCCAGCACCGACATCACCGACCCAGCCCATAATTTGGGCACGTTCCGCTCGTCGAACCCGCGCACCAGCCGCATCGGCGACCAGGAAAGCCCGTGGAAACTGACCCTGCCCGGCGACGACGACGATGACACCGAGTCTGGCACCCTCGCCTCCTGGCGCCGCCACACCACCGGCGGTGCGGTGCCCACCGCCGCTGCCGAGGACGACCGACTGCCCACCTACGAGGAAGACTCGGAGAACCATCCGCCGCCGGCGATGCCCGTCTCCGATGAGAAGCGCGCCTCGACATCGCTCGTCCCCGGGGGAGGTGGGCAGCAGCAGCAGCAGCAGTCGCAGTATGAACATCCGACCCGCGGCCACGGCCGGTCGGTCAACACCTCCGGGTCGCCGGTGGAGCTGCCAGTGCGCGCGGACGACGACTCCAGTGAGGAGATCACCATGTCGAGCACGGCATATCCGGGGCAGGAGTGGAAACCTCTGGGGTATTCGGGGTGGGAGGGATGACAGATATGGACAGGTGATATAACATATGCATGTACTTTGGATGTATTCTGCAGCGTTCAGCGAGCTTGACGATTACGAAATAGCATAATGAATCGATTGACGAGAGCGTCTTGATGAAATTGCGTGTATATAGAGTCGAGATCTATCTCTATTTTGCCCACTATACATACACCCCCCACTCAGCATGTCTCTACCCCTCGAACACGCTGTGGTTCAACTCAACCCCCATATCCTTAGCCATGGTCTGCATCTGCGCCTCAATGGAATCCTCCATGCCGCCGCCCAGATGCAAGAACTGGCGCACCTTGGTAAAATAAAAGAACACATCGGAAGAGAACAGCACGAAGCGGAAAAGCAAATGGCGCCCAAAGTTGCGGATCTTCTGCGCGAGCGGCAGATCGGGCGACTCGACCAGCGCGCGCGACGCCCACGTGCCGGTGATCTTGACGCGGTTGACGGGCGACCCGAGGAACTGGTTGTTGGCCTGGACGATGCGCAGGTTGCGGCCGAGGAAAATGAGCTGCTTGGGCCACTTGGTCTCGTCGCCGAGGATCTCGCGCACGCCGCGGCGGGCGGCCTGCTGCATCTCGTAGGCGCGCTGGGCGCGCTCGGTGCGGCTGAGGCCCTCGAGGTTCAGTTGCGTGGAGCGGTCGCCGCCCTGGTAGGGGCGCATGAGGGTGGCGGAGGCGAAGATGTCCGGGTTGGAGACGCCCCAGCCGCGCACGATGTCGCCCAGCGTGGCGTTGTCGAAGGTCAGCAGCGCCTCCCAGAAGGCGGCGTACTGGTGGCGGAAGGCGGTGTCCATGTGGATGTAGAGGCCGTGGTCGATGAGGACGAGCTCCGCGTGGCCGGAGGGTTTGCGCCGCACGAAGATGTTGCCCGGGTGCGGGTCGCAGTGCACGAAGCCCCAGAGGAACATCTGCGCGGAGAACAGGTCCACCATCGTCGTCATGACTTCCTTCAGCGACAGGCCCAGCCCGCCGCGGCCGTTCCAGCCGCGCCAATGGTCGCGCTCGGGTTTGATCTTGGCGAGGTTGGGGTTGCGGCGCACGAGGGCGGAGAGGTCTTCGTTCGCTGCGGGGGGCTTCTGCCCACTGGACGGAGACGGGTCGAGGGGTGTGCCGTGGCAGCCCGGGCTGCCCTCGCGCCAGCCGCCGCGCCAGCCGCGCGTGATGGCGTCCTTGTCCCAGAGGCGCACGCCCTCGATCCACTCGGCGGTCATGACGCGGCGCGAGCTGAGGTCGTGGTAGACGCGGGGGATGTAGACGCGGCCGCGGAGGCGGGACTCGCCGGCGACGAGGCGGCTCATAGTCTCGGAGTTCTGTGCCTCATTCTGGAAATCGGTCTCGAGGTAGAGGCGCTCGTTGATGTAGGGCACGAGCGAGTAGAAGGGGATGTCGAAGACCTTGCTGTAGATCCAGGTGACGACCTTGAACGCCCAGAGATCCCACTGGATCTGCTGGGCGATCTCGCGCTTCTGGATCTTGATGGCGACCTCGCGGCCGTCGGCGAGCCGCGCCCAGTGCACCTGCGCGACCGAGGCGCTGGCGCGCGCCCGCCGCTCCATGACGCCCTTGGTCGGGTCGCCCGAGAACGACACGCCGAAGACCTCCTCGGGCGACTTGCCGAAGTCCTCGCGGATGACCTTTTCCACGTCCTTCCAGTCATTCTGCGGGGCGTCGTCGAACATGCGCGAGAACATTTTCTGGAACTCGGGCGGCAGGATGGCCGACTGCATGGCGATCGCCTGGCCGATCTTCAGGTAGAGGCCGCCATTCTGGCGGAGGAGGTCCGAGAGGCGCTCGGCGTTGCGGGTGTGCACGGCGGCGATGGAGCTGGCGAGGGGCGGGTTCGGACGGAAGTTGATTTTGTAGTCGAGGGCGACGATGAGGCCGAGGGAGAAGGTTCGCGCGGTGCGGGTCAGAGAGGAGGCGTAGAATTGGGAGTCGATGGCGTAGACGACGCCGGTGGCTAGGGAGAAGTAGACCAGGCGGCGCAACCACTTGCGAGTGCGATGGTAGGTCTTTGCCGGGGTCGGCTTGCCCAGCGAACTGGGCGACGGAGGCACAAACGGCTGGAACTGGCCTGCATGAACATGGCGAATGGACTGGGCCAGCGGACGGTGTCGGAGAGGGGTTGCGACGGTCAAGGACCGCCAGGAGCGGGCGAAAGACGTCACAGACGTCATTGGGATGGATTACCGGGGAGGCAGGGGTATCATAATGGGTGATGGAGAGTAGAAGGGGTGAAGGAGGGGGGACGAGGGACGAGAGGGAGAGAAGAATGGTGAAGTGAGAAATGTGAAGAGAGAAGAGAGAAGAGAAGTGGACGATGACGACGGACATACGGAGTAAGCAATCTCGTACGAAATGTTCTCCGCAGTATCTCCGAATCGCTTCACTACACAACCCTCTATATCACGTACTATGAGAATATATTCCAAATACTCATATTTTATACAGATACATTACATCCGATCGTATATCATTCCCTCTTGCACCATCACCCCCGTCCCCAGCGTCTGACACACCCGCGCGTACTCGCGCATGTTGTTCGGGATGATTTCCTCCCACAGTTGATCCTTCTGTAGCCATTCGTACTGCTCGCGACAGACCTCCTCCGATGCCAGCGGGAGCAGCGTCGGCAGGTTCTTCATGGCCGCCCGGAGAAAGTTCTTCTTGAAGCAGTTGCCAAACGCCGCCAGCGTCTCCGAATCCGAACAAATGTCGCGTCCCTGCAGCATCGGTCCACAGTGCTTCTTGATAATGGCGGCCGCGTCGTCGCCCAGCTTCAGCATGGCGTCCTCTTGCCGTGGCGCATTCAAACGCTTCATCATGTTGCGAACCGCCGGCACGAAAGTGTTGTTGCGCGTCCACAGGTCCCAGTGCGGCACCGTCGGTTGGCATCCCTTGTCGCAGATCTCGCGCTGGAATTTCTCAAACAGTTCGCTCGGTCGACCTGTCAGCGCCAGGACAACTTTCAGACAGGAAGGGCCGACTTTTGCGGAGACCACCGAGGCATTGCCGAGGAGAAGGAGGAGGAGAATCAGGGGGGAGAGAAGGGCGCCGGAAAGGCGCATGGCGAATGTCGGTGAAGGAGCTGCGATTATTCAAGCGAGGTCAGTCCGATCAAACGAGAGTGTCTCGGGGAGGGTGAAAGATGAAAGATGAAGGAAAGAACGGACAACAGCAGCAGCAAGGCTTGTGAATGAGGCGCAATTAATGGCGATCGACAGTTTCCCCGCATTGCCTCTAGCGCATCCAACAAACACCCAAAATTAGGGCTTCACTCTCTACATCGGACAGTGACTGTTGTCAGACCACCTATATAGACCCGTATCCTTTCTGGATTCTGTTTCTCGATTCTTTCTCTGTCTCTGATCTTACCGGATGGCCCAGATCTCATATACTTTTTCTCTTATATACTTTGGTTGCTTCTGTTATACTCTTTCCTATACCCTTGCATGCATCTAAGACACGCTGTTCAAACAAAAACAACCCGGTCCACCATATTCCCAAAGCCCATCCCAATGAGAAAATAGTTTCGTCCAAGGGGGCGTCCCTCCAAAATGGCAGAGGATGCTGTATATCCGCACAGCAGTCCGGCGGAAATCACTCTCGATGGCTGCGTGCATACCGAGAAAGCTCTAAGTCATTGCAACTTCAGAAGCTGGATGAAAACGCAAGCGTCATCACTGCGCAGCTGCGAATGTCCTGTCACGAAACTCTTATATATACTCGGCCTGAGGGCGAACGGCGTCCTTACTTGGTAAGTGGACTTTCTTGGAGTATAGAGTCTCGACTGACCAAATTCCACAGGTGAACAGAAACACAGAAGTGGTCAACCAGTATATGGCTCAGTGCCTACAACCCCTCGTGGACTACTATCAAGACGGCCGGCCTGATCTCTTACCGATCACGGTCCCCAGCTACACTCGCGACCTGCGCGCTGCGGAGGTGGCGTTCTATTTAGCCCAGGACTCTCCGCGTCTGCGGCTGCTCGCCAGAATCATGGCGCGGCGTGTGTCGTCTGCGGTTCTTGCCAATGTCGAAGAGTTTCTTGGCCGTTGCTAGCCCACTACGACCATCGACGCTACCTGCTGATCGGGGATTCGGTCCAACTCTACCCAGTGGTCATCTCACATGACAATAACTCCCTATTCCAGGTATCCGGCACGTCTCTGCTCTGGCGCCGACACTTAGGTGGCATCCTGATGGGTAGGCTCGCAGGGTGTCGTCCGCTGGGCCAGCGAGGTCAACGGCATGAAGCCTACCGAAACATATACATCAGTATCCATATAAGATCTTGATCTTCTATTTCCGTTCTATGCTATCTTTGACGGAGATCTGATTATCTTCCCTTCATCGGCGACAGCGGGCTCAAGGCGGTCAGCCGACTGTACAATATCCTCGAGCTCCCCGAGTTCACCAAAACGGCCTGCAGACTCTGGACGCGCTGTCCCGCCACGAAGACGTATCACGACACTACTCGGAACCGCTTCTTGCTTCACGGCCCTGCTCTGCCTGCAGAAATCTGGTCTAACTCAACGCAACATTGCATGCCTCTCAGTCCTCCGCCGCAGAGTTGTCAGCCTCCCTCTGGTTCCAATTCCGGTTTTAACCACCGCGTGCGCTCGCCGACCGCAAGCGAGCACGCTAGAGCCTACCTCGATCAGATTTTCGATCCTATTGTCCTGCCGGCCGTGGGGCTTCATGATCATTGGGCCAGTGAGGCCAGGGACGACGACAACTACGGCTATTCCGACACGTACGCCACTGGCGGCAATGATGACACTGAGGACACTGACTCGGATCATGGAGTGTCTCTGAACGCCGGGCAGTCCGCGCCTACGGCGAGCGGACCCGTGGCCAGAGCCGAATATACGATCGACGGAAACGGTCAGGATGGGGTCGAAATCGAACGCTGTGAGGCATTGGTGACGGTACTCTGACATAATCAGAGATCGATGTCTCCAGAACCAAGCCAGAATATTAGTTGCGACGCGCTAGTGTTCAGCAGGGCTCCATCCTACGGCTCGCTTTTCAGAAATCTATTTGGACTGTTGTTGATCTTCCATGTATCTTAGAACCTGCAGAGCATTCATCTCTATCAACCTTTTCGTCCACAACGTCAGGCGAGGCCCGATGTCCACGCTAGCCTCACTGAGCTCATCTCAATATATCTGTGAGAGTGAAAGCTGCGACCTCCTAGCAGGCCGTCTAGGAGCGTCTCCCGAGGCAAGGGCTCTCGTAGACAAAGAGCAGCGCCCTTCGCCCCATCCATTTTGCTGGACAGTTTCCGGGTGTGGCAGGGGTTTATTAGAACTGTTCAGATGTTTATTATCCTCCACGACTGGAAGACTTACCAGGGCCATCTATATCTACAGCCGGTTGGGGAACCGAAGCCCACAGTCTTCTCAACGAGAAGGTGCTCGTCGGTAATGAAACCGGCGTCAATGGAAGGTGGCAGCAGCATCTAGTCCAGGTCATGTGGGGAGCCTTCGAGGAACAAAGGCTCCAGGCCATAATGGGCGACTTTGACATCGTGGTCCAGAGCTATAGAGAGATACGGGATATGGCAGGAGTCACACCAACTGGCAATCTGTGATAAGTGAGCGAACGGACTCACCATGTATCAAGAAATATGACCAACGAGATAACTAAAGCGGGTGAAATTGATATACAAACCCTTGATGCCTTACCAAGATACGTCCAGCGCCACCTTCGACCATTTTGTGAGGGGCCCAAGGAACGCGTTTCATGAGTGCTACCAGAGACCTTGTCTTTACAAAGATTTGGACAGCGGTATACTGTGATCTTCTGTCGCCTGCCATACGCGGGTGTCCCAAGGGCTCATTGGCATAGCGAGCCATCCCGGCAGCTCGTACGGAGATGGTTCTGGGGGATTAGAGCTGCCAGGCTACAAGAGGCAATAGACATCGTCGGGGTTACATGAGAGATCCTTCAAGAACCAATATCTGGAAGATTTGCGGAGAGATATCTACAATAGTACTCCTATAGGACACTGTATTAGAAAAGGACAAAGGCCGCAAGCTAGATTCTAGATGGAAGGGACCCTTTCTGCTCAAACAACTGACTCACTATAAACGATCAGCAGTTCTTGAGGACCTGGTAACACATCTTAATTGCGTTGATCACCCGAAGCGATTTGTTTCTCGGACTGAGAGTATAAGGAAGGAAGCGATTAAACTCTGACAAAGCCTTCTTAGGAGACATCAAAAAGCAAAAAGAATCGTGAAGGAAACAAGAAAAGAGCTCCACAAGCAAAAAATGCATGAGAAGGGCTATACTAAGGACGACGATACTGAGTTGTAGACTGCGTCTACCCCAGCTTAGTTTACGCATAATCATGGTATTGTATAGAGCGCTTTATGTCTCTACCGGAATCGTGTAATGAATCCGAACCAATTTCATTGACTGTATTTCTCTTATTATGTCCATAGCACAAGAAGAAAGGGGTATAAATGGCCACGAATAGAACAAACCAAGACTCCGAGACAACCAACTTCAAAGACAAATCTACGTCAATTTTTCAACGAGTCCAACCCGAACACACCCGTAGTGTAGCCCAGTAAACATCGTTGCTATGCAATCCGTGGCCCCATAATCAGAACAGAAGAGTGCAAGGAGACGCAAATGAACAGATCAAAAACGAAGGGAATGAATACGCGGTAAACGTCATGATGCATATACCATCACCATCATGTCAGAACGGCGCATGTGTTGACACCAGCCACATATAAGTGGGGTGTAAGCATCAATCCAATATGTTCTTTTATGCAATGATCCCAGAACCTGATGTTCCGGAGCCCCATCGGAAGCGCTTCAAGCCGCCTCTGACAGCCTCCTGTCCACATCTGGCGGAGGCCCTACCACTGGAGAAGTTGGCATCGCCGACAACTACCCCAGAGTTGGCCTCTATCCTACCAACCTCGCGGCCAAGCACGTACCCCGCTGAGAAACTAATGGCGGAAAAGAGCACCACGACCCCAGCACTAATGACCCAGGTCATGATTGTTGGGCTCGTCTCAGTGTTGGTTCGGCGACTCTTCTTGGCCGAATGTGTCGAGCTACGGTCCTTGGACGAGCTAGACCGGCGTTTCACTTTGGAGGTAGGCGGCGGTGTATACGTAGCAGTTGCATGAGGCTTTGGCCGACGGGATCGGTTGGAGGCACTGGTTTCTGCAGCCGAAAGGGCGCCATCGTCGCTGGGCTTCGTCTCCCATCGCCCTGGACTCTGGTACTATTCGGAACGCCACCTGGGTTGTTGAAAGGTCACATTAAAAAGTGCTTCT